CAAACTAATTCATTGCCTAACTGAGGGTAAAATTCAACCCTCACCCCATGGATTTCTCGCACCACTAAACGAAGATCTGATTGTCAGCCTGTGATGGGCTCACCAAGATCAATTACGTTTTGAGGGTTAAGGCACTTTTGGCGAAAAGCAAGATTTTGTTATTACGAAATAACACAGTTCTCAACTTACTTTGCATAATACACATTTGTTTTGAAAGCTAAGTACCCCACACTCACCTGCAATTCTTTCCTCATTTAACGTAACAAACTAGTGCAATAGTAAAAAAGTAATTAGGGATGATTGACAGAGCTACCTCACTGTAAAATGAAAAGAGTTGATTTGGCCCAAAAAATGGGGTCAAAACTGGTGAGTCCAGTTTGGTACTGGCTTGATGCATCGATGCGTCCTCTTTGATTCTTTCTCTTATATATATATAATGTTTTTCTAAAACTATAAGCTAAGACACTAAAAATGGAAGTGGAATTTTAGCTCAATGCGTGTAATTTGTCTCCCCTTCAAGGCTTGAAAAAATAGTGCACAACTCCCAAAATATCTGAAAAGAATCAGCTATTCCATGTACAATATTTATCTAATGGTTTGATGAGAGGAAATTTTTAAAAAATTGCAAAATAAAAAAAAACTAAACAAAAAGAAGGAAAAATTAAAAACAACCCCAAAGTACTTGAACCTTTGTATCTGGACTTCATTAGCAAATGGGCTCAGAATTTTTAGCTGTGCATCTTATAGCTTAGTACCAAAGTAGCAGTTTTTTTTTTACTCATACCTCCAAAATGGTCACAACTTCATTCAATGCATATGTGATGGTAAACACACAAGAACAAAGGTCATGAACTTAAATGATCAGAGTGATTATTTTGCAACTTTTTAGTTTAAGGCAAGAGATTCGGCACCAAAAAATTGTCTTCTTCACTACAAGCAGAAGAGGCAAAGCAATAGATTTTTAAACCATACCAATCCATTCAGTTTTTCCAAGTCGACTTAGTCTAGTATCCTGCTAGCCATACAAGGATACTCTGCAACAATTTTTTTTGCAATCCACTGCTGCTCAGAGTACTTTGGGCTGCTGGTGAGATATCCCTTCTAGATATCCAACCCTACTGAGGCAGAGAACTGTACAAAAAAAATAAACAAATGAGCAAATTAATTTGTTGTTAGTGAACAGCAAATTTTTGCAACTACAAAGTTGCAAAATATATGTAAGCAAACTGAGCATAAAAAAACACAGTAATGGTGATAATCAATGATGTATTTTCACCAAACTGTATATGTACTTATCAAGAAAAGAAATCATACCTCTATGGACTTCAGTTTTAGTTCAGTGTCCATGAATTAATAAGGATTGCTAGTAGACTTAAAAAACAAAACAAAAAAAAGTTTCTTACCCTCAATGGTAATTGGAATTTTGAAAGCCATCCAGGAGGAACCTATAGGTAGATATTTGTTTTCAAAAAAATTAAACTGTCTGATAACATCCTATCAATTCACTAATGTTTTAATTTACCAGATTTAAACATTGGGTTTACTTTGTTTTGCGCATGGTGCAAGTAAATACATATCTAATATATTTCAATAAAAATGAAGCAAATCTCACCATTTTTGTAGGTGCTTTCCCGAGATTTCTCATCTTTAACTGACCAACTGGCACCTTGTGTGTTTTCCGTTGGGATAAAATCTAAAGAAAGTAATCGATAATGTACTCTTCACCAGCCTGCTAAGTTTAATCTATAAGAACTTACTTAGACAATGCTCAGTTCTATCGCCTCGCCTTCTGGAACTTAGCCTGGAGAGAACACATCAATGCGATCTTTGAAGGTCTAAATATCGGAAATCCGAAACCGTTTTGCACTTACGTCTCATCTGCGAGTAAAAAATCAAACAAACCCTGATCAGACTCTGAGTGGGGTTGAAGACACGAAAACGAGGACCCATTTATTTTCTTTATTTAACATGATCTTTTTATGGTTTCTCGCCGGGGATATCCAGCTCCAGTTTTAATATTTCTATGTGTGATGAACTGTGCAATCAAACACCCATAAACGAAGACCCAAGAAGACCCGAAATTGAAGAAAATTGATTTTCTTCATCAATAATGATAGAGGATGTGATCAAACGCGAACTAAGTGCCTATAAGAACCATGTTCATTTATTGGATTCTTCCCAATGCTTTCAAGTCAGCACAAGTTAGTTTAAAATTGAGGGCCTTCAAAGTCGATCCATTGACGTCAGAGCGCGCTATAGTTAGTTTTTTCATCAGCCAGCTTCTTTTCTGTTCTTCAAAATTCCTTAAGAAAACCTCTCCAAAGCATCCTCAGCCGATAAGCTTTTTCACTTGAAGCTTATTGCATTCAAAAAGCAGAATGTCCCACACTGTAACACGAGCTTTTTGTCTAGAAGCTTTGGCAACTGGAATGGTGCAGACATTGCGCAGACTGTTTTGCCAAAACCGAATAAAGAAGAAGGAAGAAAACCTACCTTCACGCAACACTGAAGTTAGGGCTTTTGACTCGCTGGACCGGCTTGTATGAAGAGCAGCTGTAACACCTAGCGTCAGCCATGCCTGGGTCTAGAATATCACTTTTTTATGAATTATATGTTTTCATTCCTCAATGGAGGAATAGAACTCAACAACTTTTGATAAAAGCTCGCTTTAGGCTAAGTTTTTTTTTTTGCGAAAACTGATTCGACACCTTTAAGTCCCTTGATATGAAGCATAATTCCTTCCTTAAAATGCACTTGAAAAAATATTAGTGAATTATTTCCGATTTCTTGGATTCCGTCGTTGTTTTCAGTGTAAATCTCGGCAAAAACCAATAGCGCCCTCAAAATGGCTTTGTAAAGTGGGTTTTAAGTACATTTTCTATTTCGACATTTTGTGACTAATTAGGCAACATTGCCCGGTTTGATTTTTCTTACTCTGGAAACAATTGCAGCTTACAAATTAAAGAAACAGGATTATTTTTTCTTAATTTTGCATGTGGCATAATTCCCTACTGTAAACATTGGTGGAGATAAATGACAGTAATTTCATGAAAATTTGATTTGTGAACTGCGGTCGAAGAAACGAATATGGAAGCGATCCTGGCAGTCATGGACGCTACTTAAGTAATAGTGAAAAAAGGACCTTGAAAAAATTTGGGCCTCTACGGGATTTGAACCCATGACCTCTACGATACTGGTGCAGCGCTCTACTAGCTGAGCTAACAAGCCAACTGAGAGCTGATCATTATGTTGGTTCTAAGTAAAACCGTGAAGTGGTGAATAAATGACTTTAAATACATGAAAATCATATAAGTGAACTGCGGTTAGAGAAAGACCGCTATATTTCTGCATCCATCACGCCATAAGGGAATTTCCTCAACATTAAGTGAACGAGAGGTCGCAAAATTTCTGTAACACCCAGGGTATGTGGTCGAAGATTCCCTACAGCATCCAGGGTATAAGTGGTTGCAGAATTTCTACATCATCCAGTGTAAAAATGATTGCAGAATTTCTGCGACATCCAGTGTATGAATGGTCGCAGAATTTCCGCGACATCCGATCTTTGAGTGGTTGCAGAATTTCTGCATTACCCAGGGTATGAGTGGTCGCAGAATTTCTGCAACACCCAGTGTATAAGTGTTTGCAGAATTTCTGTGACACCCAGTGTATGAGTGGTCGCAGAATTTCTGCAACACCCAGTGTATGAAAGGTTGCAAAATTTCTGCAACACCCAGGGTATGAGTGGTTGCAGAATTTCTGCAACACCCAGTGTATGAAAGGTTGCAAAATTTCTGCAACACTCAGTGTATGAAAGGTTTCAAAATTTCTGCAACACCCAGTGTATGAGTGGTTACAGAATTTCTGCAACACACAGTGTATGAAAGGTTGCAAAATTTCTGCAACACTCAGTGAATAAAAGGTTGCAAAATTTCTGCAACACTCAGCGTATGGGTGGTGGCAGAATTTCTGCAACACCCAGTGTATGAATTGTTGCAAAATTTCTGCAACACCCAGTGTATGAGAGATTGCAGAACGTTTACAACATCCAGTAACTGACTGTTTGTAGAAGGATTACCTCTGCATCTTTTCATTATTGACTATAAACACATAGTTTACGGACATGCTAAGTCTTGCAAAGGAAAATATAAATTTTAAATTCAAAACATGCAGAAAAAACCATTGATTTATCCACAAATGTACTATTTTGGAAAACACAAAACAATTTGGAAAGCGTTAACTGATTGCTAGCATGTGATGGACTCATAAAGAAGGGGTTAAGGCACTTTTGGCGAAAACCAGGATTTGTTACTTCGAAATACCACAGTTCTAAACTTACTTTGCAGTTTTGTTTCTGTTGAAGGCGGTGATGTTGATGTAGTAGAGGGAAAATAATATTCTGCTTCAAATCCACGAGCAACCGTTTGTCCAGGATGGAACATCACAAACATTTGATTTCCAGTCGAGAACTGAGGCTTATTCCACAGCGATCCTCGGCAAAATCGCCCCAGCAAACGAGACCTTGTTGATCCACCATCATAAAGCTCCACATAAGCACAAGAATCCGAACAAGGACTGGCTGAACACTCACTTAACACAAAGTCAGTAAAAGCAAAATTTACAATTTTGTCAGCTGGTGCGGTAATGTTCCAGGTACAATTTCTGGAAGCAGTGTAGTTACTCTTTGGGAAGTTTGTGCTGCTTATTTTGCCGCTGCCTGAGAGAGGAATTGCTTCCTTGGGACAAACTATAAACAATGAAAAAGGAGCATGTGAGTGTGGGAGAATAAACATATGCTTTTCCGGACGTTCACTTGGTAAAACGCAGTGCCATATTGAACAGCGCGAGAGTAGCAGAGGAAAGAAAAAACAAGGGAGGGGTGGGCCATGTTGTGTAATCAACTTTTTCTTTAGCCGACGAGACCCAAACCTCACTCACTTTTTCACTATGCTGCTACTGCCGTGCCTTCGGCTATTTCGCTCTGTTTGACATACCAGAACGCTTGGAACAGGTCAGAATCAAAATACCGGGATTGGTGCTAGATATATGGTTTCTTTCACAGATGGCGTCACTTGATACGATCTCTTAGATGTACCAAAGTTGTTTTCTCTACTTACTTGGAGGACTGTAGTTCAACAGCTTGTAAGTTGCCCCAAATCCGTCATAATCCATGTTTGTATCATCGGACACAAACACCACCCTCAAGCTTTCGTGCAGTGAATAAAACTTTACAGGAATATCCCTTGGTGTACCACATAGTTTTCCAGGCAGCGCTTCATCACTGAAGCTGTTCTGAACTTCCATATAATCACACGAGCAAGCAGCGCCACCACAACGTTCAAGATTATAGTCTGGTATTGTGAGCTCAACACGGTATCCTTGTTTCCCTGTAATATTCCAGCTACATGTCTGGTTGAATGGATAGTTTCTTGGATAAAAGGGAGAGGAGAGAGAACCTGATGTTCCATCGAGGATCATATCTACTGGGCACACTGAAAAAAGTAACAAAGACGTGTCAGGCTTCGAAAACGGAGCGTCGGTATATGGACTGAAAGGCTTGAATACATTCAACTGTTTTTCTACAGACTGTAGCTGTTCAAAGATTGTTTTCTTAATTAATTGTATGATATACTCAACAAAACTCTCGCTTAATTCTAAAAGTACACGCTCAGTAAACTTCTATACTTCCTTCACAAAGTACCCCTGAAGAAAAAGCTCTTACATGGATCTCCATCTATCTCCTCAAAGGTTACATTGAACCCTTTGTTTACAAGGCCGGTGCGAGATTCAAATCTCACTTGAATGAAATTTCCCACGGAGTACACAGGAGGGGGAAGCTTTTGACCACATATCTTAAAGTCCTTGGGTTTTCCTCCATGTGAAGCAACGTTTGTAATAAAGACTCGGGCACTATCTGCTGCCGATCCAGCACAGTCATCGTGTTCACCCGCTACCAGGGTAAAGTTCAAGAAGGTCAGCTTGATGATTTTCCCACCGGGCACTGTGATATTCCAGATACAAATCCTGTTTGCGTCATAGTTGTTGGGAAAATTGGGGCTGGAAATTTGACCATTAGAAGCATTAATGGATTCTCCAGGAGGGATGCAGGCTGAAAAGGAAAGCATCTTTAAGTCACTGTTTTGATTTCTTACTACAGTAGAAAGAGAATTGAAAATGTGTTTTATACTATTGTCACCATATTATTAGTAGTAAAGAGAAATGCTGTGGACTGAAATACAAAACTGCAAAACTGCCGTTTAAAATGCAGAAATATAGAAAGGTTATCAATACTTACGACCACTTGTCACAAGAGTCAGGGAGGCAGCTGCAACAGATGCAAAGAACGAACATGTGATAACGTTTCTCAACTCAAGGATTAGAAACAGTCCATCCCAAATGCAAACGAGGAAAAGGGGAGAGCGGAGAAAGCTCCCTGGGTTACGATATTTCTATTTAAAGCCACAAGAAGTTCTCGGCTGATTTTTTAACTTTGAGCATTAAAAAAGAAAAAAAATATCGTTTTTTCTGGGCCACTTGAACGCTTTTTTTTCACGGTCCGGCGAGAAGCCTGTTTGAAACAATAGTTACTGTCTGCTGTACGGCAAGCTTTGAAAAAAATAACTACTTCCGTTCAGCTGAAAATAATTCGCTTGTTCAATCGGTAAAATTCTCTCTTTTAAAAGACAATGTGTAGATGTTTTAACGTTTATAAGACGCTCATTACATTTACTTGAATTTTCCTGCAAAAAAAGTTTTATTTTCAATTGTTTTAATTTAGCAGACGCGAGCAAAGGGATCACGTTGAATTGATTTTTATGGTGAACCCTAACTCTAACCAGAATACACCTTTATAGACCTCACAAACGAAGAGGAAACGCACAGAAGAAAGCTCAACTGCAAGGAAACGGGCTTCAAAGTCTTAAACGGGTTAAAATCGGCGAGGACAACAGTCCCAACGATAGATATGGAAACATTTTGTCACGACGCGTAAGCGATTTTAATTCTTGTCTTCAGGTTGATTTTCGTGTATCTTCATTTGGCCATCTTTTTTCACAATTTACCATGTTTTGAGGTTTTAACATATTTCATTGGATTTGACCTTTAATTTTTTTTAACGCAGTTACCATGTGAGCTATTTCGCTTCTGGTTTGGCTGGTTGAATCCAATATATTTGTCAGAACTTTAAGGCGATTAAATTCAATTACTTGCTTGGGCACAGATAGAATTTTATACAACAATTTGGCCATCATTGTTCAACGTTTTTTCAATGTTCTGCTGTCACTTCAAACCTCATTATTACGCATATGGTTTAGATTTGTGTTATAGGGCCATCGCTTTAGAAGTTAATAATCAACTGGTGTCCAAAGGTTCGTCACGCAATATTCAGAAATAAATGTCTCTTGAAGTTGACGCTTTCTTTATCTACGTTTCGCCGTATTTGGGCATAAAAATCAATTTTATCCTTGGTTCAAATTTTATTTTCCTTTGTTTCATTATTATAACTCATTATCATACATTGCAATACCCAAAACCAAAAGAAAATAAAATTTGAACCAAGGATAAAATTGAACCACAACATATGCATCGGAGTAAAATACACTTTCCATTAATACCTTGAAATCTAATATTCTAATTATATTTAGTCCTGCCTAAACATATTTCAAAGGATCAAATATTTCCGCAATGGGCATTGAAACCATCTGGTTTGAAATTATTAACACTAAAGCTAAAAATATCCTTTGTTGTTGTGCCTATTGGCACCCGTCTTTCAACCCTGTAAGGTTTAAGGAATATTTTGAGTCAATTTTATCTCAATTATCACGAGAAAATAAGAATATCTTCCTTACGGGATGCTTTAATTATAATTAACCTATTAAACTGAAAAAGCCATCCGGAATCCAATGATTTCCTGCCAATGATGAACTCTTATTTTCTTCTTTCCTATATTTTACAACCAACACATATTACTGAAAGATCTGCAACCCTAATGGATAACATATTTGCAAATTCTTATGCTGCAAATGCTACTATAGTGTAACTTAGACCTAAGAATCTTCGATCATCTTCCCCAATTTTTTATTTTAGATAATGTTAAGGTAAATTGTAAAACTCTAAACTATTATAAAATTGATTATTCTAAGTTTGAAGAAGAAAAATTTATCAATGATTTCTCACTTCTTGATTGGGCTAACATTTTTAATAATAATTTAGATGCTAGCACTAAATTTGATGTTTTTTTATGAATGATCAAATCTCCCAGTTTATTAACTGTCATGCACCATGCAGGAAGCTCTCAAAGCATGAAATAAAATTATCTACTAAAGCATGGATCACAAAAGACATACTTGCTAAGATAAGATACAGACATAAGTTCTATTCCCAGATTATGAAAAGTAAGCAACCAGATCCAAATCTGATATATCTTCACAAGAAATTCAGGAAAAGTGTTGTCAAAGATATCGAATTGATGATTCTTTCCTCTGTGGCATTTTTCCAAATTAACTTAAATTGCCAAAAGTTATGCCAGTTGCAATAAAGAACAATATCAGTGCCACCTGTTTTTAGCAAAATATATGAAAAAGCTATGTATAAGCACCTCTATGGTTATCTTGAATGTCATAATATTTTCTACTCACTTCAGTTTGGCTTAAGGCAGAAGTGTTCAACTAATCATTCACTCATAAGTATCACTCAATCTATTTGTTACTCAATTGACAACAATGAGTTTGGCTGTGGTATTTTCATTGATTCAAAAAAGCCTTTGATACAGTAATTCATTCTATTCTTTTGTTGAAATTGCATCTTGTGGAGTAAGAGGTAAGTCTATGATTAGTTTCAATCTTATCAGTATCCAACAGAGAACAATTTGTGGGTATCAATGGTCATGACTCTGATTTCCTATCTGTTACTAGTGGGGTTCCTCAAGGATCTGTTATTGGTCCTTTATTGTTTTTGTTATAAATAAATGACTTGCCTAATGCCTCAAAATTCCTTACCTTTCACCTATTTGCCGATGAAACTAACATATATTGCTCTTATAGGAACCTTAATGATCTCGAAACAAAGTTAAATCATGAGCTAGATCAGTTGTCGAGTGCATGGATGAAATCTAGCAGACTAGCACTTAGTATTCTTAAAACTAATTTTATTCTCTTTCATTCTAAAAATTGAAACCACACAAGTCACTTAGTCTAAAGATTAATGGTGTGAATATCCAACAAGTTTCCACAGTTAAATATCTAGGTGTTACCTTTAACTAAAATCCGACATGGAAGAATCATATTAATAAGCTTTGCCTAAAACTGTCATAAACTGTAGAAATCTTCTCAAAATTGAGGTACTATGTTGGCTTTGATATACTTTGTATGCTTTACTATTCACTAATCCAGCTCTTTCTCACTTATGTTATCCTAGTTTGGGGTTAATAACATATCCAACTTATTTAAAGCCAGTGATTAATTTGCAAAAGTGTATAGTCAGAATTATAACATTTTTTAAATCTGTATCACATTCAGAACCACTGCTAAAATCTCTGAACCTCTTCAAATTTTCTGATATAATTCATCTTGAGATTCTTTCTTTTGTTTATTAGTGGTCTCACAAAATAACTCCTCCTTGTTTTACTGATTACTTTAAGCCAATATCTTCTGTTCATTCATATTATACACATCAATCACTGAAAGAGAATCTGTTTGTAAATCCAGTTCAAACAAGTAGGCGCACCATGTACATTTCATAGTCGCTATCAAGTATTTTGCCGGACTTTGAGTTCGTCTCAAGATAGAACAACACAAATACACATGGAAATTTTTACAGTAACTTTATAACCATACTTTGGTCTTTTAAAAGCTAGAAGCTCAGTAGATTGTGTCATATCGGTCATTGCTAAAACTGTCTTTGTTTTGATGCTACTTTTCGATATAGGAAAAGTATGTCGGACAAAAATATTCACCAAAAAATAAATATTTCTTTGGCAGCTTCAATAACGACAGGGGATTAAGTTTAGATGATAAAACAAAGGATTATGTTCACAGAAATACCGTAGGTCTAGTACATTCGTTACATGAGGTCACACAACTCGGGTAATATTCACGGTGAAAATTTGCATATTTGAGCGGTCGAACGAAAAAAGTCATTTCTCGAAAACTAAAATATTTTTTCGCAAAAAAACTACACCGCAATTATATGAACATATTGGGCTACAAAATATGAAAGTAGGAGGGAAAACGATGGATGCTGACATCGTCTCTTAATTATTCTTTTCTTCCTGTTCTTCTTTATTTCCTAGATATCTTTAGTAACAATGAATTGTAAGTTATTTTGGTTTCGTTTTTCATTTTCTTATTGTGTTGTATTCCTTATATTGATGCTTGTAACGCTACTGTAATTATTACAATCCTCTATAATACCCTGTATTCGAATGAGTTTAAATAAAATTGAATTGAATTTAATTACATTAGGGTTAATTTTCGTGACGTACGAATTGATAAGAAAAATCTTTGTAAATTAAAATTTTGAGACGTTAAACTAAGAACCTCTTGAAAGAAAGTTTTCAACCGGATCGATGAAAAAGTGGGACCGCGAACACTAAGCTAACCCTAAGGAAGAGGAAAATAATGTGGGAAGAACAATGAGACACTGAGGTTAAGTGAGATTAAATTACGAACTAAAAATGCACATTAGAAGTCATAAGACATAGCGAAGTCAAGAACAGAAGGATAACAAAAACTTCTGGCCTGTAAAACCAAACAGATCTGACTTCTAGATGCCTTTGTTGCACGTATAATGAGTGAAGGGACAACAGTTTTAATCATTCGTATAGAAGAATTCTCACTCACCACAAAGAGTAACCACGATCCAGGCGAAAATCATGACCCGGTATTCAAACTGATCGCTGTCTTAAGATGCTCGCTCTTCTTCACATTGAGTAATCGACGAGGTCTAAATCAACTAAGCGAGATAAGCTTGTGTTTTCTGTTTAACTGCAGACCTGTGAAAACACACTGAGAGTAGACAGAACGAACAAAGTCTGGAGAGAACCTGGACGTCAAATACAACTCCGTATTCCTCGAATATGAGCCCACGCTCACGCTCTCCCCTCACGCTCGCCCTTTCCCCCCACCTCCCTTCCCCCCCCCCCCCCGCCTCGTCTCTCACTTTCTCAGATGGCAGGGTTACAATGAAAACCGGGTTACACTTTGCCACTTTAATTATAACTTTTTAAGCTTGAACTACAGCGGGTTACAGAACAGGATAAAAAAAAAGCGCCCCCCTTGATTAAGCATTCTCCTTCCAATGAGTGCTCCTCCTCTTAGCGAGAGAGCATTGCGATTTTCGGTTTCTGTACCAGAAAACCTCGGTTTTTCGGTTTTGGTGTTCACTGCGGTTTGCGAATTTTCAGTTTTTTAGCATTTAGTTTTTAGTTTTCGTCAAAATAACAAAGAGTTTTCGGATTTGGCATCCGATGTGGTTTTCGTTTTTAATGACTTCAACAATTCGTATGAAAAATTTTTACAAGAAATTAATCAGTCTAGCCTGAGAGCACGCCGAATAAATGATATGCTCAAATTAGTTTTTCTAGCATTAAATAATGCTGCACCTAGTTATATTTCTGATCTTTTAACCGAGCGCTAAACCAGCATTAGTTTACGAGGCAAATGCAGTATAGTTATCCCACGTGTAAATACAAAAGATTATGGTCTTTATTCATTTCGATATAATGCCAGCAAACCATGGAACTTATTGCCGGATAATGTCCGTGTGTCTACTTATTTTGCTGCATTCAAAATTGCACTAAAAACTGTTCAACTGGATAATGTATGCTGTTCTTTTTGAGACCAATGTTAAATTCTGAAATTAACTGTACATACATGCATATTTTTATCTATATTTACTTTTTACCTTATTTAATTTTTATGTATTCATCTATTTATTTCACCTATTGATGTATTTTAATCATTTCATAAATCTATTTTCTTTGGAGCTATCAGCAATTTTGCTATCAACAAATTCGAAGTTTAATAAAGTCTTTGTATTGTCTTCGGCTATTCCTTATTGGGTTCCGGTTTCACTTCGATATATCTGAGCGGCAATTATGCGCCTCGACTGAAATCAGGAGAGAAGGAAGCAGAGGAATACCACTCGCCACCACCCCCCTCTCCCCTCCCACCTAATCCAGTGATCATGTGACTACATTGGTAACAAGGAAATATAACCCAGGAGACGGATTCTTTATGATTTACGTCAAAATACGAAGGACATCTGCCATAGTTGACGAAAAACAAAGCGAAGTAGTAAAAATAAAACCAAATTTGGCAATGGCTTAGCGCCACAGAAATTTAAAAAATTACGTCTGTTTTCTAGGTGACGAAAGTTCTCACTTGTCATACCGTAAAATCACTGTTCTTGACGCATGATAGTTTCCACTCGGCACGAGAGTCGGAAATGTTGATTTAATTCTCACAATAAACCCGTTCATAGTTTTATTTAACAAGATCTTTTGTAAAGGTTACAAGGCCACAGTTTTACGATGTGTGGGTACTGCTTTTATTCCAAGAAGGACTAATACAAATCGTTCTACTTTACTCCGTTACAGCGAGCCTGCGCAGTCAGGCATACTCGAGAAAACCATGCCTGTCTGCTCTCTCTCGCGATGCCAGCGTTCTTTTTAGCTTCCCACTGACACTTTTTTTTACTAAGGAGCGATTCGTGTAGGGAATACTAACAATGATCACCCTCTAAAACTTAATTATGCCCTCCACAGACCACAGCTTAGCACACACCGACACAAACTGACTGTTGCGTCCAAAATTCCTCGAAATGCACAGTATTTCAAGTACATCACAATAGCTCTGTCTCAGTATGACTTAACAAACATTCAGTCACTACCGACAACAACAAATACTATACTCTTAGATGACTGAGTCCTTACTAAAGGAAAATACCTTTAACAGCCAACAAGAACTCATAGTAACACCGACAAAACTACGGAAAGCGCGGGAAAACGCGGACGACCGAATTGTGATTGGTTTAAGTTTTTCAGCTGATTGGTGGAGAGTGTGGCGCGACTTTTCTGGACTCAGAATCACAGCCCAAAGTGAAGCATAATAGATAAAATCTCGAATTACTTTCGACACTGAATTGAAAATTGCTCTAATTAGTTTTAGTTATATGTGAATAGGGTTTCCTTTGTTTCCACACTCTTTGTCAAGGGTCTGGGTAGAGTCTAACTACGGGCAGATAGACACGATCTTCTCTATTCTATTCCTCGGGCCAATTCTCCTAAATCTCTGCAAAACTTGGGCGGTCATTGAGGAAAAAAAATGATTAGACCACTCCCCGAATAAGACTTTTAAGTGCCTTAATACACACAATATAAAACAAAAAAATCCAAATAGATATAAACTGGTTTAAGATCCGGACTGGCAGGAAGTAGACAAGTTCAAATCATGCTCAGGTTTCAGGTGCAGATACTTTGTTATTTTCCTTTGTGCATTTTTCCATTTCATTGCCTTCATCATTCGGAGATGTACTTCTCCTGTTCTTTTTAACTGTTGAGAACAAGCAATATTTCAAATTGAGATGGTATTAAGTGCCTCGGGATGTTGCATTCTTTAATTTATTTTGATGTCGAGAGCAGGTTCCTAATTGTAATGATTGACTCCTGAAACGCTCCCATGAGGACCAAAGAAATAGAAATTTTTATTCTAAAATAATTATGGGCACCACACATGGCACCAGGAAAAACACTTCTTAAGATCCCACCAGATTACGACCTCTGAAACTCCCAAGAGTCTCTGAGATCCCCAGAAGAAAGTCTACCAGTCAAATTGAGAATTAGTAGAATCCTTAATGTAGCTCGCTATTTCTCTCCACTAATACTTTTAGCACACTTCAAATATATTCAGGGATCAGACTCGCCATATCCTCTATTCTCATGATAAGAGATCTTAAAGTTATGGTCTCCTACCAAGCACAGGACGAACTGGGAGGTAATTATTGCACCAAACCCACTTTCCCGTAAGGACAGGAAGCGATCGAACTCACCAATGAAAAGATAATATACTGCTATGAAGACGAGTAGAAGAAAGACCACACAACCCAATCCTATTCCTATGGCGGCCGCTGTCGATAAGGATCCCTCTGGCGCTACAATTTAAAATGAAAATTGGAAAGTCTTTAAGAACCGCTTAAATTAGTGATAACATATGATGATCATTGATTGAAAAATATAATAAGGTGGAATGATATCACTCAATAATTTCGTTAATTATGTAATCCGTCAACACTCAGAGACCGAAACTAATTCATTGCTTAATTGAGGGTAAAATTCAACCCCCACCCCATGGAGTTCTCGCACCATTAAAAGAAGATCTGATTGTCAGCCTGTGATGGGTTCACAAGATTAAGTGCGTTTTGAGGGTTAAGGCACTTTTGGCGAAAAACAAGGTTTGTTACTACGAAATAACATAGCTCTCAACTTGCTTTGCATATTCATCAATACGATCTCTGCAGATCTAAAGATATCTGGAAACCCGGAAGCGTTTAGGAATTACATCTCATCTGCGAGTAAAGGATAAAAAGCTAATCTCCTTGAAAGTTAATGATGTTACAATGACGGAAGATTTAGATATTGCCGAAAACATGAATTCTAATTATTCGTCCGTCTTTACATCTGAGGATAATGCAACGTCGTGGATCTCAAACTGTCAACTATCCAATGTAATGTAAACGAAATTAACTACCTTCTTACGAAACTAAACTCGCACAAGTCCCACGGGCCTGATTCTTTCACCGCGCGTGCTGAAGGATGCGCCGTCGAGTTAGCGACCTCTCTTCGCTCATCAGCCCCTTCGATACTAGCCAGGTGCCGTTGGCGTGTAAAATAGCCGATATTGTCCCCGTCCACAAGAAGGGTAAAAAAGACTGTAGAGAGCCTCGGAACTTTCGGCAGATCTCGCTAACCTTGATTGTGTGCAATTTGGATTTCTTGAAACGAAGTCCACTTAAACGCAATTACTATCTTGATTTAACGACTGGGCGACATTCAGAAACAGATCGAAACCAACATACTTTTTTTTTTTCGAAGCATTCGATTCTCTACACTACGAACGATTACTGCTTAAGCTAAAGTGGTATGAGATTGATGGACCCCTTTTGTTTTAGTTCAGAAATTTCGTAACTAACCGCCTGAAACAAGTCGTGGTGCGTGGCACTTATTCTTCATGGTTTCTTGTGTAATCTGATGTTGTCTATGGCACAATCCTGGGTCATTTTCTTTTTTTTAATATATTGTTATAAAATAAACTCAAACTTCTCGTCCAAGATGAAGTTGCTCGCCAACGACACAAAGATACATCGAGGACTTTCAAACATAAAAAAAGAAACGCAGGAGCTACAGTCCGACACCGACCAGCAGCATGGACTGAGAAATGAAGTCGGCTCTTCAATCTCGACAAATGCGAGGTAATGGAAATAACAAATGAGGGTTGTCCAATACACCCAAACCGCTACGATTCGTCGAGGGCAGTTTGCGAATCGTTCTACGGAAGTCGATTCGCGGTTAATACGTCTTGTTATACCGGAAATCTGATAAACCATCTCTCATAAGATGGAAACGCATACCGAAAGTCAATTCGCAAGCAACTGTCATGGGTTGTTGAAAATGTTGTCGAATCGACTCAATTTGACTCGAATCGAACGACTCGTATACCAGAAGTCGATTTGCAAGACACTTAGAAATATTCCGCAAGTAATTACCTTGAGTCCATGAAAGTGTTGTCGAATCGACTCGATTTGACTCGAATCAAACGACTCGTCACAGTTGATGTCAACCCGTCATACCGGAAGTCGATTTGCAAGACACTTAGAAAATATTCCGCAAGAAACTACGAAGGGGGGATGGAGATGTTGTCGAATCGTAGACGAATCGTAGCCGTTTCACGTCTCAAGAACACGGAAGGTTCATGTTGTCATTTTCTTTTTTCTACTCTTCATTATCACACATTGCTCACGCCCTTTTACTTCCGGTATGTTAACGCACAATTCGACTTCCGGTATACCATGCTACTTATTTTCACACATTGCTTACTACCCTCCACTTCCGGTATGTTAACACACGATTCGACTTCTGGTGTGAAGATTCGTCAACGACCGTAGACGAATCGTAGCGGTAGTTTGGGTGAAATCGTTACCAACTCGCCGAGTTCAAGTCTTAAAACCGTTAACAGTGCTGAAGACCTAGGCGTTGTGATCACTTCGGACCCAACATGGAGCAAACGCGTTAATGCGGTGATCAAGAAAGCCGACAAAATATTCGCTTTAATTCATAGACCAGTGGACCCATCGGGTCCAGAGGCTTCCGCGACGCTTTACAATCTCTTGTACAAGATGGTATACGAAGAGCGCCTGAAGAGGCTGAAGTGGCTTACACTGGAATCTTGCAGACTTTACCTCTCTCTTCTAGAATGCTACAAGACAGTATTAGCTCAAATAATCCAAAGTATCTCTTAAACTAGGAAAGTGTAACGCTTCCAAATATCCTTTCGCCGTCCGTATACGGTACAAGAATGGGAACAGTCTGCCGCAACCCGTGATCGAAGCCGGTAGTTTTAAAAAACGGACCGGCCCGGACTTAGTCTCTTGGCTTTTTGGATGAATATTTTACTGTGTATAGATTAAAAGATAAATAGATATTTATCATTTTCTTTTAAGGTCAAACGTCGTAAGGCAAACCTCTGTTTCATTCTTTTCAAGATGTATTTTATTTTGATTTTGTTTTTGTATCCTAAATAAAACATGTTGGGGTACCTACCACTGGGTTCACTTGTCGCTTTTGTTTCTGTAGAAGATGGTGGTGATGTTGTTGTTGTGAGAGACAGCACTGAATATTCTGCTTCAAATCCACGAGCAACTGTTTTTCCCGGATGGAACATCACAAACAATTGGTTTCCAGTCGAGAAGTGAGTCTTATTCCAAGACGACCCCTGGCAAAATCGCCCCAGTGAAGGCGAACTTGTTGACCCACCATCATAAAGCTCCACATAAGAACAACTTGAATTCGAACAATTGGCTGAACACTCACTTAAGACAAAGTCAGTAAACACAAACTGTATTTTTTCGTTAGCTGACGTGGTTATGTTCCAGGTACAATTTCTGAACGCATTGTAGTTACTGTTTGGGTAGTTTGTGCTGCTTATTTTGCCGCTTCCTGAGAGAGGAATTGCCTCCTTCGGACAAACTGTAAAAAGTATAAACGTCTGTGTAAATGTGGCAAGATAATTAACAAGTACTGATTCACCCAAGAGGCAAATATCAACCACTAGCCACCGGCACTGAGGTAAATAGTTGTTTAAGTATATTCTAAAACACTGAGATGATAGAGTACAAAAAGATGATTTCAACACATCTATTCCTCCGATTATTACAACATTTTCGAGCGCAAAACCCGCGCATTTTGTTCGAAGGTGAATAGCAAAGGATATTTGGGGCGAGGAATGGCAGCAGCAGCGGAAAAGTACATGTGCAATGTAGACGTTGTTGGAGCGGCCGATCTGAAATGCGAAGATGTTCAAGATCTGACCGTTCCTCTAGAGCATATGCCACCAAATACGCTAAACTTTTGGTTGGGCAAGTTCGTTTAATTTGTGAACTGGCCAAGCAAAATGGAGAACGTTATCCGCCCAATTTGCTTCATTTGTTGATTTGTACGATTAATCGTCATTTGAGTGAGACGGGAGGAAAGGATGCATTGAACGTTCTCAACAAAGTTGACAAGAGGCAAATAAAGTGTAACGTCTTTTGAATGCCTAGTATGGACGGCGAAGAATTAAATAGGGTTCTAAATTATATCATTTTATTGTAACAGGTTCGCGTCGTTTCACAAAGTTTTAGACGTAGAGATGAAGGATGCAACGAAGTTTGGAATAGCCCAAAAGTGCAAAATGGACACCCGCGAAGAAACAACTTAGGACGAAGAGGCGATATTGTGGGGAAAAGGCCTTCTTGGAGGATTTTCAGCTGAGTCACTGATGTATGAGTTATTCATTTTTATAACGGAAAACTTTTTGGTCTTCGAGCTGGCGAACACAGGTTACTTAGGCTCTGCAATATTTTTGTTAAAGAAAATAACATTATTTTCGATGAAAGTCTGTTTAAGACGTTTCATGGTGGCCTGAAAGATTTGAAGAAGAAGCCTCGTTTTATAAAGCATAAGTGCCATGAGGGGTTGGTCATCAGTATGATCGATGTTTGACTGCACTGCATTCAGATTATATCAGTAAGGTGCAAGATTTCGCTGCAAGTCTTCAAAGTTTTCATTTTCGGCCGCATAGAAACGGCAAGTTTCAGTATGAAAGAAGCGCGTTTATGCAGTTTAAATGAGATATTGCCGCCAAAGAAATTTTGTTCCAAAGCAAACTTGCCTCAGGTATTAGACTGCTCCAGCACAATGGTGAAGAAAAGTTAGCAAGACAACGACCTGGGTATAATGAACGCAGTTTTTTCTTATTAAAAACCAAGCGAAAAGCAGTTAGATAACGTTAGCAATATTTTAGGGGCAATCATTGCTTTTATAGAAACTGAGAATGAGCGCAGTAGTGTTAAGGATGAATTGCCAAAACCTATGGAACACACAGGGGATAATAGCAAGAATGTTCTTTCCGAAGATATTTTCGCGTTTGATACCACATTTGACTTATCAGATGATGTATTAGCCAATACTCCAGTGCCAGAGAATACTCTAACAAGTAATATCAATAACTTTTGTGCCAATTCAGTATTTAACAACTGCACTGTCGACTTTTGCCACGAGAAAAAGTAATATTTGCAGGTATGTAAACGTTTGGATTGTATGGTGACAATAGAGAGATGAAATTCTAAATGCAGTTTATTAACGAACACAAGCATTCTTTACTTAAAACGAAAGGAAAATACAAATTATGCAGTGTATTTAATATCTAAGGGCGGATCCTTGCGCAGGTAATAAAGTCGTAAAATCTTAAAACTCATCTACTGGCCGTGTAGCGTTGACCACATGTCGATTACAAGAGAAGTGACGACAAATAAAGTACAAAAGGTCAATTATAAGGGTGAAATGTGAGCGCGTATGATCAGAAGTCGATTCTGTATCATGAACTAAGAAAAGACTGGATTACTCGCCGAAATAACCTTACTTCGCCAACTCAGCCCCTACACAAGACAGGACAGTTTACAAAACGCAAGGTTTTCTTCGACGATAAGTTTTCTCGTGACGTTAGCTTTTTCGAATTCAGTTGGTTTCTAATATTCCTCTGTTTGCTCAAATATGGATTTCCGACTTAACACGACAGATCTTACGACAAAATATCGACGTGGTTACGGGACGTAACTGGTCACGCATTCTTGTCATTTTTGTGTTACTACATGTAGCGTGTCACGTACAGTAAACTTCACAGAAACCACAACAGCATTACTTCATATGTTGCCTTATATGAATCTCTTACACAATCAACTTCCTTGCAAGCATTTGCAAGGATTCTAGTTGCCACGCTCTAGACACAAAAACCGCGATTTTCAATTAGCCGTCGGTTGCAGTTAAAAAAAATTCTACTGTCTTTATCTTTACGAAAATCACACCAGTGCCGAAGTCAAAAGTTGATTAAACGCACGCGAAAACCCAGCTCCCATTGGATATTTGAATACACCTCATTCTTCATTATTTATTGGTAGTTACAGAAGGAAAAAAAGCGTTTATGCACTTACGTCATTCCTTACCATGGGTTGTTATATAAGACCTAAGCCTGAGAAATTTGCATCACCAATTGATAACAGATATAACCTCCACTCCAATGAGCTAACCTACTTATCGTTACTTGTACCGGCGAATTTATTGCGCAAAAACATCTTTCCTCAGCGAACCCTTAGATCTCACGACGTTGTTTTCTCTACTCACTTGGAAGACTGTACCTCAACAGCTTGCAAGTTACCCTAGATCCGTCATAATCCATCCTTGCTTCATCGGACACAAACACTACCCTCAAACATCACTATCTCGCTCTGCTTGACTAACTAGAACGCTTGGAACAGGCCAAAATAATCAGGGATTAACTAAGCGCCTTATCATTTCTTGTATGGGTGAGTTGATTACATGAAACATCTTCTCTCAGTGAACTCTTACATTTTACGACGTTGTTTTCTCTACTTACTTGGAGGACTGTGGTTCAACAGCTTGTAAGTTGCCCCAAATCCGTCATAATCCATGTTTGCACCATCGGACACAAACACCACCCTCAAGCTTTCGTGCAGTGAATAAAACTTTACAGGAATAAACCTTGGTGTACCACATAGTTTTCCAGGTAGCGCTTTATCACTGAAGCTGTTCTGAACTTCCACATAATCACACGAGCAAGCAGCGGCATCACAACGTTCAAGATTATAGTCTGGTATTGTGAGCTCAACACGGTATCCTTGTTTCCCTGTAATATTCCAGCTACATGTCTGGTTGAATGGATAGTTTCTTGGATTAAAGGGAGAGGACAAAGAACCTGATGTTTCATCGAGGATTGTATCTGTAGGGCACACTGAAAAGAGTAACAAGGACTGTCAGCTTTAGGGAAATGCATCCTCCTTCTGTAAAAAATTAATTTATTCACCAAAATCTTGATGAAGCTTCTTACTCTCCGAAAACTGTTTTAGTTTTGATTTTTCCGCGTGGTGATTTTTTGGTCAGCGGGATGATTTCCAATACTGCCTACAGCTCATTTTCCGTATGTTAACGGTTTTATGCTTTAATAAATATAACGATTGTGAAACATAGCAGCTTGCGTTCGAGTAAAAGACTTGATTTCATTCAATTTTTTTTCTACAGACTTTAGCTGATTGTTTACTTTATTACATGTATCTGCATGATATATTCAACAAAACTCTCGTTCAGCTCGATAGGGGTGCATGCTCTGTATATTTCTGTACTTCCAGTTAATAAACTACCATAGAAGAAAAGCTCTTACGTGAATCTCCATCTATCGCCTCAAAGGTTGCATTGAACCCTTTGTCTAAAGGGCCGGCGCGAGATTCAAATCTCACTTGAATGAAGTTTCCCTCGGAGTACACAGGAGGGGGAAGCTTTTGACCACAGATCTTAAAGTCGTTAGGTTTTCCTCCATGTGAAGCAACGTTTGTGATAAAGACTCGGGCACTATCTGCTGCCGCTCCAGCACAGTCATCGTTTTCACCTGCTACCAAGGTAAAGTTCAAGAAGGACAGTTTGATGATTTTCCCACTGGGTACCGTGATATTCCAGGTACAAATCTTATTTGCGCTATAGTTGCTGGGAAAATTGGGGCTGGAAATGTGGCCACTTGAAGCATTGATGGATTCTCCAGGAGGGGTGCAGGCTGAAAAAGAAAGTATCTTTCAGTAACTCTTTTGGTTTCTTGTTACATAAAAAGAGTTCACTAATGTAGAATTGAAAGTTAGTTTAACACTAGCATAATTGTTACCATTACCTTAGTAAAAATGAGATATGCTGTCGACTTAAACGCAAAACAAAGCTGTAAATTGAAATGCAGACATTTATGACGAATGTTAATACTTACGACCACTTGTCACTCGAGTCAAGGAGGCAGCTGCAGCAAATACAAAGAAAGAACATGTGAAAATGTTTTTGACTAAGACAGGAAGGTTTTTTTTTCTGTATATGACAAGCGAGAGATTATGAAGTATAACAGTTCATTAAATAAAAACCAATGACATATCAAGTGAGCTTTCACGCGAAAAAATGTTATCTTTACACGTGAAAACTTTTCATCTGAGATGACTGTAACAAAATTTTATTTTTAGAAAAAACATCAAAGTTAAATGATTTGATATTTCATTTGTGTTTATGTAATAAATATGTAAACACTCAAAGAAAAATTTCGTATCTCCGTGCGGTCACGTAATATCCTCTACTTATTATCGCTTGGTAGCAAGTCAACCTCGGAAAAATGAAGTGCTTTAAAAGGAAGCAATATTGACGAACTATTGTTCACTTGGTGTAATGTGAGAGCTTTACAGCGATCTAGTTTCGAAAACAATAGGGAGCTTAAGCAAACCACGACGACGACGGCAACGAGAACGTCATCAAACAAAAGGTTTAATGAGCAGAACAATGGCTATGCACGTGCGTTATAAATCTTTGTACATTTCTTTGCCGTCCTCTGCAAAACAACAACGTGAAATGACCAAATTCTGCGTCCTGTACGGAACGTGGACGACGACGGCTAATATTTCGTATTTCCATTTGGAATTACACGCCGCTGTTGCACATTTAGCTCGAACACGTTTTTAGAGCCATTAACGAACCGAACAGATCTAAAGAACTGCGAATTTCGCTCATAAAATACAAATTTATTTTTTACTTGGCGTCGTACCCGGCGTCGTTGTCGTGGTTGCTTAAGCTCCCTAATAATTGCGTGACTATGCGGCGAGGCTTCCGCTGTACTCAAAGCTAGTACATTTAAAAAACATCAGTCTCATTTTGAATTGTTTCGATAAAGAAGAAAACAAAATGAAAGAAAGAGACTACGTCCATGTGAAGAGATCATGATGTAGTCGCGAAAGAGCGAGAACGGGAAAAATCGACTTAGGCGACATTAAAAAGCAAACTTCCTCATAATAGAATGGCAGGTGTCTGTCTGTTCGGTGATAAAAGGCAAGAGGTAGAAACTAGGTTATGTATTTGATAGCTGGATGCAGGGAAGAATATTTAAGTTGACCAGTCTGTAAAAAAACCGCGGACAAACCACAAGAAGCTAAACAATCAGTACCACGTCTACAGACGCGATCTTCATCCTTCACATATGCAGCATAACGAACTGAAGATCACAGATCTAGCTCTGTGTGATTTGTACGCTCACCTGCTAAACTGAAAGCTAGCATCCAAGACAAAGCCATAGTTTCAGGCAACTCACTTCCACTTCACCAGTGTTTGCTGTTTGGGTTCGTAGCGAAGTACGAAGTCAAAACGCTAAATACGTCATACGCAAACGGGACTCTTCTTGTCACCGTGGAATCACAATTCCTTTGATATAAAGCGTAATGCGTCTTTGTTGTCTTCTGCTTCCTCGATCTACAACGGAATATTCAATCAGATGCACATCGTTTTAAAGAAAGGAATTGACTTGATTGTTAAGACTATAGATACAAAGATATTTCCGTGATGGTTACTACGTCGGCTCATACGTAACACAAATTTCTGCTTGGAGTTTTGCCAAACAGTTTCACAGTCTGTTTATTCAACCCTCTAGGCATGTCATAATGCATCACTCGAACAATTTACGGTATAAAGGGACTTAAGTTCCTGTTTTCGCTGCTATTCCTCTCGGCCCTTACAAAAACAACTTTGATGTCATTGAATTAAAGCTTTTTCCCTTCAGTGAGAGATTGGGAAGGATTTAATCCTCACTAAATACACTACTTGTCCGCGATTTTCGCCGAAAGCTTGTTTGATTGCGCCTTAGGCTTGTTTGTATGTTCTTACATGCCAAAGAAAGCTTTCTGGTTTAGGACCGTGCCAAGATTTTCTAACATTGAGCTTTTCACGGCTGTAAGTGCAGCCACTTTGTGGCTTTATATACCGCTTACCTTTACTGGGTCAGGCTCCGAGTTAGACTTTCAACTTCTAGGTAGAGAAGGTGATAGTGGACGTCATGTTTGGACGAGTTCCCTGGTAACTACTTTCATGTTAACATGGCGGCGAAACAGCGCGTGATGATCACTGGAGCTTCTGGTCTCCTTGGTCGGGCGATCATGAAGGAATTCCTTAACTCTGACAAATGGGAAGTGTTAGGACTAGCTCATTCTCGAGCTAAGAACGTTCTGAAAAAGGTTGATCTCCTTGATTTTGACGAAAGTAAACGAGTCGTAAAGGAGTTCAAACCTCATGTTTTGATTCACTCTGCGGCCGAAAGAAGACCAGACATTGTAGAGAATGACGAGAGAATGTGCACAAAAATGAATGTCGGTGTAACCAAAGCACTGGTAGAAACCATCAATGAGCTCAACAGTGACAGGGAGACTCCAGACCACTTCATGCTTTATATAAGTACAGATTATGTGTTCGATGGAACAAGTCCTCCGTACAAACCGCTGGACGAACCTAACCCGTTGAACAAGTATGGTAAAAGCAAGCTGGAGGGAGAACAGATTATGCATCACAGTGAAGGAGCGATTCTTCGGGTTCCCATCTTGTACGGGGATGTGGAATATCTTAAGGAAAGCGCTGTAACGGGTGTGTATACAGTATTATATTAGGATTGTATTGCATAATTGTTTGGGCTAAACTGCAAAATACGCTCCCACGTGCCGTGCCATCTGATTTCACCCCAGTGAATAAGAGGATTGTCCATTATTCTTTACCTCATTCTTCTAAGCTCAGCAACAATGTGGAGGAGTATCATGTAGTTTCCCCATAATTTCCCCTAGGGACAGGCTGTGGAACAACAGCCCTCTCTCACGACCCATGTAAGTTCTATTGAACTTGCATCAAATCATATGGAGTGCACAGGGAATTAAGGTGACTCTGTATTGATCAGGTAACCAGGCTGGCTCAGATAGTGGGATAAATGGTGTCTTCTGTGCATTGGGTTAATTTCAAAATTAACTGTTGTGAAATGACAGAGTTGAGTTCAGTTACTTACAAGGTATCAGTTACATACTAGGGTAGAATCTCTGAGTCTCTTGTTTTATGATTTGTTGAGGAGCCAGCTTAACCCAGTATATTACAGTAATTTCTGTCAATTTCCCCACATGGCAGATTACCCACATTGGTCAATTTTTGCAATAACTAGAAAAAAATTTCAACAGATTACCCGCACTGGCAGATAACCTGCACCCAAAAAAAAAAGAAAATTATCGACTTGCACAAAGTTCCTTTATTGTTTTTGTTGACGTGATATCCCTTAGCGTTCAAAAAATAAATTTTCACACTTTTTATCTTCGCTATTTCACTGAGAATGATGCCACTTGTAAAAATCTGTTCTAAAAAAAATCAATATCTCAAGATCTATGAGTTGAAGAAATCACTTGAAATGGGAAATTACTCTTTAACTCAAGGCAATGCTAGCCAAGAAAATTTCACTGATGTGTTGAAAATTCTGTTGCGTCATTAATTATGCTGTGCCATGAAATGAACATGTCAGCTTTTTCACAATTAAATTCTTTTATTTTCAAGTTCACTTCCCAAGTAAGTGACATTTGTTTTTTGAAATTAAAAAAGAAACAATCTGTGAAATTGACAAGGTAGGAAAGTAAGAGTATAAACAAGATAAAAGTTTTGTTGTCAAGTTTTGTATGTTTTTCATTTGCATAGGCTTTCATCGAGAGCATTGAAATCTATGGTTATAACAAGCAATCTGTGCAAAATAAATGAGTTATTACAGTTTTTGAAGAGTATATCCAGTGGATCTGATCATCTTTGGTTTTTCCCTGGTTATAGTTTTAAAACTATACCAGAAGCTTTAAAAATTACCATACTACCAGCACCTTCCTATAACCTGCATTAACAACTGTTTGTGGAAAAATTAACAGATTACCTGCGGGTAATCGGTGGGAAATTACTGTACATGCAGCCCTTGATTTTAGAAAATAATCTAAATTCTGTCTGGAAAAGATGTGCTCTTCAAATATCAACAATACATAGCTCTCTTACATCAGGACAAGGCCATGAAACCCTTAACCCTTTAACTCGCAAGATCTGATTGTTAATTCTCCCCTGTAGCTGCAACACATTTCCTTGTAAATTAGTTATGAGAACTTGGTGCTAGATCAAGATAGCAGCTTCTACCTGATAAGTTTGAATATTCTTGTCTCCTGTTAGCTGAAGAATGTATGGATTTTGTAGGGAGAAGTTTTATGTTAGTCACTTCTGGAAGTTGAAGGGTTAACACATACATCCACCAAATACAAACTTTAAACACCCAAGTTTTATCATGATTGCCAGGCTGCCAGGCTGAAGTGTTAACTTGTGCAAATTTCTCACCTGGTTCACTGTTATAATCTTGTCTTCAAAATTGAGATTTTAGTAACCAGGTTTTGTCCCCTACCTAAATTAACACATGAAAATTATTTCTGAGAGAAAAGGTGCACAAATACCTTTCATGACCAAAAAATCAGCCCAAAAAATCACCCTGGACTTATACTTGAGTCATACACAAAGACCTGACCTAAGCAATCCAAGAAATTAGCATAGCAATTGCCTGAAGTCTGTTAGGAAAACCGAGTTTACAAAACCAGTTATAATAGTGTTTGAATTTCATCAGTTTTCAGCGCATTCTTCATCAATGAAAAAGTTTGAAATAATAAATTCTAAGTGGCTTAAACACAAACATATTGGAGTTGATTCCTATTGTGTCTTCTGATCTGTAGAGTAGACATTTTTTCTTACAGCTTCACTGCTGTTTATGGTGCTGAACTTTTGTGTTCATCAAATGAATACAGTAGCTCAGTGACCTGGCAAATGCTGTTGTCTTGCACAGTCTTGTTTGTTATGCATAATCCTTCAAAGCTCTTTGGTGTTCCTTCATTCTACTAAATCTCCTCGCAAACTTAACATTAAAATAAAGGTTAGTTTTATGTAAGAAGATTTCATTTTCAATGTGATTTACAAAATATGGTGAAATACTTCTCAAGTGAATGGTAGTGCCCATGTATGCTTAAATCGTGGTGATATAATTGAGGTGCTAATAAACTTCACAGCACATGATTACATTTTTCTTTGCAAATTTTTTTTAACCCTTTAACTCCCATGAGTGACCAAGACAGAATTTCTCCTTACAATATCAATACAATATCAACCAGATAAGTGATGAGAATTAAGAAAAATATAAATTTGGGAATGATTAGTTGATCCAATACTAAACTCTCTGAACTTATATTATAAGAATTGTATGGTTGACAGTAAGGAGAATTACAAATTTGATCTGGGAGTTAAAGGGTTAATTCGCACTGTTTTCAATACATTCTCAGAAATAAGAGATTAACATTTTGAGAAATTTCTATTGGTCTGAATTTTACTTCTTTAACTAGAAATGATGAAAAATCTGATTTTTGACCTTGTAAATGGGGGGGTGACTATTACACAAGTTCAACTTATACACTAGTGAATACAGTAGTTGAGATCTAACAGTCTTAGAATCTCAGTTGGCTTGTTCACAAGGTTCATGAAGAGCCTTTTAGGCATGTAAAGTTCTGAAGGGGTTCTGCAAGCCAGAAAATTGTACTCTTATGTAAAGATTGGTATAATTTAGAATTTGGTCAGACCATTTTAAAGTGGACATGACCACTTCAGCAGAATATTGAAACTCAATTTACTTTGACTTTAAGGTGATTTGTGATGCTGTTATGCTGTGAGTGTATCAGCCTTGCAGCTTAGTTACTCAGATTGTCCTGTGCCATAGTGTGCAATATGTTTATACCTTCCGTTATATCTTGGCACGATGGGCAGTCAGAGCTTTTATATTCTAATCTCAAGGTGCTGGCATTTTGACAGAGTGAACAGGCATTCTTATATTTCTCTTTCACAGAACTGTTTTTGATACTACAGAACTCCTGGTTTAAAAAAAAAAATATATATATATATATTTGTTTCATGGTCTTGAATTGCTTGTGTTTTTCTTTGTGTTGTGCTTTGCCAAAAGTTGTGCTTTGCTGAGATGTGTTTCCTTCCCTTTATCTAATTCATGTACTTATGAATTTGTCAAACATATATCTAATTTAGTAAATTTCACTTAATTGCTTTCATTACCTGGAGGAGATTAAACTATTTATTTATCACAATTGCAGTGTTATTTGATGCGGTCAAACAGACGGATAAACCTGCCGTAATAGACGATTATCAAATCCGTTATCCAACCCTGGTGGACGATGTTGCTGCTGTGTGCAAATTTATCGCAGAAAAGCACGTCAATGATCATACAATGACTGGAATTTGGCATTGGAGTGGCATTGAAGCCATGTCAAAATATTCCATGGCTTGTCAAATGGCTGAAAGTTTTAATTTACCTATCAGTCACTTGACACCAAATCCCAACCCTCCCACAGGGACACCAAGGCCTCATAATACAGCCCTTGAGTGTTCGAAACTGGAGGCTTTGATGCAAGATAGTGGAACGAGCATGCGCACTCCGTTTAAGCAAGGAATGACACGATGTTTGCAACCATTTGTGTAACCCTTGAAAGCTGGGGGCAATTTTGAAAGGGAAAAAAGATATATGTAATATGAAGAGAGTACAACGGTGATAATAAACCTTACTAAAGCAAAGAGACAAATAAATGGACGAGAATTTCGAGATGCTTGCAAAGTAGCTAATTCTGTTTCCTTTTGGGAAAGCAGGAGGGTCATGAGTTACGCGGGGGTCACGCAGTACAACGCGCGCGAAAGTCGCCTTTCTCGTGGCGACGTGATGTAATTGAAACGATACTTGGGATATTAACTTGACACTCAAAGTGACAATAGTTATAATATCCAAGTTATTTCACTATGATTTCATTAAATAATCGCGCCAAGTGTCATACCCAAACGAATGATCCTCGTTAGCATGCGCTGTTGTACTAAGCGCAAGTGTTTTTTTTTAAATCGGCAGCTGGTTTTACAAAGGTTATAGCGCCCCGCTGTCTGTGATATTTCTCACGCAAATAAAAGCAGTCAAATTCAAAAGCATTTACATTAATTAATGTGTATGACTCAGGACTAAGAGCCATACCCACCCACTCACTTCAACCAAACTCCATGTATATTAATATAAACAAGCAATACATCGAACACTGAGCGATTGAAAATATTGACCTTTGTGACGACAATGGGCTAGAGCATAATTTAACATTTTTGTTTGAACTGACTATTTTGAATGATATCTTCGGACTCTCGAGCTCAGGAATAAAATTCCACGGCAGTAGCCGGCGGGAAAGCTTGCTTTGGAGTGTGTGGGCGGCGGGTAATGACTCCTAATGGTTCTGATTTGACATCGACTTCCCGTGTAAGTTGACTCAAGGTTCAGTGCTGAATCATCAGGATGACAATATGAGCATTTTGTTCCTTAAAATAACTCGTTATCGGAAACAAGCTTCGAAGTATGTGTTCCATATAGAAAAGTTATAAATAGTTACTGGAATTTTTTTTCGGGTCCAGACTGTGCAGAACTGAAAAAGGATTTTGAACTCTTAAACCAAAACCTCCTGATTATTAGACATTCTACGTTTGCGTTGTTACAATTCCTGGGTACAGTTGTCAGCCTTGTACAACTAATTAATTCACGCTAAAAGTCGTGCAAATACAAAGGTGGACTAAGTTATCTATACTTCTTCAGACAGATCCTGCCCTAGCAAAATATCGGAGAGTATTTCCTACCGGGTATGACTCGGGTAAGGCTCCACACGATTCTCTAACAATCGAAATTCTGCTTTCTACTTGTTGATCTTGCTAGGAATGCCTCATTTGACAAGAATACGAGAAACAAAGGATCTTCCATGAGCACATAATCGTTTGAATTGTTCAACAAAGGGGTCTTGAGGTCCCCTGGGGTTCGTGTGGCCGTGCTTTGCACCGCAAGGGATATTGACCGGTAATATTAATTTAGTCTTGTGTGGTCTATGTTTTTGCTTTCGCAGTTGACAAAAATTTCTCGCTCATTGCGTTGGCCAACTGAAGTCGGACACCAAAGCATTACTGAATAGTCGTGAACGAGTGGTCTGTTCGCTAATGGCTTCGTTTTGGCTCGTCGTTGCGATTGGAGGTAGGTTCGTGATTCAGATAAAGGAAAAGAACTTGAATTTTATGTCGCTGTTGCACGCAACTTTTAGTTAGGTATAGGCCGATCGTAATTTAAACTTCCTGGAGTTTTAAGTTGTCTTCGATTTCCCGGGTGACAACTCTTACTTCATTTGCTTTTTTAAATTTCTGTTCGATTCTTCGGTGCCGGATATGTATCTTTATCATTATACTTATAATTTCTGCTTCGCAAAATTGGAGCTCTATGTAAAAACAAAAAGCGTACAAGCCCCGCGTTAAAAATATTACGAGATTAAAAATATTACGAGATTGTTGCTACAATTGTTGGCGGCCCGGTTTTGCTCAATTTGTTTACAGTTAAGAGGGATTGCTTGAGGTGTAAAGCATATCGAAAACGCTCGATATTCTGATATCGTCATATTTTGACTTTCGTGTCAATAGAATACAACAGCGATGTTTACGAAGTTCAGCTTTCACCAAATTTACCTGCTTTTCTGATGCGTAATGTTACCGGCGCCGGAGGTATAGTCTAGATAGACATGCACCATCGCTCTGAGCTTCTTTAGAAGAAGGCAACTTTGATATGTACGTTTCGAAAGTTTACTTCAACGACCATTGTATCGATAGATGTTACACTCCAACTATGAAATTTATACCTCCTGAGTTAAATCTTTGCCGGGGAACAAAGAAAATTGAAATTAATTATAATTCGTAGTACAGGTGGTTATTTTTTCAAGTCTCAACCGAATCTACTTGAAAAAAATTTCGCCATTTTTAGTCTTTGGCTATGTGCGTCAATCTCAAAAGGAATGTAATGAATGTTGTTCTCACTATTCAAATTCAACAATGAATTCTAGATAATGACGATTTATAAATCGACATCCCAACCGCAACCGAGGAAAACACTTAATCTTCGTCCTTTGTGGTTCAAACCAGACAAAAGCATGTTTTTCTAATGAAGCTTTGTTTACTGTAAGAATGTATGATGCTTCTTCCTCAACAATAAAGGAGCTAATACCCCAAAGTCCGTGATAAATTCTTTAAAAACAAGCTTTCCTCAGGTATGACAGGACAAACTTCCTTACTTCATGTGGTCCTGATAAAACTTCACGGAATTCGGTTTCCATCTCTTTTTTCGATTTTTCGGTTTGCTCTTGTTGGTGTATTAGTTAACTAAGCAGAAAAACCGATTTAATTTTTGCATTACGTTCGCACTACGCCACTACTTAATTTTTCCTTGCTTGAACTGTTTTCAAAGGTGGGCCATGGCTCCATCGTTAGTCGTGAATCACTAGTTGCCTGTAGCCCGCCGAAATAGTAACTTCTTTAATGAGCTAGAGGGGTAGAGGTGAGGGGAACTCTCCCTCCCCTCCCCCCTTTCAGTGTGTAATTACTCACTTCTCGTTTCTTTCATTGAAACACTCGTAGCAAAACAATAATTTTAAGAAAAGCTATGGTGTTAGGCATACCTCTGTTCATTAAACAACAGTGCAGCTATCGGCTCAGACACTGGAAAGATAAAAGACGTCACAATGACGTAATGGTTCCTGATAGGTTTCACTCAGTGTTCTGGCTCAGCATGGTAACACATTTCCGCTGTTAAACGTAAAATACACGCATCTTCCGCTCTCTGTTGATTTCGACCTCGACGATTCCTCAATGAAAAGGGGGTGAGCACCGTTAAAAAAGATAGTAAGCAGTTTGAATACAAACATGATCACAGCCTGGATTGTGGTCAGTTTTTCTGGTGAGTTCGTTTAAGGTATGATTTATACAGTCTCTTGTCAGTCAACTCATCATATTTGCTTCAAAGACATTTGAAGGATATATCTCTATGGTCATTTTTATGGGCTAATACTCTTGGATCACGTTCTGTTCTTGATTTTATCTTGTCTTAGGAATCAAGTTCAATGGTACATTTTGAATATCAGTGTTTCACTTTGAGATTTGGTTCGATGATTTCTTGCATCTTGTTATCCCGGCTTCCATTGCTTTCTTCTGCCTAAAGGCCAGCTTAGGGTTAGCGGTTCCGTCATGATTTTTTTTCATAAAAACAAATTAGGCTGTTTTGAATACTTATAGTAGATTTTGTCTTAACTCAACGACTTAAATTTCCCATATTCAGAAGTCTCTTAACTAAATTGTAGAACAGGCGGAATAACACGCATTGATGCCTGTCGAGTATATTCAATTTTTCGGAACATGTTCGAACACGAACAAAATACTTTGCATTTCTTAGCTTCATAAGTTTCAAAGGTTGCTAAGTGTATTTTAGTTTCACCCGCGAATGTAGAATTGACACTCATGCTTAAATATGTGAATACGTTAGGACAGAAGGCATTAACTCGATGCGTAGGGAAAGGTCGATATTCACAGTCGATTATAAAGTACGTGAACATTGCCACACAATACAAGTCAATATTATTGTCCAAATGTACCTTTACTGAGATTAGCGATTTAAAAATCAACTTTCGCTCATAAGTGAATTTTTATGTATTTTTTTTTTCATAGACATGGTGGCCATATCATGATTAATGGCTGTTGTCAATACTGGTATTAGTAAAATTCTAGATTAATACTAAACAACTCGACGTTACGTTTGGTTCTTGATATGATTTCGGTCGCTATTTTTATATTTTCTTAACGTATTATTAATGACGTGGAAATGTAGCGGTATAGTTTGGATTCTCTGTTTTGTATTCCTTTTTTATATTTTCTAACGATCGTAGTCAGACTTCAATTTCACCGCTCACAACGATAGCTCATTCGAAAGAGAGAGGGCCCCGGCGGAGGGTTGTTCAGGGCACAGAAATTTTTTTGAGCATTCCTATAATGTAAGAAACTATCCCAAAGAACAGCAGTGCTTAGGAAGATGAGAAGATTCCTCCCCGTTGCCTCTAACGCAATGATAAAACAGCTAATGTTATGTGGATCAACTGTTTGGTCGAACTGTTCAAGTGATAACATAACGAGAGTCTTCAAGCTTCAAAAACGCGCTGCCCGAGTTATCTTGGAAGCTGATACAAGGTCGAACAGCGTGAAACTCTAAGAAATTAGCGTGGGTCCCTTTCTATGACGAATTTAAGTTAAATAAGAGTACTTTAGTCTTTAAGAATTTACAAGGAAGCCGTCCTGCTTATATGTACGATCTACTCAAATTTAATGCAGACCTACACACACGAGCTGGTCGTTATACTAAATTAAATCTCGCCTGCCCTCGTTTCAATCGCGAAACCGAGGGAGGGAAGACCTTTAGCGTATCTGCGACAAGGCTGTGGAACCAACTACCCATTAACCTAAAAAAAAAGGCGACAACAGTTGCTTCTTGCATTCTTATAGACATGTTGACCAGTTTCATAATCCTCGAATACATTTTAATTCCAATTACGGTACTTTTAGGATCGTGGGCCACTAGTTAATCAGTTGAATTACTGTTGTGTGTTACCCTCCTTAAACAAAGTTGTTATTTATTTCTTTGTTTATAATATTTGGGGAACATTCAATAAAAAATTCAGGCAGTCAAAATAATTAAAGCTTGTGAAATTTTGGTGTTGCTTGTGTCTTACAAGATGCCATACCACACAGCTGCAGGCGGCTCAGTCGGTTAAAATCTGCGAGAAAGGCCCATCTACTTTACAGGTTAAGATCTTGACAATTTCTCGAAAGTCGAAAGGATCTACCTTCACTTCACATTAAACTCCAGCTGTCTCGCCCTCTTCAGAGGGGTCTAAAAGGAATCAGGATTACAATCTTGAATGGCTTTCATTTAAAACAGGGAAAAACTTCGTCAGTAAAATTATGTGAAGGGTGTTTTGCCCACAGCATCCATATGAGAACACGACTTAGCTAAAAAAATCTTGCAGTGACCATTATTTCTGATGAGCTAGCCTTAAAATACTGTAAGTAAAAACTCAGAGCTCAAAATTAGGCCGGAAATTCCCTGTGATCTCACGTGGAAACCATCGCAGTTCTAACAAAACTCGACGGGACTTTCTTTTCTCTTTGAGCTTTGTCCACTTTTCCTTTTAGCTCAAATGACCTCGAACATGTCAGCATTTAGAATGAACTGTTCCTACTCCTCAAGTTAAGTTATGTTTTCACATGTTCTTTCTTTGTATTTGTTGCAGTTGCCTCCCTGACTCTGGCGACAAGTGATCGTAAGTATAAATATTCGTCTTACATGTCTGCATTCTAATCCACAGTTTTGGTCTGTGTTTAAATCAACTGGAATTCTCATTCTTAGAAAAGATATGGTAACAAAAGTGCTAGTTTGAAACACATTTTAAATTTTTTATTTTGCTGGAATTCTTTCGTCTGCAGTAAGAAACCAAGAGAGTAACTGAGAGATACTTTCTTTTTCAGCCTGCATCCCTCCTGGAGAATCCATTGATGCCTCAAGTGGTAACATTTCCAGCCCCAATTTTCCCAACAACTATGACGCAAAAAATATTTGTACCTGGAATATCACGGTACCCGGTGGGAAAATTATCAAACTGACCTTCTTGAACTTTACCCTGGTAGCAGGTGAAAACGATGACTGTGCTGGAGCGGCAGATAGTAGTGCCCGGGTCTTTATCACAAACGTTGCCTCTCACGGAGGAAAACCTAACGACTTTAAGATCTGTGGTCAAAAGCTTCCCCCTCCTGTTTACTCCGAGGGAAATTTCATTCAAGTGAGATTTGAATCTCGCACCGGCCCTGTAAACGAAGGGTTCAATGCAACCTTTGAGGCGATAGATGGAGATTCACGTAAGTCCTTGTGCCAGTTTATCAGGAAACATGATACCCTTAAAGATATAAGCGGGAATTTGATTTGGGCTTACCCAGCAAATAATACAATACAAACGATCAATGAACAGCTAGAGTCTATAGAAGAATGTAGTCAAATCCTCAAATCCCTACTCTCTATACAATCCATTATTCCATTTGAAATACAAGCTCGTTAACATCTATACAGCGAATACACTATATATAGAAGGAAGTGAAAAGTATTCAGTGGACCACAGTTGACTTTAAACCTTGTGGAACAAAAAGGATTAAAACAGGAAGGGGCTTCACGCGCTGATTTTCGATCGCAGTTAAGAAAATGACGTGTCTTTATTACTATAAGTAAGATGAATTTACCTGAACCTGACACACTTTTGGTTACTCTTTTTAGTGTGTCCAACAGATATGATCCTCAATGAAACATCGGGTTCTTTGTCCTCTCCCTTTAATCCAAGAAACTATCCATTCAACCAGACATGTAGCTGGAATATTACAGGGAAACAAGGATACCGTGTTGAGCTCACAATACCAGACTATAATCTTGAACGTTGTGGTGGCGCTGCTTGCTCGTGTGATTATATGGAAGTTCAGAATAGCTTCAGTGATCAAGCGCTGCCTGGAAAACTATGTGGTACACCACGGTTTCCTCCTGTAAAGTTTTATTCACTGCACGAAAGCTTGAGGGTGGTGTTTGTGTCCGATGATACAAAGATGGATTATGACGGATTTGGGGCAACTTACAAGCTGTTGAACCACAGTCCTCCAAGTAAGTAGAGAAAACAACGTCGTGAGATCTAAGAGTTCGCTGAGAGAAGATGTTTCACGCAATAAACTCACCCTACAAGTGATGATAAGGCGTTTAGTTTAAGTGCCCATGGCACTGGTGAACAGCTGTATCTAAAATTGGAAATAATCGACCATAGCACCTAGCGAGTTCTCCTTGACCTTTTTCTTGTGCATTGAAAGTACGATTCGGCGGCCAAAATGTTTCCCCGTTAAGCGCGCGGCCAAAACGATCATGTTACATAGCTGTGACGTAGAATACTGTGAAGACACGTCGGCAATTATCGTGAAGAAAGGAGAAATATAGAAGAGAGGATGGACGTATTGCAAGGCCGGAGCGCCAAAAGATGTTAGCTACAGGAATAATACACACAAACTAGGTTTTTCTATACACTACTTTCGAAAGGATTTAGCTGTACGGCCAAAATGGACGCGTTTCGATCGTCGACATCGAGGAGATTTTACTCTTCAATGTCATCGGCCTTATGCTCTATACCGGCTTAGAAGACGCTTGTTACGAACACATACCACTAGCCAGATCAGGTTAAGATAACCAATGAATTCTGCTGAAAAGAATGCCGATTAAGGGGTCTGTTCCCATACCGTAAACGATTGTCCAACATTCTTTATTTTATTACTAATTTTCGGCTGACGTTTCGCAAGCGAAGAATGGTGAGCTCCTCATTGTTGTTTATTTCACGCGCTTGAGATGTACTCCTTGTATTTCCACATGACTACATTTCTGCTTTTCTTTTCCTATAAAAATCCTACCGATTGTAATTTACATCGTATTTTGATAACAGATTTACATCATTTGTAATGAAGTTCAAGCCCTTTCCTGAGCTGACCGATATCCTGTTGCGTGAACAGTGTGAAACCTCTGGCGGATACCGGTATAAACACATGCAAGCTCGAAGGGGCCGTGTATTCTCCTAAGCTAGGTTTCCGAAAATCCATCCCACGGTCTATCAATTCCCCCATGTCCTCAACAAACTAAAAGTAGTAACAGTAGCAATGTTATTGTGATAGCAGCATTGCAGCGAGATAAATGAGGAACCACAAATTTCATTGAATTAGATGGTAGCGAATCCAAATGCCGTGCCGGAAAGTCGATGCGTACGAAATATTCATTAATAATATTGATGTCAGTGATTTCCTTTCAGCGGAATGGGTCATATGACAATGCTGCACATAAACTAAAGATGTTTTTCTTTATTAAAATCCCTATTTGAGATTAACTTGAATCAAATGGTAATAAACTCATTCGTTTTCCGTTCGGTTTGACCGGCTCGACGATCGCGATGATAACCTTTGCCTTTGCAATCTCCGGGAAAGGAGCAACTTACGGTGAAACATCCCGGTGACTTCTCGGTGGAAAAATCATCGTGCCTCGTGATACAGCTGATTCTTTCGTCAAAAGTTAGCTTTTGGTTTACCAAGGGTATTGCTCTACCGCAACGAAATTCTAGAGCAGTGGCCAAGGGGAACCTTCGCCGTACATAGTGCGAGGGAATAAAATGTTATGGCAACAGAAACGAACACAGCTACCCATTCTTAACATAGATTTTGCCATAGAAAACAAAACACAAACGCAGCAAACTTTAAACATTCAGTAAGGGGAATTTTTTGTTTTAATCTTCACCTAAGCACCGCAGGCGAGAAACCGTCTTTGTCAGTCTTCGTCGAAATCTTCGTTTGATGCACGCGGTTCTCCTTCATAGGGCTGAACCGTACTCTACTACTTGTGTATGATGTATCACAACTCTCGGTAGAGCTTGCTGAAGATAGGTTTACATCGCTATCGGACATAATTTCCAGAGTATTTCAACGCTGACTGATACAAAATTATTAGCGATGTGAGAGATTTGCAGGTTTCAACTGAGAGTTTTCGCAGTTTTCTACGTCATCACCTACTAATTCGTTACCAGTCCACGGGACACTATTAAGATTAAATACGAGCACTTGAGGGCCCGAAAAGTCCGAGTTTTAAGTTTTTTGAAATTTTTCCATTTTATGAGCTAAATATTTAAGCTAAGAAGGATTCATACTGGGTATAGATCTATCAAGGTTGGGACTAATGTTTGTAAAGCAGCGAAACCCTCAAGTAGCAAATTTGAGGGTGTTGTTTGTGTCCGATGATGCAAGAATGGACTAAGACGGATCTGGGGCAACTTACAAGCTGTTGAAGTACAGTCCTCCAAGTAATTAGAAAAAACAACTTCGTGATATCCAAGAGGTCGCTGAGAGAATGTTTCCTGTAAATTCACCCTTACAAGTAATGATAAGGCGCTTAGTTAGTACATGACTATTCAGGCCTGTTCCAAGCGTTCTAGTTAGTAAAACATAGCAAAATAGCCAGGGCAGCATAGTAGCGGCGTAATGAAGAAGAGAGTGAGGTTTGGGTCTGGTAGGAAAAAGAAGAAGCTGGTTACACAACATGACCCACCCCTCCCTCGTTTTTTCGCTCCTCTGCTACTCTCTCGCTGTTCAATATGGCACTGTATTTTAGCAACTAAACGCCCGGAACAGGCTATGCTTATTCTCCTACACTCACATGCTCCTTTTCGTTGTTTACAGTTTGTCCCAAGGAAGCAATTCCTCTCTCAGGAAGCGGCAAAATAAGCAGCACAAACTACCCAGAGAGTAACTACAATGCGTCCAGAGATTGTACCTGGAACATTACCGCGCCAGCTGACAAAATTGTAAACTTTACGTTTACTGACTTTGTCTTAAGTGAGTGTTCAACCAATTGTTCGGATTCAAGTTGTTCTTATGTGGAGCTTTATGATGGTGGGTCAACAAGTTCGCCTTCGCTAGGGCGATTTTGCCAGGGGTCGTCTTGGAATAAGACTCACTTCTCGACTGGAAACCAATTGTTTGTGATGTTCCATCCGGGACAAACAGTTGCTCGTGGATTTGAAGCAGAATATTCAGTATCTTCCCCCAAACCAACAACATCACCACCTACAACAGAAACGAAACTGACAAGTGAGACGGCAACGACCGGTGAATCAAGTACGACTGGTGGTAGGTACCTTGTAAATCATATTTAAAACTCCTGTTTCAATCATGAGAAAATTTTACACTAGCAATTGTTTCTCATAACTTTTCATGCCACCCACGCTAGAGTCATCTTCTGTGTTTTGTCTCTCAAATGATTAACATGTAGTAATCAAATGACTTGATCACTTTGATAGGTGCAGCGTCCAAGAAATCTTTATCGACCGGCGCTTATGTAGGTATTGGAATTGGTTCGGTAGCTGTTCTCGCAGTCGTTTTCATCGCAATTCGTGGTAAGTCCTATCGCTTCCCTCTTGGAGGGAACATGGGTGCGGTGCCATATTTACTTTTCAATTTGTCTAGCGCTGGTGAGGAGGCCTTCACTTTAAGACTTCTGATCAGGAACATGAATGACAGGGCCATCTACTCCCTTTCTTTTTTTTGCAATGAGATCAAAGTGTTTAGAGGAAAAAAGTGGCGGGGTTAAAAGGAAATCTCAGCTTTTTCATCGACATCAAAACTCTCTTTTATCTGGTTGACTCGTCTGTCCGCAATAAAAGCTTTGCGAGACCTTTGTGTCCATACTACGCTTTTATCGCCCTTCAGGAGAGAGTCTTAGGATGTACTTATCAAACAAGCGGCCAAAAGCTTTATTCCATATTGTTGTAACCTTTTATCATCTTATATATGTGTCCTTCTAATCAGGGTGACTAGCCTGCGATATAATTCCGGAAGTAAATACTAGTATGTCGTGCTTACTCAAAGATGCGCGCCCCCGCAAACGCGCTTCCTTCGAATTAGGAAGGTGCGAACAAAGGGGAGATTGAGCAGGGAGTGGCGTAATTTACGTTGTCACTTTGGTGAGCACTACGGCCATCACCAGTACCGATTGCATTATAAACAGATTTATTCGTTTTATCCTATTGATATTTTTGTTTCTGACAGCTTTAAGACGACAGAATGGCGCGCATGACGTGAACACAGACGGTGAACCGGGTAGTAAGTATCAAGGCGACTACAATCTTAATGCTGGCCAGAACTCTGTATACCATGCACCAAATACCGGGAAGCACTCCTACGAGTTGGGATCTTTCCCTAACGGAGGATATGCTGGTTAAGCGGTTGAGAGTGTAGAATATGTATCAATTAAAAAAAAACCATATTGTTATTATCCGTATGGCAAATAATGTTATGGTAAAATATTTTTAAAAAAATAAATAAATAAATTTAAAAAAGCTGGTAATATGACGATCCTAGTGCCAGTATTTCGTGTAATTATTATTGTTAGTATTGTAGGCAGTGTAAGCATTGTTAGTCGAGCAAGTTTCTGTGAGTTGCAACGCGAGTTTTTTGAGTGATATCTGTATTGTATGTAATTGTAAGTGAAGTAAGCATTGTTAGTAGGGTAAGTACTGTAAACTATGTGAGTTTTTTAAGTAATGTTAATATTGTGTGTAATCGTTAGTAGTTTAAGTAGTACTGTAGTGTGTAGAGGAAGTATTGTAAGTAGTTTGAATTCTGTAAGTTGAAAATTATGGAAGAAAAAACAAAAGAGTGTAGAGGATTATGTTCACGAATAGCCTGTTCCAAGCCCTCAGTCAAAGGAGACGAGTGAAACAGTGAACGCACGACTTATGGAAGATTCTGTTGTAAGGACAAAGGCTGCCTAACTCCCCGACCCCCACCCCCCACCACGTTCTTATTATTCGTGCGTTAGTTATTTGGCTCAGACCATGAACTGAGAGATTGGTCACAAGCTGGATTATGAAGAAATAAGGAAGAAAGCACAGCTTAGGGATAGAATAGAAATATTTTTACTATCAGCTATCACAATCCATTAGCACAGATTACAAAGGGATACAGATTAGAGACTTTGATAATTTAAACTGTACGTAGTCTCTTGTTTTTCAATAATAATCAGGGAGTAAAACAAATTCAAAATCCATAACAGTATTAAAGGTTTGGAATTCGCTTTTTTTAGTAGAAACACAATGCGCTTTAATGTGTTTTGGGGACGAGATATTGTCCTCTCTTGAACTTTTTCAAAAAAAAAAGCAAACAAACAAACAAAAAAAAAAAAAACAACACAACAAAAAAACGGAGAAAAATAATAAAAATGAAAATGGAATACTGGGCTAATTGTCATTTGCGGCGATCCGAAAGGTTTCTTGAAAGTTGTTGCCTCTTTCATGATTAACATTCACGGAGTGACTTGGTGAGATATGTCTAATCGAAGAGCGAACAAGAAGACTTAAGTACAAACTGTAGCACGCTTTTTTGTCTATAATTAATATTTGCATTTTAGGTATAATTTTTTTTGTAACTAAACGTTCTCTCTGAATGTTATTAGCACCAAGATCATTATGGATCTGCGAATTGTTTCGAGTCAAAAGCCGCTTATATAATTATCTTCACTCGCTTGCTAATTTAATTAGTTTTAGCTTAATTTTTACGGTGAGCACTTTTGAAGAACGCTGTTATCGCACGCGATAAGTAGCAGATAGGCAACGCGCGTGCGGTTTTCTCGCACGCACGTGACTCTTAATGCTCTTTTGAGTGCGTGCACAGGCTCGCAGTTATGGAGTGACGTAAACCGACTTGTGTAAGTTCGTCTGATAATAAAAGCAATACCCGCATTTTATAAAATTATTGCGTTGCAGCTTTTACAAAAGATCTTGTTAACGTTTCCGGTAGAATTTGATTGAATCCGTGAGCGTCAAGTAAAACTATGTACGGGTTTATTGTGGGAATTCGATCAATACGTCTTGCTTCTGTGTGGAACCGAAACTATCAAGTGTCAAGAACAGCGATTTTAGGGTATGACTAAGTGAGGACTTTCGTCACCTAAAAAACTGGCGTTATTTTGGAATTTCTGTGGCACTATGCCGTTACTATTAAAATTTGTTTTTATTTTGACTGTTTCGCTTTGATTTTCGTCAACTATGACGGATTTCCTTTGTATTTTGATGTAAATCATAAATCTCCTGGTTTTCATTTCCTTTCTATCAAAATAGTAACATAATCATCGTGTTAAGAGACTTAGTGGGGAGGGGGAGGAGAGAAGGCAAGCAAGATTCCTCCCCTCCCCTCTAATTTCTCGCATCTTTTTTTCTTTCAATTCTTTCATTTAAACTCTCGCAGTAGAAATATCCAAAGGAAACCCCTTATGTCGAAAGGATCCCTCAAGTTGCGTCGACCTCTTAGTACATACCATCAAGTTACAGCGGAAGAACTGAAATTGTCACAGACTCGTCAATGACGTCAAGGTCACGCTAACTTTATTCGGTCTGTTGCCTCTGTGCTTGCTTCCATATTTCCGCAGTTAAATACGAAATAGAACTGACTTATGTTGCTCTGTTGATTTCGACCTCGTCGATTCCTCAGCGTGAAGAAGATCAAGCTTCGTTAAAATAGAACAAGAAGTTTGAATACCATCATGATTTCAGCCTGGATCTTGATTACATTTTGTGGTGAGTGAGAGTTCTTTCATGCGAATGATTAATGCGCAATTTTCACTTCACTGATCATACGTGCAACAAAGGAATCTAAAAGTTACATCTGCTTACTCTTACAGGCCAGAGGTTTGAATTATCATTCTGTTCTTGACTTTGCTCTGTCTACCGACTTTTAATGCGCATTTTCGAAATGCGAATTTAATGTCATGTAACTTGATCTTCTTCCGTGCATCGTTCTTTCTTCATTGCTGTCTTCTTCGCTCGGGTTCGCTCAGTGTTCGCGGTCCCACTTTTTTTATCGATTAAGTGGATACCTTTCAAAGGAGGTTCTTAATTCAACATGTTAGAGTTTTCAAGGAAGGGAGATAATTCTTGTAAAATCGTGCGAGACAAGTTAAATGCCAATTCATGTCCATTGAGGAATTCGAACCTGCATGGTAATTGATCGTTCGCTGACTAGGTTTAGACATGAACAAAGGTACTTTGCATTCTTAGGCTACTTTATTTCAAGGAAAATCAAATGGTTTTATATTGTCACATGCAAATGGAGATTGATTCTCACACTCAAATAGACAGAAAACGTGAACTCGATGAAAAAGATATTTCTGACACGAGAGGAAGTTAACATAAACAATTGATGATATAAGATAATGACAACGCCAGCGAGTATATATCAACATTTTAACCTGACTGCACATTCTTTGAAAAAAGCGATTCGCGTGTGAAGTTTTGCCACAGGTGAATTTTATGTCACAATTGTTTATTTGTACACCAGGAGCCATGAATATGAAAAATTTCTGATAATACTGGAGTCAGTAAAATTCGAAACCGAGACAATTTCACCTACGGTTCGTTCGCTCAACTCGGATTCTGGCAAGGTGTTATTTACGACATTGGAATTTTGTTTTACAATTAAGATTCGCTCTTTTACGTTTGTTTCTTGTATGATATCAACAATTATACCAAGATATTTTCAAACGGTTATACAAATACTTTTTTCCGCTCACATTAATAACTCCGAAAGTGACAAGTCTTTCTAGCGGAATACGAAGTTTTATATTTTAATATGGAGGATTTTTAAGGTACATAGTTCACGTTCGCGGGCGGATGACTCAGAAGAAGAGGTCTACAAGTTGCTGATGGATTTTAAAGCTTGGTCAATGAGTAGAAAGTTACGGTCGCTGATTTTGCCTTGTGTAAAAAAAATTGACCATCAAACCCAGCACTTTTTTTAGATCTTACGTATGCAGTAGGTAACAATAAGTTTATGTCAATGGTGTTCAGTCTGATTTTCATCCTGTCTTCTCCGGTGTACTTTAAGGTTCCATATTAGGAGCTCTACTATTTCTTATCTATATCAATGTTATCCCTAAGTCAACTACTTACTTTTTTAGTAGATTATATGCAGATGATACATCTCCAAGAGTCTCTGGAACCAACCTCGACATTCAATTAAATGACATGAATAACCAACTACATACTGTTTATTAATAGTTATGTAGTAACAAATTAACCTCAAATCTTTCCAAAACTAAATATAATATATAGATTTAGCCAAGCCTAAAGCGGAGCTCGCATTTTTTTTCCCGCACGTCTCAAGAGCACAATGCCTTGCCCCGGCCAGGACTAGAACCCGGGTCGTCCGACTCGGAGCCCAGTGGCGTTGGCGTGCCCGCGGTACAGTTGACCACGCATGTTAAAAGTAGCACCTTGTACGGACGCCTGTACGGTGTCAAGTCCAAATTTTTTCGGCTTGATGGGTTACTACTATTTTATGATTATGGGGCTACGCTCAGCTTTGCCATTATCTTTATACCTCGGCAAAATCAAAATCAAAATCTATATTCACCATTGAAAAATATCAAACATTTGTTTAGAGCAATCTTTATTTATCAAGCACCTAGGTGTTTACATAGACTATCATCTAACTTGGCATGACCATATTGATTACATAAGTAGTAAAAGCTTCACCTAACGATCAACACACTTAGATGCATTTATTATTCTCTTACTTATCCATATGCTACGCATGACTGTGCACACTGGGGAAATAATTATAATGATCCACTTTCTGAAGTAGTAAAATTATAAAACAAAGGGGTTCGCATTATCATTGATGTTCCTCTAATAGAACCAATTACTCCTCGTTATACTGCTTTGGGACTTTTGAAAGTTCCTTATATTGTCAAATTCAATACATCTTTACTTCTTTATGACTATTTTAATGCTGACAAACATTCATACATGTCCAATACATTCAAACTTAAATCTCAGGAAATTTTGTCTAACAATCATTGATAGGTATATCTAGAACATTATTCCTTAACCTATTAAAGAAAAACCAACGAAACAAATGTTTAAAAAACCACTTTCACATTGCTATCTAAATCAATATTAATTTTTCATGTCCTTCATCTTCTGTCTTCCTCTTTGATCTAAGCTGTGTTATTTAGGCCAAGTTTAGTAAATAACTTTTCATATTAGATTAAGGAGGCACTATATTGGGTACCTGGACGTGCCCTTCTCCTCTCCTCTCTAATATCTAAATGTTCAGAATTAGAATTACCCAGTAGTTATTACCTTGTTTATTATGTAACTTAACTTACTACTACTTGGGGTAGAGAAATAAATGGGGGGATTTGAATAAATCAATATTCAAAAGTTCATGCCTAGGGGGATGCCCAGGGGGATGTTGAAGCTTCCAGTTGATCGGCGCATTACTCTTATTCACGCGTCACCTACTTATTTCCGCCCTAATCACCCATCGCGAATAAATTCCTTTGCAATCCTCAACAAGCAAAGAACGGCTTAGCTTAAAATCTTGCAAGAATTGATGTCTCACACTCACACATAAAAATTTAATCAGTTTGCCTCAGATCAGTTTAAGCGGGCGTTTAAGCGGCTCAGAAAATACGAGATATTAACAAGTTAAAAATCAGCTCAGAATTCGTTGTGGTATAAATAGAACTATCGCAGCTTAGGGAGTTTTCTATGCTGTCCACTTTTGCTCAGATGACCTCAAACTTTTAGCATTTGTGATGAACTGTTTTTACTGCTTACGTTGAGACACATGTTAACGTGTTCGTTTTTTGTATTTGTTGCAGTTGCCTCCCTGACTCTGGTGACAAGTGATCGTAAGTATAAATATTCATCTTTCATGTCTCCATTTTAATCCAAAGTAGTCTTTGTTTAAGTCAACTGGAATTCTCATTCTTAGTAAAGATATGGTAACGAAAGTGCTAGTTTGAAACACATTTTCAATTTCTATTTTGCTGGAATTCTTTTGTCAGCAGTAAGAAACCAAGAGAGTAACTGAAAGATACCTTTTTTTCAGCCTGCATCCCTCCTGGAGAATCCATTAATGCTACTAGTGGTCACATTTCCAGCCCCAATTTTCCCAATAACTATGACCCAAGCAGGATTTGTACCTGGAATATCACAGTACCCCGTAGGAAAATCATCAAAGTGACCTTCTTGAACTTTACCCTGGTAGCAGGTGAAAACGATGATTGTGCTGGAGCGGCAGCAGATAGTGCCCGAGTCTTTATCACAAACGTTGCCTCTCATGGAGGAAAACCTAACGACTTTAAGATCTGTGGTCAAAAGCTTCCCCCTCCTGTGTACTCAGAGGGAAATTTCATTCAAGTGAGATTTGAATCTCGCACCGGCTCTGTAAACAAAGGGTTCAATGCAACCTTTGAGGCGATAGATGGAGATTCATGTAAGAACTTTTCTTCTATGGTAGTTTATTAACTGGAAGCATACAATTGTACTGAGCACGTACCCCTATTAAACTGAGTGAGAATTATGTTGAATATATCATGCAAATAATAACGTAAGCAATCTTTGAACAGCTCTAGCCTGCAGAAAAAAAATTGCATATAGTCAAGCCTTTTACTCGAACGCAAGCTGCTATGTTTCACAATCGTTATATTGATTAAATTATAGAACCGTCAACATACGGAAAATGAACTGTAGGCGTTATTAAAAATCATCCAGTTGACCACAGTGGACTGTAAACGTCATCAAACAGTTCTCGGAGAAAAAGAAGCTTCGTTAAGATTTTTCTTTGAATAAATTAAGTTTTTTACAGTAAGTAAGATGCATTTTACTAAAGCTGGCAGTCTTTGTTATTCTTTTCAGTGTGCCCAGTAGATATGATCCTCGATGAAACATCAGGCTCTCTCTCCTCTCCCTTTAATCCAAGAAACTATCCATTCAACCAGACATGTAGCTGGAATATTACAGGGAAACAAGGATACCGTGTTGAGGTCACAATACCGGACTATAATCTACAACGTTGTAATCGTGCTGCTTACTCGTGTGATTATATGGAAGTTCAGAATAGCTTCAGTGATGAAGCGCTACCTGGAAAACTATGTGGTACACCAAGGGGTATTCCTTTAAAGTTTTATTCACTGCACGAAAGCTTGAGGGTGGTGTTTGTGTCCGATGATACAAACATGGATTATGACGGATTTAGGGCAACGTACAAGCTGTTGAACCACAGTCCTCCAAGTAAGTAGAGAAAAAAACTTCGTAAGATCTAAGAGTTCACTGAGAGAAGATGTTTCATGCAATAAACTCACCCATACAAGTAATGATACGGAGCTTAGTTAATAAGAGTGGAGGCTCTCTCTGTTATCAACTCAGCGTGAATGCAAACATCTCTGATGTAGAGTGTAAGCGGTGATGTGCTGGAAGCCATGCCAACCTTAATTGAATAAAGGGGGTAAGTTTCCAAAGAAAGTGTGATGAGGCGTCGGTCGGGGAGTATAAGAGGATAGTTTGGTTTCATTAACTAAGTTGATAATGTAAATTGGTCACCGTGATGAGTTTCAAGTATTCATATTCTTATCTTGAGGCCACTCCCTTATAAAGCCATATTGGAATTTATCGCTGTAAAGGGTATGGTTTTAAGCCGCTTTGGTTTGTATAGACTTTGACCATTGGTCGAATCAACAGTTATATGGTAAGCATTTTGATTGGTTGTTATTTATCACTTATTGGAGAACAGAGGCATGACATGACCATGACCATGACATCACCATTTACAACAATTTCCTTCTTCATCGTATATGAAACAATTAGATTCCACATTGCCGTGTGTCTGTTCAGGAAGATATACCAGATGATGTCAAACTGTGGTCATTAGTGACACTCGGCTGCGCCTCGTGTGCCACTTTCTTGTTCTTATCGTGTGGATTTGACGGAGTCTGTGTAAGAAACCATATATCTAACACCAATCCATGTTTATTCTGGCCTATTCCAAGAGTTCTAGTTAGTCAAACAGAGCGAAACAGACAGAGGCAAAATAGTAGTGGCGTAGTAAAAAAGAGAGTGAGGTTTGGATCTAGTCGGGAAAAGAAGAAGTTGATTCAACAACAGTACATGACCCACTCTTCCCTCGTTTTTTCACTCCTCTGCTACTCTCTCGCTGTTCAATATGGCACTTTGTTTTACCAACTAAATTCCCGGAACAGCCTATGCTTATTCTCCCACACTCATATGCTCATTTTTCGTTGTTTACAGTTTGTCCCAAGGAAGCAATTCCTCTCTCAGGCAGCGGCAAAATAAGCAGCACAAACTACCCAAATGGTAACTACACTGCGTCCAGAAATTGTACCTGGAACATAACCGCGTCAGCTAATGAAAAAATACAATTTGTGTTTACTGACTTTGTGTTAAGTGAGTGTTCAGCCAATTGTTCGGATTCAAGTTGTTCTTATGTGAAGCTTTATGATGGTGGGACAACAAGTTCGCCTTCGCTGGGGCGATTTTGCCAGGGGTCATCTTGGAATGAGCCTCGGTTCTCGTCTGGAAACCAAATGTTTGTGATGTTCCATCCTGGACAAACAGTTGATCGTGGATTTGAAGCGGAATATTCAGTATATTCAGTAACAACATCACCGCCTGCAACAAAAACAGCAGCAACAAGTGAATCGGAAACGACAAATGAATCAGAAACGACAAGTGAATCGGAAACGACAAGTGAATCGGAAACGACAAGTGAACCGGAAACGACAAGTGAATCGGAAACAACGACAAACAAATCGGGAACGAAAAGCGGTAAATACCCTATGAATTGTCTTTGCAATGAATATTCAAAATTAATCAATGCTTTTTGTTATAAGAAAGTTAAACTTCTACGACTGACTTCCCTTATGATTCCTTATCGCTGAAGGCATCGTTTGTATTTTTTGCTCTTTCAGTTACTGGTTCCAATCAAATGATAATGTGTTAGCCTGCTTGTAAAAGCTAATAAATACTTTTAACAATAGTTAACAATTATTCACCGAAGTGGATGTGAATAGTGGTGGATATTTACCGAGCCGAAGAGTGGCGAAGTGAATATCCACCACTTTTACCGACACTGACAGAGGTAAATAATTATTATTCATCTTTTTACTATAAACCACACAGATAGCAAAAAATAAGTTTACTCCTTACAATATACCGAAAAATGGTCGGAAATTAATTACTTTAGCTAACCGGTTGTTAGGAGGTGAGTGTTACTTGCTATTCAAAACCGAACCAGCCAATTGGGGTGCGAAAAGCACTTTTCACTTGTTTGGTATTAATACTACTGAACTTGAAAACAATTGATAAGGGGATAAAAAGTAGTTACCTTTTTTAAAAGCTTTAGAAAGCAAATATGAATTATTTGAATAAAACAGCTGATCTTTCGCCAAACGTGCCCTAACCCATAAAACGAACTCCATGTCGATAAGTTCATTCGGCAGGCTGACAATCAGTTCCTCCAAATATTTCGGTGGTGCGGGAAATCCTCGGGTTGGGGGTGGGGTTTGTTAACGCCGTTCTCTTGTAGTCCCGGTTTGATAATGAATCTTTTGGGTCTCTGAGTTGACAAATTACCCAACTGATCGAAATTATTAGATGATGTTTTTCATCTAAATATCTTTGTCAATCAATGATCATCAAATGCGATTATTAACTTAAGCAATTCTTTAAGATTTTCTAACTGTCACAATTAATTGTAGATTCAAAGAAATCCTTATCGGAAGGTGCCAAGGCAGTAATAGCAGTGGTTGTTGTGATCGTTTGTCTTCTTATCTCAGTTGGGATTTTTTATTGCCTTCGTTACGGTGAGTCCGCTCGCTTTTTTTTTCATGAAGGAAAAGGGTGTTGTTCTTTGGCTTTCTACCAGTGTGTTATGGACTCGCGAGGAGACCATGAATGTTCGAAACCGTTAAGACTTGTTATCAGGAAGGTGAAAGTTAAGACCAATTTAGGGGCCGGGGGCACTGGGTTGACAAAATTTGTCTCAACTAACCAGTGCGGGCGCACTGAAAAACAGCAAAATATTTGTTTATCACTAAATGTCAATCACAGGGATATTCAAATTGAGCAGCACTTGAACCTGGGGATTCAGCGTAAACCTAAAATTCATGGAAGCTATAATAGTTGTATTCTGAGTATCTTGAGTACTGATCGTTATGCTGCATCCCGAGGTACAAATCCTCTACCTTCACTATTTGATTGCCGCATAAAAAATGAAATCTATTTTGGCAGCCTTCTGCCTGAAAGCTCACATTTCAAAAGCGAGCTCAAATTTTGTTGATTGGCGTATTCCTTCAAATCGTGGCTTGTAAATTAATAAAATCTGTCCGATTTCACGCCTGACAAAAATTTGTCTTGCTCCGAGGCAAGACGACCACGCCTTTGAAGATTGGTAAGGCTTGACAAAACTTGGCAGAACAAAAAATCAAAAACAAGCAAAAATTTTCCTAGTGCTTCTTGGCACTTACTCTCTGAGTAAGGAACTGGCGGGTTACGCTCTTTTTGCCCCTCAGGAGAGCATTTTGAGATTAGCTTATTAAACATGCGGCGAGCAAGCTACTTATCAACTTGTTACGAAAACCAAGTTTGATTGATAGCAACCAAAATGTCACCTTTCCAACCATGTGACTGCACAAGGAGAGTGGCAAGGGAGTGGCTTAATGTACGTAATCACTTTGGGGAGCTCGTCTGATTAGATACTTAGGTGATACCCATACTCTCTCAAAAATATTAATTTAATGTCTACATACTTCTTTTCCTTATCATCATGCCATTTTTGTTTCTAATAGATCAAAGAAGACGCAGGGCCGAGTTTAAGGTGACTACAGAGAATGTACTGAAACCGATGAACCAAGGCGACTCCAATGCCAGTCAAATCCCTGCGCATCATACACCTAATAACGAGAAACAGTCTCATGAGTTACAATCTTTCTCTAACGAGGGATGTGCCAGTTGAGCGTGTATAAGATTGTTTTTATGAATAACCTTTTCCAGGCTCTCAGTCAGGGAAGACGAGCGAAAGAACAGACGCATGTCACTTTTAACTCATTTTCATTAACTGAGAGAATGGAACTAGCTAGATTATTGAATAATAGGGAAGTTAGCACAGTTTAGGGTCAGGTTAAAAGAAGATCACTTGCAACTATGGCCAAAGATCTCCCTTAGTTTTAAAGGTTAAGTATGATCAGCGTTTCTTAGTGAAAATGAGATGCACTTTAATATGCTTAAAAAGACGTGAAATCAAATAATTTTGTAATTTAATTTTGAAAAACGGGGAATCGATGGATTAACCTATATTTGAGGCTAGTTCAATCCGTGAAGTGATTGAGATGTAGTTACCTCTGTTTTTAAACCTCCTCACTCGTGGTGATTATTGCGAGATATGACGCCATCCCCGAAAAATGAGAGCGCGAAATGATCACCCAAGCCAATGATTGCTCTAAAAAGAGATAAACACTAGATTGGTTTACAAGAATTGAAGATAAGAAGCGCTTGCTATGCTATAATTGTTTATTTTAAACATTTGCTAATGCTATTGTATTAACTAATGGAAACTTTTTTACCATTTACTGTCAGTGACTAAACGTTTTTTGTGAAGGTTGTAGGTATCCTCTGGTCTACAAACAGATTCCAAGTTACCGAGCGTTAGTTCAGTAATAGATAACAGAAGACGTCAAAATGCAGTAAGATAGGAAAAAAGTGGCTGATGGGACGTCTTCTTTGATCTATTACTGAACAAGCGCATGGCAACGTAATGTGCAGTGTAGGCGTCCTTTAAGGGCGAGCTAACGTTTTAAGCTCGCGATCGTTTTGAATCGTTTATCCGACCGGCCATGTTTGATTTGGAGTTAGAGTGGACAGTGGGGGTAAGGGGCAGGGGAAGGGTGAGAAAGGTGATCTCCTCTACTCCCCTACCCCCTTCCTTAGTTTTGACCGTTGACCGTCGACCGCCTCCTTGGTGCAAATTTCTTTTTCTTCCCCGCGTTCCGCTGCCGTTAAAAACAAAGATGGCGGTCGTAAAAATACTGAGCACTCGCCCGTCAAAATTACGCTTGCTCTCCGGGCTAACGTAACATGGAATCTATTTGTTAAATAGATATAACCTGTACCCAGTGTAACAAGTCATGAGATTTACTATCTTTTTGTTATTTTTTTCGATGGAACTTGATCGTATCTTTAGTTATTTAGTATGGATTGATGTCAACATGCCCACCGGAACCGGTTTGTTTTAATAAATAGATTATGCTTCTATGACATGATTGTCTGAGCATTTCTCTCTCTTTCTGTAATTTATGTTACCCGGCAACCAACAGTACATAGGAAGGGCTATTGTTTTCAGCACATGTTTTGGTTACAAGCCTTCTCCTGAATGGATTGAAACATGTGATCTAGAAAAACTTCCGTCTGACGAATTTATTGTAAATATGGTTTTGCGATACACAATTTTTAAGAGTTTCAGGACTCCATACGTTGCGTAAGTATTATAAATATGTAAAATCAAATTAATCGGACGTTCAATATATTTTCCCTTCCTCGCCCCCGCTACAAAGGAATAGCCTTGATTTTTTTCTTATCACCTTCAGGGTTTGAGGTTTGGTGAAATTACTTGCTGCATTTTACTCTCATGACTGCTATGCACGATTGCATCCATACAAGAACTTGCACCAGCAAAGTCCAGCAGAGGCATAGTTAGTGTGAAAATGGCGGCAAATTTGAACGTAATCGAAAAAAATTATTGCAGGATTCGCAATTAGATTAGTTTAAGAACAAGGTTTGTTGGGTCATGAGTACTGTCGGTTGACAAAGAAAAAAGTTTTAGACTGCAGGTGGCACAAGAAAGGGGTAATAGAACTCAAGTTTATGAAGAAACCGCGTGCCATCTGCATGTCAAGTAGACTGAGGTGGAAAGGTTACATCATTTCTATTTTCGTCGACGGGAACGCGTTTGTTTTTTTTCGAGATGAGTGGAATACGCTGGCATCTCCGTGGTTTACAATTCCAAGATTCTCAAGGTTTTAAGGCACGCAGAAAAGCAATATGAATTCTTTATGGGTATTGAAATTTTTTTGCGAGTATATGCAAGTGAATTTTAGTGACCAAAAGATACAATAGTCTTTGAGAAACGTGACCGAAGATGTGAACATCAATGGCTCTGATTTCAAATGTGTGATATTCCGATGGATAATAACAGAGGAGAAATATGGTTACCGCATATTGTTCTGTTATCGTTCAATACTTTTGGCAAAGGGCTACTTGATTAACAGTCTTCCCCTCTGAACACAAAAGACTTCAAAGTTGTTTCAGCTGTTCTTCTTATCAAAATGATGTCCATTTCAAAAATAAAGTTTGACATGCATGCGGTTTCTTGGCTTAGGGAGTTATCCAGTAAATATGGCCTCGAAGATTTTGATGTGAAAAGTGTGAAACTTTATCCCATGGCTCAAAAATCACGAGGGACGAGCGACAATTTTGCCTTAACTACGAACGAGCAAAGGAAGCTGGAGATTCTTACCATACTGGCTAGAACAGGAAGCGAATTAAATAGTATATGTACTGGAATGGTTGGGTATTTGGTATTGATGTAAATATATCAGTTAATAGCCTGCTCTGTAGTGTAGAACGCCTATAGATACCGATTTAAAAGCATTAAAGCATAGAGAAAGCGCACGTCACTTCAAGATGCCGTAGACAAAGAATCGTATGTAAATGACAACATCACAAAGACCGTTTCTGAAGTGAAACACCGGCAACCAACGGCCCTGAAGGAACTGTGTTTAATAAAGTTCAAGTCTCACTTAAACTTCTCGAAGAAGGAATGCGCTGCCTGCACAACAACATAGCTTCAATTAACAACGATTATCTCGAAGACATTGAATTGTGCATATTACTCACAATTGTTGTGGAGAATCTACACGCAGTCTCCCATTTTAATGACTAGACCTTCACCGCATTGCCGTATTCCCAAGACTTTGGAATAATTACCAAGGGATCGTTGAAGAGAGTAACAGAATGGGCAACCAAGTATTTTACTCATGAAAAATCCTACTATCGTGTTCCCCACAGCACCACAGGGTTTGCAAGAGTCAACTTTATATATGCGACCGCTACCTTCAGAGGAGATCAACCCCGAGACTGAAAGTGCCATGAAAGAATTAGGGGTGGAAGCGTAGAAAAGGACAGTGAGGGTTTTTCCTTGCCCCGCTTTCGAAGGATCTCCTCGTCAAGTCAGTAACGTCAGAGCACATTTTATGGCTCGACAACAACGACACTGGCGACAAGTTCGTTTTCTCTGAGGTAAAAAATAAAAGACTTATCTCTATTAGAAAGCCTAATGCTTGTGTTTGTGTTCACTCGTTTATAGCTTTTCCGACTGCCTCAAGCTGATACTAAACTTAAAGGAAAACTGTTCATTACAAGATATCAAATAAATTTTCTCTCTCTGATATTCTTGATGGAACTATGTAGCTCCAAATGCAATGTCAGTGGCTGTTTTTGCAAACTTGAGGTCGAACCCAAACCTGTAAGCACGTAGATTGCAAAATCTGTTAAAAACGACCAAAAAATATGATGCCCTTCTTGTCAGGTAAAATGGGCTAAGTCACGCAATTCGAAGTAATGTAACAATCACGAGCAGATAGGAACTCACCGTACACCATTATAGACCGCGTGCATATTGACGAGATCATTACTGATGCTTCCGGTTTGAGATCTCACAAGTTCCCTCAAGAGGAAGCGGATAGAATTGAACGACTGTTGAAAGGTGGCGTTAACAGTGATATCAACTCTGACGACGAACTCGTCGAAAATGAAGAGGTATCCGAAGAGGATTCTACTAATGAACCCCCTACACGTGCGTTTGTCAGCACCAGGTCGGGGAATTCAGCAACTCGCTTAGAGCTGTTTTGATTTATAATCAGACTTGTTGAGGATACTCTTTACTAGTTCAAAATGGGTAAACCGGATAAACGGGCAGGGTCACGTGTTTCTTATCAGCCGAATTATGAACTCTTAAAATGAAACTGGAAATTTAATAATCACATTGCCGAAATCACGGGAACTTAATAAAGGAGGAGATTTACAGCTTTGTAATTTTCACGTTCGTACTAATTGATATCAACGCAACTAACATTGGTTTAGTGTTTGTTAAGTTTATCTTCGATAACAGTCAGCTTTGATCTCCTCCTATTTTTAACACCTGTGTCTTTTTTTTCGGCTTTTACCTTTTTTTCTGACGTTCTTTAGACGTTTTAAGCTGTTTTTGAAATGTGTCAGTTGATTAAAGAAACAACATCCTTCAAAATCAATTTTTCCAAATTTCTTTTACTATTACGTACTCGATCATAATCGATCTACAAAGAAACTGCTTCGCAGCATTTGTAATAAACCTTTCTACAGTTCCCGGCACCATGTTGGATTAGTAACCGCGCACGCACGATAACGAGGTTGGGGTTGATCCGGCGGTTCTTTCAAACAGCTGATCTACCGACATTTCACGTTCTAATGCACTTTTTAATGCGATTTCTCCCTTCAAAATGGTTTTTTAATACAACAATATGAAATTTCCGTCATTAGATGACATCCAGAAGCTTAAAGCATTAGATCTCAGGGAGACTTTTAAGTCTAATTCAGAATCGACGGGCGGAATTAGAGCCGACTTTGTGTCGAAAGTTTATGCTTTGCTGATATGACACGTCCTCCCATCGAGAAGTGGAGAAAACCGAGAACTTCTTACAGGTATCCAGGACCTATAACAAAACCAGAGGGACTTCAAATACGAAGCAACTATGGTAAGGATTTCAGCCCTTGGATGGTCGAGCGATCTCCGTAATTTACCTGAGATGAATTTCATTCAGCTTTACGATTACCCCGTTGTTTCCACACGAAAATATCACCACATCGTGTTGAGAGGAACGCATTACGATAAGCTGAAATCCTATCAGTTCTTCTTCGAAGGGAACGTGAAAAAACTGGAGGGCAAAATTTTTGAAAACAAAACTTATGTAAGGGAAAACCTTCTTCACTCGATGAAGAAAACACCCTACAGAGCTGTTCTGAAGTTCTCACCTATCTGTGATGTGTTACGCGCAACGTTTACGTACTCTGCTGGTCTCGGTCTCCGAGGAAAAGGAAAATGCGACCACATCGGAGGAGTGCTGTTTGCTATTGAGGATTTTATAGGAAGAAGGTTCCAAAATAACCCAAAGCCATTAACCAGCACGTCGCTGCTCTCAGTGTGAGTGATACCCCGCAACCAAAGAGTGGTAGCGAAGCCAATCGACAAAATATTGATTAGAAAGGTTCCAGTTTTTCAATAATAATCAGGGAGGAAAACAAATTCAAAATCTACAACAGTATAAAAGGTTTGGAATTCGCTTTTTTTTTTTAATAGAAATACAATGCGCTTATGACCATATCTCGAGGACGAGGAGCCAAATGGGATTCCTCTCTTTCCTTCTAATATCTCGCATCTTTTTTCTTTCATTTAAACTCTCGCAGAAGAATCATCCAAATGAAACTCCTTATGCCGAAAGCATAAAGCACGTTGTGTCGATCTCTTCGTACATACCATTATCTTATGACTGAAGAACTGAAATTGTCAGACTCGTCAATGACGTCAAGGTCTCGCTTGCCTTTATTCCGTCTGTTGCCTTTCAGCTTATTTTCGTATTTCCGCGGTTAAATACGAAACACAACTGACTTATGTCGCTCTGTTGATTTCGACTCAGTCCATAGATTGTTCAGCGTGAAGAAGATCGAGCTCCGTTAAAATAGAACAAGAAGTTTGGATACCATCATGATTTCAGCCTGGATCTTGATTACATTTTGTGGTGAGTGAGAATTCTTTCATGCGAATGATTGATGCGCAAATTTCACTTCACTGATCATACCTGCAACAAATGCATCCAGAAGTTACGTCTGTTTGCTATCACAGGCCAAAGGTTTGAATTATCATTCTGCTCTTGACTTTGCTCTGTCTGCCGGCTTCAAATGTGCATTTCAAAACGCGAATTTAATTTCATTTAACTTTATCTTCTTCCGTGCATCGTTGTTTTTCCTTCATTGCAGTCTTCTTCGCTCGGGTTCGCTCAGTGTTCGCGGTCCCACTTTTATTATCGATCAAGCGGATACCTTTCAAAGGAGGTTCTTAATTCAACATGTTAGAGTGTTCAATGAAGGGAGGTAATTCTTGTCAAATCGTACGGGACAAATTAAATGCCAAGTCATGCCCATTGAGGAATTCGAAACACTTGATCGCTCGCTGAATAGGTTTAGACACGAATAAAGGTACTTTGCATTCTTAGGCTACTTTTTTCAAGGAATATCAAATCGTTTCGTATCGAGAAATAGTCCATTGTTCCGGGTCAACTTTTCCATTAAGCATCAAACAAAAGTCCTGAGTAATCGGTAGTCCTGAGGGACTTTGGCCGAAGGGAGGCGGAAAAGCTCGTAACTGATCGAAAAAAATTGTCGGAGTGACAATTTTGCTGCACAGGGGGTGTGGGTAGTGAAAATATACACTAGTAAAATCAATCCCCATCGGTGTACCCAAAGGTAGACTTGACCCTCGTTTAGCGCATCGAGCCAAAGGTTCGCAAATTCAAAAATAATCAAACTTATCCGTATTGCAGTGACTCATTTAAACCACCTCTCTCTATTTGTAAGTCAAGTGGAGATTTTTTTCTGTCACTCAAATAGACAGAAAACGTTAAATCGATGAATAAGTTATTTCTGACACGAGAGTTAACATCAACGATTGATGATAAAATATAACGACAACGCCGGCAAGTATATATCACTGAACATTTTCACCTGACTGCACATTCATTAAAAATAGCGATTCACGTATGAAGTTTTGCCAACAGGTGACTTTTATGTCATAACTGTTTATTTTTACACCAGGAGCCATGAATATGAAAAATTCCTGATAAGACAGTAAAATCCGAAACCGAGACAATTTCACCTACGGTTCGCCATATGATTTCAGTCGCTGTACTCGGATTCTTGCAAGGTGTTATTTACGACATTAGAATTTTGTTTTACAGTTAAGATTCGCTCTTTTACATTTGTTTCTTGTATGATATCAACAATTATACCGAGATGTTTTCAAACGGTTGTAAAAATACTTTTTCCGCTCACATTGATAACTCTGAGTTTTGAAACTTCAATATCCCCACTGGGTAACCCGAGAATATTTGACTGTCGTCCGTCCCCGGGGGAGAATTTGAACCGAAAGTGACAAGTCTTTCTAGCGGAAGGAAGGAAGGAAGGTTTTATCTCTTATTATAAATATAGGGTGTTAAAGGTACAGAGTTCACGTTCGCGGGCGGATGGCTCAGAAGAAGAAGGTCTACAAGTTACTGATAAATTTTAAAGCTTGGTCAATGAGAAGAAAGTTACGGTCGCCGATTTTGCCTCGTATAAAAAAAATTGACTATTAGATCCAGCACTTGAGTAAGACATTTGAACACCATCTTGGCTCGGCGGGGGAGGAGGATTTGAATAAATCAATTTTCAAAAGTTCGAATGCCCTGGGGTATACCCGGGAAGATGTTGAAACTTCCACTTGATCGACGCATTACTCTCGCTGCCTTTTGAAGGAGATCCTCGTTTATAAGAACAAGTCCAAGACTTTGAGGAAATGAGAGACTTTGAGACTGAAACGAAAAGCACTGAAAGAATGTCATTGAGGCAAAAGCTAACGAGACTTCGAGATCGGATAAACACTTTGTGAAACCTGGTGTCGCAATTTTTGGGACGGGGAAAGTGGGAGGGGAGGGTGTTTAAAAAACGCACCGTCGGGAGCCAACAGGAAGTCTTATCATATCTTCTCGCTTTGGTGAATATTGTGTAAAGTCTCTTTTTGGTTGGTAATTGTTGAACAGAAGCTTTCTTCATAAATTTCAATGACAATTCTGTGAAGTGGCAGTGGGGTTTTCAGAGCTTGTAAAGCAGAGTTGCTATGCTCTTATGTTCATTTTTTTGGTGAGAAATTCCAGCAGGCTGAATACTTACAGTTTTATTAGATATTGGAGCTATTTTTCCGGTTTTCTTTCAAGGCACGTAACGGTTAGGGACGCTTTTGGAAATTTAACTGAGGCAGGCTGGTTAAAATCTGCGAGAAAAGACCATTTTATAGCTGTCGATCTGAACAATGTCACGCGGGTCTAAATGATCTCTTTGTTCATTATATCCTCCATAGCTCACTGACTCCTGCTCACTTTAGGGGCTTACACAGTCAATTAAGGTTACAATCTTGAACTGCCTTCAAAAAGGTCGTGTGATAAGTGTCACCCGAGGATCCCTTACCCTCAGCGAATTTTACAAAAAAAATTAATGTCTTACCCTCGCATATAAAAATTTAATCAGTTGCCTCAGATCAGTTTAAGCGAAAATACGAGATATTAACAAGTTAAAAATCAGCTCAGGGTTCAAAATTCTAAGAATTCGAGCGTCATCTATATACAGGTTTATTGTGGGAATTTGATCATTACGTCTTGCTTCCGTGCGGAGCCAAAACTATCAAAAACAACGATTTAGCGGTATGATCAAGTGAGGACTTTCGTCACCATGAAAACAGACGTAATTTTTGGAATTTCTGTGGCACTAAGCCATTGCTAAATTTGTTTTTATTTTAACTGCTTCGCTTTGTGTAGTGTAGCTTCGCTTTAGGTAGTTGTCCTTCGTATTTTTACGTAAATCATAAATCTCCTGGGGTTTATTTCCTTGTTATCAAAATAGTAACATAATCATTGTGTTGAGAGACTTAGTGGGGAGGGGGAGGAGAGGAGGCAAGTGGGATTCCTCCCCTCCCCTCTAATTTCTCGCATCGTTTCTCTTTCATTTCTTTTATTTAAACTTTTTTAAATGATGCAGACTTATCAATGACGTCAACCTCACACCAGCTTTTATTCGGTCTGTTGTCTTTCTGTTTGCTTCCATATTTCCGCAGTTAAATACGAAACGCAACTGACTTATGTCGCTCTGTTGATTTCGACCTCGTCGATTCCTCAGCGTGAAGAAGATCAAGCTCCGTTAAAGTAGAACAAGACGTTTGGATACCATCATGATTTCAGCCTGGATCTTGATTACATTTTGTGGTGAGTGAGAATTCTTTCATGCGAATGATTAATACGCAAATTTCACTTCACTGATCATTCGTGCAACAAATGCATCTAGAAGTCCCATCTGTTTGCTTTTACAGGCCAGAAGTTTGAATTATCATTCTGAACTTGATTTTGCTCTGTCTGCCGACTTTTAATCGCCAATTTAATCTCATTTAACTTGATCTTTCGTGCATTGTTGTTCTTTCTTCATTGCTGTCTTCTTCGCTCGGGTTCGCTCAGAGTTCGCGGTCCCTTTTTTTTCATCGATCGAGTGGATACCTTTCAAAGAAGGTTCTTAATTCAACGTGTTAGAATTTTCAGCAATTCATGCCCAAACTGATAATAGATCGTTCGCTGAATGGGTTTAGACATGAATAAAGATACTTTGCATTCTTAGGCTACTTTATTTTAAGGAATGTCAAATCGTTTTATGTCGTCACACGCAAATGGAGATTTGATTCTCACACTCAAATAGAAAGAAAACGTGAACTCGATGAATAAGTTATTTCTGACACGAGAGGAAGTTAACATAAACAATTGATGATAAAATATAACGACAACGCCGGCAAGTATATTTCAACTTTTTTTCCTGACTGTGCATTCATTGAAGCGAATAGCGGTTCACGTATGAAGTTTTGCCAACAGGTGACTTTTATGTCCTAGTTTTTTATTTTACACTAGGAGCCATGAATACGAAAAATTCCTGATAATACTAGATTCAGTAAAATCCGAAACCGACACAATTTCATCTACGGTTCACCATATGATTTCGGTCGCTGTACACGGATTCTTGCAAGGTGTTATTTACGACATTGGAATTTTTTTTTACAATTAAGATTCGCTCTTTTACGTTTGTTTCTTGTATGATATCAATATGATTTTCAAACGGTTGTACGAATACTTTTTCCACTCACATTAATAACTCTGAGTTTCGAAACTTCAATATAAAAAAATTGACCATCAAATCCAACACTTCCTTTAGATCTTACGTATGCAGTAGGTAACAATAAGTCTATAAGTTAATGGCGTTAAGTCTGATTTCCATCCCGTCTTCTCTGGTTTACTTTAAGGTTCCATATTAGGAGTTCTATTATTTCTTATCTATATCAATGTTATCCCTAAGTCAACTACTTACTTTTCTAGTAGATTATATGCAGATGATACATCTCCAAGAGTCTCTGGAACCAACCTCGACATTCAATTAAATGACATAAATAACCATCTACTTACTGTTTACGAATAGTTATGTAGTAATAAATTAACCTCAAATCTTTCCAAAACTATAGATATTATCTTTACACCTCGGCAAAGGAAAATTCAAAATCTACATCCACCATTGAAAAATATCGAACATTTGTTTAGAGCAATCTTCATGTATCAAGTACCTAGGTGTTTATATAGACTGTCATCTAGCTTAGCATGACCACATTGATTACATGAGTAGTAAAAACTTCACCAAACGATCAACACACTTAGATGCATTTATTATTCTCTGATTTATCCATATCCTACGCATGGCTGTACACACTGGGGAAATAATTATAATGCTCTTTCAATGACAATTCTGTGGAGTGGCAGTGGGGTTTTCAAAGCTTGTACAGTCTTTTCCTATGCATTCCTATGCTCTTATGTCAATTTTTTAGAAGAAATTCTAGAGGACTAAATACTGACAACTTGATTAGATATTTGCGCTATTCTTTTCTGGTTTTCTTTCGAGGCACGAAACGGCTCGGAACGCTTTTTGAAATTAACTGAGGCAGCCTGTTTAAAATCTGCGAGAAAAGACCATTTTAGAGCTGTCGATCTCAACAATATCACGCGGGTGATATTGTTCAGATGACCTTAAACTTTTTAGCATCTGGGATGAACTGTTTCTACTACTTACGTTGAGACACGTGTTCACATGTTCGTTCTTTGTATTTGTTGCAGTTGCCTCCCTGACTCTGGTGACAAGTGATGGTAAGTATAAATGTTCGTCTTACATGTCTGCATTTTAATCAACAATTTTCGTCTTTGTTTAAGTCAACTAGAATTCTCATTCTTAGTAAAGATATGGTAACGAAGGTGCTCGTTTGCAACACATTTACAATTTCTATTTGCTTGAATTCTTTTGTCTGCAGTAAGAAACCAAGAGAGTAACTGAAAGATACCTTTTTTTTTCAGCCTGCATCTCTCCTGGAGAATCCATTAATGCTACTAGAGGTCACATTTCCAGCCCCAATTTTCCCAATAACTATAGCAAAAACAGGATTTGTACCTGGAATATCACGGTACCCGGTGGGAAAATCATCAAACTGACGTTCTTGAACTTTACCCTGGTAGCAAATGAAAACGATGACTGTGCTGGAGCGGCAAAAGAGAGTGCCCGAGTCTTTATCACAAACGTTGCCTCTCATGGAGGAAATCCCAATGACTTTAAGATCTGTGGTCAAAAGCTTCCTCCTCCTGTGTACTCCGAGGGAAACTTCATTCAAGTGAGATTTGAATCTAGCACCGGCACTGTAAACAAAGGGTTCAATGCAACCTTTGAGGCGATAGATGGAGATTCATGTAAGAGCTTTTCTTCTATAGTAGTTTATTAACTGGAAGCATACAAGTGTACTGAGCACGTAACCCTATTAAACTGAGCGAGAATTATGTTGAATATATCATGCAAATAATAACGTAGGCAATCTTTGAACAGCGATAGTCTGTAGAAAAATCTTCAGCCCGAGTCTTCACCACAAACGTTGCCTCTCATGAAGGATATCCTAATGACTTCAAGATCTGTGGTCAAAAGCTTCCCCCTCCTGTGTACTCCGAGGGAAACTTCATTCAAGTGAGATTTGAATCTCGCGCCGGTCTTGTAAACAAAGGGTTCAATGCAACCTTTGAGGCGATAGATGGAGATTCACGTAAGAGCTTTTTCTTCAGGAGTAGTTTATGAAGGAAGTATAGAAGTGTACTGAGCATGTACCCTACTGAACTAAGCGAGAACTATGTTGAGTATAACCTGAAAATAATGAGGTAGACAATCTTTGAACAGCTATAGTCTGTAGAAAAAAAATTGAATGTATTAAAGCCTTTCACTCGGACGCAAGCTCTTTATATTTCATGTTGGTTACATTGATTTATGTTTAAACCCGTCAACATACGGAAAAGGAGCTGTAGGCGGTATTGGAAATCAACCAGTTAGCCACACTGGAGTGTAAAAATCAAAACTAAACCAGTTTTCGATGCCTGACACAGTCTTTGTTACTCTTAGTAGGCGGTATTAAAAATCATCCAGTTGACCACCGTGGACTGTAAACCTCATTAAAACTTAAACAGTTTTCGGAGAAAAAGAAGCTTCCTTAAGATTTTTCTTTGAATAAATTAAGTTTCTTACAGTAAGTAAGATGCATTTTACTAAAGCTGGCAGTCTTTGTTACTCTTTTCAGTGTGCCCAGCAGATATGATCCTCGATGAAACCTCAGGTTCTTTCTCCTCTCCCTTTAATCCAAGAAACTATCCATTCAACCAGACATGTAGCTGGAAGATTATAGGGAAACAAGGATACCGTGTTGAGCTCACAATACCAGACTATAATCTACAAGGTTGTGGTGGTGCTGCTTGTTTGTGTGATTATTTGGAAGTTCAGAATAGCTTCAGTGATAAAGCGCTACCTGGAAAACTATGTGGTACACCAAGGTTTATTCCTTTAAAATTTTATTCACTGCACGAAAGCTTGAGGGTGGTGTTTGTGTCCGATGATACAAGCATGGATTATGACGGATTTGAGGCAACTTACAAGCTGTTGAACTACAGTCCTCCAAGTAAGTAGAGAAAACAACTTGGTGAGATCTAAGATTTCGCTGAAAGAAGATGTAATTTTGCCAAATAATGACACAAATTATTAAAACCGAGATCTGAGGTATCTACTGAAGCCGAAGGCTGAAGCAGATAACACAGGCAAGAGGTTTGATTATTCCTGATATCATGCGAAAAACGAGTTCAATAATTGCATATTATAGGAGGCACCTCTGTTTGAGTTGGCAAAATATTGAGTTCACTACACGGACGAGGAGTTTAAAAAATTAGGCAAGCTTTGAACTCGACATGATTAATGCAATATCCACTGCAGATATTAGCCTATTATGTCAATTTCACACGTCATTATATATCGATTAACTGCTCTCAACCAATCAAATTTTTGTAGTAAGTCTAAAGTATAATGATTATTAATATCGTGCTCCACCTCATCCATTCACTTATTATTATTGAAGTTAATTAGAGAGGAAGCTCGCTCTTTTAATGATTGTTGAATGTAAACATCTCTGATATGTCAATGTAAGCGGTGGTGTACTGGGAATCTAATACATGTTGCTTTACCCACTTCCCACTTTTTCTCCTCGATTCTTGGTTGTTCACTTTTCTAAACTTGATATTATTGTTCGGGGCAACTCTCTTATGTAGGCCATGTTTTTGTAAACCTCTTTTCAAAAGGGTATGGATTTTGATCAATGGCCGAAATAGTCTAAGATCCATTTTATTGTTTACCAAGGGAACCACGAGAGCGTATAAAAGGTTTTTTTTTTTCCTTTAACTTCTGATAAACGATATGGTTACAGAAGAAAGAAAATTATACTATTCAAGCTGAAATTCAGGTAAGTTTTACCAAGATTTTTCTGCAGCAGTGATGCGAAGTACAATGAAACATAGCCAGTGGTGGGTCTGGAAACCAGTTTGGAAAATGACACATTTTGGTTTGGAATAGTGTCGAAATTTGAGAAATCGGGCGCCTCACGGTGATGGTGTCTACTCATTCTGCTGGACTTCGCTGCTTGAAAGCCTTGAAAATTTATTTCAGATCTACACATTTTACTTCTCCTCTTGAATTGCGACGATCTAATATTTCCTAAGTCATTACACAAATTTTCTTTCGTTTGCAGCTTAATGCGCTTTGGCCGATGTGAATTTCCTTCGAAACAACCATATATTTAGCCTCTCTCCGTCGTAAATACATGAAAATTCTCGATCTCACACTCACATGGAATATTTTTAACTTTCAACAGTTTGTCCAAAGGAAGCAATTCGTCTCTCAGGAAACGGCACAATAAGCAGCACAAACTACCCAAAGAGTAACTACAATGCGTCCAGAAATTGCACCTGGATCATTACCGCACCGCCTGGAAAAATTGTAAATTTTACATTTACTTACTTTGTCTTAAGTGAGTGTTCAGCTAAACGTTGTTCGGATTCTTGTTCTTATGTGGAGCTTTATGATGGCGGGTCAACAAGCTCTTCGGATTCACCCCTGGGACGATTTTGTCAGGGGTCGCCTTTGGAGGAGCCTCGGTTCTCGTCTGGAAACCAAATGTTCGTGATGTTCCATCCTGGACAAACAGTTGATCGTGGATTTGAAGCGAAATATTCAGCATCTACTCCCAAAACAACAACGTCACCGCCTACAACAAAAACAACATCGACAAGTGAATCGGAAACGACAAATAAATCGGAAACGACAAATGAATCGGGAGAGGGAAAAGGTAAATTTTCTATGAATTTTCTTTGCATTGAATTTTCAAAATTAATCAATGCTTTTTGTTATGAGAAAGTTAAACTTCTACGACCGACTTCTCTTATGATTCATTATCGCTGAAGGCATCGTTTGTATTTTTTGCTCTTCAGTTACTAGTTTCAATCAAAAGATAATGTGTTAGCCCGCCTGTAAAAGCCAGTAAATACTTTTAACAATACTCAGCAACAGTTTACAATTATTCGCCGAAGTGGAGGTGGATAGTAGTGGATATTTACCGAGCCGAAAAGTGGCGAAGTGAATATCCACCACTTTTACCGACACTGACAGAGGTAAATAATTATAATTAACTTTTTTTTCTATAAAACCACACAGATAACAAAAAATAAGTTTACTCCTTTCAATATACCGAAAAATTTTCGGAAATTAATTACTTGGCGCGCGATTTAGCTAACCGGTTGTTGAGAAGTGAATGGTACTTGCTATTCACTACCTAACGAGCCAATTAGGGCGCGAAAAGCACTTTTCACTTGTTTGGTATTAATACTACTGAACTTAAAAAACAATTGATATGAGGATAAAAAGTAGTTAGCCTTTTTAAAAGCTTAAAAAACCGAGTATAAATTATTTGAATAAAATAGGTGATCTTTCGCCAAACATGCCTTAACCCATAAAGCGAACTCCATGTCGATAAGCTCATCCGGCAAGCTGACAATCAGTTCTTCCAAATATTTCGTTGATGGGAGAAATCCACGGGGTGGGGGTGGGGTTCGTTAATGCCGTTCTCATGTAGCCCAGGTTTGATAATGAGTTTTATTGGGTCTCTGAGTTGACAGATTACCTTATTGATCGAGATTGTTAGATGATGTTCTTCATCTAAATATCTTTGTCAATCAATGATCATCAAATGCGACTATTAACTTAAGCAATTCTTTAAGATTTTCTAACTGTCACAATTAATTGTAGAGTCAAAGAGATCCTTATCGGAAGGCGCCAAAGCAGCAATAGCGGTGGTTGTTGTGATGATTGGTCTACTTGTCTTAGTTGGGATTTTGTATTACCTTCGTCGCGGTGAGTCTGCTCTTTTTTTTCTTTTTTTCTTGAAGGAAAAGGGTGTTGTTCATTGGCTTTCCACCAGTGTGTCATGGATTCGAGAGGAGACCAGAAATGTTCGAAACTGTTAAGAATTGTTATCAGGAATGTGAAAGATGAGACCAATTTAAGGGCCGGGGGCACTGGGCTGACAAAATTTGTTTTGCTCCACCAAAAGTCTCGACAAAATTTGTCTCAACCAACCACTTCGGGCGCACTGAAAAACAGCAAAATATTTGTTTATCACTAAATGTCAATCACAGGGATATTCAAATTGAGCAGTACTTGAACCTGGGGATTCAGCTTAAACCTAAAATTCATGGAAGCTATAATAGTTGTATTCTGAGTATCTTGAGTACTGATCGTTATGCTACATCCCGAGGTACAAATCCTCTACCTTCACTATTTGATTGCCGCATAAAAATGAAATATATTTTGGCGGCCTTCTGCCTGAAAACTCATATTTCAAAAGCGAGCACAAATTTTGTTGATTGGCGTATTCCTTCAAATCGTGGCTTGTAAATTAATAAAATCTGTCTCGCTTCGAGGCAGAACGACCGCGCATTTGTAGATTGGTAGAGCTTGACAAATTTTGGCAGAACAAAAAATCAGTCTCACTGAGCTGACGACAGATTTTTTGCAAAACAAACAACAATTTGCCCAGTGCGCCTTGGCACTTACTCTCTGTGTATTTAGCAGAGGGAACTGGCGGGCTACGTTCTTTTTAGGAGAGCATTTTGAGATTAGCTTATTAAACATGCGGCGAGCAAGCTACTTATCAACTTATTATGAAAACCAAGCTTGATTGAAAGCAACGAAAATATCACCTTTCCAACAATGTGACTGCACAAGGAGAGTGGCAAGGGAGTGGCTTAATGTACGTAATCACTTTGGGGAGCTCGTCTGTTTAGATACTTAGGTGATACCCATACTCTCCCAAAAATATTAATTTAATGTATACATACTTCTTTTCCTTATCATAATGCCAATTTTTTTTCTAATAGGTCGAAGAGGACACAGGGCCGAGTTTGAGGTGGCTGTATTGGATAAACTGGAATCGAAGAACCAAAGCGACTTCAATGTCAGCCAAATCTCTACGCACCATACACCTGGTATCGAGAAACAGTCTCATGAGTTACAATCTTTCTCTAACGAAAGATATCCCAGTTAAGCGTGTATAACATTGTTTTTATGAATAGCCTTTTCCAGGCTCTCAGTCAGGGAAGACGAGCGAAAGAACAGACGCATGACAAACGACAGTTTTGGTTGTCAAGGCAACGGCTGCCTCACTCCCCACCTCCTGTAGCTTTTTGTGCTGTCACTTTTTCGCTCATTTTCATTAATTGAGAGAATGGAACCAGCTAGATCATTGAATAATAAGGAAGTTAGCACAGTTTAGGGTTAGATTCAAAGAAGATCACTTGCAGTTATGGCCAAAGATCTCTCTTGGTTTTAAAGGTTAAGTATGATCAGCATTTCTTAGTGAAAATGAGATGTAATTTAATATGCTCGAAAGGATGAGAAATTGTGTAATTTTGTATTTTTTTTTTTAACGGAAAATCGATGGGTTAACCTGCAGTTGAGACTAGTTCAATCCGTGAAGTGACTGAGATGTAGTTACCTCTGTTTATAAACCTCCTCACACGTGGTGATTATTGCGAGATATGACGCTATCCCTGGCCAATGAGAGCGCGAAATGATCACCAAAGCCAATGATTACTCTAAAAAGAGATAAACACTAGATTGGTCTATAGGAATTGAAGATAGGAAGCGCTTGCTATGCTATAATTGTTAATTCTAAACATTTGCTAATACTATTGTGTTAGCCAATGGAAACATTTTACCTTTTACTGTCAGCGACTAAACATTTTTCGTGGAGATTGTAGGTATCCTCTAGTCTACAAACAGATTCCAAGTTACCGAGCGTCTGTTCAGTAATAGATAACAGAAGACGTCAAAATGCAGTAAGATAGAAAAAAAGTGGCTGATGGGACGTCTTCTTTGATCTATTACTGAACAAGCACATGGCAACATAGCCTGCAGAGCAGGCGTCCTTTAGGGCGCGCTAACGTCTTAAGCTCGTGATCATTTATCCGACCGGCCATGATTGATTTGGAGTTAGAGTGGACAGTGGGGTAAGGGGAAGGGCGAGAAGGTAATCTTCACTCCCCCATCCCCACCCCTCTCCTTTTTTTTGACCGTCGACCGCCTCCTTGGTACAAATTTCTTTTTCTCCCCAGCGTTCCGCTGCCATTTAAATTAAAGGTGGCGGCCATGATTACTGAGCACTCGCCCGTCAAAATTACGCCTGCTCTGCAGGTTAACAGCAACATGGAATTTATTTGTTAAATAGATATACCCTATACTTAGTGTAATAAGTCATGAGATTTACTGTTGTTTTGTTATTGCTTTCGATGGAATTTGTGCTTATTTTAAGTTACACCAGAAATGGTTTTTTTAAATAAATAGATCAGGCTTCTATGACATGATTGTCCGAGCATTTTTCACATATTAGTATTTGCGTAATCACCGGACAGACCACCAGAAAAGTAAACAAATGGCCAGTCACGAAAGCAACGCTTCGCTTTTCCCTCTAAAAATTCCTCATGTAAGCTAATAACAATATTGATAGAGGCACATATGTGAAAATCAGCGTGTGTACACCCCTGAACGTTGAAACTATATCAAATCGAAGGAACAGTTTTGGTCTTGGTCCGCCGTTTTGTCAACAAAATGAACAGCACGTGCAAAGCTGTCAATTGTTTCCTGAATAGAGCACGTGTTAATGATTATTCAATACTTACATCTCGTGCGTGAAGTGAGAAGACTATATGAAGGCGAGAACGATTGTGGCCGCTTTGTCAAAAACAAGATATCAAGAAACGGGCAAGGAATGTTCCACGACTGAGCAAATGATCGTAAAAGATAATCGCGGAAAAGCGATTGCGTGACACTCGGTAAGTCGTCAGATGACATGTTATCACGAATCAGACGTAATAACAGTTTAAATTCTCAGTGAGCATTTTGCACCCAGTCTGCGGTCTGCATTTTGTACCTAGTCTGAATTTTGTACCCAGTCTGTAGTCTGCATTTTGCAGTTTTTGAATGACCGGTTTTCTCTGTCGTTCTGTAATTTATGTTACCCAGCAACTATCAGTACACTCCGAGTTGAAGATAGCAAGGGCTATTGTTTTCAGCTCTTGTTTTGGTGACAGGCCTTCTCCTGAATAGATTGAATACTTTGAGTGGTGAATGTGATCCGGCAAAACTTCCGTCTGACGAATTTAATGTAAATATGGTTTGCAATACACAATATTTTTAAGAGTTTCGGGACTCCATACGTTGCGTAAGGACCGTAAACATTATAAATATGTAAAATAAAATTAATCGGACGTTCAATATTTTTCCCTTCCTCGCTCCCGCTACAAAGGAAAAGCCTTTTTTTTTAAAGCCACCTTCAGGGCTTGAGGCTTGGTGAAAGTACTTGCTGAATATCACTCTTGTGACTGCTATGCACGATTGCATACATACAAGAACTCGTACCAGCAAAGTCCAGCCGGCAGAGGCATATTGTGGAAATGGCGGCAAATTTGAATATAATCGAAAAATATTATCATGTGATTTCCACTTAGTTCAGTTTGAGAACAAAGTCTGTTGGGTAATGAATTCTGTCGGTTGGAGAATAATAATAAAAAAAGATTTAGACTGGTGGCACAAGAAAGAAGTAATAGAATTCAAGGTTATGCAGAAACCGCGTGCCATGTGCATGAAGTAGACTGAGGTCGAAAGATTATATCATTGCTATTTTCGTCGACAGGATCGCATTTGTCTTCGTCTAGGTGTGGGCTTTCGTCGTCTCTGTGGTTGACTATTTCAACGTTTCTTTCGTTTCAGAGCACGCAGCAAAGCAACATGAATTCCATATGGGTATTGCAATTTTTTTGTGAGTATATGGAGCTGAATTTTTAGTGACCAAAAGATACAATAGTCTTAGAGAAACGTGACCTAAGATGGAAACTACAATGGCTCTGATTTCAAATGTGATATACCGATGGACAATAACAGAGGAGAAATATGGTTACCGCATATTGTTGTGATATCGTTCAGTACTTTTGGCAAAGGGCTACTTGATTGTCAGTCTTCCCCTCTGAAAACGAAAGACTTTAAAGTTGATTTAGCTGTTCATCTTACCAAAATTATGTTCATGCGACATGTATGTGCTTACACATATTGCGGTCTCGATACTGCTTCGCAGAATTTTGAGCGAATTTTTTTTTTATTTCAATCTTTGTATTTCGAGTACTGTTTAAACCTAAGCACCTCCTTGTGTTGAATCAACACAGGGTCAGGGCTAACTTTAAATTTAACAATTTAGAAATTAACATGTTTTCCAATTCCTACTCACAGTTATCTCACTTCTTCGCCTGGTGAACTCATCTGATGGTAAGTACTGTTAGTCGACGGCATTTACTATTATTTAGGCAATTTTTGTTTCCCAAGGATGCTTTATGATCATCAGATATGACATGGGAATGGACAGATATAGCTGAAAGTATGAAACCATGAAAAATGGAGCCATGAATTGGTTAACATGCTCGAGCACTTAGCATTTGGTTCATACGTCAGCGTGCGTTCATCGAGATATAAAGCACGCGGGAAGTTTGGAGAGCACGAAAGATGCATAAGAGTTGCTCGAGGCGTAGCCGTAACGGAGTTTTAGGGTGCGTTCCTTTGGGAGTATGCACATTGGTTATTGAGCACCTCCCTGAATAGCCCGTCTAACTGCACGGGCTTTTAGCACGCATTATTCATCAGAAGCACATTTTTTCATGGTAAACTCAAACGATGGAATTAAAATAGAAGCAAGTATTAATTACGATATGGATACTTGGGTACCCTGAATGCCTGCGATCAGTGGCTAATCGATCCAAAATTACAAAATCGATTTATTTCGTGTTTATCGCAGAATTTGTGGAACGATTGCCAACAATCTTTCCGTTCAATATATGAATTACCTACTAGTTTGAAATTGAGCACCGCTGGGCAAAATGATTAATTTCGGATCCTTCGCCCAAAGGAACGTGTTGGATCAGTGATCCAGTGATCCAATGGTCCGTCTTTAGATCACACAGATTAGTAATCCGATGAATACTTGTCCATAGTGGATTTGATAGATCACTGATCAGAAAATGGATTTGCTCGAAAGGAACGCCACAGGTCAGAAATCCTGATCCGGATTCTCCTAAAGGAACGCACCCTTAATTGCATGGTCAAAAAACTGACAGGTGAATTCATGCGTGTAAATGAACTTTACTTTCTGATTGAAAACAAAATTCTCGAAGGATTTGTTTGCTAACGCCATTAGCGTGCACAATAGGAATACGAAGCACGCTCACGCAATTGAATTTGATTAGGCCAATTTACACGCTATGTTATAACTTGCACTGATGCACTTGTTTGTATACGTAAAATTACAAAATTGCAAAAATTTAAAAGTGTTTATTTATTCCAACTTGCACTTGAAATCACATGATTAGGTATTAATAATATACATGAAAAAATACGAGATAGCTTATCATAGCTATGCAGAGGCAAAGCGCGCCTATCAATTGCAAAAATTAGTTATTCAAATCCTGAACAACCGCATACGATCAAAACAATAATATACACTGATATTTTCACATCTCTAAGGTGCAAAAAACACTATACAGTTCAAGGAATTGTTCAGTCTGGTTTGTTACTTCTTTGCATTGAATTTACCCTCTTCTGCATTGAATCACCTGAAAACTGCATTTATCTTAACCAATCAGATTTTTTTTTCATTTATCTTATTAGTGCTTAACATGTTGATATTAATGAGGAATGCTTTTGATATTCATGAGAAATGTTTTCAATGAGCAGAACAGTCTAATGCCTAAACTTGTCAAAGCATATCTATTACTGAGCATTCTGTAGACCTTTCAAGGATTAAATTTTTATATTTCTGCGCAGTTTGACTTGATTGAAATAAAAATACAGGATGATGAAAAAAAAAAACAAAATCCTTCAAAATACTTAAAAATGTACCACTTCCAAAATGAAAACCACATTGTCATTGTTCCATAAAATATAGTCTGATCATTTTTAATACGTCATGACTGTAAAAAAAACATTAATAGCATTTACTTTCTTACATAGGAGTGTGAATAATTGACATAATTATTTTACTGTGAAGCTGGATACAAATGTTACATGCAACATTTCAGGAAATTCTGCTTTCATAACAGAAGTTTTGCTTCGTTTGTACTTTTTATACATTTTACTTAGTTATAATGATTAACTTTTAAAAAATGTCTTTTTGTGTGAGTTTGGAAAAATTGCAAGCATGTGCATGTTTTTTTTTTAAGTGCTTTTTGCTTGAATTTTGGGCCAAGTACTTCTGAGATGTACTGTTGGTATAAATCATTGCAATTTTATATTTAAAGTTCTGAACATCTTCTCTCCCCTAGTTGCTATGCATTTCCTTGTAAATTAGTTTTGAGAATTTGATCAAAGTAACAACTTCCTGATAAGTTTGAGTATTTTCAAAACCTGTTTGCAGAACAATGTATGGATATTGTAGGGAGAAATTAATTGTTAATCTCTTCAGGCAGTTAAAGGGTTTTCAGTAAGATTTGGATGCTTTGCTCTCTATAAATATAGACTTAATTATTGATAATTGACAATGTCTTTTTTCAAATAATTCCTTGTAATTGCAGTTTTTACCTCTGGACTCTTAGCTGATTCTATTGATTACTTTTCCAGCCCTAATTTCCCAACAACTTTGCACAGGGCAGTGCTTGTACTTTAAATATCATGTTACCCATAGGCATGCAAAATCATAAAACTGACCTTCTTGAAATTTACCCTGGTAATAAATAAAAACTTATGAAAACTCAACTCGTTCTTCTGTAACAAGAAATCAAAAGAATGAGTAAAAGATGCTCTTTTTTTCAGCTTGCACCCCTGCTGGAGAATCCATTGATGCTTCAAGTGGTAACATTTCCAGCCCCAATTTTCCCAACAACTATGATGCAAACAGGATTTGTACCTGGAATATCACTGTGCCCAGTACGAAAATCATCAAACTGACCTTCGTGAACTTTACCCTGGTAACAGGTGAAAACGATGACTGTGCTGGAGCGGCAGTAGATAGTGCCCGGGTCTTTATCACAAACATTGCCTCTCATGGAGGAAAACCTAACGACTTTAAGATCTGTGGTCAAAAGCTTCCCCCTCCTGTGTACTCAGAGGGAAATTTCATTCAAGTGAGATTTGAATCTCGCAACGGCCCTGTAAACAAAGGGTTCAATGCAACCTTTGAGGCGATAGATGGAGATTTATGTAAGAGCTCTTCTTCTATGGTAGTTTATTAACTGGAAGCATACAAGTGTACTGAACACGTACCACTATTAAATTGAGCGAGACTTATGTTGAATATATCATACAAATAATAACGAAGGCAATCTTTGAACAGCTATAGTCTGTAGAAAAAAAATTGCATATAGTCAAGCCTTTTATTCGAACGCAAGCTGCTATATTTATCAATTGTTATAACTGTTAACGTACGGAAAATGAACTGTAGGTGTTATTAAAAATCATCCAGTTGACCACCGTGGACTGTAAACCTCATCAAAACTGGAACAGTTTTCGGAGAGAAAGAAGCTTCGTTAAGATTTTTCTCTTTTTCTTTGAATAAATTAAGTTTTTTATAGTAAGTAAGATGCATTTTACTAAAGCTGGCAGTCTTTTACTCTTTCCAGTGTGCCCAACAGATATGATCCTCAATGAAACATCAGGTTCCTTTTCCTCTCCCTTTAATCCAAGAAACTATCCATTCAACCAGACATGTAGCTGGAAGATTATAGGGAAACAAGGATACTATGTTGAGCTCACAATACCAGACTATAATCTACAACGCTGTGATGGCACTGCTTGCTTGTGTGATTATTTGGAAGTTCAGAATAGCTTCAGTGATAAAGCACTACCTGGAAAACTATGTGGTACACCAAGGTTTATTCCTTTAAAATTTTATTCACTGAACGAAAGCTTGAGGGTGGTGTTTGTGTCCGATGATACAAACATGGATTATGACGGATTTGGGGCAACTTACAAGCTGTTGAACTACAGTCCTCCAAGTAGGTAGTAGATAAAAATCAGAGAAAGTTTTAACACATACCATAAATAAATTTATTCAATACATTTGGCACAATCAATTTACAAAATATGGTCTTTGTCAGAAAGATGGTTTTGTGGTTTGCTTGCATCTCCATGCCTTTTGTGTGAGGATCATAACTCATTTAACTATTCCTGAATTATTTCAGATGTGCATAGTAATCTTGCAGTCTTAATTTTTTTCAGTAAATTCTGTATTGTGTGTTTTAATTAGTATAAAGGGTTTCAAAGCTGATGTTTTGGGCATTAGCTCTTAGTCAGAGCAAATGTCATGAAGGGTAACACTTGAAGTGCCAGCTTTGAAACTCTTTATGGTGGTCAATTTATGTTACCAACTCAGTTGATAATACCAAATTACCCTGTTATACTCTCCAGCCCCCACAGCACCACAGTTTCTTTAGAAACTTACCACCTTTATTCGTAAAACTGGTAAGTGCATGCTTCCTGCTTTCAGGGAATTAGTGGCTGAGTTACTGAGCAAGTGACTCAGCCACTTATAGTCAATATGTTAATGAGTTAGTCAATTATATTTCATTTCCTTTAATTTTTGGGGGATTTCTGTTAAACCATTCTGTACCTCATCAATTCAGACATTAATTTCCACCAAAACTGCTTCTCAGTAATTTAATAGGGTGTAGCAGAGGGGGATAGAGAGAGAGGTTGACTTAGAGGATGAAATTAACTTTTTTCTTTTCATTTTCATGAAATGATTCTTTTTTTTCCCTTAAAACTTGCAGTTTGTCCTAAAGAGCCAATTTCTCTCTATGATAGTGGAAAGATCAGCAGCACCAATTTTCCAGTAGGTAACTATACTGCATCAAGGAATTGTTCATGGATCATAACCGTTTCAGCTGGTGAATCCGTGAAGTTGGCATTTACTTATTTTGTCCTTAGTTCATGTGCAAATTGCAATTCTAGTCATTGCTCCTATGTGGAGCTTTATGATGGAAATTCCACAGGCTCAACTTTACTGGGGCGTTTCTGTCAGAATTCACTTTTGCCAAACACAACTTCCAGTGGAAATCAAATGTTTGTAATGTTTCATGCTGGTACTGATGTTAATCGTGGATTTGAGGCATCCTATTCAGTTGCGTCCACTCAAACAACACCAGGGCCAACACCAGGGTCAACACCAGGATCAACACCAAAATTGACGCCAGGACCAATACCCCCTGTTGGTAAGCTGAACTGACACATACACTACAAATCCACTTATTTTTCCATGGGTCTGTTAAGGATGTCATACAGTAGCATTCTACTCAGAGCAAGACAGACTTTGTGTTTTATGCTCTGGGTTCAAGACCTAACCAGGTCATTGAGTTGCTTTCTTAGGCAAGACATTCTACTTCCCCAGTAACTCTCTCAAACTTGGAGTAAAAATGGCCAGCAGCAAATTAAGGAGGGTAATCATGATGAGTTCACATCTCAGTTAGGCGATGAGGTTGCACTCCACATTATTTAATCCTTTAACCCTTTCACTCCCGAGATCTAATTAGTAATTCTCCTTACTATCTGCCATACAATTCTTATGATGTTAGTTCAGAGAATTTGGTATTGGATCAACTAATAATCCCATAATTGATATTCTTCTCTATTCTCATCACCTACCTGCTTGATATTGTATTGATATTGTAAGGAGAAATTCTGTCTTGGTCACTTGTGGGAGTGAAAGGGTTAACTGACTGGGAGTGACTAGCATCTAATTTCTCCATGTACAGTATCATCCAGGAATCAAATGTGAAGGTCTTGCATGGGTACATTTCAACAACTTTTTAAAAAATCAAACATGCAATATGCAGATTTCCAACAGTCCTTTAATGGGTGTGGATCATATAACAAAGAAATGTGTATCAATTTTCAGGCGGCCTGAGCCCAGGTGCCATTGTGGGGATCTCAGTGGCAGTACCAGTATTAATTACAATGGTGATAGCAGCTTTCAAGTACTATCGTAAGTTTTATTCACAGATTACTTTTCCAGATCTGTTTGTTTGTAAAGTAACTGTCAAGGTCTACATTTATAATCAGCTGTTGTGATGAGATCTATTTATAATTGTCCCTGTGGGATAAAATCATTGGCACCTGGTAGCGAGTGTGCTGGACTCAAGAGGTCTGAGACAAGACGCTGCCACAGTGTTTTGGTATCCCCTCTTTTTCAGTATCACCGTACTCAAAACACTCGTGTGAAATGAAGAGATCAGTCGATAAACAGATATGCAAGGCCCTCAAGAATTTCCTCTTTGGATAGGATACTTGTAACGCCATAGGAAAGGGAGGAGAAGAAAGTGTCAGAATGTCAACAATTTTTACCGACTTTCTTTTTTTTCTTGCCTGTCATTTCACGATGTTATTCCAACTGGAAACTTGCTCTATTACCCATGTCAATGAAAGTTGATAATTTTATTTTTGTCTCTTTTACCGACTAAATACGATGTTTACAATTCTTTCAACAGGTAAATGGAAAAAACAGAAAAATGAAGATGTTCCCCAACCTGAGATGGAGAGCCTTAAGCCAAAGTCTGACAATTGAGGGAAAAGTTAAACTATGAACATTTTTAGAGAGAAAGTACCGCCTATGAAGTGCTCTGTTTTCTCCTTTTCTTAATGTCTGGCAATTTTTTTTTTCCTAAAAAGGTATGAAGTTGCAAAGTCTCTTTATTTATTAGTCACTAAACTTCAAACAGCTTGCTCTCGCAGTCGAACGTGTATTAAGCGTTCAGCGGTCACACTTTATTAAGTGGTCGGTTGTCAAGGTTCTGAATTTTGTGTTCCCTTAAACACGGTAGTTTTCTCTTCTAATAAGCGGCCAGCCTTATTAAATGGTCGTGCTCACCCGTTGCTGAGTCCGTTTAGCCTGTTTGCGCTGTCTTGCACCTGTATTGAATGGTCACTTAGAGCGGAACCACCCATGGCATAAAATGGCGTTTTTTTATTGTTTCTTAAAATTGTGTGAGCCATCAACTTGTGTTAAGCGATCACTCCGCCAATCTCGTGAATGACCGCTGAGCAGAGGTACGACTGATTAATATTTTGATGGCGACCATGCGCTTTAACCTGAGAGGTGTCTAAAGTTGTTCATAAGAAAATGCTGTGAAAATTGGCTGAGTTATTGGTGAACTTTACCTGCTTGAAAAAATGTGGTATTTTACTCAGTATTTCGAGCCATTTGGCCATCTGATGTCTAGAGAATGTTGTTATAGCTTTCTAGCTACTTTTATTTAGTAAACATTCCTAACTCTTAAAATTTATAACTGTTGGAAAATCTTAGAAGACTGCCTTTACATTACAAATGTGGCACTCTTACAGCACTCTTAAATTCCTTAAGAATTGTCGTTGAGAGTAATTCATCATGTAGATCTTAAGCCAAAGTATGTAGATCCTGTGAGGAATCAAACCAACCAACCGCAATGGTTGGATCTTCGGTTGTCACAACGTTGTGAGGAACTCGTTAATAGTTTGGCAAATAGTACTGTAGAGTGAATGGCAGTTAGCTGTAGGCACTTGCGTGGCATATGTATTACTTAGTAAATATAGTTTAATTTACTTTTATTTACAAGAGTTATGTAAGAACGATCTCAGAAGATCTAAAATTTCGTAGTAGTCAAATTTCTAAAGAGGTTTACTTTAAAATTTCTTACTAGTATATTCTAGGTAACATTTGTTGCTGCGGCAGTTTTGTATTTATTTAAGATCAAGCAGACATAATTTTTAAAATTTACCAGTTGAAATACTGGAAATAAAGTTTACCTGGGTGTTTTGGCAAATTATTTTGGGTCCTGTCAATGAAGTTTCGTTTTAGGATCAAGATGTTGACAAAGTGAAGCTTTTTCAGCTTCGTTAAGGTTATATTCACTTTAGAGAACATGAAATCTTGAATGGTCGCTTGCGGGCAGGTTAGGAATAAACGAAACAGATGAGCCGGAGTGAACCCAAAAGAAAGAGGGATTCCTACGGCAGAAGATCATTGACACGAATAGCTAAACAGCAAGATGACGCAGTATTATGCGGTGCCATGGAATTTGAAGGATTAGGGATTGCGATTTGTCAGTTGTGGTGACTAAATACAGGTTCATAGCGAAAAGAGATATTTTTTTATAGAAAAAAAGTAGATATCGAATTGTTGATTTGTCTGACAGCCGCCTCCCTTCTTCTCAGTTTACCCTCTGGCCTCTCTTTCTGGCGGCCCGTTCTTCTCATTTCCGATAGCTGCTACACATGAGTAAGACGTGAAGTTGCCGTTCACGTCGGTAAGGCACCATTTTCCAAGTTAGGTGAAAGGACGAACAGTCTGCGCAAAATTACGAGGAATGATCAAAACCGTGTGCTGAAAGTGATTGCTAGTGCAAATCAAGGTATGTACTGAAATCGAAGACCTAAGTAAAATCAACAAATGCTCAATTAAAATATTGCAAATACTTCAACCTTGTCCATACGACTGCTGCAATTTGGATTATCGAGCGGTAGCTAAGCCACTCTTGAAGGCGCATATGATTGGGCGGTTGCACAGCTGTGCTTACTCATCTGCGGGAATATCTGGGTGTCGAGTCATCCCTATTTATGCAAACTCATTCGTCAGAATCGATAAATATTTTTCTAGTTTCCAAGGTGGAATAAATTGATTCGAACAAATAGAGAAGAGAGCTTTTCGTTCTTTCAGAAACGATACAGTTCCAGGTTTTGGTTGGCAAGACTCCGTTTGTTTGGTTCAGCAGAATGTCTTTGATGCACGTCTCAAACGTGTTCCGTGAGTATATCAACTTTTACTGGATTTATATCGAAATCAGCTCTTAAAATAAGCATTAGATTTTAACGCGTTAGCTTTGTATAAGATACCTTTGGCGTTTCGAATCTTGGTTAATTTATCATGCAACGTTGTAACCAACTACTTTGGTGTAAATTTCGTTGGCGATTGTTCTCTATCGTGGGATTTCGAACGAAAATCGAAGATCACTCTCCCGCACGTACCAATGTCGTTGTGATTGATGATGCTTTTAACAATAACACCTAGAACGCTTCACACACGCAAAAAAACAACCATGGATATAAACGAACGATTTTGTTGAAAAAAGGGCGATTTCGAGTCGAAGGCACGTTGTAATCCACTCCCACGGGTTCCAAAGTGCATAGGAAATCGCGTGATTGCGAGTGTACTTGGTGAGCTTCGGCCATCAGTGAATTGAACTAGATATCTTATGGAGGGCGTATGTAATAGAGAGGCTCAAATTGTACTTTTTGTCGACCGTCGAAAATTAGAGCTCTCAGCAGGCTCTTTACCATTCAATAAATGCTGCGGTTTATCCCTTTGCGATGAATTTGTGTTATGTTGATCGTTTAAAATATGTGGTGTATAAACGAAAGTTGTGATATTAATCATGTACGTTTTGTTTTTTGCAAGGAAATACAGTTATCCAGTAACTTAAACTTAATCACCACGTTTTGTTGGGGTATTTTGTTGCATAGTTCAGTGTTCCAACAGGTCCTGAGTAGGGTAGTTTACTGATAACGTTAATTTAAATTTTAAAAAAAACTTAACTTTTTCCTGAGTTCATGTCTGTGAGTATTTAAGATGGCAATCTGTAATTCTATGACATCATTAACAATATTATTATCTCCTATGTAATTTGTTGGTTGTTGTGAAGACACTTTTTGAACTCCATGCACATGAACATGTGTTCCCTTGGTATGTGATATTTTTACTGATGTGTAGTGTGACTTAATCATAACCATTACAATTTTCTCCAATGTGATTGGAGCATTTGCTGCTTTATTTTTCACAAACCATTCTGTACAGTTGCTATTGGACTTTGGCTTTGCAATCATCCAATTTTGTAAATCACTCATATGATTACAGACTGAATTGGATTCTACTCGGTCCTATCACCATCATTAATAGTTCAATTTTCTTACTTTTTTAGTCAATTCACTGAGCATCAAGGTCACTCACTAGAAAGAAAGCTGTTTATAACAGTTTTACATAATTCAGTTCAGTAAGGTGAGGCGTGAGTGGTCCAGTGGTCTGAGCGCTGGACTCTGGATCGGACGGCCGGGGCACTATGTTGTGGCCTTAAACCTTTGCTTCGTCTTCTCGTTTAAGACGTTAACAGTTTTTTGGGGTATAATTCAGTTCATGGATGTTGCCATGGGACTCGATGTCCCGAAAATTTTGATTAAAAAGTTTTAAAAGATTTGCCAGCTTATGTGAAAATTTTGATTAAAAGTTTAAAGAGAGATCTGACAGCTCATACACACATTATGGGCACATGAACATGGTTGACTTCTGGAAACACTTTTTTGTCTCACCTACTGACTATATTCAAAGCACTCAAAAGGAATGGGATTTTGGGAATTTTTTTTGAGATAAGGCCTTACTGCTGAATGAATTGTAATAAATTATATTGAGCTGTTTCTGCCAATATTCACTAATCATTCTGTCCAGCTGCAATTAGACTCTGGCTTTGTGGTCATCCAATTTTGTGAATCACTCATCATTAAAGACTGAATTGGATTCCACTTAGTCCTATCACCATCATTAATGGTTCAATTTTCCTACTTTTTTAGTCAATTCACTGAGCATCAAGGTCACTCACTAGGAAAAAGCTGTTTATAACAGTTTTACATAATTCAGTTCAGTATATACCAGCTTATGTGAAAAATTTGATTAAAATTAGAAGAGAGATCTGACAGCTCATATGCACATTTTGGGCACATGAACATGGTTAACTTCTGGAAACAGTTTTTGTCACACCCACTGACCATATTCAAAGCACTTTAAGGACTGAAGTTTGGCATGGCAACAACTATTATTACACTAATGTTACAGGAAATCTTCAGAAATATTTTTTGGAAATGGTGATGAAAATTCCTATATATATTTTCTCTTAACTTTGAAATTTTTTTTTTTAGATAAGGCCTTGCTGCTGAATATATTGTAAAAATTACACTTTGCTGTTTCAATGTTATGTTGTTGCTAAGTTTACAATTAATATAACTGCCATGAAATGATACTATGGAGAGAAAGAGCTCTGAATTGAGTTCTATCCAACAGTTTCAATTTTTTTTCAAAGAACAAATTTTTAATATGATCTTAGTCATTTTACTAAATTTCACACTATTTTTGTAGAGCAGGGGAGAAACTATGGCATCTCAAACTCAGAATATTTTTGACGCTAATATTCACTGAACACTAATTTGAGCTTAAATCTGTTTATCCTGGAAATGCCTATAATTTTTCCAAAAAAAGCTCTGCGTGAAATTCAACTTACATGTTGCATATATGTAACAGTTTGTATCATTTTTTCTTGAAATTGAGATGACGTAAGTGTGGTGAAGAGGCTGAAACTATAACCCCCTTTACTTTCATTGTTGGTCTTTTAACTAAAAATAATGCCATTCACCCTAATTTGAATAATTTAACAAACCTGAGTGTTACTATTTGTCAGTTTTCACAAACATTATTCAAATTGATAGAAGGACAAAAGGAAAAAGAAAAGCTGTCAAATTCATATGTGTACATTCAGCTGAACACGAAGCTGAAGTAGGCAAAGGTGTACTATTTCTTGGTGTCTTAACCCTTTAACTCCCAAGATCTGATTGTCAATTCTCCCCTCTAGCTGCGATACATTTCCTTGTAAATTTGTTACTAGAATTTGGTGTTTGATCAAGGTTTATGTCTTGTACCTGATGAGTTTGAGTATTCTCACCACCTGTTTCACGGATAATGTTTGGATATGATAAGGAGAAGTTGTATGTTAATCACTTTTGGGAGTTAAAGGGTCGATGTGATTCACATTGTTTCATGTGAATGTAGAGCTATTTTGCATTAAAAAAAAACCAGACATAACTTTAAATTTATGAAGGGAGTTTTTAGAGCAAAAAGTACTCCAAATTTACCAGGCTGTGGTTCCTCGTCAGTACAAGGAACTGGTTTGAAATTCAGCACAGTGGCCCATTATCTGAAAATTTTTCAGATGAAATGTTGTTGCTCAGTATTTTGTAAAACATGATGTATAGCTCTTTCTTTCTGTTCGATAATAAAAGATTCAACAAGGCAAAAAAGTACTTTTAGTCTTCCAATCATGACATAAGTCTTACTTCCTTTGCAGTCATCATCATGGTTCATCATGCAGCATGTAATCGTAAGTGATATTTTTATATTGATTAAAATTAAAAATTGTTTTGTTTATGTATTGTGTTAATTTTATCAGCACTGAATTAAATGATAAACATCTTTTTGAAGGTCAGAACCTGCTATTGCTGCTATTGAAGTTTGTTTTTTGTTCGCAGCATGTGCTTCTCCAGAAGTTATCAGTGGAACCTCTGGACTTTTTTCAAGCCTTAATTTTCCCACCGAGACACCACCAGGCTCAACTTGTTTCTGGAATATCACAGTTCCAGAAGGATTTGTGGTGAAAATAACTTTCCACGCCTTTTCATTGTCGCAAGATGACACAAAAACTGACTGTAGTGATGCACAAGGGGCTCGTCTTCGTATCTCAGATGTTGCATCAACTGAACAGGCAAGAGACACCTTTGAGCTCTGTGGGCAGTCTATTCCTAGTCCTGTGTATACTTCCACAAACACCATTCAAGTGAGATTGAAGACAGTAGTTCTGCATGGAGTCATTGGATTTAATGCATCTTATGAGGCGATCTCCCCTGATATGTGTAAGTCCTCGTACATCTCAAGTTTTCTTTTCCTTAGGAGAAATGAAACCCCTGTGTATATGCAGCTTGTAATTTTTGCAGGAGTTTGATGGTTTGGCCATTTTTTTGGAGCTGTTGGGAACTGATTTTGGAATTTTCTGTTCAAGCAGCAGAAAACTATCAAGGAGGGAGAAGTGATATCTTCAACTTTAATAACTTGTTGAATTTCAGTACCCTCCTCTTCCTAGAAACATCCTACCGACTGCTATTAATCCTCTACAGATGTTACAGATGTACACCCAAATATCAGTATGCATATTCTCCATGCTGTACTGTATACATTTCCAAGGTGTTGACAAGGAGAATTTGTTTGATAATCAGGGGCTTCTTAAGTTGGTGATCATTTTCCTTTATTCTCCCGACCTTAATGTGCAGTATACGTGAAGGTGGATGGGCAAATCAGATGTAAGTCACTCCAATGGGCCAAAGGGATAATGATGGGATCGTCTTTTGTTATTGAAAAATATATTCATGATTTGTTGAGAGCAATATTCAATACTAATGTGTTTTTGATCAATCTTGTCTCCTAGTGTGTCCAGCAATGGCCAATTTGAGTGATGCATCAGGTGTTATTACCTCTCCATTTTATCCCAGATATTATCCAGATAACCAGAGCTGCACATGGGATATTGTTGCAAGCAACGGAAAGCATCTCAAGCTTGAGATTGAGAATACCACAAAAATTCAACAATGTAATCAATGCAATTGTGACTATTTGAATGTCCAGTATGGTTTTGACAGTTCAGGAAATCCAAGTGGGAAAATATGTAAAGAACTCACAGAAACTGTGACGTACTACTCACTTAAGGATCGTCTAAGGGTGCAGTTTCATTCAGACAACTTGCAGGAATTCATTTTTATGGGATTCAGAGCAGTTTACACTCAACTGGAATCCAACCCAAGAAGTAAGTATCAGGAATGGACCTACTTGCATCAGAAGGGATACAAAGTCCACATTACCTTTAGTTAGTTATTTGTGTTCATCCTTGGAATCTCAAACCTAAAGTTGGCATGTGTGGGTTGATTTCTGCCACTCCTTCTGTAAAGAATCCTCCTCACAATATTTGTGTAAATTTTGTTAATTGAGCATTTTGACTGTTTTTCACCTTTTTAGTTTGCCCTAAAGCAGCAACCCTGTTCACAGCTTCAAATGGAAAGTTCAGCAGTCCTGGTTACCCCTTAGATGTCCCTCCTGGTCTAGATGTAGCTAATAATCGAGCCTGTACCTGGAATATCACTGTAGCTGCTGGGAAACGTGTTGAGTTGACTTTTACCCATTTAAATTTTGGCACATGTTCTTCTTCATGTGATCAGTGCACACATCTGGACATCTATGATGGTGATTCAAAAAGCTCTCCTTCTCTGGGGCGTTTCTGTCCTGGATCTGCAGAGGAAGTGAAGGTGTCAAGTGGTAACCAAATGTTTGTGGAGTTTGAATCTGGCTTTGGTAATGATCGTGGTACTGGTTTTGAAGTACAATACAAGACTGTTATGAAATCAAAAGGTAAACAAACAGAACCCCAACCCCAACAAGTAATTATCACTTTTACTTGATTTTTATGTTGTGTCTTCATGGTCCAAATAAGACCACTGAAGCCTATAAGTCCACAGTCATACATTATATATTTATATACCGGTTTCCAAAAACATTGCATATGAAATATATATTAAATGTATATATCTTCTGTTTTCTCATCACAAAGGTGCCTGTTTATTTCCTATCAAAGGAACAATACCTTTTGTTTCTCATTTGAGAGTTGCTGTGCATATTAGCATTGTCTTACACCAGCCTTTGCATGGTGTTCTCAATATCCATGACTGGGAAATTCTTCAATATTGAATTTTGAGCGTATGTTTGCTTCTTAGGTCATCTATCACCAGATTTAATTTCCAAGTCTGTTGAGCTATGTCAAAAGAAAAGCTGTAATGTGTAAACTCAAAGCTGCAACCTCATGGCCAATTCAATTTAGCATTTTAACTGTTTCAAGAACAATATACAATGTCCATGCCGGCAAGGTCAAAAAGCAAGAACAAAGTTTTAGAAACTCTTTAGAGTGACTAATTTACATTCACAACTCAATTGATAAAATTACCTTCTCTTGTAACACCCCTCACCAATGTTGCACCTCAGTTTCTTTAGAAACCTACATTGCACCACTTTATTCATTATTTGATCAAGAGAGTGTTTTCTTTTGTAGGGGCCGGAGCCATGAAGACTGGTGGCCTGTTGATTCCCACCATGCTTGCCCTAGCTGCTTCCCTTTATTAGCCTGTAAGGGACATTGTCACTTTCAGACCATCATGTGTTCTGGATCAAAGGAAGCTCTTTGCCTCATGTAGGGTTATCATTAGAAAATTTAAGAGATGCATGATCTCTACTGAGAAGATGGCTGAATTGAAGTACAACATGCCTACAAAAGAAGCATGGCATGTTCCAAAGCAAAAGTTATGTGTTAACCTGGGAAAAAATTGAGATTTGAAGCTCTCAGAGAGGTGACTTCTAGTAGTCTACAACATAATTTTATTGGGGTAATTTTTTTTGCCATAAATTGATGTTGGAATAAGTTTAAAGAATATGTATTTAACTGTCTTTGATCACAATTCACAAAGTAGCTGGCACAAAGTGGTGTGACAGCCAGTGTTTTTCTGCCACCTACTGGATTCTAATGTCAATCCTGCTTATTTAATCTTCAGATTTCCCTACAACCCTTGTAAATATAATTGGTTAAGAGTGGATCCCTGGGCAAGACCCTTATGAAATTAAATGGGATGTGAATGGCACTTAATAGGGAAGCCTATCAAACTGAAAGATATTTTTTTTTCTCAATTTTGCTAAGCTCCAGGTCTTCACATCAATTTTCCTTACCTGCTCCATACTTTCAAAGAAATGTTTGTTCCAAGAAAGTAGTGTTAAACAATCTCCCTTCCCTCCCTTGGTTTTGCCTCTGTCTGCTTGATAATGAAGTAATGTTATGCAGCAGAAGAGTGTAATGATGATATTGTTGTAAATGATGTTGTAAATGATGCTGATTAGGATAATTATATATACAACAATAATAATGATTTTAAAACTATGCAATGACTTGATGAGGTATTTTTTATGTGCTTGTGCATTTTATAGTAGCAGTATGTATTTTATATGATTTTTTTTAATATTCAAGTACCCTTTAATAAACAAGTCTAACAAGTAATAAATTGGACCTATTAGTAACTGTGCAGATGATGAGGTGAGGAATTACCTTCTTTCCAATTGGCTTTTTTTTTTCCATGGATTAGTCAGAGACAGGGAAAGAAGTCAGGCTACTTTTGTAGGAGTGGCATTTACACCCAATTGATTATTAAAATTAGACATAATTGCTTCATGTGGAGCATCTTGATTAACCCAGTTTTACTCTATTTATTTTTCTGGAAATGTCACAGTACCACTAGCCAACACAGGAATATATTATGGGGAGGATATGAACAAACAATATCATGTAGTTTTAAAATGAGCGTGAGCTATATCTATGCTCTAGCTTCGGCTTTTATAGAAGCATTGTACGTGTAAAAGTGAAAGAAAACTTAAACGTACTTTACCTTATTTGGTTGTAAATCAAATGTAATATTAAACATGATTTTAATGCTGGTTGAAATGGGTTCTATTATTGAGAATTCATTATTTCCGTGTATGGTTGGTTCCCTTATTACATCCGTGACATCGATGGCGGGAAGAGTGAGCAATGACTTTACATCCGAGCATAAAAGCTCGTTGCACATACCAAAGCAGTCTGTACGTCACGCAATCAAGTTCAGCTGTGTCACGTAACGCTACCCTTGCTTAAGGCTCTTGTTTACAGCAAGTCTTCTTCTCCTCCAGTTATTCAATCAATAAAGAGGTTTTTTTTTCTTAAATTTATCCTCAGAAGTTGGAAATGAATTGAGTTCGAGCGAAGAAAGAAAGAATTAGCGTTTCCCTAGGCAAATAATAGATTTCATTGTGTTTTATTTCAAACACTGAACACGCGGCGGAAAGACTGTACCTGATGCCGGTAAAAAGAAAAAGAAGGTGAAAAATCCGGCATCGATCGTGGTCCCTTCCACATGTAAAGCAAGGGGTCTTTTGCTTAACAATTGTTCTTAATGGCAAAATTAAATGTTTACGAGAAGTCGTTTTAAACTCCATCAGTTATTTGAGACAACTTAATGTACTATGTTAGAAGCTCAGTTGCTTAACAGACACAGCAACCTTGGCAACCTTCACTTGTTGAGTTTAGCTCCATCAAACCACACCTTCCTTTCAATCTTCACTTTACTTGCAACTTCTTCGCCATCAATTCCAACAAATATGATCTCGTATCTATGATTCTTGAGCGGATCTTTCACTTCTTTATGTTCTTCTGGCCAGGATCTACTGATCTCAGGCAAGTAGACCTGAATGGCTTTCTTCAACAGCAGATCTTTATTGCCTTTGGTGGTGCCCACTCCTTTGGGAGTGTCGTCCCGTTTTACAATCTGTGGTCAGTGAGAGTATATTAAAAAACGGAAAACTGGTTGGAAAAAATGCACACGACAGCCTTTAATCGACCAGTAACCGCAGGCAAAGTGGTTCGATTCAAATTGAAGTCAATTTGAATTTTTTACTGCGTACAGTTCTGTTCATAGTTCTGTTCATTCATGTCTCTTTGTAAAGCACAATCAACTCCTCTGCAAGACAAGTCAGTATTAAATACTTTACATTATGTCAATCAGTTTGCTATAAGAGTTTCGGCTTTAGGAGATTGGTAACAAAGCCAACGGGTCCAAATGGACTTTACCCGTTTATCTAACATCAGTGTCGTCTAGAAATTTTGTTAAAATGGAAGTTTTTTTTATTATTCCTCATGAAAACAATTACCTGGAGGAATATGGAACAAGAAAGCTTATAAGCCGTCATGAAAGGAAGTACTTGCATGGGTATTCATCATCGTCCGATGTTCGTAAAATCGACCACTTCCTTTTCATCTCCGTCATGAAAGGCGATTCTCCAAAAATCCGATGTAAAATGCATTTTTTTTCATCTCTATTCCAATTCTCCAAAAATCATGTAAATTGGTTCTGAAGTTCTGGTTGGGCGCTGTTGATCATCGTGCCATTATGTTTGTGGTAAAGCATTGCATACAGTGCGTTGCTTGTTATCAAACCGATTACTACGTTGAAGGAAACCCATTTAAACCTTGAAAACCTTTTTTGGACAACCTTGAAATAGATGACTTTCTAAACGTAGTAAGCGGTCAGATAACAAGCAATGCACTATGGAAATAAGGTGTGGTATTTTTTGTGTGAATATTTGACTTATTTTTTTATTCCTTAGAGCGGTCGTAAATATTCTCATACAAACTCTTGTAATTTCGCCGTGCTTGTTATTTCGTAAGATGATCATCTCTAGTTGGAGACTGGGCTGCCTGTGGTTTGGCGAAATGTCTTCCGCGATGCACGCCTTAAACGTCTTCCGTGAGTATATCAACTTTTACTACATTAATATCGAAATCAGCTCTCGAAAAAAGCATTAGATTTGGACACGGTAGCTTTGTACAAGATATCTTTGGCGTTTCGAATCTTAGTTTATTTATTATCCATCTTTGTAAGCAACTACTTGGGTGTAAATTTCGCTGCTTCGTAAGTCATGGCGATTGTTTATCTCCATTGTGGAATTTCGGACGGAAATCGAAGACCACTTCCCTGTACGAACCAATGTCGTTTTTATTGATGATGCTTTTAACAATAACACCTAAAACGCCACACACACACACACCCACAAAAAAAGAACCATGGATATAAACGAGCGATTTTGTTGAAGAAAGGGCGATTTCGATTCGAAGGCACGTCGGACTCCATTCCTACAGGCACCTCGTGAGCTTCGGCTGCTAGTGAATTGAACCAGATATCTTATGGAGGGCGTATGCAATAAAGAGGCTCACATGTACTTTTCGTCGACTGTCGAAAATGAAAACTCTCTGCAGACACTTTACCATTCAATAAATGCTGCGGTTTATCCCACTGCGATGAATTTGTGTTTATGTTTATCTTTTAACATATGTGGTGTAAAAGCGAAAGTAATGATATTAATCATTTACATTTTGTTTTTTGCGAGGAAATATAGTTATGTGGTAACTTTAACTTAATCACCACTGGCCACATTGTCACATAGTTAAGTGTTCCAAGAGGACCTAAGTACGGTAGTTTATGAGTTCATGTTTGTGAGTATTTAAGATAGCAATTTGTAATTCCCATGACATTATTAACAATATTATTATCTCTCATGTATTTGTATTTGTTGGTTGTTGTGAAGACATTTTCTCATCTTCATGCACATGAACATGTTCCCTTGGTATGTGATATTTTTGCTGATGTGATGTTTGACTTAATCATAACCATTACAATTTCCTCAAATGTGGTTAGTGCATTAGCTGCTTTATTTTTCAGTAATCATTCTCTACAGCAGTAATTGGTCATCCAATTTTGTGAATCACTCATATGATTACAGACTGAATTGGATTCCACTCAGTCCTGTCACCATCGTTACTGGTTCAATTTTCTTACTTTTTCGGTCAACTCACTGAGCATTAAGGTCACTCACTAGAAAGAAAGCTGTTTATAACAGTTTTATATAATTCAGTTCAGTATTTGCCAGCTTATGTGAAAATTTTGATTAAAAGTTTGAAGAGAGATCTGATGGCTCTTGCACATATTTTGGGCACATGAACATGGTTGACTTCTGGAAACAGTTTTTTGTCACACCCACTGACCATATTCAAAGCACTTAAATTAGGACTGAAGTTTGAAATAGTAGGTGTGGCATAGCAACCACAGTTATTACACTACTTCTCTTAACTTTGGGATTTTTTTTTGAGATAAGGTCTTACTGCTGAATGAATTGTAATAAATTACATTTAGCTGTTTCAATGTTATGTTGTTGCTAAGTTTACAATTGATATCACTGCCACAACATGATACTATGTAGAGAAAGAGCTCTAAATTGAGTTGTATCCAACAGTTTGTATTTTTTTTTCATAGAACAAATTTTAAGTATGATCTTAGCCATTTTACTAAATTTCACACTATTTCTGTAGAGCAGGGGAGAAACTATGGCATCTCAAACTCAGAATATTTTGAACACTAATATTCACAGGACACTAATTTGAGCTAAAATCCAGTTATCTTGGAAAGCCCTTCTTATTTTTTTCAGAAAAAGCTCTCTGTGAAATTCAACTTACATATATATGCAACAATTTGTATAATTTTTTTCTTGAAATTGAGATGACGTAAGTGTGGTGAAAAGGCTGAAAATATAACCCCCTTTACTTTCATTGTTGTTCTTTTAACTACAAATAATGCCATTCACCCTAATTTGGATAATCTAACAAACCTGAACATTACTAATCATCATTTTCTCACACAGTATTCAAAGTTACTTAGACAGCATTGTTAGAAGGATAAAAGGAAAAAGAAAAGCTGTCAAATTCATATGTGCACCTTCAGCTGAAAAGAAAACTGAAGTAGGCAAAGGTGTACTTTTTTTTTGTCAATGTGAATGTGGAGCCATTTCGGTTTGAAAAAAAACAGTCATGACTTTAAATTTACAAAGGGAGATTTTAGAGCAAAAATGTCTCTTGATTTACTCAGCTGAAACATTATTGCTCCGTATTCTGTAAAGCATGATTTAGAGCTCTTTCTTTCTTTTTGATAGTAAAAGATTCAACAAGGCAAAAAAGTACTTTTAGTCTTCCAATCATGACATAAGTCTTACTTCCTTTGCAGTCATCATCATGGTTCATCATGCAGCATGTAATCGTAAGTGATATTTTTATATTAATTAAAATTAAAAATTGTTTTGTTTATGTATTGTGTGAATTTTATCAGCACTGAATTAAATGATAAACATCTTTTTGAAGGTCAGAACCTGCTATTGCTGCTATTGAAGTTTGTTTTTTGTTCGCAGCATGTGCTTCTCCAGAAGTTATCAGTGGAACCTCTGGACTTTTTTCAAGCCTTAATTTTCCCACCGAGACGCCACCAGGCTCAACTTGTTTCTGGAATATCACAGTTCCAGAAGGATTTGTGGTGAAAATAACTTTCCACGCCTTTTCACTGTCACCAGGTGACACAAAAACTGACTGTACTAGTGCACAAGGGGCTCGTCTTCGTATCTCAGATGTTGCATCAACTGAACAGGCAAGAGACCCCTTTGAGCTCTGTGGGCAGTCTATTCCTAGTCCTGTGTATACTTCCACAAACTCCATTCAAGTGAGATTGAAGACAGTAGCTCTGCATGGAGTCAATGGATTTAATGCTTCTTATGAGTCAATCTCCACTGATAAGTGTAAGTCCTTGTACATCTCAAGTTTTATTTTCCTAAGGAGAAATGAAACCCCTGTGTATATGCAGCTTGAAATTTTTGCAGGACTTTAATGGTGTAGGGCCCTTTTTTTTTAGAACTGTTGGGAACTGAATTTGGAATTTTCTGTTCAAGCAGCAGAAAGCTATCACAGAGGGAGATGTGATATCCTCAACTTTAGTAACTTGTTGAATTACAGCACCCTCCTCTTCCTAGAAACATTCTACTGATTGCTATTAATCTTCTACAGATGTTACAGATGTACACCCAAATATCAGTATGCATATTCTCCATGCTGTACTGTATACATTTTCAAAGGTGTTGGCAAGGAGAATTTGTTTGACAATCAGGAGCTTCTTAAGTTTTTTTTTTTTCTATATTCTCCTGACCTTAATGTGCAGTATACATGAAGGGTGATATTGTAATGGGGAAATTAGATGGAAGTCACTCCAAGGGGCTAAGGGGATAATTATGGGATTGTCTTTTGTTATTGAAAAGTGTAGGCATGATTTGTTGAGAGCAATATTCAATACTTATGTGTTTTGGATCAATCTTGTCTCCTAGTGTGTCCAGCAATGGCCAATTTGAGTGATGCATCAGGTGTTATTACCTCTCCATATTATCCCAGATATTATCCAGATGACCAGAACTGCATGTGGGATATTGTTGCAAGCAACGGAAAGCATCTCAAGCTTGAGATTGAGAAGACCACAAACATTCAACAATGTAATCAATGCAATTGTGACTATTTGGATGTCCAGTATGGTTTTGACAGTTCAGGAAATCCAAGTGAGAAAATATGTAAAGAACTCAGAGAAACTGTGACGTACTACTCACTTAAGGATCGTCTAAGGGTGCAGTTTCATTCAGACAACTTGCAGAAATTCATTTTTATGGGATTCAGAGCAGTTTACACTCAACTGGAATCCAACCCAAGAAGTAAGTATCAGGAATGGACTTATTTGCATCAGAAGGGATACAAAGTCCACATTACCTTAGTTACTTGTGTCCATCCTTGGAATCTCAAGCCTAAAGTTTGCATGTGTGGGTTGAGTTTTGCCACTCCTTCTGTATAGAATCCTCCTCACAATTTTTGAAAGAAACACTTCTCCCTCTGCCTTGTAAATTTTGTTAATTTAGCATTTTGGCCGGTTTACACCTTTTTAGTTTGTCCTAAAGCAGCAACCCTGTTCACGGCTTCAAATGGAAAGTTCAGCAGTCCTGGTTACCCCTTAGATGTCCCTTCTGGTCTAGATGAAGCTAATAAAAGAGCCTGTACCTGGAATATCACTGTAGCTGCTGGGAAACGTGTCAAGTTGAATTTTACCCATCTAAATTTTGGCACATGTTCTTCTCAATGTGATCAGTGCACACATCTGGACATCTATGATGGTGATTCAAAAAGCTCTCCTTCTCTGGGGCGTTTCTGTCCTGAATCTGCTAAGGAAACGAAGGTGTCGCACGGTAACAACGTGTTTGTGGAGTTTGAATCTGGCTTTGGTAATGATCGTGGTACTGGTTTTGAAGTACAATACTCAGAGACAGATGATCCACCTACAGATGTGGGTAATGCATCTACAACTGTCACAACAAAACCAACAGATGAACAAACAGATAACCCTACAGATAAACCATCAGATAAACCATCAGATAAACCAACAGTTAAACAAGCAGAAACCCTAACAAGTAATTATTACTTTATCTTGATTTTTATGTTGTGTAAATAAGACCAAGCTTACAAGTCCACAATCATGCATTAGATATTTACATGTATATATACCTGTTTTCAAAAATGTTGCAATTTGAAAATTTATATTAAATATCTATATATCTTTCATTTTCTCATCACAAAGGTGCATGTTTATTTCACATTAGAGGAACAATACCTTTTGTTTCTTATTTGAGAGTCACTGTGCATATAAATATTGTCTTACACCAACCTTTGCATGGTGTTTTCAACATCCATGACTGGAAATTCTTCAATATTGAATTTTTAATGTTTCTAAGGTCATCCATCACCAGAACTAATTTCCAAGTCTGTTGAACCATGTCAAAAGAAATGCTGTACATAGTATGCACACTCAAAGCTGCAACCTCATGGCTAATTCAATTTAGCATTTTAACCGTTGAACAATATATGATGTCCATGCCAGTAAGGTCAAAAAGCAAGATCAAAGCTAAGCAATGAAGCAGTACTCAAAAATTCTGCTTTAGAAACTCTTTAGAGTGACCAATTTACATTCACAACTCAATTGGTAAAACTACCTTATCATGTAACACCCCTCACTAATGCAACACCTCAGTTTCTTTAGAAACCTGCATTGCACCACTTTATTCATTATTTGATCAAGAGAATAATTTCTTTTTGTGTTTCCTTTTGCAGGGGCTGTAGCCATAAAGACTGGTGGCCTGTTGATTCTCACCATGCTTGCCCTAGCTGCATCCCTTTATTAGCCTTTAAGGGACATTGTCACTTTCAGACCATCATGTGTTCTGGTTCGATGGAAGCTCTTTGCCTCATGTAGGGTTATCATTAGAAAATTAAGAGATGCATGATCTGTACTGAGAAGGTGGCTGAATTGAAGTACAACATGCCTGCAAAAGAAGCATGGCATGTTACAAAGCAAAATTTTATGTGTTAACCTGGAAAAAAATTGAGATTTGAAGCTCTCAGGGAGGTGACTTCTAGCAGTCTACAACATAATTTTATTGAGGTAATTTTTTTGCCAGAAATTGATGTTGGAATTAGTTTAAAGAATACTTATTGGATTGTCTTCTTTGATCACAATTCACAAAGAACTTGATGTTGGAATCAGTTTGAAGAATACTTATTGAATTGTCTTTGATCACAATTTACAAAGTAGCTGGCACAAAGTGGTGTGGCAGCCAGTGGTTTTCTGCCACCTACTGGATTCTAATGTCAATCCTGCTTATGTAATCTTCAGAGTTCCCTACAACCCTTGTAAATATAATTGGTTAAGAGTGGATCCCTGGACAAGACCCGTATGAAATTAAATGGGATGTGAATGGCACTTAATAGGGAAGCCTATCAAACTGATCAATTTTGCTCAGCTCCAGGTCTTCACATCAATTTTCCTACCCTGCTCTATACTTTCTAAAGAATGTTTGTTCCAAGAAATTAGTGTTAAACAATCTCCCTTCCCTCCCTTGGTTTGCACTTTCTCCTCATCCTCTGTCTGCTTGATAATGCAGTAATACTATGCAGCAGAATTTACCTCTTATTTCCTTGTGTGGTGCTTTAACATTTAAGTATGTTTTAACATTTAATGGGTTAGTGTGGAAGATAAAAACTGTGAATCGATTTTTATAGATTAGAAAATGTTTAATTCCTGTCATGCAGGAATTTAATGTTCACCTTAATTAATGTTTCTTTCAGTCATCAAATAAAGCTTTTGTCACTACCTGATTTATATCTCTTAATTGTACTTCAATATCCTCATTTGATGTCCATCCCATGGAGGTGGGGGAGGGGGGGAGGAGGAGGGAGTGTAATGATGATATTGTTGTAAATGATGCTGATTAGGATAAATATATATATACAACAATAATAATGATTTAAAACTATGCAATGACTAGATGAGGTGTTTTTTATGTGCATGTGCATTTTATAGTAGCAGTATTTATTTTATATGATTTTTTTAATATTCAAGTACCCTTTAATGAACAAGTCTAACAAGTAATAAACTGGAGGGTAACTGTGCAGATGAAGTGGTGAGGAATTACCTTCTTTCTAAATGGCTTTTTTTCTGTGGATTAGTCAGAGACAGGGAAAGATGTCAGGCTACTTTTGTAGGGGTTTCATTTACAGTCAATTGATTATTAAAAATTAGACATAATTGCTTCATGTGGAGCATCTCGATTGACCCATTTTTACTAATTCCCTCGATTTTTCTGGTAATGTCACAGTACCATTAGCCAACACAGACATATATTATGGGGAAGATACGAACAAACATTGTCATGTGGTTTGAAATTAGTGTGAGCGATATTTATGCTCTAGCTTTGGCTTTTATAGAAGCATTGTACATATAAAAGTGAAAGCAAACTTCAACGTGATCTTAACGTATGTGATTTGGTTGTAAATTAAATGTAATATTAAACATGCTTTTAATGCTGGTTGAAATGGGTTCTATTATTGAAAATTCTGTATTTCCGTGTATGGTTGGTTCCCTTATTACATCAGTGACATCGATGGCGGGAAGAGTGAGCAGTTACTTTACATCCGAGCATAATAACTCGTTGCGCATACCTAAAGAGTCTGTGTGTCACGCAATCAAATTCAGCTTGTCACCTAACGCTAACCTCGTTTATAGCTCTTGTTTACTGTAAGTCTTCCTCTCCTCCAGTTATTTAATCAACAGAGAAGTTTTTTTTTTTTCACAAACTTATCCTCAGAAGTTGGAAATGAATTGAGTTCGAGCCAAGAAAGAAAGAATTAGCGTTTCCTTAGGCAAATAATAGATTTCATTGTGTTGTTTTATTTCAAACACTAAACACATGGAGGAAAGGCTGCCCCCTGATGCCGGCTAAAAGGAAAACAAACAAAGAAGATGAAAAGTCTGGCACCGATCGTGGTCCCTTCCACATGCAAAGCAAGGGGTCTTTTGCTTAATAATTATTCTTTACGGCAAAATTAAATGTTTACGAGAAGTCGTTTTAAACTCCATCGGGTATTTGAGAAAGCTTAATCTTTAATTATCTTATAAACTCTGTTGCCCGACAGACATTACTAAGTTTGTAAACTTTGGTGGAAAAACTAACCTATTGGCTGACTTATTGAAGTCGAAAGATACAAGTAATGACAAATAGCTATCAGTAACAACAGTTGTTATGTCTTCTCAAAGCAACCTTGGCATTTTAGTCGTTTAGTTTAGCTCCATCAAACCACACCTTCCTTTCAATCTTCACTTTACTTGCAACTTCTTCGCCATCAATTCCAACAAATGTGATCTCATATTTATGATTCTTGAGCGGATCTTTTACTTCTTTATGATCTTCTGGCCAAGATCCACTGATCTCAGGCAAGTAGACCTCAATGCCTTTCGTCAACAGCAGATCTTTATTGCCTTCGGTGCCCACTCCTTTGGGAGTGCCGTCTAGTTTGACAATCTGTGGTCAGTAAAAGTATGTTATAAAAACGGAAAACCGGTTGGAAAAAATGCATTTGACAGCTTTTGATCGACCAATAATCCGCAGGCAAAGTGGTTCGATTCAATTGAAGTCAGTATTAATTTTTTACTGCGTACAATTCTGTTCACATCCTCACGAGTATTACTGTTAAATCTTTAAGATTGCTTTGTCTCTTTGTAAAGCACAACCCACTCCTCTGCAAGGCAAGTTAATATTATACTTTATTATACTTTATATATTGTGTCAATCAGTTTGCTGCAAGAATTTCGTCTTCAGGAAATTGGTAAAAAAGCCCACGGGTCCATATGATAAGGTGGAGTCTCGACTCCACTCTCCTTCTGACTTTACCCGAATATCTACCATCAGTGTCGTCTAGAAATTGTGTTAAAATGGAATTTAACAAATGGAATTGGAAGTTTTTTTTAAACAATTACCTGGAGGAAGTCAGGATTCTTAGTTGGAATATGGAACAAGAAAGCGTCCTTCTTGTCACCGTACAGGAAGTAGGAAAGGAACTCTGGGTATTCGTCGTCGTCAAAGTGTTCGTACTGTGGAACATCCACCACCTTCATGTTAGCTGTCATGAAAGGCTTACTTCCATGAGAAGGCAGTCCGATGTATAAATCAAACACTTCCTTTTCATCTCCGTATTCCGATTCTCCAAAAAAAACATCATGTAGCGTGCTTTTTTTGCTTCTGAAGACAATTGGGTCCGGTTGGGCGCTGGTGGTCATCAAAGAATCCTGTTTGGATTTGTAGGCTTTTGCTTGACTATCTAAGTTAAACTGCAAAGTGGCGACCGTGCCATACTGTTTGGAGATGTTGTTGAAGTTGCCTGCGTAATAAACGATGACTTGGTTTTCATCATTAACCACTCCTGTACTGACAAAGTCATGGTGGCACTTGGGATCTTTTACCTGACAGCACAAAAACAAATAACTAGTAAATCGATGTTGTTGCAAGTTTAGAGAGTCTTCAAGGGAATATTCATACTTTTCACCCTGGAATCAAGTTTTGCAAAACTATAAAGGGGCTAAGTTTCTAGAGAAATTGTGGTGTTGCATCGGTGGGAGAGTATAACAGGGTAATTAAGTGTTATCACCTGAGTAAATGAGTTGAATGAAAAGTATTATAACGAGAATAAATTAGTTGACTGAAAAGCGCTCATTGATACCTTTGGGATTCGACACTAGATTACCCTGTTTAGCAAACTGGTGCGCCAACAAAATAATTTTTCTTGGTTTCTTAGGTAAAAAATGATCCTGTAGTCGCTTGCTTTGATGGTTAAAGGTTTGTAATGCATTTTTTTCATTAGAGCGCGTCTGCATTACCCTTCCGATGGCACAAAGAATACTGTTCCTCATGATGGAAGTCAAGTCATCCATGAAGTCGACGGAAGTCGCCCACGGATCCATGCAAGTGGTGATGAGGAACTTGACAGAGGAATCACCCTTTGGATCAAGCTAGAATAGAAACAAGTTTCTGATGTAGATATGCACACACGAATTTATAGCAAATGAACGGCGTGCGCTAAAGAACTAGTCATATTAAACTGAGGAGAGATGATAAGTGGTGCTCCACTCTCTTGCTCTTTCTCCTTTGTCACAAGTAAAACTACATGTATTTCAGAATAATTAAAGCGAAGTGCCTATTTCACTCTGCGAGTAAAATCTTAAAGCATTTTCAATTCATTTTTGAAAATAATGCAGGATTGCATGGAGTTTTTGGTTTACTTTGCTCTGGGATTTGTCCAGAAAAGTCGCGTCAACCATCTTGACATATTAGATGAAAAAATAAAACCAATCACGACTTGGTCGCCCGCGTTTTCCCGCGCTTTAGACAGCTTGGTTGGTTTTACCCATTGGCTTTTAATTGTATTTTCCTTTCTTCTGATTGGCTGTCGTGAATACTTTGGTTTTGGTTTTAAAATACTCAACCGAAAGGCGATCTATGTACTTTGTTTACCATGAACGTCACTTGATTAACACTTGATTAGTCCCTTACCCCCAGCCTCTTTTTAAAGTTCTTCAGAGCAGAGCTGTGCTTGTGGTGGAGCATGCTAGATGACGTCACAATCATTGGAATTCGATGTGCAGTCGTTTCTCCAGTGGAATGGCTGAGGTCTTGAAATATCGCCATATTAAGGGAATTACACTCTTCAATGCTTTTGTTACCCTTTAGATTGACGGTGAAGCATGGCACCAGCGTGTCGGGACCAATCTCTTTCAAATACTCCAGGGCTTCATGGTCCTGTTCATTAAAAAAAACGAATCTGTCATTTAACTGACTTTACTTATGATTTGTCATTTATTTTTGTGAAAGTTCTTGAGATACCTTAGTGAGTTCCTCGTTACTTTTACCAATGATTCTTTCTCTGATAAACTCCTTCTGCTTCTTCTCCGACATTCCCTTCCATGCAGATGGCAGCGGTTTAGTGGTTTCAATGATAAATTGATCATCCTCTTCAGGGAGAGTTATCCATAAGCAGTACAAAATTTTAGCAGTGTACGTACATTCGGACAGGATCCGACCATACCCATTTTTGTGTAAACCAATAACCTGTTCAAAAGATATTAGTTGCGATAAGCACGGAAGCCATCACCGCAAAATATTATAACATAAGTGCAGCAGGTGGTCACATTAGGATTACGTTTCTCTCTGGAAAAACCTAATGGCTACATTCGTTATTGGAAGCGAAAGCAAGAACTTTGAAATCATACTGGCTCCCGATACATAAAGCGCTCTACAATGTCTTCATGCCATACGCTCTGTGCGGTAACTAGTTCGTCAAGATTACTATTATAAGAGTGATGACTTTTTTCAAGACGTGAATGGCACCTCCAATATCAACAACTTTCTTTATGTACCAAGGGAAGAGGTAGCTCATCATGAATACAACCTGGCTGTGTCTTGAAAGAATTGGAAAATGTATAATGTCAGAAAGGAGATGATGAAGAAGTATTATGCCCATGGCAGTTAAATTTGATGATAATTATAACCACGACAACGAAGACATATGTAAAAGTAATATCAAACAACTCCTACCCTGTTCGCCAGCAAAACTGATGCGGCAGCTGCGCCTGGTTTAGATCCCTCAATTCCAATATCACCAAGAGTCATATCACCATGGTAATAAACCACACTAGTTGTGATTTGGAGGAAGGTATTCATCCGCTTATCTTTGTAACACAGTGCCCCAGCGGGGTAGGGACAGAAGCCAGATTTGTGAGGGTCAATGGTAATGGTGTCGCATTGGTTCAGAGCTGACAACTCTGGCGCTCTAGCGGAACAAAGTAATCATAGAACAATTAATAAAGACGTAAATAATCAGGCTAATGAAATGATTGCAAGAACGTAATCACCTTCGTTTAGGACGTTTCCTTTGGCTTGCGTGGAATAAGTAATTAATAATCTAAATTGAAGGAACCTGTGTGACTGTTATTCATCAAATGAGAATTGGAAGTTTTCAATTGAGTGTCAAAGTAGTCCAGGGTTGCTTTGGTTTTGCTTAACTTTGCTCTGTGATTGGTGTAGGAAACACACACCACTTACTTAAACTATCAGATGCAAAACTAAAAATCAATCACTACTTGGTCGCTCGCGTCTTCCCGCCCTTTAGGTAGATTACCTGTATTTAAAATAAGTTCTTATTGGCTCTTAAAGGTATTTTCCTTTCATACGATCGGCCTTTGTAATAACTTCGGTTTTAGTTTTACGATAATCAATAAAAAAGCGTTCTAGATGAAACAAAAACCTTTGCGCTGAGTCATTATTAGGTTCATAAGTGACATGCGTCCAGTTTTGTGCTAAGACCGTCTGGAAACCGTTCATGTGTATAAATACAATGACAAAGGTAGTAAACTTCTGTCAGTTGCTGATGATTATAATAACGATGATGATACCATGGCACCTTGTATCTGGAGCTGTAGAATGGCACAGAATTCATCATTTTATTTTGAAGTTCTTCCATCTCCGTTTTTAACTTGTTCATGGAAGCTTTGAATGCCTGTGTATCGCGCAGCTCATCGGTCACGTAAGGAGGATCACATGGAAAATATCTTAAACAGAAATATACATCAGTGCAGCTCAATGTCGATGTTACCATTCAACATCAGACTTTTTGCTGAAAATTTACAAAATCCAACTATCAGTCTCACAAAAATGTCGTGCCCGAGAATGATTTTTGTTTATCCATGCATGCAACAGACAGAACCGAGTGGGTAGGGGAGGGGGAGAGGAGAGGTAGGGAGGGAAGGGGAGGGTAGGGGAGAGGAAAGAGAGGGGTGGGGGAGAGGAGGGGGAAGGGGGGAGAAAGGGAGGGTAGGCAGGGAAGGGAAGGGGTAAGAGAGGGAAGGGGGAGAGAAGGGGTAAGGAGGGAGGAGGGAGGAGGGAGGAGGGAGGAGGGCCATAAGAAGCCATACCAAAGAAAGGTCACTTTCAATTTTTCTTAGATCCCAAAGGGACCTTGTTGCAACATGAATTGAAATCTCATTTTGCTTTCTCACTTTCTTTCTTCTCATGTATGATACATTGGTAATTTCCTTCATCAAATCGTGTATTTAGCTCATGATTTTCTGCGAGTTCCGCACCCCCTCCTCAAAAACAACACTTAAATTAAGAATAAATTATGACTCACTTACACATGACGACGAAAGTTTATCTGGGATTCAATAGTTTGAGTGACAAGTTCGTGGAACACATTTCCATTCTCTGCCTTGGGCCCCATGAACCAGGCACCAAGAGCAGCCCAAGGCTTTTCGTGCTTACGGCTGCCATCTTGGTGCTTGGAGCGCATGTTTCTATGGTGACTGTACATTGGTGCTCGTTTTGACATCCGTTGCCTTTTTCCTCCTGAACCAGCTGTTCGTTGAGCTTTCCTTTTGCGGCCCTGAAACATGTTTGAATCTGAAGAACACAACGCAGCTGTGAGTTAGGAGAGCAGCCTCAATATAAAATCGGGTCTGTTTTCATAACAGAATGCCCTATGGGTTGAAATGGATGGAGGATGGGAACGTCAAGGAATGTAGCAGGCGGAGAGGGGGGGGGAGGGGAAGGGCAGGGGAAGGGCAGGCTTGGGCAGGACGGTGGGTTCTGTCTTCCTCGTTCTTATCTGACACTCATGATGCGGATGTACGCAAGGCAGGTTGGTGGACCACGAAAACCATTGACAGGGTTTTAAAAAGGCGTTATAGTCGCAAATACAGGTGACGGAGTTTCGTCTGAAGAAGGGGGATGGGGTACAGAGCGGAATTTTCTCTGATTTTTCCTTCTGAAACCGTTGCTGGCTTGTAATAATCACATGCTTTCGTATCCCCGCCACCCAATGCACCAAAGAACGCCTAAAAGCACCAGCTACGCAGGCTATTGGTCTCAGCGAGTGCCAAACTATCTCTTAGCGCCTAAAAAAGACAAATTGAATAAGCCATCCATCCATCTGCGATCGTCAATCGCACGCTTCGGAGCGCACAAGGCAATAAGAATAACGTCGGTACGGGTCGGAAAAGGCTCACACGCATTGATTTGTTGTGAGACGCTTCCGAACAATTAAAATGCAAGTCACCGTTCATACTTCAAAGGTGCTTTGTTTGGCTATTCTTACGGTAGTTTAAAACAACTCCTAAGTGTCCAAAACTCAATCAATGGAAGATAATTATTCTAAACGCACAGAGCTATAACAGTAATCTTTTCCACATGAAATAAGCGATGGTCTAGATAACTTAAGCTAATGCAACACGCTTGAAAGACTTCCATGTGGGAAAAATAAACGATCACTAACTTTTCATCGATGACATTTTGGGATTCTGCAACTTATTATTTTCCTAAGGCCCTGGCTCATTGAGAGAAGTTAATTGTTTGCCTACATCTGGGCTCTCTTTCATTAGTTGTCGTTTAAAGGCTTAACAAGACTACAAGTGTAGTGTTTTTCAGTAGCTTGGAAGTATCTTACAGAGCTAAAAAATTACCATCCAATTCTGATCAGTGCAACACGTAAAGAGTTAAGCAAACTATAGTTCTTTTTAAAGGGGTAAGTTTCTAAAGAAACTGTGGTGCTGCGTCGGTGGGAGAGTATAGCAGGTAATTAGTGTTAACAACTGGGTTGAAAACGTAAATTAGCCACCGTAAAGGGTAAAAAAGCTGACGTTTCGAGCGTTAGCCCTTCGTCAGAGCGATCTGACGAAGGGCTAACGCTCGAAACGTCAGCTTTTTTACCCTTTACGGTGGCTAATTTACGTTTTCAACCCAGTTGTTAACACTAATTACCTGCTATAGTTCTTTTTGCCGAGCCGGCTTACAACGTTGTATGGAAGTGTTAAGTTAAAGAACAAACCCACAACTATTTAAAAGTTTCCGTCGAGGTGCAAGTTATTCTGTCGTTGCAAAGACGTTGTGTGTGACATTCCACCTGCGATAATACGGAAGGGGGGGGAGGGGAAGGAGATCTAGCGACAGATACTTACCAAGGGTTGGGGCAGTTCAAGTGAGCGATGCAAACAAAGGATAGAAGTTGAATGAACAAACTATTTTTATGCTATGTGTTAATTAACAGAGAGTACACAGAGCCGGCGAGACTACTAACATTTGGAAGTATGTATCAGAAATTGAGCACGGTGTGTGCAAGTATATATTCTATAAAGGGTTAATCTTTCCATTAGCACAACTACTGATAGAAGTACGTTTTCAAAGATAATTGTCAAGAGTTCCTGTGAAACTTTCCCTGGTGGGAGCTGTGGGTCATTACTCCCCCCGGCATTTTATAGCAACCAGCTGTGATAGTCTAGAATCGATCCTTTCCACATCATCCGTGGAAATTCGTGACTAGATAATTCTTACCTTAAAGCAAGTAATTATTACTTTAGAAAACCTCCTTAATACATAGTTTCTCAGACACAAACAGTCCTCAGCCTAAATACTCCCGTACGTGACTCGTAAAGTTATCTGTTTCTTGAAGGTTGGTAACTTTTCCGTCTGAGTGATCTGAGAGCTTAAGGGCCGCGCCTTTTTATCAGACACAGCAGACAATTGAATAGCAGATGTTAGGATCTTAGTTTACATTTCTGGCATAATTCCCACGACTTAGTGGCTCTCTGGGGGGTAGATTTGTAATAAACGGAGGATCAGTATTGCATTTCTTGAGAGCCAACGTCGATCGAACCTACTGCAAACTTCTTGTTGTGAAGCAAACGCGATCATTCGTTTCACGGTAATTAGCTTTGTAATAAATAGCTCGTTCGTTTCAGGAAGCAAAAATCACATTCAAGGCTTTAAAACCGACCGACTGTGGCTTATGGACAATAAAAGTGCCCTGATGCGTGATTTAAGTAGGTGCCAACACTCGGAACCGTGCTTGTAATTCACGTTTACTGACATTATGCCTGAGAGACAAAGCTAATTAAACATGGAAGAAATACAATTAACTTATTGTTATGCAGAGGTTTATTGTAGACACCTCCAACAAAAAGCCTCGAGCAAGGAAAGGTTATGAAGAATCTGTTAAATCTTTGAATTGTAAAATTTATCCTATCATTGATTTTTTTTGGTTCTGCTTTCTCTACAAATCGCCTGAGAATTGGAAACCAGTGACAAAGTATATTGTACCAACTTCTCGGCCTAGCTGTTTGTTTTAGGTCCAAACAAACCTAATGAGTTGATAATTTGTGCCATCTTGCAGTGGACAAATGTAGCTTTGAATTGGACGTCCGACTTGCATGTTGAGAACTCTATGCTAGCCGGCGCGTAAGAACTCGGCAATGGTCTGTAACGACTCATTAATTGCTTGTCGCCCCTGTTTAGTTGTCTTTACTTTTACCAGAGAAATAGCAAGAGTCATGAATGAAAAGCGTCATATATTTTAGATTTATTAAATTAGATTTACTCAGGTTTAAATCATCATTTATTTAGAAATTATATTAGAAATGTCGTTTGAACAAGGGCTTGGGTGCCAGCCTGGATTTCTGTACTGGTCTCGGAACTCCAAATCTCTTCATTTGACCTTTTAGTTTTAAAGCCATCATTCTCTTCTTTGCCAAGTCAAAAGAGCCTATTAAATGGAGATTAAAGTCATAAGTGTCAATTGTTTGGAATACTACCCACTTAGCATTTCAAAACCTAGGCGTATTGTTTAACTAGCCTAGTTCTGTTTGTTTGTGTGTGTTTTTTTTTTCTTGTTTGAGACATTAATATATACATAGAAATATTCCTACAGGCATATTTATGACGTGACTTTAACGCAGCTTGTTGTAAATATGTGAACTTTTTAATCACTGTTACTGAATACAAGTTACTTTACTTACCATTAGGTGCCATTTGTTGTCCTGGATCATTAAACGCAGGGGGTTGATTCATCTCAGCTGAAAAAGGCACTTGAGGGTCATCATTGTTAACCAGCTGTGGTGTTTCTACCTGTTGAGGTCCCGTGGACAATGGCTGCTGAGGGGTAAATGCAGGGGCCTGGTCCTGGGGAAAAGTAGCTGGTGCCTAAAATACAATAAGTTATGCCTTAGTTGGAAACAAATGAACTTTCTGAGGGTTTTGTTTTTTGTTTTTTTTTACTATTTGTTAGGAATTGTTGCAGCGCAAGAGAGGCACTCTTGCTTGGCGTAACCGGGTAGTGAATGTTTCTATAGAAATCAGCTGATAGACTATCATTGTAAATTGTCGAACAGTAATGAGGATTTTTTTTTAATCATTTAGGCGCCGTAGTAGGACAATCTGAACAATTGAGTGTGTTCCTCTAACAAATACACTGTACAGGTGGAGGAACATTTTAAGTGCCACAAGTAGGTTGTAGTATAAACTGATTTTCTCAGCCATGTAATACAATCAAAACTCAACCGGTAGAGGTTGCTGATCAGCGAAGCTTCCTTGCATCGGAGGCGCTACCGGCTGAGCAAACCCGGGAGCCGGTTGGGCGCCGAATTCAGCTGTTTGAGGAGGCATGCCTTGTTGATTGTAGCCAAATGGCTGCTGATATGGCAGCTGGCCTGGCAGCCCTGGGACAAATGCTGTTGCTGCTGGTGGCTCGGGAGCCGGAGGTGGAGGGTTATAAGGAGGTTTTCCCGGCTGTGGTCTCCCCATGGGAGGAAGATGTGGCACGAATTTTTTCTCAGGATGTGTCCCACCAAGAAGTTTTAATTTAGCGGCCATTGCCGCCGCTGCATCCTGAGCCATGGTGTTGATTGAGTGCATACCATACCCATTGGGAGCCATGGGGGCTGATTGAGCGTACCCCTGGGGGCCGTATGGGACAGGTGGTGGGGGGAATCCGGTGTAAGGTAGCGGAGGGGGAGCATGTGGGAGAGCTGGTGAAGAATAGGGGGGAAGTAATCCACAAGGATCAACCCCAACACACCCTGATGATTAGAAAAGAAAAATATTACATAAATACTCATGGTGCCAGCATACACTCAGAAAATTAACAAACACTTAAATAACGTTAGAAATCGATGTTTGGCCGCAAAAGTTTCGTTTTTTTTTTTTGTAATTTGCACTGGAATGATTTGGTCACATTAAGATTAACAAGAGGATATCAACTGATGTACAAGTTTACGTTTCATGCCGAAAAGTACAACAGTCTGGGCATCACAGTAATTGTCATAAAATCCAGTGATATATTTAATGATATTAAACTATCTTAGGTTGCTGCGTACTGCAGATGGAGAACCTCAATATAAAATGACTGAACAAGCGTCATGTGATCAAGCTGCAGGATTACCAACCTACTGATGATCCAGGCTTTTTGTGTATAACACCTGAAACGAAAAATTGATATAAGCTTTTGTGTGCACTAGTGAAGACTACATAAAACAAAACTGAACCAGGACCCAAATTTGTTCTGGATAAATAATTCTCGAAATTAACCACTCCCTTTTTAATAAAATGAAGGCATTCAGAGCAGTTGCCTTTCATCGTAAACAGTATGCTACTGCGACCATTTTCTCAACACTTCGCTCATGATTCATTTTTAAAACGCTTTACTAGGGAAGTTAATGTAATTACTTTTTAACCAGCTTATCTCTTGTCAGAACTGGAACCAAGCACTCCCATGAGAATGACTCAAAACAAAGAAAGAAATTTGAGGTTTTCGGGAGTAATCGATGGTCCGAATGTCTTGTGATTGGGTTCCTCCTCAAGGAGTTAGATTTTATATTTGTCCCGCGTTCGTGACAAGACCAGTTACATTTATCTTAATTCGATGATCTACCTTCCTTATTCTATTCCCTCTCAACTATTTTTCGACAAAGACGGTGCTAACAGTAGACAGGACACATGCCATACATTCCCAATTTTACTTTTCATTGTAACTTACTCGCTGGAATGTCAAATCTATTGGGGATAAAATTCCTGTTGTCAGCCGGTAACTGTGCCCCTGTTCTGGATGGGAGAGGTGGGTAACGTCCAGCTGTATAACCTAATTGATAAAAATACAACGGTGTGAATTCTTTGCGGGGGACAGGGGGAAGTGTGGGGGTTGATCATAAGTTGCAATCTTCTCTATTTTTGTTGAATCTTATTGACGCTCCTTTCTTTCTTTCCTTCTCGATCCAACTCATCCATCTGGACCGTACGTACGCGCCCTCTCAAAAGCTACAGATATTTTTTGTTAGAAATTCTAGATCTTCTGCGTCTGAAATTGCAAAATTCTGTGAAATATTTATTGAAATGTGTAAATACAATACACGATACACTACTTCATCATGGCAATTTTTGAAAGAATGTAAACGTGCTTCCTGTCGAGTCGTACCTCTCTTTGCGTTCAAACGGTTTGGAAGGAAACTGCGGGCCTGTGCACCCATCTGAATTGGACGCCTAAATTGAAATTGCGTTTGTGGACCTGCCAAAATAAACAGACCATTCTTAAGAGACTGTTGCATGTGGAAAGAAACCTGAGATGGGCAAATACTATGATGAGTATCTGCTTTTTAAGATGTATAATTCTTAGACTGACCTGTCTGTCTACCCAGTGTGTTTTGGGGAAAGGTACGTGTTTGCGCATTCGTCTGAACTGGACGACGAAGTTGATACTGTGCTTGTGGAGCTTAGAAAAAACAAAACAAAACAAAACAAAACATCAACAAAAAAAAGCAGGAAATGCTGTTATATTTAAAAAATTTGGAATTAAATTCAAATTAGTATAGATTTCAGCATTTTATGCGCTCTAAGGTGGGTGCGCAATTATTCTAAGTCAGTAACAAACTTCATAATCCATTGATGGTGTGCTGATTGATGCTTTTTTCCTTGAAATAACTATTTGCAAGTATTCATCCGTTATCATTGGAGCAGAGAGGGACTCTGAGAAGCCAAAATCGCCTCTGTAGGTACAACGTGTTGATAGAATGTCTTTACATGGTCCTGTGTGAGAAACTAGTGTCTCAGACAAGCCGAATATTTGGATACAAAGAATTTGAATTAAATCAAACTTTTTTTGCCCATTTATGTTTCATAAACAATTGTTAAGAATTTGAAACTGTTCTTTCGAAAACTCAAGAACTCGAGCCAAAAATTTGCAATCAATTTTTGATTTCAAACTTGTGAAACTTACGATCAGCCTCAATTAAGTTTTGAAATGGCTCGGCGGTGGAATTTATAGAGAAATTGCATTATGTTAGTTGTTTTGACAATCCAAATTAATGGGCGGAAATCGCAAATCATGATTATCATAAATGCTAATATTTTTTGGTAGTCCTCTTGATCTCTCTTTATACTATTATTTGGACCGCCAGGTAGTGTTAATAAGACTAAATTTTTGACAGCTTTGACCATAGTCAGCCATGGGTGTTACTGATTCACCCCTGGATAGTGGTTTTGGTATTCTATCTAAGGGGGGAGTTTAAAATCACCATTGAGAAAGCCATGGTTCACTGAACAACGTAGTACACAAACCAGAAAACATATAAGCCATGTGAGGAAAATACAATCTCGTACCTGCTGAGGATACGACAACCAGCAGCAACTGTCCAACCACCAGTCTCATGAGCAAACGTTCTTCCATTCTTCCTGCTATTCCTGATTCACCTGACTTCGATTTCGACAAAAAATTTAACTCCAAGGTCTTGACAACTGCACTTTTGACTTCTTCACCAGCAACGGTTTCTGAGGTAACTACCTTTGAATAACTAATGATAGCATGTGACAGCAAAGGATTGTTTTGTAAAGTGATTCATGACAATCATATCACGGGTACCAGGTGTGTGGTTTGAAGGTAAATAACTGTCACAAATACAGCTTTTATTGGACTGGGAGGTCTGACAAGATACAAACAGTTGATCGTGATATCACGTAAATTTCTGAATCAATCCTTGAGTTGATATTGCGAAGTTAATTTGGTTATCACTATATTTCCAAATGCGACAATTTAGTGATAGTCCTTAATAGGCAACAGTTTTAGAAGGGCAGATAATTGCTGGTTATTTGATTTTGATCATAAGTCGTTTGGCCGGTCTAACAGGAAGGAAATCAGTGGATTCGATCCGGAAATGGGCGATAATTACCCGACTGATTAGAGATAATCATGAAAATATCAGTTTATATTCTGTCTTGGTGATAATGGAGTATCTATCAATTTTCACGAGAAATTATAATATTTTTCACTTTTTGTTATCCAACGTGACGGCAAAAAGTCATTTCCATTGTAAACCATGAGTATCCTAGCATTCGCGATTAGGATGGAAAAAAGTTAAAAATGACAAAAATAACTTGTCAGCTAATCGACTTTATTGTTATGCAGCAAACCACATCCAACAGTTGGTTAAAACTACTTCTCTAAGTATTCTACATCAACGACCTCGCAATGCTTTTCAAGTCTAATTGAATGTTAGGTTCGCCTCCCATTACACCAATAACTATCGGATTCCATTTACTAAGACATCGTGACAGCGTAATTATCACGTGATTGTCACTCGTTACAGACTAACTTGAAAGACTAAGACATCGTGACAGCGTAACTGTCACGTGATTTTCACTCACCGTAGACTACTTTGAAAGGAACCTAAATCAACAGTATCGAGGCCTAAGCAGTATGCGTGGAGCTAATTTCCAAACTCTGTCAGCTTAATGAGACTAGAACAGAAACATATTCCTTTTATCTGCCCTAAGGCCAATATCACAATTAGTATTCAGCAGGACTCTCTTATTTTACTATGTTCTTATGCAACTGCAGATTTGTTTAGCACTTCACCGTCAAACCAAATCTTCTTTTGTATCATGACAGTGGTTTTAATTTCCTTCCCTTGAATTCCTACGAATTCTATGTCGTATTTGGTTTCTTTCAAGGGGTCCTTGATCTTCCAAGTTATAGGGTCAGTGGTTGGGGAGCCGGGAACCTTGGGCAACTCAGCATCCACGCCTTGCTTCAGAATCACGGATTTTTCACTATCATCGCCCAAGCCTTCATGGACTTCTGTAAGTCTGACAATCTAGAGGGAAGAAGAAAAAATACGGTTCACTTTACCGCCTCCATTGATCGAATACAAAACGTATCTTAAAATGGAATTTATTAACAACACCTAGATTATTTGATGCTATAGAGGCCAGCCAAGCTTCAAGCCGATTAAAGAAGAAAGTATAATCAAAACAGCACGTTTGACCATCAGTCCATCAGTAAATCCGTATTGACAAGAGCAGAAACCACAAAGCAAGCTGTTGACCTGTAAGATATCTCTCCGATGACTCACCTGCAAGTAATCAGGGCACTTTGTCGGATAATGGAACAGGTAGGCATCATTCAAGTCACCATACATGACGTAGGTAGCAACATGAGGGTACTGTGTATTGGCTTTGTCGAAGTGGTCATAGCGGGGCACGTCTTTGATCTCCATGTCGGCCGTCATGAACGGTTTATTATTTCCATTGGGGAGGCCAACAAAAAAATTAAACTTCACGGTTTCTCTTTTTTCCCCTGAATCGTTAAACAGCAGGTCATGAAGCACCCTCGGTTCGCTTTTGAGATTTTGCATCACCACAGGCTGGTTACCAGCTTTCTGCACAGTGTCATCGAAAGTAACCACATCGGCTTTTGAGTGGAACTTAAACCTTGCAACTGAGAAGTACTGGTGCTGAGTTTGGCGAAAGCTTCCAAAGCTTCCAACATAACACACGAACACTTCGTTCTGACTATTCACCTTGTCTGTACAAACAAAACTGTGGCAATCTTTCTTGTCCGTAACCTGAAGGAGAGAAGTTACCGTTTAAATAATCAAATGATTATAATGTGTATCGACATCAATCAAACTGAAGTTTATGTCTCAAAGTTAAAAAATGGGGCGGTGATTATGCAGTGAACACTACAATTCTGTTTACTTCAGTATGTAGATCACACGTATATCACTTCCAAACCTGGTGTGTGGCTTATTCCTCCATAAACTCCCCCCATTTCGACCTCATGGCGAATCTTTTCTTTAATGCTCGCTCTTAACAAAAAAATAAAACAGATCATCTTCCTTTAACAGTTTATTATATTTATAGCATGACACACTTACTGTTCCTATAGCATTGAGGATTGTGTTTCTCATGATGTCAGCAAGGTCGTCCATGAATTCCAACGAAGTGGACCACGGATCCAGACATGTGGTGATAACGTACTTCACTCCTTCTTTGTTGTCCGTGCTCAGCTGTGAAAAAAAGGAAAACAAAAAGATTAATTAAAAAGATTGGCTTTCCTTTATCTGTTTTAAAAAACTTGTGCCACTCTTTCAATCACTCTGTAGTAACTTGGTCACCGGCGATTTCCTACGCTTAGGCAGAATGCTTTGTTTTACTCCGGGTTCTGTGAGTCCTTTAACGTATTTAAATTTAAATTTTTTTTCAATTGAACGGTACTCAATCGAGGTGCGTGTTACTTTTTTTTTTATCTTAAAGCGTATCAACATGGCTTTACTTGGCAGCACCAAAATGATAACAACATGAAAAAAACAGCAGAAATCTAGGAAAAAATGCAATGTTTAACATTTTTTCACCCCAAGTCTTTCCTTGAATATCTTCAGAGCTAAGCTGTACTTGTGATCTTGCATTGTAGAAGACGTCACAATCATAGGGACCCGCTGTTCAGATTGTTCGGTGGAAGCGTAGCTCAGGTCGTTAAAAATTGCACCGACGATAGCATTACATTGGTTCACATCTTTATTTCCGCGGATATTCACGGAGAAGCAAGGAATCATGGTATCAGGTCCAATTTCTTTGAGGATGTGCATTGTGTATTCGTCCTGAAAAAGGAAAAATTAAAATGCTAAACTTACGTAAGTTTACTAACTGAGTTTTAGTTACATCCTAAAATGACGCGTACGTAAGGGGCTTGGCATTACCTTAAACAGCTCTTCATTGGATTTCCCCAACACGTTACGTTTTATGAAAGTTTTGTAATCAACCTTGACATCGCTGTTGGGGGCAATAGGGATTGTTTCGGTTGGAAGTGGCTTGGTTGTTTCACATACGAAATCGTCATGATCCTTTGCCATACAAACCCAGTAGCAATAAAGGATCTTCGAGGTGAACATGCACTCGGCCAAGATCCGGCCATATCCATTCTTGTGCAGCCCAATCACCTGGATATAACAACACGTAAACAGAATAAATCTGGCTCCATTCTTAGAAATTTCGCGAAAGTGAATTTTGCCATAAAGCAGATGTTGATCCCCTGAAACAAATTTTCTGCTGAGAAAAATTTTTTTTCGCGAATTTCTGTTCAATCAATAGGACATTGTGGAGGAAAAAAACGTAATATTTTCAAAGTTTCGTAGTTGTATAGTTATACAGAGGGAAGCAACCCGGAGATAATAAGTAGGCGAGCTCGACTAAAAAACACGATTTGACCCTTGATTCGTATGCGGAGTTTTCTGTTTGACTGATGAAATACAATTTTAAGGCGATTGATTTTTTTAGGATGTTCTTTTATTGCTGTGCCAGAAGGGAACTCATTTTCCTGCTGCTTACCCTGTTGGCAAGCAGCACTCCAGCGGCAGCTGCGCCAGGTTTTGATCCTTCTAGGCTAAGGTCTCCAAAGTTGATATTACCATGATAGTAGACTACATCACTGGTTAAAGAAAGGAAGTTATTGAGATCTTTGTTACGGTAGCAGATTGCCCCAGCTGGGTACGGGCAGAATCCAGATTTGTGAGGATCTATGGTAATGGTGTCACACTGGTTCAGAGCCTTCAGCTGCTCTGTAACGTGGCTATTAAGCTGGAGTTCAGGAACAAAGCCTTCTTTTGTTGGTATTAAAGGATCATGATGTTCACGGAACATGCATGAGAAGTATGCTCCCCAGGCTGCGTCCGCGTGGATACTAAAATTCAGCCCCTGTAAAGAAAAATTGATTTCCTCGTTTAATTTGTGCTCAATTCTGGAATGACGGGAATCGTGAAATGTCCTCACAAAGAAGTTCTTCAACTAAATTTCGAAAGTATTACGGCTTCGTATATATTTAATTCCCTACTACGCCCTGTTATTGGTCAAGAAAAACCCATGCAACCCTCACAATCAATCATATTAAAAAGGATACATCGCTTGATCACTCGCCTTTTGCCGCTCTGAGTGTGATTTAAAAGCATTTACTTCGAGTTATCTTCGGCTCCTTATAGTATTTAGCTCTATTTTGATTGACTATCGCGAGCTCTGTGGTTTTCGTTGTACGACACTCAGTCTAAACAGCTTTTGAACAGAGAAACTTTTTCGACTGAGATAATTTACGCAAAGGGTGTAACTTATCTCCAACACGTTCTATTCATTAATTGCATAGAGGAATTTTGCGACTTGGTCCTTTTAATTAAAAAAGGAAGGTTTGATAGAAATGAAAAGGTCCTTTCGGTCAAATCTGTTTTGCAAATGCAATAGAAGTCTGATAAAAAAGGTTGTAATACCTCTTTACTTAGCTTTTTCCTTATTGAAAGGATGTCTACAAGTGGATCAACTGCACTCTCTTCAGTTGTCCCCATGATACTGATGACACTGATGACAGGGATTCTTTTCGACAACTTCTCTCGCAGAATAATTTTCAGCACTTAATAACAGAAACAAAAAGACAACAATCAGACACCAAAGTACATGTAGATTGAGAGGGTTCACATCATAGTGTGTAAAGATTATAAATTAGGAAAGTCAGCTTAGTAAGGGGGGAATTTTGATTTAAAAATTACAGATTTTTTTACATCAGAGCATAATAAGTATATTTTTAACATCTCAAGTTAATTAGCTACATATGATCCTGTCGTTAGGTTACAAACGGGAAGTAAAAACCAAATAGATCTGATGAGTAGAGGAGGGGGTATCTGGATCGTCGAACCTTACCCCTAGATCCAATCCTGGTGCATATTCTGTACTACATTTGTAACATTTTTTGACAAAATGTATTTTTGGGAAGTTTCTATCAGTCAGTCTTTTGAATAAGGTTGGAATGCATGTTACAAAGAAATCTGCCCGGTAAAAAGAAAACTACACGAACCATTCAACCTCTTCTGACTTCTTTCATCCATGGTCGCCAAAACACAAAAATATGCTGGAAAAATGGATATTTTTATAACTTAACCCTCTCACTCCCAAGATCTAATTAGTAATTCTCCTTACTGTCTGCCATACAATTCTTATGATGTTAGCTCAGAGAATTTGGTATTGGATCAGCTAATAATCCCATAATCGATATTCTTCTCTATTCCCATCACCTACTTGCTTGATATTGTATTGATATTGTAAGGAGAAATTTTGTCTTGGTCACTTGTGGGAGTGAAAGGGTTAAACCGTTTTACGACTCAATGTCCTTTTTACCCTGAGAGTTCATGCGAGCGTTCGCATCAACAGGAACTGTCACCAGACACTCTTTTCCAAGACCCGTGATGGTGACCGCTTTGAGGAAGGACACATGATAGGTACTAGCAACCACAACACAAGGTGTTGTAGTTAGCATATGACGATTGCAGAATTCCTGAGCACCGATGGACTCGTAGAGGTAGTTAGCCAAGATTTTCCGAAGCGCTGCCCGATCAATTTTAGCCTGGGTTGCCACCTCAGAGGGCATCTTGATGATTGTGTCAGTATCCAGATTGAGGAGTTCCCATTGTGTAGCGTTGATCAAAAGAGTTGGAGTATCATTCTGAGGAAGGTGTATCTAGATAATAAAGAATTCGAAAACAAAAGAATTTCAGTTAGTTTCCAACCACTGCAAGCCATCCGAAAAATAAAAAGACCACATTTAGCTTCTTGAACGTAACAGGTGAACTCTGTTTCTACCTTGTAATCACGTGCGCCTTTTAACTGTTCTTCCTTCAGCAATGCTTCTTGAAGTCCCAGTGCATAGTACTTAAGATTTCTTGCCACCCATATCGCTTCAATGTTAGCGAGAGATCCTCCAGCTACCAAATGCCCCAAGCTGGTATCCCTATTCAGGCCGACCATTTCACATAGGTCTCCACCAACTCGGACCTCGTAACCAGTAGTTGCCGGTCCACCCTCAGCTGCGCAGTTGTTTTGGTTCCACAAAATGGAGGCCATGTAACCAAGATTTGCGGGAACTGCAGTGTCCCAGTTGACATGTCCCTAAAAGTGAAGTTCATGCGTGAATGCTAAGCTCATCAATTTGTTCTTACTCTCAGTATGAAAGAGTTAAAGCTAAATAACGAAGAGGTAAAACATGGTAATTTTGTTCGTTTTATCCTGTTTGCCGTCAAGCGTAAAAATGTTGCGGGAGTTTTATTTGCGGATTGGCGATTAAGTGCGTATGAAACAACCTTTTTCGGTCGAGTTCATTAAAATTTCTGTTGAGTTTTCTTTCCAGAATTCCAGCTTGTTGACGTGCGTGTTGTATAAAGAGAAGTCTCAAGGAAAATGATTCATAGATGAATATTTCGACGTAGCACATGATGAATTCGGAATTGACACTTGACTCTTTATATTAATTTTTCATCCGATTAGGGCGGACAATTATTAACTTAATTGAAATGCCCTGGCTTAAACTGCGGAAGTTTGGATATTACTTTGGATTTCGTTGCGGTTGCTCTTTTAACGCCGGATTATTCATTGAAATGCAGTCTGCTTGAAATTCTGTGCATACAGTTGCGTAACAAACACTGCACGACTTGAAATGAGGATCAGGTTATAAACAATGTTTGGATTCTTGGGAAACCACAATAGCAATCGCAACCGCAAACGCGTTCAGAACACGACTGACTCTCAACCTTTGACGGGGTCAATCTTTAAAACCTACCTTGTATCTCGTGCTAAAAAATGGAACAGATCTGTACATGTCCTTCTGAAGATTATCCAATTCCATTTTCATTTTCTCATAGGATTTTTTGAAAGACTCTGCTTGTCGCAGCTCGTCCGTGACGTACGGTGGATCACAAGGGTAGAAACTAGAGAAATAAAATATTGTTGCATTTCATGTTGCACTTAGGAGCAGACATATCTGATGCATGTCTGCATTTGACACATTTCAAAGTTAAGTTCAAAACCCAACCGAAATTGGGCTGATAAACCTTGGGAACAACAACGGTTTCTTGAATCAGGTAATACACTCCTAGCTCATCAAAATCCTTTTATGAGAACTCTTTGCCCTGGTTTCTTTTAAGTTGCGTGTAATGCAAAGAGTAAGTGTGGTATTAGTGAACAGACTCGGAATAAAAGCTGATAAAGAAAGCCATGCCAAAGCAACAGACGTAAATAAGAGGCTACAGTAAAATAGAATTTTGTTACGTACCCGTGGCGAAAGTCCATGTGGGCTTTTATGGCGTCCTTCATTAGTTCAATAAACACGTCAGCATTCTCCGCTTTCGGTCCAAGAAACCAAGTCCCAACAGCAGCCCATGGTTTTGCTTCATCGTCGCTAACAGCACGTTTGGAAAAAATGCCACGTCTATAAAACATAGGCGCCTTTCCCTTCCGTTTCTGCTCTGCTTTTCCGACCTTGCTCGACGTTTTCTTTCGTGGGTTGAACATGGCTGCTTTAGGCGTAACTGAGGACTGCTCCAATGACTTAAAGTAGAACACAGTGAGAGCTAAAATAAAAGGTGTGCATAAATTACAAACAAATAGAGAACACAGCGAAATAGAAACACAATTCATGCACTTCGAAAGTCACAAGAAAGAGGAACGAAAAAGAAAGGAAATTAGATGACGAAATCGATGTCGCTATGTTTCTCTCAACATACCTACGTCCTAGAATCAATGTTTAAGAGATGAAATTAAAGGAAGGAAAATAATATTGCAAACTACGTGATGAAACTGGTAGAAATGTAACAAAATGCGGGTGCAAAAGTAACGGTCACGAGCGCTGCTTTTGCAGTAGGGAATCAAACAACGCTACTTTCATTCACTGCACTGAGGTTAACTTGTGGCGCCGTAAGAGATGGTAAACGTATCCAGCCATTCGCGAAATTCTAACTTAAAATATATCTTTATTTTTTTCAAAAGACTTCATTTGGCGTTGCCGTCCTGCGTGAAAAGCAAATCAATGCACGAAAAATCATTTATAACATGTGTTTTCCACTGCACGAAAAAACGGATTTACAACCGTAGCAAAATCGTAGTAAATGAAAAGTAAATACCACATTTGATAGACTTTGTTCATATTTGCTCAGATGCAATTTTTTTAATTGCATTATATTTGCACGCAAAGCAAAGATGGTAAATACCGCATTTACTCAATGTTCACATATCATAGCAAATGTAAAGAAAAGCTGCACATTTGCGACAACTTTTCTGTTGCAGCAAAGGCGAGTTAAATTGTTAAATTTGCTGTGCGAAATGATGGATTTACATGTGTAGCAAATACTATCTTTAAACTGCTTTGATCGTACTTGCACGTAAGTCAAACTTTGTGTTTGCACCACAATTACAAGTAAAGCAAAGACGTTGAATATTGCCTTTACTCCATATTTACATTGACAGCAAATACGAAACAAAAGAAATGTTTCATTCGCTTTGATGACCTTTGCACAAAAAGTAAACTTCATGTTTGCAGATATTTACATAGCGTAGCAAATGCGAAAAAAATTCAACTTTACTGCGGCAGTAAATACCAGGTAAATAAATAAATTTACTGCACGAAAGGACGGATTTGCACTGATACCAAAGACTATATTTGCCTCGCTTTGGTCATATTTGCGGCGAAGTCAAATGTCATGTTTGACCATTGTTTGCAAGGAAGGCATCGCAGGCAAAATTCTAAATTTGCTTATTCTTTACATATCCTGTAAAAATACGTGTAAGTGAACATTTGCTGAAACTTTGTTGTGGCAAAGATACACGTTTACGCCTTATTTGTTCCATGTACAAACGCAATCAAATATTTCATTTTTGAACAGTTTTGCTCTTTAAGGCAGAAGTAAACGTTAACACATATTTGCTCAACGGGGTGGAATCAGAGAGAAATAAGAAACGAAACAAAATGCAAGTATGTCCAGCACCATGCAAATATTTACTACATTATGAAATAAAAATTAGATCCAAGTCACATATTGTTACATGGTAAACAGCTTGCACTTGTAACAATTTGAAAAAGTACTAAAGTATGTAAATAGTAACTAATCGCATATAGAATCGTAAATAGTAACGAATAGCATGTAAATAGTAACTGAAAACTCCTATGTCGACATAGATACTCTAATTAATAAGATGAAAGATTAATTATTGACTGTAATTATGTTTAGTCTGTAGTTTTCCTATTTACATATTATCCTAATACCTAGATGTTTGTAAGCATGAAGATTAATGTCTACATGTTGTAATTGTATGTGAATATTTATTGTATAAAATTGTGTAAAATTATTTGTCTACAGTCTGGCTTGCCATGATTAGCTCTTCACTATTTGCAAGGCAGCCTAGTAATAACCATCTGATGTGAACAAATAAAACTTGAAACTTGAATTTGAAACGAATCATAATCAAGAATGCCTACACCTACATATAATGCTTTTGATTTGTTAATTGGTCTGTCCCTGATCAGCTTGGTATTAATAAATATTATAAATATCTTCAAATACTCTTCAAATATTTTTACACGGTAAAAATTAAGCTACACAATTTGAAACAGTAAGCCTACCCAAAAATACTTAAAATATTAAATGCTTTCAATTTGTTAACTGATCTTCAAAAATTTTGTACTTGATATGACAAGTCATAGCATGGCTGATGTAATTCTCCCATTTTGCAATTCATGAGTCAGTTCAATGTAAATTTGAAAAATTAAGGACAGTAGAATAGCTTCACTTAGCTAATTAGATGAAGCTGTCACATAACAAGAAATGACAGCATTCAATCAATTACACATACATGTAGCTTTTAGGAAATATTTGAAGACTAAGTTGCTACCACATAGAAACAGCACCCTTCATTGAACTGAATTTTCATTTCAAAACCTGAGTTCCTGTACATGTATTTCAGTACAGGGATACAACAATTATTTGTACATGTATATTGCTTGATCATCAATTGCAAAAGTCTTATATATCAAGGCCAAATAATTAACATTTCATTCTCCTTTCTCCAAAATTACTTCCCTTTAAGTTAATTTTGTTTTCTTAGCCAAAAATGCAGAAAAAATACCAATGAATAAGGAGGTGATTTACATGAGAAATTTCAGCCTGATTAAGGGGCTGGAATTTTGTTGTGATTACATGACCAAATGTAAATCTTTTCTCCTTTGCAACTGCCAGCTTCAGTGATTTCGTTACATTGAAAAAAACAATCACTACATATGTCCAAGGTCCCATTTCAGCCTGGGCTGAAATTCCATTCCAATTACATGGGCTTTTTGGAGCTTTTTCATCCTCGCATCCTGGGCTGAAATCTCAGCCCCTTCTAACTAAGCTGAAAGTCACCATGTAATCACCCCCTTAGAAATAAGGTTACATGTACAAAAGGAGGGCAGAAAGTACCTATTATGCCAGTGTAAAGGGATCAGCATCATCAGGAGCAAGGCGGCTCGAGATTATGCCTGTACGACGCCTTTCCACTAACATATTAGCACCTTTTGCACTCCTTCTGCGTGTTGACTTTTGGTCAAGACTGTGCATGACCTGAGTTAGTGCAGGACTCCGCCACTGAAGTGAGCTTACACAAAAAACTTTCTTCTTTGGCCTCTCTGAGTCTGAGCTTTCATAGCCATGCTCACTGTTCGACTCGCCCTCCTCAGATTCTGACATAGAATGTTCCGATGACATATAGTCTATGGTCATGAACTTCATGTACTGATCTTTCTCTTCTGCAGCCAAAGATGTAGAAAGGTTGAGAGCTTTCACTCTCTGGTTCTTTTTCTGTGTTAAAATAAATTAAACAAAATTGTTCACAATTACACTAAATATGAAAGTCACAAATAGACAAGGTTTGGGTTGAAATTAGCTTATTGATTCTACCCAGCTCTTACATATACTGGGTCTTGTTTAAAGCATTGCTATGGTGTTCAACAGCAGAAAAACTCAAAACAGCTTGAATTTTGAATATTATTTACCGTATTTAGACGGCTTTGGGCTCTCTGTTGCTTTAATATATCCTGAGCTGCATTTCTTGATTTGTTTACCTCTTGTCGTCTCTTAGTTCAGAAATGGACACGCATAGCAGCTAAAAAAGAGTAATGTTGTCTTGTTGAAACATGGTAAAGGGTAATTTGCTTTAAATTTTTAACCATTTTAACACTTATTATTAGGTTTATGTTTTTGATTTAAATTGTACTTTTACTTTTCAGAGGCCACAAGTTTGTCAGTATTCTCATATACTGTTGTGTTGGCAAGGGATTTTACCCAGCTGTTATGCATTTATCTGTGGCTTCTCTGATAGAAAAAACAATATCAATAACACCAGAAACTGCATGGTGCATCCTTACTGTGTACAGTTTTAGTGTTAATAGCACACACATCAAAAATTGTCTTTTACTTTATGTACCAGAGGCAAGTCATCATTTTTCTCTTAAATGAGTATGGTTACCTATCATTGTTTGTTCTCTTGTTTTTAATTGCACAATAACTTCCTTTGTGTGAAATAAATGTACCATGTGGCACTTAACTCTTTTGCTTGTTTTTCATGATCCCAAAAAGTTCCCTGAAAAATTTTCTCTGCAAAATTTTACACCACAATGAAGTGTATATACCAAATCACTTTCTCATAATAATTATGTAATGCCTTTACATTATGCAACGTACAACAACGTACAACAACGTACAACAACGTACAACAACGAACAAATGATACTTGAAATGGTTTATTAAAATAAAACGCAATATTTCCTTACAGGACCTTCAGGCACAAATGTCCAAGAACTAGAAGAGGAGGATGCATTGTTAGTGCATGATATTTTGTCCTCTGAAAAGGATGGGACCAGAACTAACTCATCAAGTATGGAATCTTGATGATGAAGATATTGACACAGATTTTCCAACTATTCCTGGACAGCTTCCTTCAGTCGATGTCAATCCTGCTCAAGGATTACGAGAGAGTATGAATAGCATTATTCGTTGGATTTTACTTTTCTTGTGCTTGTGGTCTTCCTTTTGTGTAATTTCAGATAATGCTCTAGAAATTCTTCTAGAATTTTTAAGAGCTGTTTTTGACAGTTTGGCAACAGTCATTCCTTCCATTGGAAGTTTTGCAGCATTATTCCCAAAATCCCTGCATTTATTAAAAAAACAACTTGGAATCGATAAGGATGAATTCATGAAGTATGTTGTGTGTCCAAAGTGTGGCACTTTGTACAACTTTGATGACTGTTATGTACTGCATCACAGGAAGAGAGTTTCAAAGAACTGTACATTTGTCCAAAGAAGAACAAGAGGCATACAAACAAAAATACAAACACATTGCCCCTGAAGTTGTGGCAGGCACTCATCTACCATCATATGCTAGTGATGTTTATTCCCTTGGCCTCCTGTTGAGGCAGATTGCAACCAAGATTGGATGCAAGTCCCTTCTGTCTCTCAGTAAACACTGCTTAGGGAATAACCCACAGGCCAGGGCTTCATTAGATTACCTCATGGTAAACATTCAGTCATTACAGACATAATTTTAAGATCTTGGTATCAAATTTCAAACTTCATATATACGTTGTTAATGTATAACTATAGTGATAGCAAATTAATCATGATACTATAAAATAATATTCAAAAGCGCTCAACAATAAGAGAAAAATTAAAATAAGATTGAAAATGAAATATCCAAAGTATTGCTCATAAATTAAATTTAAAATTAAAACTCTACAAGTGCTTTATAATTTTTTATTTGTCTGTATCACAAGAAAGCATAGCCAACAGTACAACAGCATGGAATAACCCAGAGATACATAAGGTGGCTCCATCTTGTGTTACAATAATATTATGTATTGATAAGGAGATTCTTCTGTAAGGATACCAATACAATCTTTTTAGTGTGTCATTAAGGATACCAACATTTTACTTATCATTTGAATTAAGGTGGCTGTTACTTGTGTTACATGTAGTTTAGGAGATTCATAACAAAGGATAACTGCATATCTTTTTCTTGTGTTAGTATTTTGGTTATGGAGTTCTATCATTAGGGATACCAACCTTTTTTTACTTATCATTTGATTTAAGGTGGCTCTTTCTTTTGTTATAATTAAGTATAGGAGATTCATCACTAAGGATACCGACATATTTGTACTTTTCATTAACCTCTTTATTTGTATTAGCTATTGCCTTAGCGACATCAACACACCTTATTTGATGAGATATCATAGCAGCCTGGGAATAAGTAGTAAGTTCAGACAGTCAAATCAACAAATCAGTGTGGCTACCTTTTAAAAATTAACCCGTATTAAACTCTGTAACACAGAAATTGGTATCATTTATACAAAAAGCCACTACAGTAGCCTAATTCTGAAGTGTATAATAATTTTTCGATTCTTTAGTCATGGTTTCACATTGCAAAGTATGTGGAAGCTTGTAGTTGCCCAGATGTTTCATCTTTAGGCAGCACACCAGGACAGATGTGTCATCTGTTAAGTTAGCTGAAGCCTACTATGTAATGTGAGACTGATTATGGATTTAAAAAGCAATATGATTGCTAGAAATGTACCCTTTTCCAGACTCCTCACTGTGGTAAATGTGCATGATGTCAGCAAGAAATTAAATTCAAAGAGTTGTTGGGTAAACTGCAAAATGTTTAACTCCAATTCACAAGCCAGTTCTCATTGCAGAGTATGTGGAAGCTTGTAGCTGCCCAGATGTTTCATCTTTAGGCAGTGCACCAACAATGGGACAGGACAGATGTGTCATCTGTTAAGTTAGCAGAAGCCTATTCTGTACTGTGAATCTATTACAAATACTATGCACTTTGTCTATGCATGTTGATTATGGAACCACAGCTCATTTTTCCAATGAATGTTGTGGTTAAATAATCCCCCTTGGTTGTCTTCTTTTTTTTTAGAAAACCAGCTCTGGACCAGTAAATACAGTGGGTTCTACCTTTTAGATATTTATTGAAAGCAAGAAAAATGACATAATTTTACTTGATTGGAAAAGTAGAGTAGCAAGGTGTAATGAATTGAGGTGGCTCTTTCTTGTCTTACGAATTTGTTTTAATTAGGAGATTCATCACAAATGATACCAACACAATTTTTTTGTGTTACAATTTTGGTTTAGGATTTGTATCACTAGGGATACCAACATTTTTCCGTGTCATTTGAATTAAGGTAGCTTTTCCTTGTATGACAATTTAGTTTAACACACTAAGGATACCAACATCTTTTTAGCTTTTCTTTTACCTAATTTATTTTTGCCTATTTAATAAGATATCAAAGCAGCCTGAGAATAAGTACAAAGTGTGAACAGAAATTACAAATATATTATTATTACATACATTACAAATCAGAGGCTCAAAATGGAAATTACAACAAAATAATACCTGTATTAATTCCAAACTTTGTAAAAATAAAACTAAATGCTCTCGGGGGGGGGGGAATGTTCATCTACCCCATGACATGTGTTTATTATTTACACCTCTTGTAGTTTGCCATAATAGACAGATTCAGCTAACGTGTTGACATCCTTGTTGCCACCCAATTCAGACCATGAAATAAATCATTTGGAAGGTTACAACTGTGCAATTTGTCATGCAACTGATTCTATGGGGGTATGTACGAACAGAACAATTGTAATCTCGTAAATGATTCATCACATGATTTGAATTGGATGTAATACAAGGATGTAAACCCTTTAGCTGAATCCATCTATTGCAAACTCTTGTTTCTTTGAAGAGCCCATTTTTCTGTCGCATGCGTTGACTTCATTTTGACGCAAACCATCCTGCTTTTGATATGTAAACAGAATTATTCTTGTGTTATAGTTTGTATCATAATAATGTCAACTACAACCCCCACTTAGCACAACTTTTAAAAAATTCCCTTAAGAGTCTCCGTGCAAAAAAAAAAAAAATGTCAAAAGTCAACTAAGCCCCAGTGGTGAAAGAAATCTAAATGAATGAGTACCACTAAAATTATGAGAGTGTGTACAATGTGCGAGGCATGCAAACCAGGATCCCTAACCCCAATGAAAAGGCTAACCATAAGCTAACTTAGGCAGACCAGAGTTCCACTTAGACTAAACAGAGCGCTATTTAGACTTACCAAAGTTTAGTTTAAGCCAACCGAAATTATTCGCAAGCTATGCGAGTCAGAAACCCTAGTCCCTAGGGCTAGCCGCAAGCTACCCAAATCAACTATATGCCAACTAACCGGGGTGTTTTTTTGGATTAACCGATGCGTTATTTAGGCAAACCGAATCATGTTTCGGGTCAATCTGATCGAATAACCTAAATGTCACAAGTAAAATCACCGTCATTATTGGTTAGTTATGTCTGATTTATTAGGCGTAACTGAGCCTTGTGCTACACCCAATTTATGTTGGTTGATTTTGGTTGGAAGGATGAGAGAAGAGACAGGTTTTAAGACTTATCTTTGACTTTTTGGATATTCAATTATGCCTTGCCTGGGATCTCCATGTACCTTCTTGGGTTTACAGAGCCCGCAGTCACCCGGCCATTTGCTCTCTTTGCAAGACTTCTTGTTGCACGCGTTATTAGAAAATTTCTTGCACATCACTTCAAAGTCAGTGAAAAGTCAGGGAATTTATGTATATGAGCATATTTGCTCCTTTAGCAAAACATGAATAAAACACGTGCAAATGTTTTTATTTGAAGCCTCGACAACATTTGTAAAACAATGATGCAAACAAATGGATTTACACCACATTTGCCTACATTTTGTGCTGTAAGCAAACTTAATACTTTGCAAATAGAGCAAATCTGTATAAATGTAAGTCAAATTTGTTGATTTGCGGAGGTATCAAAAATAAAGCAAAGATAAAGTAAATATTATATTTACTTCACATTTGCGCGCAAATACAACGGGAATAAATATCTGTATTTGCATCATCATTGCTTTCATTGCGAATTTAGGTCAAATCTGGAGGCCTAAATTTGCATCATATTTACTTCAGTTGCAAATCTGTTTAAATCCAATTTTTCGTGCAGTGGGCCACACAAAGGAACGAAAGATGCCAATTTTCTATGGTTTAGAGAGCAAAGCTTAACATAACATGTGATATTTGTAAGGGACGAGTCTTACGCAGTAAACTAGAATGCGGTTTTTCACTGCACTGCGGTTTAATCGACAAAGGCGCGACCAAGCCTCACCAAACTAAATCCTCGAGGGAGTTGGACATTAAGAAGAAAGGAATTTTTTGAAGACAAGAGCAAGTTTATCCATGGCCACATAACTTTCAATTCTTTCCCTTTGGCTTTATTGTGGTCTGGAAGTTTTTGCTTGAACAGTTTTTGTTCTAGTATGCAGATCGCTTGCAGCTGCACGGCCTATTGTAATTTTAGCAATTCCCGTATCAAATTAAATTGTCGCACTTTCATCTCGCATAGTTTTTTTTTTCTCTGAATTTTATATTTAGGAAGAATGATTAAAACCTACCTGAAAATTTTTTCCCAGTTCAGTTTGCTCGACGACTTAGCCCAGTGTAAAGATTTTTTCGTTTGACGCTGGTCTTCTACACGCCTCTGAAACAAAGAAAGTACTTTAATCTACATATTTTCTCGCCAAATGCTCATCACTTTAAAAACAACTTGTCAAAACAATCCCTCCAGGTTTTTTCTTTTTTTTTCAAGTTGAAAAGGTCACGTTATTTTTTTATCCAGACTGCATATATGCTTTTGACTTCGACCATTTTTATTCGCTTGTCTAGGGTTTTTTCTCAAGTAAGTATTACACTTGTTCACGATTGGATCCTGAAAGGTATATGAAGCTATTCTGCCGACTAACCAGCATTGTACACTTAATTAGGGCGGCACGCACGCATGCTCCTTCCAGCTCGTTCACACCTCAGCGCACTTGCTAATAGCATTTCATTACTCTGACGCCTGTTTTTGATTTATTCAGTTCACTTTTGAGGCGTAAATATTTTTGAGCTAAAATGATTGTTCTGATGTAACTCCATTAGAAATCTCCAAGAGGTTGTATCAAACGCGGTTTTAGGATTGCACGATTCATTCCAAGTAATTTCCCGAAACGTGCAAATATGTGGCATCTAAAACCACCTCCCGGGCTACCACGTACAGGCTGCGTGTGTTTACACAGCTGGGTGTTACCAAATTATGGATCAACAGACCGTGAACCTCCAGAACCAGCGGAGCCTGTAGAACCTGTGAAACCTGTGGAACCTGTGGAACCTGTGAAACCTGTGGAACCTGTGAAACCTGTGAAACCTGTAGAACCTGGGAACATGTGGAACCTGTGGAACCTGTGGAACCTGTGGAACCTGTGGAAGCATTCATTTTTTTGTGAAAAAAAAATGCAATAAAATAAAAACTAGAAAACACCTTAACTCTTTTCGAGATTTCGTTTTCAGGTATAAAGAAGATAACTTAAAAAGAAAAAATTTTTCTTACTTACCTTGTCGTCCAATCATAGGACACAAAAAGCTCACACAGTGAATACTGTGAATATGTAAATATGTTCACGTTGCGCAATGGGCGAAATAGAAGGATTTGAATGGTAATAAGCAGTCGCGCTCTCAGCCTTAAAAAGATCTGGACTTGTTTTGAATAAAGAATACTTTACCCTTCTCAAGTGGTTGTTCTTCGGCATCGAGTGAATTTTTGGAGCTTACTTAGGGCAATTTAGCTCGGATTTATTTCATCTGCCTTTCCCTCTACATAATCCCTTCCAAGATATGTTTGTAATTAACGCCAACCGAATGAATCCACTGGAAGCAAAACGCGTTAAATTCGCTCCGGACGCCCCGATCACCCCGAAATTCTACCAGTATCATGGGCGATTATGTTACTCTACGCTCTTGTTCCTCATTCCAGGGTTATGTACTATGAATTCCAGCATAAAAGTTTTTGTGACAGCCTTCGGATGAGGCGTTATTTGGATATCGGGGTACCCAAACCGTTAGAGATTCCAAATTATTTTCCAATTATTGACACTCAGGGTAGGTGACTGTTGATTGCTTTAATGACATTTCTTACGCTTGTACCAGTACTATGAATGTCACCACAATTGAAGTTGGACATTAAGGACAGTTAAAACATATTTATCTTTTAAAGTGTTCTTCTTTATACCCGAAAACGAACTTTCGGACAGTATTGAGGTCTTTTTAGATTTTATTTTATCGGATTACTATTATTTTACAAAGAAACATGGGTTCCACAGGTTCCACGGGTTCCACAGGTTCCGGAGGTTCTGCTTTTGTTGATCTACAGTCAAGTAACACCCGACACTGTCCCATAGGCCCTAAAAAAATATGTATGGAGGTCATTATTTTATTTTAAATTTAGCTCAAAGTATAAATTTGCTCTGTTTTTGGGGTCTAAGAGGGTTTGGAAAGAAAAAAAAATAGAACAAAGTGAATGATGAGTAAGAAAATATTAGTCCATTATTCTCAAATTTCGTCAGGAAATGCCCTTGCATCGGTCAATTTTGACAGTTTGCAAGACATTGTGAAGGTCTCCACACATAATTCCTCCAAGAAACAGCAAAACATTTCTGCTGGGTTGTAAATACAGACAGACCGCAACGTTCCCTTTACGAATGCTCCTCACGCTCGATGTACAACCATTCTTTCCGCGTTCAGTGGTACAATACATACAGAAATGTTTTCTCCCAGATAACACAGCATTTATGTAAGAATTAGACCAGTATAAACAATACCGACAAAGGGTTCTTTCTTAGCATTTGCAGACATTGAAAAAATTTCAGTCGTTCTGTCAACTCGTTTCATCTGTGACAATTAATCAAAGCGACAAGTCCTTATACTTTGCATTCCGTTGTTGCGGCTCATTTACGATACGCAGTTTTATCTGAATATATGGTCCATGGTTATGTAAATCGGACAAGAGACACGAAAGATACGTTTCCACAGCTTCGATAAAGGGGATTTGATATGCATCCTCAGGGAACACGATTTGTTCAAATTGACGCCTAGACAATCATAAGTAGAGGTGAGATTTAGGAAAGTCGGCACAAACAGCTGTACTGCAATTTATTCCAGGAGCTCCCGATCCGCGCAAAAACTCTTTTGTCTTCCAGTTCGAATAATGCTACTGAATAAATTGACGGGAAGATTCTTTTGAAGGCAGTGCATGGTTAGGTCCAAAATATGTGCGAAGCGAAAACTTTTACGAGAGAAGTCTGTGGTGTCTCTGACTACTCAGCCTCGTCTGCTTGTCTACACGACAGATCAGGTGATGTCATTAGAAAATAAGTCTATCTCGAGATATATATATATTAGGTAAAATTTCCGCACAGCTCCATACTATTGTAAAACAAATCTGTTTTCCCAGTGGAAATATATTGTTTTTGTCATTGTTTTCTCACATTGACATTCACATTGAAAGAGGAAAAGTGATCTACGAGCCTGGATTTAAAATAAGTGGAAGTCTGGCTTAGTTATCTCGGATTAATGTCCGTGGCCAAGTAAGTACGCAGCCACCCCTCCCTCTCCAACCCATCAACAGTTAGTTGTTAACAACTTAGGGTTGTTGTTAGGTTAGGGGAGGGGTAGGTGCACAGTTAGATACTGACATTAACCCTTTAACTCCCATGATCTCATTAGTAATTCTCCTTACTGTCTGCCAAATGATTCTCATTATGTTAGTTTGGAGAATTGGGTATCGGATCAATTTTTAATCCCATAATGGATTTATTTCTTATTCTCATCACCTGTTTGCATGATATTGTGTAGATATAGTAAGGATATATTCTGTCTTGGTCACTCACGGGAGTTAAAGGGTTAATCTGTTGCCTTAATTTTTATTCACGACTGTGATTATCCACCTAGAAAAATGAATTCTATCCGCTAATCCAACCCTAATATACGACTATCCTGTTGTTAAGATTTCCTAGGAAACAACTGAAACCATGTTTCGGCCACGCCAGAAAAGAACTGCGCAAATAGCCGCTGGCTCCGGAGGAAGGAAACCTCGACTGTCCAAGGCCCCTATGTACACTCCGCGGCGAGAAGTTCTGTACCGTGGAGGTAATAAAAAAGGCAAACATGACCATTGGGCAGCCCTGGGAGCCTGGTTCCTAGGGCCCAAAGCGGAAAATGGAGATGTGTTTAGAGACCTTTTGACGGGAGCTGTCGACCACCATATCGCATTTCGTCACAAGTGAGTTCTTCAAAAGAAAGAGAAATTAAAATAGGGTTCCATTATTCTCTCTTGAAAGCCATTACTTCTCGTTTATCATCCCTTCCTACGGACTTTTTGCCACCTGCAGAGAAAACGCTTTAACAGGCAATTTGAGTGACAGCATGAAACATTCTATGCATGGACGAGGTTTGTTGTTACCTCGAGGGCAATATACACATAAATTCCATTAAGCACGAAATAGGGTCTGTTCAATTCCTTGACTGCATTTGTTCAAGAAGCAGACAATTCTTTAACCATGAAAGTGAACAAATACCTTATTCAATTGCTTAGTCGTTCAAGTTCAGTCATAGCTGCAAAAGTGACCAAGTTTGCATTTTGATACTCAAGCTATTTCCCCTGTGATCCACCGTATGTGACGGATGAGCTCCGAGAGGCTACATCTTTTAAGAATTCCATGGAACATTTGAAGACAGAAGTGGACAACTTGCAGAAAGACCTGGAGAAATCTGTACCATTTTTTAGCTCTAGATACAAGGTATTTTTTCCTCCATGTAATTGTTCGCCTCATCCTGATTGTGTTTGAGGATATCCTTCTTGCTTACGTTCTCATAAACACCAGCCTCTCAGTTTCGTAACTTGGCGGCCAAGTATCATTCGATCGGCTTTCTCAGGTGCCACCCTTTCTTCAATCATAAATAAAATGTTGATATGTAGGTACAGTTAGACGACAAATTGGTCATGGCATGTACCCAAGGTTCCGCTTGTTATCAGCAAGACACTATGTTACTTAATTACCCTGTTATACTCTCCCACCGATGCAGCACCACAGTTCCTTCAGAAACCTACCTTCTCCTCCCCCATTCTATGGGTTTGGTTAACCAAATGAACAAAGTGCTATACAGCACTTTATAAATCAGCTTATATATTTCTTTTGTCTCCAGGGACACGTTCTTTGGGAGACAGCCATGCCAGCTAACCTTGGCTATATGACTGCCATGTTGTTTAACCAGAACAACTGCGCAGCAGAGGCATCGACTGTTACCACAAAGTTCGAGGTGGAAGTTGGGAAGGATTTGTGTATCATGATGGGATATGATGGCGATAAAGCCATGGGTCACCTCACTGCTGATGGGTCTGTGGCCAACATTGAAGCAATTTGGGCTGGAAGAAATGTCAAATACTTTCCATTAGGATTGCAGGAGGCTTTGCTGAAGGAAGAAAAACTTACTGCTGCTAAAGGTTATAAGGTGAATATACTTAAGGGAAAAGACTTTAATAACCTTCAAAACGAAATTGGCGTCAGCTACTGTGTTTTATAGCGCTGTCATTCAGCTTTTGTAAGGTGGACTCGTTCAAAACGTAATTCTCATTTATATCAACGGATAAGATTTTCATGGGAACATTAAATCCTTTCCTCAGGTAGATCTACTGATTACTTTTGCGTAATCGAAGTGGTTAATATATCTAATGATTTCAATTATTTTTATCATTATCATAGTCACTACCATCATTACTTTTGTTAAGAAGACTGCTCGGAAGATAGCCATGCTTGATAGCTTGATGGCTTGATGTTCTCAAGTTTCAAACAACCCGATCTAAAATTCTGTGCCGACAAAAGCCAATTCCATGCTGGAAAACTTTTGGCCCGCTTTAAAGGATATGTTTAACAGTTTTCTACTGAAAAAAAGGAAAACAATTTCCAGCTATATCTTTCATGCTTAATTCCTGATTAGATAACCTTTCCTCAAAGAGGAGGAGTAAAAGGAGAACTTCAGAGTGCTTCCCAATGGGAACTCCTCAATCTTGACGTCGACACCATTCTAAGAATGCCAAAAGACGTGGAAGATTTAACTGGTCTCCAGCATCAAGAGTTCATGGGCGTCATGGGCCAGTATCTCTATGAATCTGTTGGAGCGCAAGAGTTTTCTCGCCGCCACATGTTGACACAGAGTCCTTGTGTGATTGTACCAAGCACAGCACACATATCCCTTACCAAAGCAGTTACAATTCTAGGACTGGGACGAGAGAGCCTCGTCACTGTGGCAGTTGACGAAGATGCTCGGATGGAACCAAAGGGTTTGTTCATTATGATGCTCGATGTAACTTTGAGGTTTGAGTGTAAGAGAACGACAAAGTAGACAAGGTAAAGAAAAAATGAGCACGAAGACCTACTTGGCTTAACTTTCACTGTTTGCGCTACAAAAGTCTAAAGCCGTGCTTATTAATATTTGATCCAAAACCCTTTCTGGAAGAGGAAGGAATATAGGCCGATAGACCCAATCCGGCTACTTTGAGCTGTTTCACTGACGTCCACGACTTAAAATTTACTTATAGCATTCGAATGAATCTCACCTTGCACGTGCTGTCTTTTTTCAGATCTGGAAAGAATTTTGCAGGAAAAACTAAAAAACGAGATTCCGGTGATTACAGTTGTGTCTGTTATGGGTACAACAGAAGAGAGCGCGGTGGATCCACTCGCAGCGATTTTGGAACTTCGAGAAAAGTTTAGAGCTAAGGTACATCTAACTGAACAGAATGAACCTTTTCTGTAGTAGAACCCCGCTAACTCAAATTCGAACTCCCAGGGGAAACAAAAAAGAGTTCGATTTGCCTGAGTAAGTAGTAAATAACTGAAAACGGGGTTTCTGTGCAAGTAACCGGGGTTCTACTGTAGTTCTGCCCATATTTTGAGCCTGAAACTGGAGCCTTTCTCAAATTTAAACATGATTGAACGACTTTTTTTAAATTCGGAATTACGTAAGTGCAGTTGTGGAGCTGGGCTGAGTTGTTCAAAGCTGGGTTTAGATAACCCAGGGTTAGTGTGAAATCGGATTTCAGCTCTGGAAGCTTTAAAGGAAAATTCAGTAGAATTCTTTTTGTTAACAATTTGATGATTAGATGCTCCATATAGAGTAGAGGAAAAAAAGGCTATCGAACAAAGAAGTATAGAAACCCAGATTAAAATTTAACTCTGGGTTAGCGCTAATCGGCTTTCGAAAAACTGGGCCCAGGTTGGCTTGGGATAATGCTGTCGTCAGGCCAAGGACTCCAGAGGAGCGGATCATGTTTGTTCTTACTTAAACGTACTTCAAATGACTAACTTACGAATTTCTTCGCACTTAAAACCGCTCTTAGGTCAGGTTGCAATTATGTTTTTTCTCTGGCCTCACGTATCCCTACTTCTTAAAATCTAAGACGAAAGGTTAAACCTCAATGTTATCTCACATTACAATCACGATGCTGGGGCGCCAAGCTATTTCATTCACTCTTCTTTATCGTCATACAGGGCCTTTGCTTCAGCTTGCACGCGGACGGGGCTTGGGGAGGATACTTCTGTAGCATGTTACGAGATCCTAAGAGTAATCTTGTAGCCGCTGGTAGCGAGGGATTTGTTCCCGAGTTGTGGCTAAGTCCATATGTTAAAGAGTAGTTGTCAGCCATGGACCAGTGCGATACCATCACTATTGACCCACACAAATCTGGCTTCTGTCCTTACCCCGCTGGAGCATTATGCTACAGAGACAAGTTGATGAACACCTTTCTTCAGATCACCACCACTGTTGTGTATTATCATGGAGACATGACACTTGGAGACATCGGCATCGAAGGATCCAAACCAGGAGCTGCTGCCGCTGGTGTCATGTTGGCAAACAGGGTGAGAGTTCACTCGTCGTTTATCACGTCGGAGGGGGGGAAGGGGAAGATGATTTTTTTTTTTATGGGGAAGGATCATATGGCTTCCAGGGAGAAGGGTGAGGGGATCAGGATCAACACAGAGTATAAAAGGGAGGAACTATAGAAAATTCACGGCATGAGATGGGGGGTGATTAGAAGGATGTTACAGGGGATAAGGTAAATTTTATTGTTACATAAACACGAAACAAAACCTCTTCTCCCCCCACTAGCCCAAAGTAAGGAATAATGATAACCAGTCCTTAGATACAAACCTGCCCTTCCTCTAGCTTTCCAAATAAAAAATTCCTCAATTCTTAAAAAAAAAAAAAAAAAAAGACGGACACTGTCGGGGATATTCCGGCATGGATCTGAACTACAATTGAGGTTTTTCACTGCAATAAGTATATGTACTATATTAATTTGACCAGTAGTTCTATACCAAATGTGATGAATAGATCCTCTCTAACAAATTGCGGTTTAAGCGACTGCATTCTAGAAAAAAAATTTAGACTTCGAACTAATTCTATAGAGTCGGATTAGGAAACCGTGCCTTCCTGATTGTGAGTTGGCACCTCAACCAACTAAGCTACGAAGTCACTTGTTGGGAGAAAGACAAGTTTTGCTTTCAGATTATTTGTCTTAGTTCCACGCTGGTCATAAATGATCCCAAAATAATCCTCATTTAATTGAGTGACAAGAATATTTTTCATTCAATCCTTAAAATCATATACTGTTCCAAGATTTTTAAGCAATTTGAAGACGCAGAAGTTGTGTTGTTGGTATGTAATTGTTTGCTTCGTATGTGATCATATGTAGGTCATCGGTCTCGAAAAGAATGGCTACGGTCGTATCCTAGCTGAATGTATGTTTACTGCCAAGATCATGTACTGCCTGTGGGTAACACTAGCTCAGGACGATGATACCTTTGTCTTGGAAACGACGAAATCGCTTCCAAAAAAATACAAAAAGATGTCAGAAAAGCAGCAAAAGGAGTTTATTAGAGAGAGGATTCTGGGGAAAAGCAACGAAGAACTCGTTAAGGTATTTTTTTTTCAATGATCCACGTACAGAGTCACGTATTTTTCTGATTAGGAATTTACTGAATCGGGCCGGAAGAATGAGTTCACCTGACATTACCTCTGAATAAAGGGGTAAGTTTCTAAAGAAACTGTGGTGCTGCGTCGGTGGGAGAGTATAGCAGGTAATTTAGTGTTAAGAACTGGGTTGAAAACGTAAATTAGCCACCGTAAAGGGTAAAAAAGCTGACGTTTCGAGCGTTAGCCCTTCGTCAGAGCGATTAGAGGAATTGTGGGTTGTGTGTGGATTTATATGTAGGAAGTGGAGCTACGCCATTGGTGGGAATGTGGTGACGAGAAAACAGGAATAAATTAGTTGAATGAAAAGCGCTCGTTGATTCCGTGGGGATTAAGGGTGCCGATTTGGAATATAAATTTTTGTTCTAGTGTTTTACGGCTTTCCGAACTGCCTAGATGTAAGGAAAGGCCGCAAACTGCCATATGCTGTTTAGAATGATAAGGAAGATTAAAGTGTCTAGCGACTGGTTTGGATGCGTCCTTGTCATTTCTTTCCACATCGCGAAGGTGTTCTCGGAATCGGTCACCCAGTCGTCTCCCTGTTTCGCCGATGTATAACTTATTGCAATAAGTGCAAGTTATGCAGTAAATAACATTGGCGGAGGTACACGTAAAGTGATCAATGATCTTAATGGATCTTTTGGGTCCCGATATTTTCTCTACGTTGTGAATGAAAGGACAAGTTTTGCATCGTGAGCGAGCGCATTTAAAAGTTCCAGATTGGTCATAGGTTTGAAATGAACTCCTGATTAAAAAGTTGCCTATGTTTTTGTCGCGTTTGAATGAAATAAGTGGGGGTTGCGAAAAGATAGTGCCAGTCTCTGAATCGTTTTGGACTAATTTAAAATTTATAAGAATGATAGATTTAACTGCGTGGTTGTGAGGGTGAAATGTAAGAGTAAATGGAATGCGGTCAGTGTTCTCCTTCTCGGCCGTTTGTAGTGCTGCCTGTCGATCGATTAGTTGGGCACGGTGGTAGCCCGCTTGAACGACAGAAACAGGATAGCCGCGTTTATCGAAAAACTGGCACATTGCCTCTGATTTTTCGGAAAAATCAGAGTCGTCACTACATAAACGACGAAGTCTGAGAAACTGTGAAAAAGGTATTTACTAGGTTTTGTAGTCACATCCATTTCATCGGCCGTTGCCTTCATTCCAAAGTTATTCCTAAGGGTTTTCGCTCCAATTTTCACACATCTTCTTTTTCTCATTCGAATCAATATCGTCACCAAATTCAGTGCGCCCAAAATTCTTTTTCACGTAATATTATGAGAATCACAATCAGAGCTATGTGCCAAAAACGTAACAAACTCACCGAACAAATTCTACATTGCCGCTCTGAACTTTCCAAAATCTGTCCAGCTGTTTTAGTACAATCCATTCGTGCCAAAATTCAGGATGCCAATTCCAAACTTTTTAAACAGTTGCACCAAATTAAGGCCCAAAAACTCGACCAACTTATCGGCCCTCAAGTTACTAACGACTCATCACCTGAAAACCTCAAAACTGTAGTTACCATTCCAGAAAATTTACTACTTTCCGATTCAGAAAAATCAGTTCTCAGCAAGGGCTTAAATTTTGTTCCCATATCACAAAAAACCGACGAATTTTCAATTAAGCAAGACGTTGAAAAATTCCTTCGCCGCGTTCAGTTGAAAGCCTTTTTTCATGACAAAGAGGATGATTCTAACACCTCGAACAAAGTTACTTTCGAAACACTCCAGATTCGAAAGTCTAAATGGACTCCCCCAGAGGGCCAGTTCTCATCTTTAGATTTTTTCCTCAAAAAATGTCGCCACGATATCAACAAACTTAAATTCAATCGTAACACCAAATTTTCCAATCTTTCTTCGGAAGAGTGGTCGGCACTAAAAAGTCTAAAAAAACGCAAAGACATTGTCATTAAGGCGGCCGACAAAGGCGGCGCAGTTGTTGTTTGGCGGGCCGACCTCTATCAAAAAGAAGCTTTGCGGCAACTTTCGGACACCTCCTTTTATGCCAAAGTCGACAAAGACCTCACTGTAATTAACCAAAACATTGTCAAAAATACGATTAACGATCTTATAGCTAAACAAGAATTGCCGGCCACTGCTAAAAATCTCATCATTACTACTCCTAGAACTTCATGTATTTACTTTTTACCTAAAATCCACAAACCTAACAACCCAGGTCGACCCATCGTTTCTGCCTGCAGTTGTCCCACTGAACTTATTTCCAGCTATTTAGACAAAATTATGGCACCTATCGTCAAAACTCTACCGTCTTACATTAAGGACAGCCAACACGCACTTGAAATTTTTCGTGACTTTAGTTTCCTCGACCAAAACAAACTTATTTTCACCATGGATATAACATCTCTTTACACTGTCATTCCCAATGACGAAGGTCTCCGGGCCCTCAAACATTTTTTTGATCTACGCACTATTAAGGAACCTAGCTCTGAAACACTGCTCCGTTTGGCCGAACTAGTACTCACACTCAATTGTTTTTCATTCGGTGGTAACTACTACAAACAAACTAATGGCGTGGCCATGGGTACTAAAATGGGACCCAGCTACGCCAATCTTTTTGTAGGTTTTATCGAACACCAATTTTTTAGCCAATACCACGGCCCAAAACCTCAACTCTACGGCCGCTACATTGACGATTGCATCGGCGCTACCTCCTCTACCAAGGAGGAGCTCACTCAATTTATAACCGCCGTCAATTCCTTTCATCCGGCCCTTAAATATACCTGGCAAATTTCCGACACTTCTTTGGCTTTTCTAGACATCAAAATTTCTATTGAAGGCAACGGCTTATGCACTAGTGTTTACTACAAACCTAAAGATTCACATAGTTACTTGTTGTATTCATCCTCACATCCATCACACGTCAAGAACTCCATACCTTTTTCACAGTTTCTCAGACTTCGTCGTTTATGTAGTGACGACTCTGATTTTTCCGAAAAATCAGAGGCAATGTGCCAGTTTTTCGATAAACGCGGCTATCCTGTTTCTGTCGTTCAAGCGGGCTACCACCGTGCCCAACTAATCGATCGACAGGCAGCACTACAAACGGCCGAGAAGGAGAACACTGACCGCATTCCATTTACTCTTACATTTCACCCTCACAACCACGCAGTTAAATCTATCATTCTTAAAATTTTAAATTAGTCCAAAACGATTCAGAGACTGGCACTATCTTTTCGCAACCCCCACTTATTTCATTCAAACGCGACAAAAACATAGGCAACTTTTTAATCAGGAGTTCATTTCAAACCTATGACCAATCTGGAACTTTTAAATGCGCTCGCTCACGATGCAAAACTTGTCCTTTCATTCACAACGTAGAGAAAATATCGGGACCCAAAAGATCCATTAAGATCATTGATCACTTTACGTGTACCTCCGCCAATGTTATTTACTGCATAACTTGCACTTATTGCAATAAGTTATACATCGGCGAAACAGGGAGACGACTGGGTGACCGATTCCGAGAACACCTTCGCGATGTGGAAAGAAATGACAAGGACGCATCCAAACCAGTCGCTAGACACTTTAATCTTCCTTATCATTCTAAACAGCATATGGCAGTTTGCGGCCTTTCCTTACATCTAGGCAGTTCGGAAAGCCGTAAAACACTAGAACAAAAATTTATATTCCAAATCGGCACCCTTAATCCCCACGGAATCAACGAGCGCTTTTCATTCAACTAATTTATTCCTGTTTTCTCGTCACCACATTCCCACCAATGGCGTAGCTCCACTTCCTACATATAAATCCACACACAACCCACAATTCCTCTAATCGCTCTGACGAAGGGCTAACGCTCGAAACGTCAGCTTTTTTACCCTTTACGGTGGCTAATTTACGTTTTCAACCCAGTTCTTAACACTAAATTACCTGACATTACCTCTGTCATGTCGGAAGAGAATATCAGTCAAGTGAGGGTTTTAACTTTTTTTGAATGAAAATTATTCAGGAGGCGTGGAGTACTTTGTGAATTTCAATTAATTGCTCAAAGATTGTCTGTATCGTATCTTGATATCTAACAAGAAAACAATTCTGGCTATAAAATAACCTGCTGCCTCTTTAACTTACAGGATGAAGAAGCTATGGAGTATCTCCTGGAGGTTGGTCCTGACACCATGATACCGTGTTTTTCTGTCAACTTGAAAGGAAACAGAAGTGTTGAAAAGTGCAATGAGATCAACTTGGCACTATTCCAGGACCTGTGTCACACATCTAGCGAGCAGACCGCGCGTCGAGTTCCAATGATTGTGACAGCATCAAGTTTGGTTCCCCATAAACACAGTGCTGCTGTTCCGAATTTCAAGAAAAGATTAGGGGTAGGAATCATGGGGCTATATATGGGGGTTAAGATACATAATGACAAATGTCTTTAAGGGCCGATGATAATCCAGGGTTATTACCATCGCTTTCTGTGTTTAGCGCATACAACTGCAGCCGTGCGATTCTCTGTTACAGCACTTGTCGATGGAGTAGAGGAATATAAGATATCAAACGGAGCCAATAACAACTCTGAGTAAAAATCGAACTTAATGAAGTGTGGAAGAACACGATTAACCAAGACGCGATAGGTTTAATTGTGATTGGTCCAGAGAATGGCGCGAATTTTCTTGACCAATCGCGGCGTGAAGTCAGGACGAATGCAACTTGGATTTCAGGTTGCTTTTAATCTTTTCTTCGTTCACTGCAATATATCTTTATCATTTCTTTTGAAATTTAGTTGGAGCACGACAATGACACACCTGTCAAATACATCATCACAACCTGCATGGATCCATGGGCCACGTCCACAGAATTCTTAGACGACATGGGTGACATTTTGAGGAATGCAATCCTTAACGCAATTGGAACGGTGAGGAAGTATCATATCTTGTTTCTTGGGTGGGAGCGGGAATGGAAACGCTTTTTGTCAGTTAAGTTAGCTCTTGTCCTTATCTTTAATACCTCTTTTTCAGTGCACCGATGCCAAAGTTCTCCACAACTTTGTCACCACAGGAGTTGTCAATCAGGAGAACGAAGTGATCGCATCTTACATCGGAGACTTCAACAATGTTTCCAAGCAGTATGACAACGCGGTGAAACTGAAGTTCCTCCACGACAAAGACGCCGAAAAGTATATTTCCATGCAAGAAAAACTGCTTAAGGCCAGGAGTGAGCCTCAGCCAATTGTGTTTAGAAGCAAAAGACAAAGGTTCCACGAAATCTTCTTTGAAGAGTCCGAGTACGCTGGTGAAAAGGAAAAGTTTGATTGCTTCGTTGGTATGCCTTCTGATCATGACAAGAATCCATTCATGTCTGTAAAGATGAAGATCATTGATGTTCCACGTTACGAGCACTTTGACAAGGGCGATTACCCAGATCACGCTAACTACTTCATGTATGGCGACAAGAAGAGTGTGTTCCTGTTTCACATTCCGACCAAAAGTCCAGATTTCTTTCAGGTAAATGACTTTTTTGGTTTAGCTAACTAAAGAAAGTCTCATATACAGACGATTTCTTCTCAGAGATTAAAATTTACATGGTAACCGCTACAAGAAAGTGTTTTATCAACATTTCTGACAACCACCGTCATCAACTTCACGTAAGAAAAGGAGCTCAGCTAAATTTAATTGATTAGGGGGGGTATGGTTTCAAATTTCCCCACCTCAACGTGGAGTGGCTTTCGCGCGGGCTCATATATTCACGCGGGGGAGACAAACCGGAAAATTACAGAGTGTCTAACATCGGAAAAGGTTTAGGATTCTTGTTTTTTCACCACTTGAATCACTACCTTACAGGGGAGAGGGGTAAGACGCTCACCCCTGGCCTCCCTGGTTACGACCCTGCACAAGAGTTTTTGTTTACTAAATGAGTCCGCATACAGCCAAATGCCATTTTCCTACTCCTTGAACAGCATGTTATTTATTCCATATTTTTCTCTGCCAAGTGACGTTTTTCCATTTATGCCTCTGGTTTAAGATGATCCTCGTGATAGTGCACTGTCTTGCCCCAGGACACAATATTTTAAAGATAATTCTCTCCGTTCAATCTTATAAGGTGGTTCAGCTTGATGGCGTCCCTGATAATGTTGGCACAGAGAAGGTGGTGGACTTGTTGCTCAGATATGGAACCGAGGTGGAGATTCCGAGCATCTCTGGTTCACCAAAGATCGAGAATGGAGAGGTTCAAGACCCTTTAACCAAGAACAAGTTCGACATCTCCTTCGTGGGAATCGATGGTGCAGAGGTCACGTCCAAAGTGAAAATAGCAAGGAAAATCTGGTTTTCTGGAACTACCGTGTAATGGTTAGACGTTAAATGGGACTTCGTATGGTTCACAGACTGTGAAATTTCCTCAAATTTTATCTTTGTAGACACGAAAGTCCTTTCGTAAAAGTTCACTTTTCTTTGTGAGGCATCCCTGCTGATGTGTAAATTCAGTTTTGCAAGAGTCTCCGATCTACCACTCACTGACCAAACTGGGTGGCGATAAGGTAATACTAAAACGTTCGGTATAAGTATTCCCTGCCACCATAATGTAAGAGTTCACTTTTCCTTTAGCATCTTCTTAAACCCAACACTGTTATATTGCTTGTTCTTTCCTTGATGTCAGGTCGGAAAATAAAATCTGTGCAGAACTACATGGTCTTTTTAGCTGCGGTGGTAATGTTTCGATGTAAACCGTAGTACGTTTTCGACCACAGTTTATCATTTTTAATTCTAAGAGAAATACGAAGGGAAAAATTAAAAAATACACCCTTTGTGAATTCTGAACGTGAATCCTGATTAAATATCAATTCTATGTATTCAAAGGATTTTTGATTAACGCATTAATCGAAATATCGTTAAACGCAATTAGAATCGTTTCTCACGTTATCCTAGTGCTGAAAATAATTTGCCAAAGAAACGAGCTTGACTGCGAGTGCTTAGAAAGATCCTTCTTTCAGTGCTTAGCTATTTGGAAAACATACCTTTGAACGGATGGAAAAGTTTCTTGTTGTGTATATTCGCTCATGTTTCGCCAGAGAACTTTCGGTTTAATTTATACCGATGGAAAATTTGTTAAACCTAAACACTTGATTGACATAACCATGGTAGATAATCAATTTTTGTGCCTCAAACTACATTTCACAACCCGCTGAATGTATAAACAGTTTTCATAATGAAAGGAAGTCGTGAACTGATATTTTCCTCATTAAAAATCTTCTCAATGTCTAGAATGCACCCAGTGGCAAATTTCAGCTCAAGAAGTCGTGTTTTAAATTTACGAACTTTAGTCGTAAAGCAATTCTGAACAACTTTTGTTATTTGTGGAACATTTGGCGGATATCTTAAATATTAATGTGCTTTAAGTTAAATGTTAATATCAGCGATTATAAATGCAAGACAGCCCCCAAATTGTAACAACCACTTTTAAGTGTTTAATTAGACTGCAGATAACCTTTGTGCAAAAGGCATTAATTACTGGCCAAAAAATCGGTTCAAGTTTTCTTCATACGTTCAATAAAAGCAAAACATTACATTTCTAAACGAAAAAAATGGATAAATTTAATACAACGGAACTTCAATATAATACCTCTAAAAGTCAGAAGTCAATTAATTAATAGGAAAGATCAAAATTTGTTTTGATAATGATGAATATACATTTTCAATATGGCACAAAAATTATTAAGCGGAAACAGATCAGTTTTCGGCCTAATGACTTCGCAGTCACTAGGTAAATATGAGTGGGTATTTTGCCTTCTAAGTGTTTTTGCTCCTTCAAATCAGTTTTCACAATGTCTTGTAATTCAGGTTAGAATCCAAAGAGGCTTTGGAGAGAGTTGAAAGGGGAATCTGATTATTACGTTGATAGTCTTGCCCTTGACTTTTTTCAATGGTAAATTTTGAGTTGCCGTATTTATTCATCCAAGACTGAAAGTTTTAATTTAACGACCTCCTTTACAAGGATTCTGATAACATTTGAAATAGCGGTTTTGTATTAACCAATAACGTGGAGAAATCTTTCCCAGGAACAGTGTCCAAGAGCAATTCCATCCGGCAGTAATTTGCCAGATGTAAGTAATATTCCATCTTTAATAAGACTCCGCTGAACGTGACAATTATTGCACCGAGAACCTTTCAAAGCATTGTCTTTTTATTTGTATTGAAGGATGTTAGAGAATTTTCACATTTTCTGGAACGATTTCTTAGAATATCAATGTAGGTTGAACAAAATTCGGGTATTTAGAATTTAACTCAGATTAAAACCCTTGGTATTAAAATTTCATTCTAACCACTTTGAATTCGTGTAAACTCCATCTTCAGCAAAAAAGCCAATATTATCATCACCAAATACATTACAGCTACGCCTGTGTCATTAAACCAGCAGACAGCTAGGAATATGATTTCTTACTTGCGTCATCAGTAACTCGATGACAATTTCCTTGAAAGGTGGCAGAAGTGCATGACTCAAACTGCAGTTAAGCCCTTTTTCGCAGGGAGTTTTAGCATGAACTCCTCAATTTTTTAGACTTGCTTTCCCTATCCTGCTGGATCAGAAATTTAGGCATATCAACAAAACAATCTAAGCTATCGAAACGATTGGATCAGGTAAGATACGATTTACAGCGTTCGTGAATATCCTTTTCCACCTCCGTTCAAACTACAACTCGTATATATATTATAAGAACCATTTCTTTTATTTCGTTATCGAGCTTTAAAATTTACCATCTTTCCCATGAAGCAGTTGACTATATTTGTTGTTTTATTTTAGTTTTCTTGCTTCCTTATTGATAGAAGACTTGTGCACCACACCTCAACTGTCCATCTAACAGACCAACAGCTAAAATTTTCCCTCTGAGGCGACAATCTTAAAGAGATGGGTTGTGAACCACCAACATATCTTTCTTACTTCTCTATGATTGCATCACTATGCCTCTCGTGCATTACCATCGCGGGGAACCTTTTGGTCTTGTTAGCAGTTTATCAAGACCCTTACAAAGAACTGCACAAACCTTTCACTGTCTTAATCGCTAATAGTCCATGAGCCAAATCCTGAAATGCGGCTAGAAATCAATTTTCGTAGTACCCCCCGTAAGATATAGTGTATTTGGTATCAAATGAAAGCTTATTGTGTATACTTTAATAATATACTTGTTACTTTTTATGTAACCTGAGCGTAAGCGAGAAAATCAACTTTTCCCAAGGGGGGGGGGGCAAGGACAATTTGCACTTGTAAACCCATAAAAACTATGAATAGGGAATTATTTGCACAAATACCAAATGTTTTTACCCCAAACTTAACAAAAAAATTAATGCTCGTAATACTGTTGGAATGTTACGTATAAAACATGGTTTTGGGAGTTGCCATGGCAACTGTTTTTGTCCAAATAGTGAATTACAGAATTGTCATCTTCACTGGCCAAATTTCACTGTGAGTGTAATTTTGACAAAAAAACGCGAAGAAGTTAAGAATGCATCTTTTAAAATCAGGCATTTCTTGCGCATCCTTTGCCATAATTATCGCAGAAAAATAAGATAAATGTAAATTAAACTTTGGGGTGGGGGTGGGGGAGGGGTTGGGGCTGGCTGGAAGATAACGGAAGTACCTTTATTACACACTCAAAATACTCATACTATTCATTTGACAACTGAAATGCGTTTGCATTAAAACTCACTAACAATGTTTCTCTCGTAGTCACTAAGAGGTGTACCATGTAATTTTACTGCCTCAACTGTTGCCATGGCAACGTTTGTGCGCTAAACGTTTAGAAGCATAGATAGTAGACTTTGTAATTGATGAAAACAGTAGCATTTGCGTCGTTTGTGTCTTTAAGACTAGGTGTTACATTTAACACAGGTCTTTTACTACACCCTTATTAGGTACATTTGAAGAGAGACATTGTACATTCTCATTTGAACTCGTGAGTCAAAATAATATCAAATATGTTTAAAACCAATGTGTTGCTATTAACATACTTTGTTCTCATCGTTTATAAGATAAACTGTGTGGAAATAGTAATGTACATGGTTAATTACACTTTCAATACAGTGTGTTCTAAACCAATGTGTTGCAAATAGCATTCTTTGTTTTCGTGGCCGGCTTACAGGAAAAAGAAATCCCAGGTTAGCTTTCATATTCATCACTGTCAATATCATCATCGCTATCATCATCTTCGCTATCGTCCTTGCTAATACAGTTAAGGCAGTTATCTTGGCATGTGCATGCCTCCGTGCAGGGAAGGCCATTGCTGACACAAGAACAGCGTCGTGTTTGGCACGATCCTTTGCAGCGGCAGCAAATAAGTTCCATGACCGCTTGAGTGGCAGGTGCCTGGTTAGTCCAGTAGATTTCCAATTGGCCATTCTTCTGTTGCCAACCCTGGCCATCAGGAGACTGGTTGACTTCTGTTTGTAGGGCATGCTTCCAGATGAATGACTAGTAGTTAGCACGCTTGAGATGGTTTTCAAGAGCTTCTTTCTTAGGGGGAAGTTGATGTGACTGCAGGCTTTTACTCTTGCAAAACAACTTGTACCTGAGTTCGTTTACACTTTGGCATAGGTGGTCGTTGTATAAGGCACAGACAAACCGTTCTAGCTTGTTTAAGTCATCTTGTCCGGCAGGAACTCTCTCACCAAGACTGCCAAGAGTTTGCCTCAAAGCTGGATTCATCTGTACAACATCAAGCCCTTCTTCTTCCCTTTTGTTGAAAAAGCGCTCACACTATTGCAACCAGTTATGGCATGGAGACTTGGAAGTATTTCGCATATTTCTCGGCCAAGTCTTTCACATACCCGTCGAATGCTAACAATGCGAGATCTTCTACTAGTACCACTGATCAGAATTATGTCAGCAGAAATGACGGCTTGGTAATAGCAGGCTAGTACTTCTACATCTGTGTCAGAGGACTTAATGACAATGCGCTGGTGTCCATTTTGAGATGCATGTTCTGCATGGAGGAACATTCTAGTGTCAGCTTCCTCTTGATTGGTGCAAAGTTCAGGCACATCGCTTGCAGTAGTTGAACCATTTGGGGCGACAAGTTTGGTGCAGTTGTCTCCGTGAGTGACAAAGGAGGTGCGGTCTTTAATTTTCTGTGCGTACACGGCATTTTCTGACCACTCCCGTACAAGGAAGCTTAGGAGGTTAGTTTTATTTTTACCATTTGCCAGAAACTTTCTCCACTGACGTGGGCACAGCTGTTGACCGTTGGTAACGTTGACTACCAGCTGTCCATCTCTGCTTCGTTTGTTTCTTTCTGTGTTCTTTATTGAGATGGCCGGATATTGATCTCCTACAAAGTCAATTCTTGCTGCCTCGCCAGCTTCTGTCAGAATTCTGGACATCACCATCTCTGCCAGCTCACAAAATCTATCAGGCACTCTGACTACTGTCTGTAGCATCGCCATTGTATCTATGATGACAGCTGTAGTCTGATCAGGTAAGCTCGGTAGGCATTCTACACCATTTTCGAGTAACACAGAAAGACTGGTTTTGTTTGTCTTGGCTAATGAGCCATCGGGTAAAGCTAAAGACCACGGGAGAGGGCCAAGCTCATGAGACAGCAGACATCTCAGGTCCATCTGGCGGCTCTGTCCAATGACAAGCAGGCGGGCAAAAAGGTTTCTGTCGGCTCTTATCATGACATTCCTGTCTCCTCCTGTCACAGAAGGGAGTGTTTCAAAGATTCCTGTTGAATTTGTGATTATTCTTTCTTCTACAAACGCTGTTAAAGCTGTTGCTCCCTTCTCTTTAGCGTCAGAGGAATCTTCGAGCTCTACTTTTTAAGCGAAAAACAAAAAATATTTAAAAAAATAGTCATATAAGGACAGTTATTCATATGGAAAATTAACTTAGCAATAAAACAATGGAATTCTTTACAGATCACAGAAAATGTACAGCTAAGCCATTAAGCAAAATAATAATAACAAAGTTACACTTCTGATACTGAACAAAGGCTTCTGAATACGGCCAGGTCAAAAACTTGCCCCACCCATCCCCTCTTAAGACTACTTTTAACATGGAATAAGGATTGAAATAATGCCAGAGACAATCTAATCTAAATGATAAGAGTCGCTTGCAACTAATAATGCTTTATTATTATTAAAATGCAGTTTCTGAAATAAAATCAAGTTAATAAATTTTAATGTCTATACTTGAAATAGTTGCCTAGCAACAGTTGCCATGCTAACACCCAATTTGGGTTTTGACAAACAAGTGCACATAACTTTATCTTAAGAACACTTTTGGCTGTTTTCTTTTCATATCGGATCAGACGGCTGGGAGATATTTGCTGTTTTCAAACTAAAAATTAACTCTTGACAAAAAGTCAAACCACCCATCCCCCTTGGAAGTAGTTGTTTTTCACGCTTACGCTCAAGTTACATAAAAAGTAACAAGTATATTATCAAAGTATACACACTAAGCTTTCATTTGATACCAAATACACTATGTCTTATGGGGGTGCTACGAAGACATTTTTGAGGTGTCTTGGCTCATGGACTATAACCTGGCACTGGCAGATTTGACCGCGGGCGCCATAACAGAACCAATGGCGGTGTACTTCACATATCAGGAAGTGCAAGGAAGTGTAGTAAATGATCTGGCCGTGTATGTTACGCATTTGAGCTATTTCATGTCATGCACTACTTCAGTATTAACCCTTAGTGTTCTTGCAATTGATAGATATCTAGCCATATCGTATTCTTTGTGGTATAAATGTCATGTCACTTTGTCTTGCACCATAAAAATCTGCATGGCTTTATGGATCATGTCTGTGCTATTATCACTGACATACATCAAGACAGGTTATATCAATTTTGCGTTTGTTTTTGCCAACACAGCAGTGCTTAGTACAGCATGTGTTCTAGTTTTCGCTTATTACCGAATATTTAAATCACTCAGGATTCGCACGATTCAAGTGGGAGTCTTACACGAGGGTAGAAGTCAACGGTGCGAAAGGCAGAAGTCACTGCTTTTAGAAAGCAAATTAACCAAGCTATACTTGATGATGTTGGGGATATTTTTGTTGTGTTTTGTCCCTTCTTGTTTGTTCATCTATGTTTTGTATTGTTGTTCTCTGTGTGATTGTTATGTCATTCACTGGTTGAGAGACAAGTTTCCTGCTCGTTTTAAGCAACAGCTCCCTAAATCCAATCTTGTACAGCTTACAACTGAAATCTTTTCGTCGGGTTTATAAAAGTATGTGCAAATGTTGGAAGAAAAACCGTGTGAGGGCAGTTAGGGGACAAGGGACCTAACATTCAAGCCTTTTGTTAGAAGATCTTAACGGGTCTAAGTTTGGTGAATCGTTCTAGGACAAATCAACGCACCATACGAGAGGCATATTCAATATTACTTTAGCGACTTCTTAGCCTTGTTTATTTTTTCATGTTATGACGGATAAACAGAAAATCTCCGCGTCGAGAACCGATAACTCAGCAAATGAAAAACTCAATAAACGTGACTTAACTACTTTACGTAACCTCAGACTTTTGAGTTCTGACACATTTTAAGGTTGTTTTCGCTTAACACTTCTGTCCAAAGAGCTACTACCTCACCCGGAACGAACTGGGAATCCCATAAATCATTCATAATGACACATTTTTATAACAATCAGGCTCTTTTAATGTTACACTTGTTACATGATGGCAACATGATATCGATATAAAACTACAATTAATTTGTAGGCTTTGTTAGATTTTTCCGGTTTCCAAGACAAGGAGTCGTTTTTCTTTACTGCAATTTTCCAATGTGCAATTTGTATACGCATTCCCCAAATCGTGTCACACAGCAAAGCTTTTCCTCGCACGATTTGCTGATCATCATACAACTGTATAGGACGAAGCAGAATAGAAAATAGTCAGCCCTCAATGTATTTACTAGCATAAATAGCATAAGGCCTGTAAAGCGGTTTTCACTTCAGTTTCGAAAATTGAAAACAAAATAATCTAAGGGATCCATCAGAGCGAAGGTTTACATTATAATTAACCAATGACTAGACTCAAAGTGAAAAAAAGCAAACCGCTTTAAGCGCAGAAAATCGCCATTGACCAATTCGCTTTTGCTTTTGGTTTTGCATCTGATTGGTTGAGAGGATGGCACGATTTTTAAGGACCAATCATAGAGAAAAGTTAAGATTCTAAGTTTTACTTTACTAATCTGGATCTACATCAGTGGGGGACCATTCATTGACCATCGCTGGGTTTGGAGGGGGGAGGGGAGGAGTGGTTTGCCCACTGGGTATGAAAATGAGGGGACTTGAAAATTGAGTGACCCTAGTAGGGGCCTTTGAAATAACTGAAATGATATTAAGGGAGGGGAGGGGGGGAATTGAAGTTAAAGACAAGCAAAGATACTAAAATTCAGCCCCTGTAAAGAAAAATTGATTTCCTCGTTTAATTTGTGCTCAATTCCGGAATGACGGGAATCGTGAAGTGTCCTCACAAAGAAGTCCTTCAACTAAATTTCGAAAGTATTACGGCTTCGTATATATTTAATTCCCTACTACGCCCTGTTATTGGTCAAGAAAAACCCATGCAACCCTCTCAATCAATCATATTAAAAAGGATACATCGCCTGATCACTCGCCTTTTGCCGCTCTGAGTGCGATTTAAAAGCATTTACTTCGAGTTATCTTCGGCTCCTTATAGTATTTAGCTCTATTTTGATTGACTATCGCGAGCTCTGTGGTTTTCGTTGTACGACACTCAGTCTAAACAGCTTTTGAACAGAGAAACTTTTTCGACTGAGATAATTTATGCAAAAGGTGTACCTTATCTCCAACACGTTCTATTCATTAATTGCATAGGGTGGTGTGATAGAGGAATTTTGCGACTTGGTCCTTTTAATTAAAAAAAGGAAGGTCTGATAGAAATGAAAGGTCCTTTCGATCAAATCTGTTTTGCAAATGCAATAGAAGTCTGATAAAAAAGGTTGTAATACCTCTTTACTTAGCTTTTTCCTTATTGAAAGGATGTCTACAAGTGGATCAACTGCACTCTCTTCAGTTGTCCCCATGATACTGATGACATTGATGACAGGGATTCTTTTCGACAACTTCTCTCGCAGAATAATTTCCAGCGCTTAATAACAGAAACAAAAAGAGAGCAATCAGACACCAAAGTACATGTAGATTGAGAGGGTTCACATCATAGTGTGTAAAGATTACAAATTAGGAAAGTCAGCCTAGGAAGGGGGGAATTTTTTACATCAGAGCATAATAAGTATATTTTTAACATCTCAAGTTAATTAGCTACATATGATCCTGTCGTTAGGTTACAAACGGGAAGAAAAAACCAAATAGATCTGATGAGTAGAGGAGGGGGGTATCCGGATCGTCGAACCTTACCCCTAGATCCACTCCTTGTGCATATTCTGTACTACATTTGTAACATTTTTTGACAAAATGTATTTTTGGGAAGTTTCTATCGGTCAGTCTTTTGAATAAGGTTGGAATGCATGTTACAAAGAAATCTGCCCGGTGAGAAGAAAACTACACAAACCATTCAACCTCTTCTGACTTCTTTCATCAATGGTCGCCAAAACACAAAAATATGCTGGAAAAAAAGGATTTTTTTTATAACTTAACCCTTTCACTCCCAAGATCTAATTAGTAATTCTTCTTACTTTCTGCCATACAATTCTTATGATGTTAGTTCAGAGAATTTGGTATTGGATCAGCTAATAATCCCATAATTGATATTCTTCTCTATTCCCATCACCTACTTGCTTGATATTGTATTGATATTGTAAGGAGAAATTTTGTCTTGGTCACTTGTGGGAGTGAAAGGGTTAAACCGTTTTACGACTCAATGTCCTTATTACCCTTAGAGTTCATGCGAGCGTTGGCATCAACAGGAACTGTCACCAGACACTCTTTTCCAAGACCCGTGATGGTTACCGCTTTGAGGAAGGACACATGATAGGTACTAGCAACCACAACACAAGGTGTTGTAGTTAGCATATGACGATTGCAGAATTCCTGAGTACCGATGGACTCGTAGAGGTAGTCAGCCAAGATTTTCCGAAACGCTGCCCGATCAATTTTAGCCAGGTTTGCCACCTCAGAGGGCATCTTGATGATTGTGTCAGTATCCAGATTGAGGAGTTCCCATTGTGTAGCGTTGATCAAAAGAGTTGGAGTATCATTCTGAGGAAGGTGTATCTAGATAATAAAGAGTTCGAAAACAAAAGTATTTCAGTTAGTTTCCAACCACTGCAAGCCATCCGAAAAATAAAAAGACCACATTTAGCTTCTTGAACGTAACAGGTTAACTCTGTTTCTACCTCGTAATCACGTGCGCCTTTTAACTGTTCTTCCTTCAGCAATGCTTCTTGAAGTCCCAGTGCATAGTACTTAAGATTTCTTGCCACCCATATCGCTTCAATGTTAGCGATAGATCCTCCAGCTACCAAATGCCCCAAGCTGGTATCCCTATTCAGGCCGACCATTTCACATAGGTCTCCACCAACTCGGACCTCGTAACCAGTAGTTGCCGGTCCACCTTCAGCTGCGCAGTTGTTTTGGTTCCACAAAATAGAGGCCATGTACCCAAGATTTGCGGGAACTGCAGTGTCCCAGTTGACATGTCCCTAAAAGTGAAGTTCATGCATGAATGCTTAGCTCATCAAGTTGTTCTTACTCCCAGTATGAAAGAGTTAAAGCTAAATAACGAACAGGTAAAACATGGTAATTTTGTTCGTTTTATCCTGTTTGCCGTTAAGCGTAAAAATGTTGCGGGAGTTTTATTTGCGGATTGGCGATTTAGTGCGTATGGAACAAACTTTTTCGGTCGAGTTCATTAAAATTTTGGTAAAAATTTCCGCACAGCCCCATACTATATTATGCATTCAGTTCTTGGATAGAGAAAACAATGACAAAAACAATACATTGCCATTAGGAAAACAGATCTGTTTTATAATAGTATGGGGCTGTGCGGAAATTTTACCAAATGATTCATAGATGAATATTTCGAAGTAGCACATATGATGAATTCGGAATTGACACTTGACTCTTTATATGAATTTTTTCATCCGATTAGGGCGGATAATTATTAACGCAAGTGAAATACCCTGGCTTAAACTGCGGAAGTTTGGATATTACTTTGGATTTCGCCGCGGTTCCTTTTTTAACGCCGGATTATTCACTGAAATGCAGTCTGCTTGGAATTCTGCGCATATAGTTGCGTAACAAACACTGCACGACTTGAAATGAAGATCAGTTCGTAAACAATGTTTGGATTCTTGGGAAACCACAATAGCAAGCGCAACCGCAAACGCGTTCAGAACGCGATTGACTCTCAACCTTTTGCGGGGTCAATCTTTAAAGCCTACCTTGTATCTCGTGCTAAAAAATGGAACAGATCTGTACATGTCCTTCTGAAGATTATCCAATTCCGTTTTCATCTTCTCATAGGATTTTTTGAAAGACTCTGCTTGTCGCAGCTCGTCCGTGACGTACGGTGGATCACAAGGGTAGAAACTAGGGAAATAAAATATTGTTGCATTTCGTGTTGCACTTAGGAGCAGACATATCTGATGCATGTCTGCATTTGACACCTTCCAAGTGTTAAGTTCAAAAGCCAACCGAAATTGGGCTGATAAACCTTTGTAACAACAACGGTTTGTTGAATCAGGTAACACACTCCTCGCTCATCAAAATCCTTTTATGAAAACTCTTTGCCCTGGTTTCTTTTAAGTTGCGTGTAATGCAAAGAGTAGGAGTGGCATTAGTGAACAAACTCGGAATAAAAGCTGATAAAGAAAGCCATGCCAAGGCAACAGACGTAAATAAGAGGCTACAGGAAAATAGAATTTTGTTACGTACCCTTGGCGAAAATCCATGTGGGCTTTTATGGCGTCCTTCATTAGTTCAATAAACACGTCAGCATTCTCCGCTTTTGGTCCAAGAAACTAAGTCCCAACAGCAGCCCACGGTTTTGCTTCATCGTCGCTAACAGCACGTTTGGAAAAAATGCCACGTCTATGGGTGAACATAGGCGCCTTTCCCTTCCGTTTCTGCTCCTCTTTTCCGACCTTGCGCGACGTTTTCTTTCGTGGGTTGAACATGGCTGCTTTAGGTGTAACTGAAGATTGCTCCAATGACTTAAAGTAGAACACAGTGAGAGCTAAAATAAAAGGTGTGCAAAAATTACAAACAAATGGAGAACACAGCGAAATAGAAACACAATTCATGCACTTCGAAAGTCATAAGAAAGAGGAGCGAAAAAGAAAGGAAATTAGATGAAGAAATCGATGTCGCTATGTTGCTCTCAACATACCTACGCCCTAGAATCAATGTTTAAGAGATGAAATTAAAGGAAAGAAAATAATATTGCAAACTACGTGATGAAACTGGTAGAAATGTAACAAAATGCGGGTGCAAAAGTAACGGTCACGAGCGTTGCATTTGCAGTAGGGAATCAAACAACGCTGCTTTCATTCACTGCACTGAGGTTAACTTGTGGCGCCGTAAGAGACGGTAAGCGCATCCAGCCATTCGCGAAATTCTAACTTAAAATATATCTTTTTTTTTTTTCAAAAGACTTCATTTGGCGTTGCCGTCCTACGTGAAAAGCAAAATCAATGCACGAAAAATCATTTATAACATGTGTTTTCCACACAAAGGAACGAAAGATGCCAATTTTCTATGGTTTAGAGAGCAAAGCTTAACATAACATGTGATATTTGTAAGGGACGAGTCTTACGCAGTAAACTAGAATGCGGTTTTTCACTGCATTGCGATTTAATCGACAAAGGCGCGACCAAGCCTCACCAAACTAAATCCTTGAGGGAGTTGGACATAAAGAAGAAAGGAATTTTTTGAAGACAAGAGCAAGTTTATCCATGGCCACATAACTTTCAATTCTTTCCCTTTGGCTTTATGGTGGTCTGGAAGTTTTTGCTTGAACAGTTTTTGTTCTAGTATGCAGAACGCTTGCAGCTGCACAGCCTATAATAATTTTAGCAATTCCCGCATCAAATTAAATTGTCACACTTTCATCTCGCATAGTTTAAGTTTTTCTCTGAATTTTATATTTAGGAAGAATAATTAAAATCTACCTGAAAATTTTTTTCCCAGTTCAGTTTGCTCGACGACTTAGCCCAGTGTAACGATTGTATCGTTCGACGCTGGTCTTCTACACGCCTCTGAAACAAAGAAAGTACTTTAATAAGCATATTTTCTCGCCAAATGCTCATCACTTCAAAAACAACTTGTCAAAACAATCCCCCCGGGAGTTTTTTTTTTTTTCAAGTTGAAAAGGTCACGTTATTTTTTTATCCAGACTGCATTATGCTTTTGACTTCGACCATTTTTATTGACTTGTCTAAGGTTTTTTTTTCAAGTAAGTATTACACTTGTTCACGATTGGATCCTGAAAGGTATATGAAGCTGTTCTGCCGATTAACCAGCATTGTACACTTAATTGGGGCGGCACGCACGCAAGCTCCTTCCAGCTCGTTCACACCTCAGCACACTTGCTGATAGCATTTAATTACTCTTACGCCTGTTTTTGATTTCTTCAGTTCACTTTTGAGGCGTAAATACCTTTGAGCTAAAATGATTGTTCTGATGTAACTCCATTAGAAATCTCCAAGAGGTTGTATCAAACGCGGTTTTAGGATTGCACGATTCATTCCAAGTAATTTCCCGAAACGTGCAAATATGTGGCATCTAAAACCACCTCCCGGGCTACCACGTACAGGCTGCTTGTGTTTACACAGCTGGGTGTTACCAAATTATGGATCAACAGACCGTGAACCTCCAGAACCAGCGGAGCCTGTGGAACTTGTGGAACCTGTGAAACCTGTAGAACCTGGGAACCTGGGAACCTGGGAACCTGGGAACCTGGGAACCTGGGAACCTGGGAACCTGGGAACCTGGGAACCTGGGAACCTGGGAACCTGGGAACCTGGGAACCTGGGAACCTGGGAACCTGGGAACTTGGGAGCCTGGGAACTTGGGAGCCTGGGAACTTGGGAACTTGGGAACTTGGGAACTTGGGAACTTGGGAACTTGGGAACTTGGGAACTTGGGAACTTGGGAACTTGGGAACTTGGGAACTTGGGAACTTGGGAACTTGGGAACTTGGGAACTTGGGAACTTGGGAACTTGGGAACTTGGGAACTTGGGAACTTGGGAACCTGGGAACTTGGGAACCTGGGAACTTGGGAACCTGGGAACTTGGAAACCTGGGAACTTGGGAACCTGGGAACTTGGAAACCTGGAAACCTGGAAACCTGGGAACCTGGAAACCTGGAAACCTGGAAACCTGGAAACCTGGAAACCTGGAAACCTGGGAACCTGAAAACCTGGGAACCTGAAAACCTGGGAACCTGAAAACCTGGGAACCTGGAAACCTGGAAACCTGGAAACCTGGGAACCTGGAAACCTGGAAACCTGGGAACCTGGAAACCTGGAAACCTGGGAACCTGGGAACCTGTTGAACCTGTGGAACCTGTGGAAGCATTCATTTTTTTGTGAAAAAAAAAATGCAATAAAATAAAAACTAGAAAACAACTTAACACTTTTCGAGATTTCGTTTTCAGGTATAAAGAAGATAACTTAAAAAGAGAACATTTTTTTTAACTTACCTTGTCGTCCAATCATAGGACACTCAAGCTCACACAGTGAACACTGAATATGTAAATATGTTCACGTTGCGCAATGGGCGAAATATAAGGATTTGAATGGTAATAAGCTGTCGCGCTCTCAGCCTTAAAAAGATCTGGACTTGTTTTGAATAAAGACTACTTTACCCTTCTCAAGTGGTTGTTCTTCGGCATCGAGTGAATTTTTGGAGCTTACTTAGGGCAATTTAGCTCGGATTTATTTCATCTACCTTTCCCTCTACATAATCCCTTCCAAGATATGTTTGTAATTAACGCCAACCGAATGAATCCACTGGAAGCAAAACGCGTTAAATTCGCTCCGGACGCCCCGATCACCCCGAAATTCTACCAGTATCACGGGCGATTATCTTTCTCTACGCTCTTGTTCCTCATTCCAGGGTTATGTACAACGAATTCCAGCATAAAAGTTTTTGTGACAGCCTTTGGATGAGGCGTTATTTGGATACCGGGGTACCCAAACCGTTAGAGATTCCAAATTATTTTCCAATTATTGACACTCAGGGTAGGTGACTGTTGATTGCTCTAATGACATTTCTTAAGCTTGTACCAGTACTATGAATGTCGCCACAATTGAAGTTGGACATCAAGGACAGTTAAAACATACTTATCTTTTAAAGTGTTCTTCTTTATACCCGAAAACGAACTTTCAGACAGTATTGAGGTCTTTTTAGATTTTATTTTATCGGATTATTATCATTTACAAAGAAACATGGGTTCCACAGGTTCCGCGGGTTCCACAGGTTCCGGAGGTTCTGTTTTTGTTGATCTACAGTCAAGTAACACCCGACACTGTCCCATAGGCCCGAAAAAAATATGTATGGATTAAAGGTCATTACTTTATTTTAAATTTAGCTCAAAGTATAAATTTGCTCTGTTTTTGGGGTCTAAGAGGGTTTGGAAAGAAAAAAAAATAGAACAAAGTGAATGATGAGTAAGAAAGTATTAGTCCATTATTCTCAACTTTCGTCAGGAAATGCCCTTGCATCGGTCAATTTTGACAGTTTGCAAGACATTGTGAAGGTCTCCACACATAATTCCTCCAAGAAACAGTAAAACATTTCTGCTGGGTTGTAAATACAGACAGACCGCAACGTTCCCTTTACGAATGCTCTTCACGCTCGATATACAACCATTCTTCCCGCGTTCAGTGGTACAGTACATACAGAAATGTTTTCTCCCAAATAACACAGCATTTATGTAAGAATTAGACCAGTATAAACAATACCGACAAAGGGTTCTTTCTTATCATTTGCAGACATTGAAAAAATTTCAGTCGTTCTGTCAACTCGTTTCATCTGTGACAATTAATCAAAGCGGCAAGTCCTTATACTTTGCATTCCGCTGTTGCGGCTCATTTACGATGCGTAGTTTTATCTGAATAGATGGTCCATGGTTATGTAAATCAGACAAGAGACACGAAAGATACGTTTCCACAGCTTCGATAAAGGGGATTTGAAATGCATCCTCAGGGAACATGATTTGTTCAAATTAACGCCTAGACAATGATTAGTAGAGGTGAAATTTAGGAAAGTCGGCACAAACAGCTGTACTGCAATTTATTCCAGGAGCTCCCGATCCGCGCAAAAACTCTTTTGTCTTCCAGTTCGAATAATACAACTGAATAAATTGACGGGAAAATTCTTTTGAAGGCAGCTCATGGTTAGGTCCAAAATATGTGCGAAGCGAAAACTTTTACGAGAGAAATCTGTGGTGTCTCTGACTACTCAGCCTCGTCTGCTTGTTTGTCAACTGGCTTACTTAAGAACAGGGCGCAGTCCCTGGAGAGGTTAGCCACGCCTACAACTTATTATGTTTATTAAAGCAGCGCTCATCTTGTGCAGAACAGCTTTGCAAGGCTCCGATATATTTCAGGTAAGGAGTACGTGCTCTTATGGTCTTTGAAGAATTATCTAAGCTATAGAATTCAAAATAACACTAGTGAGGCCTTTGTGAAGTTCTAAACGTTGGCACTAGACGGCGCTGACGAAAACGCGAGTTAATTCTGAGAAATTTACATTTATTGATGTACGAAATATTTAATTTGTTATGGCTTAGTTCAGTCCTTTAAAGTGTATGGTCTGCGGTAAATTATTTGAGCCCAGTAGCTGGTCATGCAGTAAACTAAAAGTTTTAGGGCCTAGGGTTTTCTAACAATACTTTGCATCTTGAATTCTCATCCTCAAACTTTTTAATGCAACTTATCCTCGTGGACTTTCAGGGCACCCTGTCGCTGTTAAAAATCCAGCTACAATGTCTGAATGATACATAAGACTATAAATAATATATCTTTGCGGGAATTTTTATTCTGTGATTCACTTTCAGGGTGTGCAGATTCGATAGTTTTTTATTTGAAGGGATTATGGCTTAGTTGTACCAACGCGGCCCACCGACTACAATTATCCAAACAGGCGCGTTTTCATGTACAAATTGCAAACACTTTAGGCTATGAATCGAAATCACCCATTATATTTTAGCAATGCATGTATATTGAATTCAAATGCCTGTGTGGAAATCAGCTGCCAACGGTAGATCTAGAGCTTTCATTAAACTCAAAACTCGTATATACTGTTCAGTGGTAATCTGATAATCAACTAATACATCTATTTTGGGCAATAAGACGGCATTGTTCTTGCTTAGGGAACCTAATACAGACTGCTAATTAATTTTTTAAACGACTGCAAGACAGAATCATCATTTTTTAGCCGCGAGGTTACAAATGCTCGCTTCTTAGGAAATCACTCGTCAGTCTATTAAGACGACAGATCAGGTGATGTCAATAGAAAATAAGTCTATCTCGATATATATATAAATATTAGGTAAAATTTAAATATATTAGGTAAAAAACAAATCTGTTTTCCCAGTGGAAATGTATTGTTTTTGTCATTGTTTTCTCTATCCAAGAACTGAATGCACAATGTGCTACGGAGCTGTGCGGAAATTTCACCATATATTAGATCATGAGAGAGAGCAAAGTCTTGCATCGGAATTTTCCAATCACGTGTAGTGTGCCTTTGTGCATAATTATATACAACTTGCTGTAAACAATTGTTTTGTCGCAGGGAATACTTCTCAGTGCGGTCCGTCTAAAATGATGTCAATTAAAGCTTTGGGATTTCGGACTATGAAGTTTAAAAAATCGTTTTTTTGTTTATCTGATCTAATAATACTTGTTTGCACATGAATGTAAAATAAATTGATTCTAAAACGTGCATGAAAATCTTAGATGCACGCTTTCCTAATCGTTCGTTTTTATGGTTCACTTCAAATTTACGAAAGGAGCTGTCAAGTAGGGAGATATCGGTGAAATAAAAAAGGGACATGGAGGTTATTTTTCTGAGCAAAACCACATTGAAAGAGGAAAAGTGATCTACGAGCCTGGATTTAAAATAAGTGGAAGTCTGGCTTAGTAATCTCGGATCAATGTCCGTGGCCAAGTAAGTACGCAGCCACCCCTCCCTCTCCAACCCATCAACAGTTAGTTGTTAACAACTCAGGGTTGATGTTAGGTTAGGGGAGGGGTAGGTGCACAGTTAGATACTGACATTAACCCTTTAACTCCCATGATCTCATTAGTAATTCTCCTTACTGTCTGCCAAATGATTCTCATTATGTTAGTTTGGAGAATTGGGTATCGGATCAATTTGTAATCCCATAATGGATTTATTTCTTATTCTCATCACCTGTTTGCATGATATTGTATAGATATAGTAAGGAGATATTCTGTCTTGGTCACTCACGGGAGTTAAAGGGTTAATCTGTTGCCTCAATTTTTATTCACGACTGTGAGTATCCACCTAGAAAAATGAATTATATCCGCTAATCCAACCCTAATATACGACTATCCTGTTGTTAAGATTTCATAGGAAACACTGAAACCATGTTTCGGCCACGCCAGAAAAGAACCGCTCAAAAAGCCGTTGGCTCCGGAGGAAAGAAGCCTCGACTGTCCAAGGCCCCTATGTACACTCCGCGGCGAGAAGTTCTGTACCGTGGAGGTAATAAAAAAGGCAAACATGACCATTGGGCAGCCCTGGGAGCCTGGTTCCTAGGGCCCAAAGCGGAAAATGGAGATGTGTTTAGAGACCTTTTGACGGGAGCTGTCGACCACCATATCGCATTTCGTCACAAGTGAGTTCTTCAAAAGAAAGAGAAATTAAAATAGGGTTCCATTATTCTCTCTTGAAAGCCATTACTTCTCGTTTATCATCCCTTCCTACGGAATTTTTGCCACCTGCAGAGAAAACGCTTTAACAGGCAATTTGAGTAACAGCATGAAACATTCTATGCATGGACGAGGTTTGTTGTTACCTCAAGGGCAATATACACATAAATTCCATTAAGCACGAAATAGGGTCTGTTCAATTCCTTGACTGCATTTGTTCAAGAAGCAGACAATTCTTTAACCATGAAAGTGAACAAATACCTTATTCAATTGCTTAGTCGTTCAAGTTCAGTCAAAAGTGACCAAGTTTGCATTTTGATACTCAAGCTATTTCCCCTGTGATCCACCGTATGTGACGGATGAGCTCCGAGAGGCTGCATCTTTTAAAAATTCCATGGAACATTTGAAGACAGAAGTGGACAACTTGCAGAAAGACCTGGAGAAATCTGTGCCATTTTTTAGCTCTAGATACAAGGTATTTTTTCCTCCATGTAATTGTTCGCCTCATCCTGATTGTGTTTGAGGATATCCTTCTTGCTTACGTTCTCATAAACACCAGCCTCTCAGTTTCGTAACTTGGCGGCCAAGTATCATTCGATCGGCTTTCTCAGGTGCCACCCTTTCTTCAATCATAAATAAAATGTTGATATGTAGGTACAGTTAGACGACAAATTGGTCATGGCATGTACCCAAGGTTCCGCTTGTTATTAGCAAGACACTATGTTACTTAATTACCCTGTTATACTCTCCCACCGATGCAGCACCACAGTTCCTTCAGAAAGCTACCTTCCCCCCCCCCCCTACTCTATGGGTTTGGTTAACCAAATGAACAAAGTGCTATACAGCACTTTATAAGTCAGCTTATATATTTCTTTTGTCTCCAGGGACACGTTCTTTGGGAGACAGCCATGCCAGCTAACCTTGGCTATATGACTGCCATGTTGTTTAACCAGAACAACTGTGCAGCAGAGGCATCGACTGTTACCACAAAGTTCGAGGTGGAAGTTGGGAAGGATTTGTGTATCATGATGGGATATGATGGCGATAAAGCCATGGGTCACCTCACTGCTGGTGGGTCTGTGGCCAACATTGAAGCAATTTGGGCTGGAAGAAATGTCAAATACTTTCCATTAGGATTGCAGGAGGCTTTGCTGAAGGAAGAAAAACTTGCTGCTGCTAAAGGTTATAAGGTGAATATACTTAAGGGAAAAGACTTTAATAACCTTCAAAACGAAATTGGCGTCAGCTACTGTGTTTTATAGCGCTGTCATTCAGCTTTTGTAAGGTGGACTCGTTCAAAACGTAATTCTCATTTATATCAACGGATAAGATTTTCATGGGAACATTAAATCCTTTCCTCAGGTAGATCTACTGATTACTTTTGCGTAATCGAAGTGGTTAATATATCTAATGATTTCAATTATTTTTATTATTATCATAGTCACTACCATCATTACTTTTGTTAAAAGACTGCTTGGAAGATAGCCATGCTTGATAGCTTGATGGCTTGATTTTCTCAAGTTTCAAACAACCCGATCTAAAATTCTGTGCAGACAAAAGCCAATTCCATGCTGGAAAACGTTTGGCCCGCTTTAAAGGATATGTTTAACAGTTTTCTACTGAAAAAAAGGAAAACAATTCTCAGCTATACCTTTCATGCTTAATTCCTGATTAGATAACCTTTCCTCAAAGAGGAGGAGAAAAAGGAGAACTTCAGAGTGCTTCCCAATGGGAACTCCTCAATCTTGACGTCGACACCATTCTAAGAATGCCAAAAGACGTGGAAGATTTAACTGGTCTCCATCATCAAGAGTTCATGGGCGTCATGGGCCAGTATCTCTATGAATCTGTTGGAGCGCAAGAGTTTGCTCGCCGCCACATGTTGACAGAGAGTCCTTGTGTGATTGTACCAAGCACAGCACACATATCCCTTACCAAAGCAGTTACAATTCTAGGACTGGGACGAGAGAGCCTCGTCACTGTGGCAGTTGACGAAGATGCTCGGATGGAACCAAAGGGTTTGTTCATTATGATGCTCGATATAACTTTGAGGTTTGAGTGTAAGAGAACGACAAAGTAGACAAGGTAAAGAAAAAATGAGCACGAAAACCTACTTGGCTTAACTTTCACTGTTTGCGCTACAAAAGTCTAAAGCCGTGCTTATTAATATTTGATCCAAAACCCTTTCTGGAAGAGGAAGGAATGTAGGCCGATAGACCCAATCCGGCTACTTTGAACTGTTTCACTGACGTCCACGACTTAAAATTTACTTATAGCATTCGAATGAATCTCACCTTGCACGTGCTGTCGTTTTTCAGATCTGGAAAGAATTTTGCAGGAAAAACTAAAAAACGAGATTCCGGTGATTACAGTTGTGTCTGTTATGGGTACAACAGAAGAGAGCGCGGTGGATCCACTCGCAGCGATTTTGGAACTTCGAGAAAAGTTTAGAGCTAAGGTACATCTAACTGAACAGAATGAACCTTTTCTGTAGTAGAACCCCGCTAATTCAAATTCGAACTCTCAGGGGAAACAAAAAAGAGTTCGATTTGCCTGAATAAGTAGTAAATAACTGAAAACGGGGTTTCTGTGCAAGTAACCGGGGTTCTACTGTAGTTCTGCCCATATTTTGAGCCTGAAACTGGAGCCTTTCTCAAATTTAAACATGATTGAACGATTTTTCTTAAATTCGGAATTACGTAAGTGCAGTTGTGGAGCAGGTTGGCTTGGGATAATGCTGTCGTCAGGCCAAGGACTCCAGAGGAGCGGATCATGTTTGTTCTTACTTAAACGTACTTCAAATGACTAACTTACGAATTTATTCGCACTTAAAACCGCTCTTAGGTCAGGTTGCAATTATGTTTTTTCTCCGGCCTCACGTATCCTTACTTCTTCTTAAAATCTAAGACGAAAGGTTAAACCTCAATGTTATCTCACATTACAATCACGATGCTGGGGCGCCAAGCTATTTCATTCACTCTTCTTTATCGTCATACAGGGCCTTTGCTTCAGCTTGCACGCGGACGGGGCTTGGGGAGGATACTTCTGTAGCATGTTACGAGATCCTAAGAGTAATCTTGTAACCGCTGGTAGCGAGGGATTTGTTCCCGAGTTGTGGCTAAGTCCATATGTTAAAGAGCAGTTGTCAGCCATGGACCAGTGCGATACCATCACTATTGACCCACACAAATCTGGCTTCTGTCCTTACCCCGCTGGAGCATTATGCTACAGAGACAAGTTGATGAACACCTTTCTTCAGATCACCACCACTGTTGTGTATTATCATGGAGACATGACACTTGGAGACATCGGCATCGAAGGATCCAAACCAGGAGCTGCTGCCGCTGGGGTCATGTTGGCAAACAGGGTGAGAGTTCACTCGTCGTTTATCACGTCGGAGGGGGGGAAGGGGAAGATGATTTTTTTTTATGGGGAAGGATCATATGGCTTCCAGGGAGAACGGTGAGGGGATCAGGATCAACACAGAGTATAAAAGGGAGGAACTATAGAAAATTCACGGCATGAGATGGGGGGTGATTATAAGGATGTTACAGGGGATAAGGTAAATTTTATTGTTACATAAACACGAAACAAAACCTCTTCTCCCCCCCCACCAGCCCAAAGTAAGGAATAATGATAACCAGTCCTTAGATACAAACCTGCCCTTCCTCTAGCTTTCCAAATAAAATATTCCTCAATTCTTAAAAAAAAAAAAAAAAAAAAAAAAAAAAAAAAAAAAAGACGGACACTGTCGGGGATATTCCGGCATGGATCTGAACTACAATTGAGGTTTTTCACTGCAATAAGTATATGTACTATATTAATTTGACCAGTAGTTCTATACCAAATGTGATGAATAGATCCTCTCTAACAAATTGCGGTTTAAGCGACTGCATTCTAGAAAAAAAATTTAGACTTCGAACTAATTCTATAGAGTCGGATTAGGAAACCGTGCCTTCCTGATTGTGAGTTGGCACCTCAACCAACTAAGCTACGAAGTCACTTGTTGGGAGAAAGACAATTTTTGCTTTCAGATTATTTGTCTTAGTTCCACGCTGGTCATAAATGATCCCAAAATAATCCTCATTTAATTGAGTGACAAGAATATTTTTCATTCAATCCTTAAAATCATATAATGTTCCAAGATTTTTAAGCAATTTGAAGACGCAGAAGTTGTGTTGTTGGTATGTAATTGTTTGCTTCGTATGTGATCATATGTAGGTCATCGGTCTCGACAAGAATGGCTACGGTCGTATCCTAGCTGAATGTATGTTTACTGCCAAGATCATGTACTGCCTGTGGGTAACACTAGCTCAGGACGATGACACCTTTGTCTTGGAAACGACGAAATCGCTTCCAAAAAAATACAAAAAGATGTCAGAAAAGCAGCAAAAGGAGTTTATTAGAGAGAGGATTCTGGGGAAAAGCAACGAAGAACTCGTTAAGGTATTTTTTTTTAATGATCCACGTACAGAGTCACGTATTTTTCTGATTAGGAATTTACTGAATCGGGCCGGAAGAATGAGTTCACCTGACATTACCTCTGTCATGTCGGAAGAGAATATCAGTCAAGTGAGGGTTTTAACTTTTTTTGAATGAAAATTATTCAGGAGGCGTGGAGTACTTTGCGAATTTCAATTAATTGCTCAAAGATTGTCTGTATCGTATCTTGATATCTAACAAGAAAACAATTCTGGCTATAAAATAACCTGCTGCCTCTTTAACTTACAGGATGAAGAAGCTATGGAGTATCTCCTGGAAGTTGGTCCTGACACCATGATACCGTGTTTTTCTGTCAACTTGAAAGGAAACAGAAGTGTTGAAAAGTGCAATGAGATCAACTTGGCACTATTCCAGGACCTGTCTCACACATCTAGCGAGCAGACCGCGCGTCGAGTTCCAATGATTGTGACAGCATCAAGTTTGGTTCCCCATAAACACAGTGCTGCTGTTCCGAATTTCAAGAAAAGATTAGGGGTAGGAATCATGGGGCTATATATGGGGGTTAAGATACATAATGACAAATGTCTTTAAGGGCCGATGATAATCCAGGGTTATTACCATCGCTTTTCTGTGCTTAGCGCATACAACTGCAGCCGTGTGATTCTCTGTTACAGCACTTGTCGATGGAGTAGAGGAATATAAGATATCAAACGGAGCCAATAACAACTCTGAGTAAAAATCGAACTTAATGAAGTGTGGAAGAACACGATTAACCAAGACGCGATAGGTTTAATTGTGATTGGTCCAGAGCATGGCGCGAATTTTCTTGACCAATCGCGGCGTGAAGTCAAGACGAATGCAACTTGGATTTCAGGTTGCTTTTAATCTTTTCTTCGTTCACGGCAATATATCTTTATCATTTCTTTTGAAATTTAGTTGGAGCACGACAATGACACACCTGTCAAATACATCATCACAACCTGCATGGATCCATGGGCCACGTCCACAGAATTCTTAGACGACATGGGTGACATTTTGAGGAATGCAATCCTTAACGCAATTGGAACGGTGAGGAAGTATCATATCTTGTTTCTTGGGTGGGAGCGGGAATGGAAACGCTTTTTGTCAGTTAAGTTAGCTCTTGTCCTTATCTTTAATACCTCTTTTTCAGTGCACCGATGCCAAAGTTCTCCACAACTTTGTCACCACAGGAGTTGTCAATCAGGAGAACGAAGTGATCGCATCTTACATCGGAGACTTCAACAATGTTTCCAAGCAGTATGACAACGCGGTGAAACTGAAGTTCCTCCACGACAAAGACGCCGAAAAGTATATTTCCATGCAAGAAAAACTGCTTAAGGCCAGCTGTGAGCCTCAGCCAATTGTGTTTAGAAGCAAAAGACAAAGGTTCCACGAAATTTTCTTTGAAGAGTCCGAGTACGCTGGTGAAAAGGAAAAGTTTGATTGCTTCGTTGGTATGCCTTCTGATCATGACAAGAATCCATTCATGTCTGTAAAGATGAAGATCATTGATGTTCCACGTTACGAGCACTTTGACAAGGGCGATTACCCAGATCACGCTAACTACTTCATGTATGGCGACAAGAAGAGTGTGTTCCTGTTTCACATTCCGACCAAAAGTCCAGATTTCTTTCAGGTAAATGACTTTTTTGGTTTAGCTAACTAAAGAAAGTCTCATATACAGACGATTTCTTCTCAGAGATTAAAATTTACATGGTAACCGCTACAAGAAAGTGTTTTATCAACATTTCTGACAACCACTGTCATCAACTTCAAGTAAGAAAAGGAGCTCAGCTAAATTTAGTTGATTAGGGGGGTATGGTTTCAAATTTCCCCACCTCAACGTGGAGTGGCTTTCGCGCGGGCTCATATATTCACGCGGGGGAGACAAACCGGAAAATTACAGAGTGTCTAACATCGGAAAAGGTTTAGGATTCTTGTTTTTTCACCACTTGAATCACTACCTTACAGGGGAGAGGGGTAAGACGCTCACCCCTGGCCTCCCTGGTTACGACCCTGCACAAGAGTTTTTGTTCACTAAATGAGTCCGCATACAGCCAAATGCCATTTTCCTACTCCTTGAACAGCATGTTATTTATTCCACATTTTTCTCTGCCAAGTGACGTTTTTCCATTTATGCCTCTGGTTTAAGATGATCCTAGTGATAGTGCACCGTCTTGCCCCAGGACACAATATTTTAAAGATAATTCTCTCCGTTCAATCTTAAAAGGTGGTTCAGCTTGATGGCATCCCTGATAATGTTGGCACGGAGAAGGTGGTGGACTTGTTGCTCAGATATGGAACCGTGGTGGAGATTCCGAGCATCTCTGGTTCACCAAAGATCGAGAGTGGAGAGGTTCAAGACCCCTTGACCAAGAACAAGTTCGACATCTCCTTCGTGGGAATCGATGGTGCGGAAGTCGCGTCCGAAGTGAAAATAGCAAGGAAAATCTGGTTTTCTGGAACTACCGTGTAATGGTTAGACGTTAAATGGGACTTCGTATGGTTCACAGACTGTGAAATTTCCTCAAATTTTATCTTTGTAAACACGAAAGTCCTTTTGTAAAAGTTCACTTTTCTTTGTGAGGTATCCCTGCTGATGTGTAAATTCAGTTTTGCAAAAGTCTCCGATCTACCACTCACTGACCAAACTGGGTGGCGATAAGGTAATACTTAAACGTTCGGTATAAGTATTCCCTGCCACCATAATGTAAGAGTTCACTTTTCCTTTAGCATTTACTTAAACCCAACACTGTTATATTGCTTGTTCTTTCCTTGATGTCAGGTCGGAAAATAAAATCTGTGCAGAACTACATGGTCTTTTTAGCTGCGGTGGTAATGTTTCGATGTAAACCGTAGTACGTTTTCGACCACAGTTTATCATTTTTAATTCTAAGAGAAAAACGAAGGGAAAAAATAAAAAATACGCACTTTGTGGATTCTGAACGCGAATCCTGATTAAAGTGGGCCATCTATTCTATGTATTCAAAGGATTTTTGATGAACGCATTAATCGAAATATCGTTAAACGCAATTAGAATCGTTTCTTGCGTTATGCTAGTGCTGAAAATTATTTGCCAAAGAAACGACCTTGACTGCGAGTGCTTAGAGAGATCCTTCTTTCAGTGCTTAGCTATTTGGAAAACATACCTTTGAACGGATGGAAAAGTTTCTTGTTTTGTATATTCGCTCATGTTTCGCCAGAGAACTTTCGGTTTAATTTATACCGATGGAAAATTTGTTAAACCTAGACACTTGATTGACACAACCATGGTAAATAATCAATTTTTGTGTCTCAAACTACATTTCATAACCAGCTGAATGTATAAACAGTTTTCATAAAGAAAGGAAGTCGTGAACTGATATTTTCCTCATTAAAAATTTTCTCAATATCTAGAATGCACCCGGTGGCAAATTTCAGCTCAAGAAGTCGTGTTTTGAATTTACGAACTTTAGTTGTGAAGCAATTATGAACAACTTTTGTTTTTTGTGGAACATTTGGCGGATATCTGAAAAATTAATGTGCTTTAAATTAAATTTTAAATTTCAGCGATTATAAATGCAAGGCAGCCCCCAAATTCTAACCACTTTTAAGTGTTTAATTAGACTGCAGATAACCGTACGTGTAAAAGGCATTAATTACTGGCAAAAAAATCGGTTCAAGTTTTCTTCATACTTTCAACAAAAGCAAAACATTACATTTCTAAACGAAAAAAATGGATAAATTTCATACAACGGAACTTCAATATAATACCTCTAAAAGCCAGAAGCCAATTAACTAATAGGAAAGATCCAAATTTGTTTTGATAATGATGAATATTCATTTTTAATATGGCACAAAAATTATTAAGCGGAAACAGATCAGTTTTCGACCTAATGACTTCGCAGTCACTAGGTAAATATGAGTGGGTATTTTGCCTTCTAAGTGTTTTTGCTCCGTCAAATCAGTTTTCACAATGTCTTGTAATTTAGGTTAGAATCCAAAGAGGCTTTGGAGAGAGTTGAAAGGGGAATCTGATTATTACGTTGATAGTCTTGCCCTTGACTTATTTCAATGGTAAATTTTGAGTTGCCGTATTTATTCAGCCTTAACTGAAAGTTTTAATTTAGCGACCTCCTTTACATCCTTTACAAGGATTCTGATAACATTTGAAATAGCGGTTTTGTATTAACCAATAACGTGGAGAAATCTTTCCCAGGAACAGTGTCCAAGAACAATTCCATCCGGCAGTAATTTACCAGATGTAAGTAACATTCCATCTTTAATAAGACTCCGCTGAACGTGACAATTATTGCACCGAGAACCTTTCAAAGCATTGTCTTTTTATTTGTGTTGAAGGATGTTAGAGAATTTTCACATTTTCTAGAACGATTTCTTAGAATATCAATGTAGGTTGAACAAAATTCGAGTATTTAGAATTTAACTTAGATTAAAGCCCTTTGTATTAAAATTTCATTCTGACCACTTTGAATTCGTGTAAACTCCATCTTCAGCAAAAAAGCCAATATTATCACCACCAAATACATTACAGCTACGTCTGTGTCATTAAACCAGCAGACAGTTAGGAATATGATTTCCTACTGCTTACGTCATCAGTAACTCGATGACAATTTCGTTGAAAGGTGGCAGAAGTGCATGATTCAAACTGCAGTTAAGCCCTTTTTCGCGGGGAGTTTTAGCATGAACTCGTCTATTTTTCAGACTTGCTTTCCGTATCCTGCTGGATCAGAAATTTAGGCAAATCAACAAAACAATCTAAGCTGTCGAAACGATTGGATCAGGTAAGATACGATTTACAGCGTTCGTGAATATCCTTTTCCAACTCCGTTCAAATTACGACTCATATATATATTATAAGAACCATTTCTTTTATTTCGTTATCGAGCTTTAAAATTCACCATCTTTCCCATGCAGCAGTTGACTAAATTTGTTGTTTTATTTCAGTTTTCTTGCTTCCTTATTGATAGAAAACTTGTGCACCACACCTTAACTGTAATTCTAACAGACCAACAGCTAAAATGTTCCCTCTGGGGCGACAATCTTAAAAAGATGGATTGTGAACCACCAACATATCTTTCCTACTTCTCTATGATTGCATCAATGTGCCTCTCGTGCATTACCATCGCGGGAAACCTTTTCGTCTTGTTGGCAGTTTATCAAGACCCTTACAAAGAACTGCGCAAACCTTTCACTGTCTTAATCGCTAACCTGGCACTGGCAGATTTGACCGCGGGCGCCATAACAGAACCAATGGCGGTGTACTTCACATATCAGGAAGTGCAAGGAAGTGTAGTAAATGATCTGGCCGTGAATATTACGCATTTGAGCTATTTCATGTCATGCACTACTTCAGTATTAACCCTTAGTGTTCTTGCAATTGATAGATATCTAGCCATATCGTATTCTTTGTGGTATAAATGTCATGTCACTTTGTCTTGCACCATAAAAATCTGCATGGCTTTATGGATCATGTCTGTGCTATTATCACTGACATATATCAAGACAGGTTATATCAATTTTGCGTTTGTTTTTGCCAACACAGCAGTGCTTAGTACAGCATGTGTTCTAGTTTTCGCTTATTACCGAATATTTAAATCTCTCAGGATTCGCACGATTCAAGTGGGAGTCTTACACGAGGGTAGAAGTCAACGGTGCGAAAGGCAGAAGTCACTGCTTTTAGAAAGCAAATTAACCAAGCTATACTTGATGATGTTGGGGATATTTTTGTTGTGTTTTGTCCCTTCTTGTTTGTTCATCTATGTTTTGTATTGCTGTTCTCTGTGTGATTGTTATGTCATTCACTGGTTGAGAGACATAAGTTTCCTGCTCGTTTTAAGCAACAGCTCCCTAAATCCAATCTTGTACAGCTTACAACTGAAATCTTTTCGTCGGGTTTATAAAAGTATGTGCAAATGTTGGAAGAAAAACCGTGTGAGGGCAGTTATGGGACAAGGGACCTAACGTTCAAGCCTTTTGTTAGAAGATCTTAACGGGTCTAAGTTTGGTGAATCGTTTTAGGACAAATCAACGCACCATACGAGAGGCATATTCAATATTACTTTAGCGACTTCTTAGCCTTGTTTATTTTTTCATGTTATGACGGATAAACAGAAAATCTCCGCGTCGAGAACCGATAACTCAGCAAATGAAAAACTCAATAAACGTGACTTAACTACTTTACGTAGCCTCAGACTTTTGAGCTCTGACACATTTTAAGGTTGTTTTCGCTTAATACTTCTGTCCAGAGAGCTACTATCTCACCCAGAACGAACTAGGAATCCCATAAATCATTCATAATGACACATTTTTATAACAATCAGGCTCTTTTAATGTTACACTTGTTACATGATGGCAACATGATATCGATATAAACTACAATTAATTTGCAGGCTTTGTTAGATTTTTCCTGTTTCCAAGACAAGGGGTCGTTTTTCTTTACTGCAATTTTCCAATGTGCAATTTGTATACGCATTCCCCAAATCGTGTCACACAGCAAAGCTTTTCCTCGCACGATTTGCTGATCATCATACAACAAGGGATGATGGGAAAACACTTTTTCTGTATAGGACGAAGCAGAATAGAAAATAGTCAGCCCTCAATGTATTTACTAGCATAAATAGCATCGAAAATTGAAAACAAAATAATATAAGGGATCAATCAGAGCGAAGGTTTACATTATGATTAACCAATGACTAGACTCAAAGTGAAAAAAAGCAAACCGCTTTAAGCGCAGAAAATCGCCATTGACCAAGTCGCTTTTGCTTTAGTTTTGCATCTGATTGGTTGAGAGGATGGCACGATTTTTAAGGACCAATCATAGAGAAAAGTTAACATTCTAAGTTTTTACTAATCTGGATCTACATCAGTGGGAGACCATTCATTGATTATCGCTGGGTTTGGAGGGGGGAAAGAGTGGTTTGCCTCCTGGGTATGAAAATGAGGGGATCTTGAAAATTGAGTGACCCTAGTAAGGGCCTTTGAAATAACTGAAATGATATTAAGGGAGGGGAGGGCAGGGAATTGAAGTTAAAGACAAGCAAAGAGTTAAACATCTTATTAAGCAACAGGGAATGTTTTTCAGGGTTTTTACAACGTGATCTCACGCTGGAAGTTGGGAGAACGCGAGAAAAACTTGTAAACAGACTCAATTTGGAAATAACTCCCAACACTAACCCGCTTGAATCTCTGTTTCCTTGCAATGTTTCAAGAACCGGGTAAAGAGAGGGAAAATTAACGAGAGAGTGAAAGAAAAATATAAAAAGGAACAAGAACGTACCTCTTCCTCGGAAGGTTCGTAGTCTGCACTTTTGAGACACAAGCCAAATTGCTTGAGACATCCCAATTCCTCACAGGCGCTGTTTGCTGCATTCTTACAACTCTTGAACTGCACAACACACTTCAATCCAACAAAATTAATCAAAATTAGATCAAGTGAATGTAATTTAAGGGAACAACCTCATCTCTTCGAGCATTCTGTGGCGTAGTACTGGATCGCAGATCGGTCGAAATCGGGAACTCAGATCTCTTTGTACGTTTTGCCATACTCTTAACTCACATTAATCTCTCGCGAACCGCCACTCGTTTTGGCTCGTGCCCTAAACTGACTGTCTGGGACAGGCTTGGTTCTCTTTGTTTCAATCTCACAATAAACGAATTGAACATCTATCTTTGCCTACTTTTTATTTGAGCTTACCTCATCCTCTCTTCATAGCCGCGATAACACATACGTCAAACATTTGCGCAGCTGCGAAAGTTGTAATAGCTGCTGTCAGACTGCTAGAACTAAGTCTTATGTAGTCATGTCGAGGTTTAAACGAACGCTTAAGCCAGTGACTTGTTTTAAAACCGTATAAAGAGAAGGGTAGAGTTTTCGTTTTCCGTATTTTTGTCTTTTTTTACCTAAGTTTCTATGATTTCAATTTATTTTCACAAATCTTGCCTGTTAGGAGTTGTTTATAACATTTTTCAATGAAATATTTGGCGTGAAATTGGCGCGCAGCTGGCAAAAATTGATCTCTTAACTCATGCCCGACGTTTGACCACTGTGTTGGGTGTGATTCTATACTTACTCTTAACAAGCCTGGTTTAATGCTTGGCCTGATGCTCGGCTGAAACTCGCGCTTGAAGCTTGTCTCGAAGCCATTGTCCATCTTCACCAAATGGTAAAGCTGCCTCTTCATTTCATGGTCTTCTCCCCTGACGTACTCCAACATGGCCTGAGGGTGGAATTCCGACGCCCATTCTGCTTGAACAAGGACGGAAATTGCTGCGAGAAACAACAAAGCTAGAATTGCCTTCATGTTGACGCGCCCTGGTCTCAGTGCTCTAGAAACACGTTGTGAAAAGGGATACACAGGCATCTTTATATAGAACCCGGTTCAAGCGAGGGGCTCGCGTTCCCCGCGCATCTTTTATCGAGAAGACAAAAGCCTCTTCGATGTGTTTAGACAGCTTTTTTACCGCCTACCGCCTGTTTGCGGAGCAACTTAAAAGAAATTATTTTCGTGTTAAATTAAAAAAGTCTGTTTTCTCACCGTGTCGCTAAGCTTTTGTTTCGTGTTGATGTTTAGTCAGAGGAAACTGGTTTTGTGCGGGCTGATAATTTTGCGCCTGGTGTAATTTAAGTTTCTCGGAGTAAAGAAGTATTTATTTAACGGATTTTGTAAAGAGCAAACAAATTAAGAGCCCTCCTCAGGTAAACCTTCTACTTCTCTTATCACGAAAAGGACGGGAAAAAATCAACCATTGTGTGAGGGTGCCCTTCCATTTTTCGACTCTGAATTAATCGAGGATTTTAAGAACAACTCAAAGAAAAATCGTAGCTATTTTTAACTATATTTAATTTTTCAAAAATATTAACATTTTAGATAAGTGCAGCGCCTTTTTAATAAAAAAAGTTGTATTTTCCTGAACCTTGATAAGATTTACATTCATCAGTATGGGTAAAGATCTCCTTCTTTCGTGAGAGCTTTCTGATATGAAACAGTTTGTTCTCACTGAACAACAATGGTCTACCTTGTACGGGTTTATACCTCACAAACTCTACGCTTTTAAAAATTCCACTTAGAAGGAATTTTTTCTTTTTAGTAACGAACCGTCTATGCAACCGAGACACATACAGCGTTCACTGTTTATCTTAGGCATAGGACCAACATAAAACATTACCCAAGACCTTTACACTAACAAAGAAAACGAACTTTACATAAAAAATCTGCTCTTAAATACTTTGCACTATTTTTTGAGTTCGAAGCTTTTTAGCAACTTTCGGACTGCGAAAGTGTTTAGCGGTTTAAAAAACTCTCTAGGATCGACAAAAGGACTCAGGACTTAATGTGTTTGTGTGTATCCCTCGCCCAAAACTGAAAATCAGCTTTCGAGGTTGCTTAAAGTTTAAGGAATTTTGCGTTAGTCGTGTTACAGAAAAGTACATACTTCACAACAGATCTAATTTGTATCTGGGCCATGCCTTTACTCACTTGTTCATTACTAGGTAACTTATGCACTTGAAACCAGACAGAGCACGTTGATTACTTAATAATTGGCCTAAGCTCATGTAAAACCAAGTTTCTCTTATGAACCAAAGTTGTTTCCGCCTATCTTTAAAACTTGTAGATACCTTATTGCTCGTGTAATGTAATATGGCTATCTGAAAAACTATCGCCTGTTAGTAAGATTTATTTAATTTGTACAATTTTTAATATCTTAGTTGTTAAGTTATTGCATATACGGGTAATTATACCATATGGAAAATAGAAGCTTAGAATCCCAAAAGACTCTTTTTGAATTAATTAAAGGGGTAAGTTTTTAAAGAAACTGTGTTGGTGTGTCGGTAGGGGGTATTAGAAGATAATTTCGTGTGAACAACTGAGTTGAAAATGTAAACTGGCTACCGTAAGTAGTTTCTAAAGCTGATATTCTGGGCGTTAGCCCTTCTTCAAAGCGAATGAAGCAAATTGGAATATTTTTGGAATTCGATTTACACATAAACAAGTCAGGAAACTTCAAACATTTTAGTCTTGGAAAAACCATTTTAATGCTTTGGCGAAAGTTGTGTTGTATATATATTTCTGCCCTTGTCTAGCCTAAACCTCTGAAGCTCAAAACCACTGATTTTTTTACAATTTATTTTAACTATAATTTATTTTCCTTGTTTCTGGTTCTTCGAAAATGGTATCACATAATTTCGCAGTCGTTTCTAGACAGGTTAAGGTGTTTTCTTAGATATGAAGCGTCACCATGGCAACGAGTTTTAATACCGTCAATCATCAAGATATCAAGTTTTGTCCTTTTGCAAAGTCTCTAACAAAGCTGTAGAGTAGGAGCCAACTTAAATTTTTAATACATTAAAGTGGCTCTGACCAAACTTATCATAAGATTTTACAAACCTTACAAACTGAAGATGAATCGTTGTATGCTGGTCACGGTAAAAAAGATAAAAACCGGGTGTCAACGCTCTTATTTTGAGTTATATGCAAACAGAGGTTAAAAAAAAGGTTTTTTAACAGGTTCTAGTGCTGCTGTGATAATATCTCAAGTCAATGTCTAAGAAATAACAACTCTTTTATTTAATACCGTTTTTAGGAAAAAAGACGAAAATTGTGGAAGAATCGAAATTGATATGTCCTTGAGACAAAAAAAAAATGATGTATTTTTATATCTCAACCCCGTAGGAGAATCTCAAGTCGTAGAGGTACCGAATGCCTACGAATGCCTTGACAGAATAGCTGGGTGATGAAAATATTACACGTCACTACAGGTTTTCCTGAACCAGAAGTGTATAGGTTTAGAATTTTCATCCATTATCATTTATTACCATTTTTTTTTTTTTTTTTTTAATGTCTGTAACTGTAGCAAGTAGGTAAACTACATCTGAGGTTAATGTGGTACACCGCCACGCGTGTAACACGCATGGCCTCGTGCAAAGCTTGCAAACACTTGCCATTGTAGAAGTGTGATCTTTATTGCGAACAAATGGCCCATTGCCGACAATAGGTTGGATATCAATTAGAATAAATATTATAGCAAGCAAATTAAAAAAAAATACAATAAAGCAAAGCACTCTTAAGAGGCTGAAGTGATCGACTTTGTAATCACATTTTTTGGGGGGAGTTTTATTACAGATTATTTAGATGATGAACTTAAGTACCAACGCTTTTCCTTTTGTCTTCCAGTTATGAGCTGCTCGCGTATTTAAAGTTCTGTGCAAATATGAAACAAAAGAAAGTTTGTCCTAAAAAGTAGATTAATAAATTTATGAATATATTAGCTAAGGAATAAGAGAGAGGCAGAAATTACATAAACTTTAAATTGTTCCAATAAAGTGAAGATGAACAGAGCCAGACCTTTTTGGAAAAATCCAGAGATTTTGCCAAAATTATATAATGATTATGTTTGTTTAAGAAGATTAGAATAGTTTTCATCGAAAAGCCATCCTGACTTGGGTTTTTGTGATACTGTGCTAATCAGTAACAGAAGAATCTGCTTCGACTCGTATCAACCAGGAATCGAATTCTGAAATACACGCATGGAATTTGACTTGTTTAAAGACCATCTGGTGTAAGCAATATTTTCTTCAGGGAGTCAGATTTCTGGATTGAGCATGCAGAAGACATTTTACCCCTGCTTTCTAGTATATTTAGATAATTTCCTCCCTAACTTAAAACCTTAGAGCAAACGTTGATTCATTGCTGGTTTGGAGTGGTGTTGCAGTATCAACACAAACTTCCGCCCCTCTCCTCTTCATAATCTTTGAAGCCTTTCTCAGAGGTCGAAAAGGAACTCGCACTGAACCTAGAGAGCAAACTTTTTATCGGAAGGGGCGGCAGAAATTGAAATAAGTAGGAAATAAGTAAGAAATTGTCGTCAAAACCTCAACAGCTATGATGATCTTAAATGCCTTAATAAATATTCGTCCACTCATTTTTTGTAAAGAGCAAGACATCACGGACTGCGAAAAATTAATCATCAAGTTTAAGAAAACCAATATCTTTAGCAGTGGGAAGCAAAAGAAAACAAAACACTTGACAACAAGCCTCAAGAATTTAATATATTTTCAAGCATTTAATGTCAAGAGGGGGTTAACTTTTGTGTCCTTATTAATAATGTTTAACATCTGTGTAAATTCCTTTGTTCATGTTTGATTTATCGACAAGACCACTGTACGCTCATTTTGTTGTGATTAAAAACTATCCAGTAAACAAAGCTGTCTAAATACAATTTTCCTGCAGGATTTTACTAATAACACGGCACCGACCTAGCTAATAACTCCTCAACCTATATAAGACACACTAATTGTCTTGAAATCGCAGTGTCAGTAAATTGCACACATCTTGCAGGCAGTATGAAGGCTTTAACAGTTCTTCTTGTTCTAAGCGCCTTTGCAACAGTGTTCGCCAATCAACTGGTGTTCCACAAAGCCTTCTATAATCTTTTAGAAGGAGATCATCAGAACAGAATGGCTAAAGCTGCGAGGGACTATAACTTGCCATTAAATCCGTTAATCTCCAATGATGCCAGTGACGCCAATGATGCGAAAGATCTCTACGAGCCGTGGATGGTGAGTCCATAAATAGTGTTCCGGAGGCCCGAGGGCAAAGGGGAAAATCTTACATAATTTCGGTTCCCAACCTAAATTTTGTCCTGTTCTCAGTGTCCTGGTGACTGAGGGTTTCGCTCTAGGGGAAGTTCGCCCGTTACGAGTGTGCCCTAAGATATAACAGAATTACGCGGCCCTTGGACTTCACTCTGAGTAGACAAACTTAACATTTCGACTGCATTTTAGTCAAACCTCAATCATATTTCCTTCCTGACCAATGTAGACCAATGCATTTTTAGAAACCAGACTTGTGTTGTGGTTTTCTCACCTCTCTCGAGATAAGTCGGGGTCTAGTCGTTTCACTAAAAATAATTTCCATAAATTGGTATTTTCCAAACATATGAATTTAAAAAGTGGGATCTTTTTTCCAATTAGTCTCGTAACACAGAAATTTTAGAATCGCACAGAATCGACTTCGGCTTGTAGAAAAACGTACCTTGCAAGTGAACGTTTGAAAACTGGGCGAACCTCAATGGAGGGAAGTTGTTAATCGGCGGAAACATCGATGCTTTTTCCTCCATCTGTTAAACTCCCATGTCCGATATCACAAAATTCATGGCGAAATCCCATCTCAGTGAGTTTTAGACCCAACATTTGTGGCAGAAAAAATTTCCAGTGGCAGGTTTAATTTAACAAATCACCGTGCAAAAGCTCCCACAGTAATTTCTTCAGGTAAAAAACATTATAATCGAGATTTTGCTCGCCCTTTTGCTTTTCTATAAAACCTTTGTAGAACTATTATTCTGATAAGTAACACCACACAATTTACATCAAAACGCACGTTAAAAGTTTATCAAGCTCAAGTCCTACGCTATTTTGTTACAGAAACCTTGCGTCCATCAGGGAATACGTTGCTTTATCAAGTCGGGGAAAGATGCCTGTCAAAAGCTTTGTTGCGGTGACCAGTTCTTTGAGTGCCTTCAATATCACAAGCCAGAGGGACACCCAGGACTCCTCGCGAAACTGACCCCTTTGCAGGTACTAAAGAACTTGATCCAGTTAATAAGATTGAAGTGAAATATAACTGAGAGCGAAAAACTGGTATAAAACATTGCAGGTAATTTAGTGTTAACAACTGAGTTGAAAACGTGAATTAGCCTCCGTAAAGGGTAAAAAAGCTGACGTTTCGAGCGTTAGCCCTTCGTCAATCGCTCTGACGAAGGGCTAACGCTCGAAACGTCGGCTTTTTTACCCTTTACGGTGGCTAATTTCCGTTTTCAACTCAGTTGTTAACACTAAATTACCTGCTATACTCTCCCACCGACGCAGCACCACAGTTTCTTTAGAAACTTACCCCTTTATTCATTTGGTATAAAACATTGCCTATGAAGAAAATAAACCGCGAGGGACTGGAAATAACTGAGAACCTAATGACCAGGTGACAGACAGATTGACTGACTGACAGATGCCGGGGCAGGCAAGCAAATAGACGAAGATACAGCAAGACTGAAAAACTGACTCACTAATGGGAACTTTCATCTCTCTTGCAGAAAGGCTGTTTGGCACTTGTTGGAATGTGCAGGGCTTATAGTCCATCGTGTGAAGGAAAGTTATGTTGCTACCTTCGCTTCCAGAAATGCTTTGAATTTGTCAGCCAACACGAACGTTAGCCCAAAACAAGTTACATTATTACAATGGCAATGATAGCAAGATATCGATCCCAATGATGTGCAATCAGGCTCAAGTTTTTCCTTTATAAATTATTATCATCTCGATGTAACATGCAGGCAATTAGAAGTAAAGAAATTTAAAGAGGGAATAATATGATTCTGATCTGTTTCGTCAATAACCTGTTAGTTCCTGCCGAATTAAGCATCGTCAACTTTGAGCTCGGCTCTTTCTATGAGTTGCTATGCGTCCCTATGGTTAACGGGTAGTCGTATCTTTCCTCGAAGGGTGGTGGGTTGTTGGTGTGTTTGTACATGCGGGGGAAGGGGGAGGGGGAATGGTCAGGAATGCTGAAAAACCAAAGGTGAAATTTACCTTACGACCATGATAATAACAAAGCCTCATTCATATTGTTAGCAGAAAGACGAAGGAAGCATTGAACAGTTTCTCTGGTTCCATTGCAACGTTTCATAGTGTTATTCAATTTCCCCTCGCAGATCCTGTAGAACGATTTAGTAATTACACTCAAACGTAACCTTAATGTTTGTTTATGATCAGTAACATCTGTAGATATTTGGCACTTTTTGTAACTGTTTTTGCCGTTAGGCGAAATAATGTTACAGTAGAATTCTTTTAACCCGCACAAAATCCCAACAGGCAAAACAGTTTCGCTGATGTTTGAATAAAATTGGGAACAATTTACCCACGAGACACCTTTCATTTCATCAACCGGTTTTTTATCGTATATGCACTTAGTGACGTATCTTAATATCTTCCCCATGTGTTACAGTAATACAATTACAGTGATGCTCTGCGATCAGTTTCGGGAAAACTGCTTTTTGTTCAATTACTTGAAGGGCCCACCTCGATTAATCGCTCATAGTGTAAGTAAGAAAAGATCAATAAGTACCCACTTTCGAATAAGCGACTACCCCATCAACCTACCCCACCCCCTCCCCCCTCCCCCCCCCGAAAAAAAAAGGAATATTTTAAAATTTTTATTTCGTTACAGGCATACAATCCCTAAATTCACTTTTTATAATTTAACCTTCACGTTTTGTTATTGTTTTGTGGAGAAATAAGCTTATTACTTGCTAAAAATGGTTAAAGTTTGTTAAGCGCCCAGCTTCGAATAAGGTCCAAAAATTTTATAAGCACCCAGGACTCTTATCGTAATCAACTGGGTAAGGAAATAGAGATTTCTTTGGTGCTTTCATAAGCCCGAAAAACTTCTCCACTCAAGAGGAGATCATTGCGACCGTGCAAGGCACTCCGTTGTGAGAGGCGTAAACAAAATACTTACTGAATATTGCAAGTCAACAATTACGGGGCAAAGTTCATGTTTCGCTTGCGTGCTTGCACGTTTATTTATGGCGTGATGAGATGACTATTGTGGGTAATTATAGAATGCACATGTTATCAACGCTCGGAGCCAATTAGCGGGTGAACATAATTGTATTACTGCAGTTATCTGTAACAAAAGGTGTGAAAGACAAACCGAAGCGTGATGTTGAACTCACTTTATGACCAAAATATCACGATTATTATTTCGCTGCCTCATTTGGCACAGACTGCTTTCAAATCTGCCACACTGCAACGTGAGAGGTTCACGAATATTGCCTGACTCAAATGGATTCCTTTCGTCTTTTGTCGACATCTGTTCGATCAGCCGAGTCCGCACGCCTATATTCGGTTTTCACCGAAAAAACGATTTTTTACCTGGATACATGAATAGAGAGCTGGGTTAGACAGGTTGGAAGGTTGGAATATTGCCATGTAATGAAATACATCAATACCCTCCTCAAGAAAATTGTTGGTGATCGTAAGCTTTTTCGATCATTCGATAACTTTCTCATTTTCGGGCTGACGAGTGATGCCGTGGCGGTAGGCCCGAAAATCAACAACTTGTTAGGTTAAAAAAGAAGTTACCGAACACTCGAGAAATCCTAATATTGGACCAAATTTACTGTTGAATTTATTGTTGCTCTCTCTTTTTTTCTTCTAACTGATTGAGTTTTTACAAGACGGCATACTAAAACATTGCCGCTGATAATTTCGTTATCGTAGTAACGATCGGAAACGCCGATCGCTGGGAAGCCGAACGTGATTCGCCTGAACAAAATAGAACAAAACAAAATTGGCAAATAAATTATACAACAAAAACAACAACAAAGAGTAATAACCTTTTTTTTTTACCTGGTTAGGTTTTGTTAATCTTTTCAATCTCAAGAGTCACTTGCAGGATATCTTTCCTCTTAAACATCATTATATTTTAAGTAGAAATGTGACACGACAAAGAAAAAAAAAATCCCAACCTACGAAGTTTTCAGAATTCAATCAAACTTTCCAGTTCGTTAGGTAATAAGGAGGAATAGAAATGAGATCGTGAGCATAAACAAGCAATAACAGGAGCATTCGACATGTGTTTATCCCGTGCTTCTTAATGCCGGAAAGCTATTGTTAAATTTGCCGTATTTGTAATGGTTCTGATCACATTTCCTGTGAACATGCTCTTCAAGTGATCTGAGATGTTCCACGGCAAGCCACCTAGGACTGGGCTCTACAATAGTGGGGTGCCGAGACTTGCCGAATGTCTTCGGAAGTCACCGAATGCTAATTCGCGGGATTCTGCACTGTTGTTGGGAATTGCTAGACGTAGACTTGCTAATGTTGTGCTTGTTTTCAGACTCTTGAGCTACATGTTCATTTGGTTTGGTTACCAAGGAGGATTTTGAAGTGTTGAAATGGTTTGGCACTGCTACTTATGATTTCCGTTTGGTAAACTTTGAACTTCCATCCTTGTCCGCCATTTTGTTTAGTCGAATCGGCTAGAAGGACGTGCGCGTGTTTACAAGTGTTTTGGCACAGATATCGCCATTTTACAATCACGCTAGCTGAGGAATGGACATATTCCGCCATAAACACTGCTTTTGCAGTTCTGTGTACAACATGAATGGCGGTAAAGTGTTATGAACAAGACCAATGAGCTATGAATGAATCTGTGGAAAACGGGTTAGTAGCTATATTTTGTGATAAACTATGATAGTTAGGGATGCTTTAACTGATCACCGATGACCTCCAACCTCTTCTTTCGACACAGCTGCCTTCTAAAGCGTCACAAGGAACGATTCGGTGTATTTTAGTTTTATATTCTGAATATAAAAGTTGTACTCACGAAGGTTTCTCATACTATCCACGGTTAAGGTCTGATCGATCGATCTTGTTCATATTTACCAGTTTCATATGGTACTTTCCTCCCTCAACCCTGACCTATGCGATATCTACTATAGGATCTTGTCTTTGTGGCGTTTTCATGGATGTTTTGCCCAATGTTCGGCCATAGGGCAACGTGCGTTTTAAGACTTCATCACTTAGAATTCAGTGCATTCATCTTCGTCGCATGTGCGTTTACGTTCACAGCGATCTTCATGAGTCACCTAGCAGTAAATGGGAACGTCTTTTTGTTGTATTTTGTGAAATCTTTGTTCAAGTAAAATTTAATTCACAATATGATCGGTGAATTAAATCTTTTACCTCGACATTTTCATTTACATCCAAAATCAGAATCTAGTAACCTCCCGGAGGAAATTCTGATGTAATAGTTATTGCATATGTGGCTTTAGTAGCAAAATATCAGCACCAACATTCTCCTCAAAATAAGTACAGTTCAGTTTACTATACAAAACTGAAATTAAACTTGTGATCAGTTGGTCATGTTAAGTAAGCTACTGTAACTCCTTCCAGATTTAGAACTAAATAATTATTGGATGAGGTTCTGTTTTATATTAAGAATAACTGAAGGTCAGGGTCAGTTGTCTTCTTGCACACCTCTGCGTGAAAGGTGGATAACGCTATCCAAGGGATAAATTGCCATTCAGGGAATAATTGATAGCAAAATGTACTGTGCTATCCAGATAACATGAACCTAAATGTAGATCATTCTTTTCTTGCAAAAACAGAATTCACTTATAGCTATTACTCATATGGGGAGCTAATTTCCATAACTCACGAGCAGGTTAATAAAATGTCATTATGAAAATGAAGGTTTAATATATAATGGTAACAGGATGGAGTGGAGTCCAATTCAGTCTGCAATCATACAAGTGATTGAAAAAATTGGATGACTGCAAAGCGGAGTCCGATTTGGTTATCACAAGTATGATTACATACAGAATTGGGCAACAAGAAGTCCTGTCAACAATTAATGAAAACTAGACAAAATTTGAGAAAGAAACTAGACATCAGTGAAACATTTTTATAAGAATAAAACAATAGTTAACTCAGCAAAATGCAAGACAGTAGAGCATGCACATGATGCGTTCTGTCCACTCATGCAGGTATGACATGTTAACTGTCCTATTACACTGTCCAATTACGAACATGATGTGTACACTGTCCTATTAGAGCGTAAATCGGGATGGTGATAACCTATCACATTTGAAAATTTTGGTATAGTTTTGATTAAAACCATAATATCATCAAGTTTCAAAGAAACTGGTCCTTCTAGTACATGCACTACCAAATATGTATGTATAATGGGACAAAATAACAACTTTTACCTGATAAATTTGAATATTTTCATTATCAGTTTGCTTGATAATGTATGGATAATATAGGTACAAGTTACATGTTAATAACCCTTTCACTCCCAGAAGTGATTAACATCTAACTTCTCCCTATAATATCTATACATACTGGAGCAAGCAGGTAATGAGAATACTCAAATGTAGACAGGCAGAGGTTACCTTGTTCTATCACCAAATTCTCATAACTAATTTACAAGGGAATGTGTTGAAGCTAGAAGGAAGAATTAATAATCAGATCTTGGGAGTTAAAGGGTTAATCAATTCTGGGATTTAATAGGTCATGGTCACTATCTTAAGTATATATTAATATCATGGTATTGGAGGCTAATTTGGAGAATTTAAACAATTTTTGGTGTAAAATATTTCTTGACAGATTTGTTGCAATGACTTGAATTTTTCACATATGATATATGATTCTATTTATAATTTGAGAAAAACACTTTCATTTTGCTCAGTGCCATGGAATTTGTGGAATGTCATGGAATTAAGGAGTGTGTCCAAAAGGCCATTTTAGAGAAAAACTTCTCTAAATCTGAGCCAATTTAATGTTACTGAAAATGGTATGGCATATGCACAAAGATAACAGTAATAAAGATTTGCAATGCCGTCTGCCAAATAATATTTTATTTTGACAATTTTATCCTCAAAAGATAAAAAAAAATTAAGATTGAGATCCAATACCTTCTCATTTGGTAATTGTTTTGGGGGACTGGGGCAGACTGCATTGTAAATTTACCTCATCTTATGTAGTTTTGGTTTGCCAAGTTTCAGATCAAAGGTATTAATCTTTCCCATGATAAAGCTGTTGCAGTGGCATGGCACGATATAGCTGCACTTATTAATTTGCAAAAAGCAGTAATATCTTTGGCAGAATTTGTTAGAGAACCCTTCCGGCAGATACCATCTCATGTAAGCAAGTTATACACGGCTGCAGCAGTAAAATGCAAAATAGTGCATTATATATGGTCATAATGGCCACATTTGTCTGGCTATTTTCCTGCAAAACCAATCAGAACATGAGACTATAAAGATCTGAACCATCTGTAGCAGCAACTCCTATCCTGCGATGTTGAGACAACCTTAGTGCCCATGCTGTGCATTAGCAGGAGAAGGAAGAGCAAAAGGAAAGTAGAGGTTGTAGTGAATGTTCTACACTTTCTCTTACCTCAAGTATTGACATCACTTGGTTTGGAAGTGAAAAGGAGGAAAGTGGGACATCAGACACCACAGAAATAGGATGTGTAGTGGGCCTCTGAAAGTCACAACTTTCAACCTATTAAAGGCTGTCTGACTAAATAGAATACATAGTTATGTGCTTGCTTATGGTTATGTTGTGTCCCAAATATTAGAAATGTTATTAAAAATGCAAACAAAAACGCTTACGAAAACATATTTTTGTTTTCATTGCTTGGAAAATAAAAGTTGTCAGCTATCATAGTAAAAGTAGAAAAAAGTGCTTCAAATTTCATAATTGAATAGTTACTTATGAAATGGATGTGTCAGAAAAGTTATCTAAAGGAAGTATCATGAATTGCACACACCATTAGACCAGGATGGTATCTATATTTTGCTGCGAGATTCATCCTTCACATTGAAACTCTATCACATGTATCCAATCATCAAATTTTGCAAATAGGCTTTTTAAACAATAGTCTTAAAAATGTGAGAAAGGAAAGGCATTCTGAAAAGGTTGAGTTAGCCTCCAGTTTCTTGATTAGTACTAACATCATAATAATCAAAACTGTAAAATGCCAGCCTGACTTAAGCATATGACAGTCTATGGATCATGCCTGTAATTGGGCAGTGTAATAGGACAGTTTTATGCTGCATACCCGTGAAATAGGACATTATGTGCCTCTCTGCATGTCGTTGTTGTCCTTTTTGCCGAGTTAGCATTTTTTTTTTTTTCAAACCAAACAATCAAAGGTTAGTTAATTTCTTAAAATGTTGCCTCAGTTTTGGTAATCAGACTTTGAGTTGTCCAATTCTGTCTGTACTTATACTCTTAACCCTCTAACTCCCAGATCAAATTTGTCATTCTCCTTACTGTCAACCATACAATTCCTATAATGTTAGTCCAGAGAATTTAGTATTGGATCAATTAATTATCCCCAAATTGATATTTTTCTTTATTCTCATCTCTTATCTGGTTGATATTATGTTGATATTGTCAGGAGAAATTCTGTCTTGATCACTTGTGGGAGTTAAAGGGTTGATGAACAAATCAGACTCCTGCCTCATGGTTGTCTGATTTTATTTATCACACATGAAAACAGACCAGTCCTGTCCTATTACCATTACTTATCAACATCATTGCTGTAATCATGGTCATGATCATTATTAATAGTGTACATTGATATTATTAAACTAACCTAATGGTTATCCTTGTTTCTTGATAACAGGGAGGATGGAGGTGAAGTGCTGCTTGATGTAGGGGATAACCATGACCATGGAAGTAATTCGAAAAAATACAAGTAAGATGTTGTCATGATCTTGCTTTTTCAATGCAGAGGGGATTTTTAAAAGCATTGAATGCATTTATGTCTGAATTTCTCGTTGTTACTTGGTTACAAAGGCTTGTGAAAGAGCGGAAATGAACTAAGAGAACTATACAAGGCTGTAATGGCTAAAGGTGTTCATGCTTTGGCTTTTTAATCTCTTTGGAATGTCTCAAGATGTTACAGACTTGTAAGGCTTGAGTTGAAGAGTGAAGGGTTTAAGTCTACAGAAAGAATTTTTAGTCATTCAGTGCATGTTTGGTGTCATTGTTGTGAATGAATTGAGTCTCTCTAGGTGTTATGTATCATGCTTCTGTGACTGCTTTCCTAGTGTCAATATGTTTGGAACATTAAGATAGTAAATTGTTATCATTTGCCAACTTGTGCCTCAATTATTGCTCTGAACGGTTAAGAATATATGAAAGTCATATATTTGACTAAATATTGATGAAATATTGATAATACTTTAAATTATTGCTCTCTACACAAGATCTGACACATAAAAAAACATTGGGTATACAACTGTATGATGAACTAATCATGGTAACTAACACCAATTGTCTTGTAAGATGGTCTTAACTTAGTTTGTATTTATTGTTAATTCCCTTGCGATGGGCATCAGTGATCATATTTATCAAGGGAAACTTGTGATCCTTATAAACTGTAATAAGCCACCAATAGGAAGGACTCATTGATGTGAAATGTGCACTTTTACATGTATTTGCAAATGTGTTCTGCACAATGACTGAAGTCTTGGCTGACAAACTGGGAGGTCAAACATCAAGTAACATGTTTTTGTTTGGTATTTTTATAACTATTTGGCTTGTTTGTCTGTGTAATGATGTACATCTTGTTATTCACAGGCCCTCACGAAACCTGAGTGAGAAGAAGAGACGTGACAAGCTTAATATTTACATAAGTGAATTAGCAGCCATGGTTCCATCTTGTGCAAGTTCACAGCGCAAGCTTGATAAAACCACTGTGCTCAAAATGACAGTTGCCTACATGAAAGTTCATAATGGTAAGATTAGTATTTAATGAGTTAATGAACACATTTTATTACCAAATATGCACTAGGTAAACTTGTTTATTCTGGGCTCCAATACAAAACTAAAATCCTTAATCACCTTTTGGTGATCAAGTGGCTGGTAGCCAGTTGTAAATTTTCAGTTGCTAATTTAAAATTTGCAGCTGTATACACCTGTAGTTACCACAACTTTGGTCTGGCAATGAGATCAGTTGCTGACTATGTGTCTCCTTGCTTGCAATATATTTTTTTCTAGCATTACGTCTCACTGATAGTGCATCTAAATTGGAAGAATAATGTAATATTTATTAGGTTTCATAATACAGGCCACAGATTTGTTTGGGTCTGAATAATTTTTGTTCAACTTCTCGTTGAACTGGAGCATTTATGTCATGACTTTCTTGTGTATTTTTGCAGATTTAACAATGTCTGTCCTTGGAAATGAATCTGGATTAATGTCCTCTTTTCTATCTAGTGAAGAAATTGGTGAACTATTAGACAAAGTGAGTCACCATATTATGTTTGCTTGCATTGTATTTTAAATGATTGTTCTATGGTTATTCCCAAAGTTGGTTTTACATCTGCAATATCTATAGTTGTTGTGCCTCAGTTGAAGCATGTCTGACTGCAGTTGTAACACTAACATGTTCAATAATTTCCCAGGCTCTGAATGGCTTCTTACTGGTGTTATCTACCAATGGGAACTTTGTTTATGTGTCTAAAAGCATTGAAGATCTTAGTGGCCTCAAGAAGGTGAGTTGATGCATGCATGTATTGATTGACAACATTAGCACAGTATGACAGTGTAAATTCATGAAGCCTTTACACCCTAACATCAGTATGCATATTCTGTATACCCCTCTCTATACATTTATTTTGGAACTGACAGGGGGAATAAACAACAATATAAGCTCATTAGGTTGGTGACATTTCCTTTAGTCTCATGATCTTAATGAGTGATTCAGCAGTATTACTGAAAGAAAATTATACACTGGTTTAGTTGTTTTCTCTCATATTTATCATTGCCTTTAATTGTGAGTTCCAATCTTTGTTGTTGTTGTTCTTTTTAGGAAGAACTGATCGGCAAGAGTATATTTGAGATTGTTCATCCAGATGATAAAGAAGCAATGGTCAGAGAAATTCATCGTCAAGACATAAAACATTCTACAGGATTCAATTCTCATTCTGATCAGCTGGAGCTAACAGGTACATGTGCATGTACATGCAGTGTTTACTTTAGCTGTGTGAAATCTTTTCATTCTCCCTAATATTTTTCTTTTGCACTTAATTTAAACTTATTATCTTTAAAATCATTTTTATTGTTGTTGTTGTTCTCAGCATCAGTTTTCATATGATTCTACATTTTGCATTTGTGATGAATTTTTTTTTTTTCTGAAGGAAATGCCACCTCACTCCAGAGTATGGTGGAAAGCAAACCATCTCGTCGCACCTTTAACTTCCGCATGTTAGTGAGAGGAAAAGATGGTGAGCCCAGTGGCAATGAGGATGTTTTCTGTGTTGGCTACATTGACCAGTGGACGAAGAAAGAAGCTGAGCATCAGAAGCAACGTAAGATATTTTAACGTGCAAAGTTGGCAGTACTGTGGTAACATGCATACCACTTGGCCTCTTGGGATTTGTGTCTCTGTCGAAGTGTTCTCCCCAAAGCCCCATACTCCCCTCCCTACTCTTACACTCAAATTAACCATGTGTCACTATGTCTTACTGTGATATCTGACTTTGATTTTTTTGCAACATCTGTAGATTGATAGATAGCTTTATTCATTCACAGTAAAATCCTTAGGCACAATCTAAGAGTACAAAATATCTAATTTTGTCTAGCTAAACTAACTAATAATTAGTAGAATATTTTAAGAATAAAAATCTATAATATCATTAAAGGTGATTTTCTAGGATGCTGTGTCTCATTCAAAAGCTTTAATGAAGCACTTTATCTAAGTTCATGGGAGAGGCTGTTCCATAACATAACACTCCTTGAGGAAAAGTTTCTCTCCAAATAGTTGGTGTAGGGTTTTGGAACAGCCAATTTATTTTTCGGAATTACTCAGTTGTTATGAAGTAATATCATTTTGGGATATAAATCGAGATTGTTGACATTCAGAGGTCAATCCATAAAGTTTTGTGTTTGGCTGCTTTAGGGATACTGGCAACCAGTGATAATTCACTATCTAATGCCCTCACTCCTATTGGCGGAACAGTCAACCCATTTTTTCTGGTGGGTGTCGGCATTATGTCCAGTTCCAGTTTCACGCGTGTTGTGGAGTGCGAATGTGATGACAGTAATTTTACATCTCGGCACAGTCTTGATGGAAAGTTCCTTTTTGTTGATCCACGGTAAGGATGTAGGCTTGGTAGATATAGTAGGCTAACTAGATGTAGTGGGCCAGCTAGATGTACAGAGTAAGCTAGATGTAGAGGGCCAGCTAGATGTACAGTAGTAGGTTAGCTAGATGTAGAAGGCTAGCTAGATGAAGTAGGCTAGCTAGATAACGTGGGTTAGCTAGATGTAGTAGGCTAGCTGGATGAAGTAGGCTAGCTAGATGTAGTAGGTTAGCTAGATGTAGTAGGTTAGCTAGATGTAGTAGGCTATTATTACAGTTACAATCTATTTTAATCTATATAAACATGATCTAAAATTTAAAAGTAAAATAGAAAAAAAAATAAGGAAATTCTGCTAGATGTAGCAGGTTAGCTTGATGTAATAGGCTAGCTAGATGTAGTAGGCTAGCTGGATAAATTTGTCGCTGAGTATCTAACCGTCTCCAGTTAAGTTGCACAAAAAGAGGATCAGCGCTTGTGTCATAACTGGAGAAGGTCAGGGTTAGTTAGGTGTAGTAGGTTGGTTCGATTAACAAAAGGCCTACAACGTTTAATTGCTAGATGTGGTAGGTTAGCTATATGTGGTAGGTTAGCTAGATGTAGTAGGCTGGCTAGATGTAGTAGGCTAGCTAGATGTAGTAGGCTAGCTAGATGTAGTAGGCTAGCTAGATAAAGTGGGTTAGCTAGATGTAGGCTAGCTAGATGTAGTAGGCTAGCTAGATGTAGTAGGTTAGCTAGATGTAGTAGGCTAGCTAGATAAAGTGGGTTAGCTAGATGTAGTAGGTCAGCTACATGTAGTAAGTTAGCTAGATGAAGTAGGTTAGCTAGATGTAGTGGGCCAGCTAGATGTAGTAGGCCAGCTAGATGTAGTAGGCCAGCTAGATGTAGTAGGCTAGCTAGATGTAGTAGGTTAGCTAGATGTAGTAGGCTAGCTAGATGTAGTAGGTTAGCTAGATGTAGTAGGCTAGCTAGATGTAGTAGGCTAGCTAGATGTAGTAGGCTAGCTAGATGTAGTAGGCTAGCTAGATGTAGTAGGCTAGCTAGATGAAGTAGGTTAGCTAGATGTAGTAGGCTAGCTAGATGTAGTAGGTTAGCTAGATGTAGTAGGCTAGCTAGATGTAGTAGGTTAGCTAGATGCAGTAGGCTAGCTAGATGAAGTAGGTTAGCTTGATGTAGTAGGCCAGCTAGATGTAGTAGGTTAGCTAGATGTAGTAGGTTAGCTAGATGTAGTAGGCTAGCTAGATGTAGTAGGTTAGCTAGATGTAGTAGGTTAGCTAGATGTAGTAGGTTAGCTAGATGTAGTAGGCTAGCTAGATGTGGTAGGTTAGCTAGATGTAGTAGGCTAGCTAGATGTAGTAGGCTAGCTAGATGTAGTAGGCTAGCTAGATGTAGTAGGCTAGCTAGATGTAGTAGGTTAGCTAGATGTAGTAGGCCAGCTAGATGTAGTAGGTCAGCTAGATGTAGTAGGCTAGCTAGATGTAGTAGGTTAGCTAGATGTAGTAGGCTAGCTAGATGTAGTAGGTTAGCTAGATGTAGTAGGCCAGCTAGATGTAGTAGGCCAGCTAGATGTAGTAGGCTAGCTAGATGTAGTAGGACAGCTAGATGTAGTAGGCTAGCCAGATGTAGTAGGCTAGCTAGATGTAGTAGCCAGCTAGATGTAGTAGGCTTGCTAGGTTTAGTAGGCCAGCTAGATGTAGTAGGCTAGCTAGACGTAGTAGGCTAGCTAGATGTAGTTGGCTAGCTTTATGTAGTAAGCTAGCTAGATGTAGTAGGTTAGCTGTATGTAGTAAGTTAGCTAGCTCTAGTAGTCTAGGGGTATGTAGTATTCAGGTAGATGTAGTAGGCTAGCTTGATGTAGTAAGCTAGCTAAATGTAGTAAGCTAGCTTGATGTAGTGGGCTAGCTAGATATAGTAAGCTAGCTGTATGCAGTAAGCTTACTAGATGTACCTTTATTAGGAGTAGAACCGTGCAAGTTATGCATGTAAATGACGTGGAATTTGAGGAGAGGGTTTTATTGTTTTATTTAGTTATATTTACTGTCTGTATTAAAGTAAAACGATCGTAACAGCTCTATAGTGTAGTCCTGGTCGTTTTCAGTTAGAAGTGCAATTGCAGTGTATTTGCGAGGCTACATTTGTACAGTTTTTTTGTCAATTTTAGAGTATTGTATACTATTCCAAATACAACTGATCCAACAGATATCCCTTCGGTTAGATATTTGAGAGAGAGTGAACAGTTCCTTTATTTTCTTTTGTGGTTCTGTTTAAGGTCAATCTCCATCACGGGTTACATGCCATTTGAGGTCCTTGGTACATCAGTTTATGACTATATTCACGAAGATGATTTGACAGTTTACGCTAAAGCGCACGAAGCACGTAAGTGAAATAAAGTTTAATAAAGTAATTTGGTATTAGGAACTGAGTTAATAACGTAAAATGGTCGCCGTTGAGATCTTCAAAGGTGACGTTTCGGCATTCGCTCTGACGAAATGCTAACACTCGAAACGTCAGCTTTGGAACTCTTTACGGTGGCCAATTTACGTTATCAACTCAGTTGAAAAAACAAAATTATCTTGTTATACTCTCCCACCGACGCAGCATCACAGTTTCTTTAGAAACTTACCCCCTTTATTCATTTGAAATAAAGTTTGTCTGTTAGCTCTCTTTACGGTCTGCCATACGATTCTGATAATGCTACATGTAGTTTGGAGAATTTGGTATATTTAAATTTGGTAATAATACCCTAATTGATATTTTTCTTTATTCTCATCACTTGTCTGCTTGATATTGTATTGATTTTGTAAGGAGAAATTCTGTCATGGTCACTTCTGGAGTGACAAGGGTTAAAAGCTCTAAGCTCACTTTTTAAATTGCTTTGTTGTCGTTTTAGTTATGGAATACGGTGAGGGAAAAACTGGCTTTTACCGCATTTTGAGCAAAGGGTACCAGTGGATATGGGCGGCAACAAGGAGTTACATTTCCTTTAATCACTGGAATTCCAAGCCTGAAATATACTGCAGTAATACGAAAGTAATAAGGTGGGTTAAAAAAATAATAACTTGTTTTGATCATGAAATTAGCTCATCAGCAGAAAGTCAGGTTAGCTTTCAAAGGGGAAGGAATTTTCACCCAGGTTAGCTGATTCTTGAAAAATCGTGCGCAACAGAGCAGAGGGTAAGAGGGCAAAAGACCACTCCTCTGCCTTGACGGGAACGCCTTAGTCGAGTAACCCGTGCTTGGTGCTAACTGCGAGAGGCATACAAAAGGTAAGTTTCTTACAGAAGCATGCAGCTGTAACATGTTCCAATCTCTCAGTCAGTGTAGACAAGCGGAAGAGGGACTAGTAGCAATTGCATTGTCAGGGCTCTTGGTGTAGAAGACACAGTCTACGTCACACTATTGTTTTCATCGTTTTCTTATTCCCAGTTGTGATGAAATTCTATTGTGGCGGTACACAGCTGGTACTGCCTCTGGTACTGCCTCTGCACAGACCGTAGAAAATTTAACATTTGGCGGTACTTTGTGAACGATATGATTTCGTTCAAAACTGCAAAGTATTTACGGAAAAACGATGTTTATTTGCAGTGCTGCGGAGGGTGAGAAGTCACTAAGAGTCAGAGAAAAGGAAATGGAAATTTTGAAAGCTAGTCAGGAAAGTCACCAGTCGCGATTCTCTCAATATAAAGCTCCCTTGAAGTGTAACAGCCCTCATGAAGCCAATGCATTGGTTCTGGCCAAGTGGGCAGCGGATGAGTTGAACTCAACGTCCCTGCCGTTAGAACAAACTGATAGCGGGGAAAACCCTGGCGGGGACCAGAATGCTCTGGGAACGAACAAGAAAGGTATGTGTTTGAATTTTGGCTTTCTTCACACACGAAACCTGAAAGTTAATGGAGAAGATTATAACTGCTGTTGACATCCAGGGAGATGGGATCTTACGCGAGAGATTTCGTGTCACCTTCCAGATCTTGAGTCTCTCCTGTCAAACTGGCTGGCATGCTGTTACGTTGTGTGACGTGTTGTCATGTCTTGTGTTATGCTGTCGAGTTCTGTGACAAACTATCAAGTTCTGTAACATACTGTGTGTCCAAAGTTAATAGAAGTTAATTGTTTTATAAACCCGAAAATTTGTTTCATTTTTTAATAATACCTTTTTTTCCGACTAGAACGTGCGCATCATTCTAATCATTCTGAACTTGGCTGACCAGTGAAATCTTCCATTAATTTATTCGGTCATAATGCGCACACGCGAAAATAGAAGATTGTGTACCGCCAAGAGCTCCTAACGACCTGTTAACATCAGTATGCATATTCAACTCTACTCTACATAAAATTATGTTTCAAATATGTACAGGAGCAGGAAACGTGACATGGATTGGTTGACCACCTGCATAAATGATTGTGAACATATGAAAATCATGTGAACTGCGAATCTAGAAAAGACTATGAAAGCGATGTGCGTAGTAATGAACACCATTGGAGCAATAGTGGAAATAAGGCCTGAAAAAAAAAAAAAAAAAAAAAAAAGGATGAAAATCAGGCATATACGGGATTTGAACCCATGACCTTTGCGATACTGGTGTAGTGCTCTAACCACTGGGCGATCAAGCCTACTGGGAACTGGTTATCATATTGGTTCCAAATAAACCTGCAAAGTGATGAATAAATATTTGTGAATATATGAAAATCATATATGTGAACTGCGGATTTAGAAATAAATAGGAGAGAGATCTTCGCAGTAATGAACACTTCTTAAACAGTTAGGAAACTAAGGCCTAAATTTGTACAGGCCTGATTTTTCTTCAGGTCTTATTTCCACTACTGCGTAAGTAGTGTTATAAATGCGAAGATCACTTTCGTATTCAGTCCTCGTATAATTTACAATGTTATTCTTTTATTTTACTTTCTTCTCCTGTGTTCAGATGTGGCTCTGTTTGGCCGTGCGGACGACAGGAGGTCTGGGGCTGAATCACAAGCTGATGATAGCGAAACCGACACGAGGGATATGGACCAAGACTCGTTTGTACGTTTTCATTCTTTTTTTTCTCTTTGTTTGGTTTTTGTTGGGGTGTGTTTGTTTTTGTAATGCATCATGCGTGAACTTATTGAATAAAGGGGTAAGTTTCAAGAAACTGTAGTGTAGCGTGGGTGGGATAGTATGACAAGATCATCTTTTTTTAATCAACTCTGCTGATAAATAGGGAGTAGTACGTGGTTGCTTGTAGATATGGAATTTCTCTTCGAGCGAGGGCAGCGAACCAGAGAGATATCGAGTTATCGAGTTGTCGTGAGCTGTCGAGTTGAGCACTCGAAGATAAATCCCATATCTACAACAACCATGTTTTATGTTGTTTACTATATAAACACGATAGCCCTTTCCTGAAAAGAAAAGTCGACTTTATTAATGAATGAAGAATTAGATCTAAAGTCCGAGAGGAAAGTCGAAACGCGCGTCTGCAGTAAGGCTCAAGTTGAAAAAAATGCGCTCGATCAACACAAAAACAAACAATAGGCGTAACTTCAATTTACAAAATTCTCAGTGATTGACTTTTTCCTTACCGACAGAAGAAATCTATCGGGTACACAACCAAAATCGGCCTGTGGCAACTCTTCCAGTTGTCGATTTTCGTTCTTAGCCGCGAGAAATGCTATTACTAAAGCCACCGAGTACGCAAATTTCGGTTTTCTTTTCGTATTTTTTCTTCTCACGAAAACAGTGCAACCCGGCCTTAATTTCGACAATTACCTTAACCAAATGTTAGGGCTTATCGAGATGATTGGTACCCGGTGGTTCCTCTGATCTCTGTGCGGCTAGTTAACCTTTGGCATCGGGAATTTTTCCGATGCCTGGTATTTTACAAATGTAACCAAAGTGCTTTATGTACAGGATCTTCCCTCAACTGTTGATGAACTTGAGCGCTTCCGAGAGGCTCAGCGCCTTCTTCAAAATCAACTTCTGGAGAAGCACTCCTTGTTATTGAAAGCTGTGGCTCGACAGAAACAGCAGCTACAAGAAATCCAGCAGCACATGATACTTAACCTTCAGTCGCAGCTGTTTGTAGATCCAGTCAAACTACAAGAAACGTGCTCGGGTTACTTTGAGAGGAACAAGGACTTGTCTGAGAGGCATGAAGTGCAGGAGCAGGCTCTCGAATCCATCAGTCGGAAGCTTGAAGCGCAGATGCAAACAGCTGAACGCAGATATCAGCGCCATTTTAAGTTGCTCATGGAGAAGAAAGCCGAGGAGCAACAGATGGCAGCTGAGCAAAGCATTCCCCAAAGTTCCGAAACTTTTATTGACACCGCTGTGTCATTAGGGGGACAACAGCAGGCTCAGCTTGAGAGTGAAGATGTTGTTGTGGAGGACATCGATCCATTAAACTCAAGACAACGACGTGAATTGCAACGGGAGCAAACTTCATCTCCGCTTCAGTTGTTGCCAATAGACAATCAGATTGATCTGCAGCAGCAAGCACATATTGAAGATGTGCAAAGCAACGTAGCAATGTTAAAGCGTAGAATGACCAGCCCCTCAAATCAGGGGAATCAAAAGGTCATGCGCGTAGACTCAAACGCGAAACAAATGTGGCCGCAATCGTTGCCATCAGGCGCGCGACCGGAGCTGCAACAACCACAAGCTATCGTGGCAGCGTCAAGACCTTGGCAGCCCAGCAGTGCTGGTCAAGCAGTGACAAATGAAGGGTTTGTCCAGGCAATTCCCGGAGTTAATAACCGTGGATCAGTTACGGTTACGACCAACGTCACTTCCGCTCCTTTGCCAGTGCCGCGACAGGTCGGTATACGACCAAACCAGTCCTCGCACGGCCAACAGAGTGTTCAGTCCCAGCCTTCCAGTTACACGCCCGGTGTTCCTGTGTCGGCCCAGGCCGTTTTGCAGCATTACTCTACGTCTCCACAATTGAATACTCCATCGCATATGAATGGAGGAATTTTGGCCATGTTAGGACAAAGCCCTGGAGCTTTCCAAGGGTCAGGTGACAAGACCGGTTTAGGATTTGCTGCGCCGCACATTGCAACAGCTTCGGCTGATCCCCTTCAACAGCAGCAGTCGCAACAAAGCTCTCAAATGAACGCATCTATTGTTCAAACTGTGGAGCAACTATTAACGAACTCTACTCAAAACCAGCAGATAATGCAGGTGTTATTGACTGTGCTCTCGGCGCTTCAGAGTCAGCCGCAAGTTGCGGCGTCATTGATAACATTGTTGAAGCAGATCCAAGATGGTCAGCAACAAGGACAAGGTGAAGTTCCCTCTCCTGTCCAGCCAGCCCCACCTCAGTTCCCTGTTGGCTTGGGAACCCAGGGACAATCTACCTCACAGCTTTGCACTACTGCCCCACAACCTCTGTACTCCTATGGTAATGAGGTAACTTTCCAACAGCAGCAGCAGCAGCAGCAACAGCAGCAGCCTACGCCACCTTCAATGCTGCCGAATCAGCAAAGAATTCCTCAGCAGCCGCCAAGATCGCGGCCGACCGTTCCGCTGCAACATCCTCGGCAGGACACGACAGGTCTAGGTATGACCCGGGTGAGTTCCACAACCACAAGTTACAGCTTCGCTCTACAACAACAGCAGCAACAACAACAAAAGCAACAGCAAAAACAACAACAACAACAACAGCGTCAACAACAACAGCAAGAACAGCAGCGGCAGCAGCAACGGCAAATCGCTAGGAATTCGGCTATGACCAACCTAGGAGCATCTCAAATCTCGTCTTCAACGATCACGTCTACGATGAATTTTATGCCATATGAGACCATGGCCTCTACTTCAACTGGTGTGACGTCCGTGGCAGCAGTCCGAGATTTTGACCTGTTAGAGAAAAAGAAAACTTCAAAGTCCAAAGGAGATTATTTCTCGAACTTTTCGTCGGATGAATTGCGCGCGATGTTGATGGATGCTCCCGGAGCAATGTCCAACAATGAAAGCCCGACAAACTTGGCTGTTGATAAGCAGGAGAAGAAACTCGAGGACGAGGAACTACTTTATAATCCACTACTTACGCAACAGCAGCAGCTCTTACAGTTACACCAGGTTTGTTAGTTTGTCTCTTGATTTATTCTTTCCTTCGTTTTCTCTTTCTGTAGACAATCGGTAAAGATTGCAACACCAACGAACAAGTATTAGGTACTTTCTATGTGCGCTCCCACAAATTTAACTACAGATAGGTTACAAGGATGATAATTCTTTTCCTGACCTACTGAAACACCAAATTCTTAGAATGAACAAGAAACAAAACACACGATCCACGGTAAGGTCAGAAGTGATAGTGTAACTGACTCATCTTGGGTGACTTGTAGGAACAAAGGCGTCAACTTCTTCTCCAGCAACAAGAGCAACGATTACTGATGTTCGAGGAACAGAAACGGAGAGAGGAAGCCGGCCAACAGCAAACAGCAACTTCGCCTGCAACGTCTAATTTCAGTTCGAGTGGGCTCCGCGCCATGCTATCTGATGATCCGCGGGAAGGAAGTTCGCGACAAATAGGCAAGTATCTTTAACGTTGCACTTATTATCACGTGGTAGGTGGAAGCTCGATATGCTTGCGCTCATTTTAAACAGGAGAATCTACACAAAGACCTCTCAGGGATTTAGGCAGGACTTTCCTGCAAGGGGGGTGGTGACTTGCGTAAGCCTCTTTGTAGCATTTGGGGGCATCCCAGATTGTTGTATTATGCTAATCACAGCTTAGTGCAGAGTAGCGTGACGCCAAGTCGCTCAACGTAACGTAATGGAAAGGCGAGAGTTAACGTAACGTATCACGTGGTAACGTGACGTAAGCAAAATATGACGAAATCTAACATCACCTAACGTTACCTAATTTTACAAAGACAAACACAGCGTAACCTAAAATAACTCGAGCCATCGTAACCCAATCAAGAGTAACTTACCGCGACGTACCGTAACATAACGCTGTGTAATGTAGCGTAGCCGAACGCAATATAACGTAACGTGGCCTGACATAACCTAACGTAACTTTATGAAGCGTAACGCAACATATCATAGCTTAACTTTATCATACGTAACCTATCGTACAACCTATCTTTTAAACGTTTCATAATAATTTCTCGGTGTGTTGTTAATCGCAGGTGACCAGAATGTTCAGGATGGTGGACCATCATTTTCAGGATGGTCTGAAACAAATTATAGTTTAGGCGAAGCTGATGAACAAGTTCTGGGCTTATTACTGGCTGAGTCAGCTTTCGATCCCCTGTTAGACAATATAGACTGGGGAGATGACTCTTACACAGGAGAAATTAACTTAAATCCTGATTAGAACTTGCTCTAAGTCTATCAAGGATGACTGGAAGGTGAACGCTGTGAATTATGGGCTGTGTCACCGAGCGAAGCAGAGGAGGAGACCGAGGGATTCTGCATTCATTATGAGACGCAAAGTAAAAACGTTGTAGTTTTATCTTGAAGATGTTTTGATTTTACGTGCAAGTATTAGTAGTGGTAAAGTAGTAACGATGGGATTACTATTCAGAACAGCTGAAAGATAGAATAGAATGTTTATTTTGTTTAGTCCTTTTTAGTTGGTCGCATGTGTCTAAAATCGGTGTATCGAAATAATGGAGGTTGGTGTGTTTGTGTGCCTAAGTTCTTCCTTCATTTTGGTCTACTTGGCCCATGTTAACGTTTAAAGTTTTGAAGCTGCCATGCTTTATTACTTCTCTGTCCAAAATTCGTGTAGTAGTGAATTTTACGATTTCCATTTCTTCAACTAGAGCGAGAGACATCACCCGCGGAAAGAGATAGTTGTTGATCAAGGGAAAGGCTTGTTTAGACAGAAAAGAAAACCTATACAGAGGTAATAACACTCGTTAAGGTAGTTGTTATGTCGGTTTTTCACAAGAGTTATTTCTAGGACTCCCCCCATGTGGGCGATCGCATTTTACAAAAGGGTTGAAACTGTCTTTGTACTGAACCGCGTGAGCTTGGATTGGAATGACTCCGAAGTAGATATATTTAGCGCGGAATTCTCGATCAAAATCAGTTAAGCCAATATTTCTTCAGAGCATTGCCTTTGTCTTCCTTTGCACTGGACAATTCGAATTTGTAAACAGCCACTTTAGGACAAAATGCCGTGGTCCTGATATCAAATATCGTTGATGTGTTATTTAATCCCTGTTCCTCATTGGCTGACAATTATCACGTGAGTGGTTGTACTTAGAGGACGTTTGTTCACTTACGTCGAGGTCAGTTAAACTGTCATTACTTTTTGCTGCACGTGATGAAGTATGATCAATGAGGAACTGGAAACAATTTCAAACTTCACAAACCGGAGATTTCGCCCGTGAAATACTTAGCCGACACCGTCATTTAGCTTTCGGGGCAGTCTCCTATACAGATGAACATACTTACAGTTAAATTGCTCTCTACGGGAGCTCCTCTCTCTGTTAATATGATCAACAATAATTCCCCCTCTGACGCTTCTCGTGCATTCTCAATATACCAAAATAGAAATTATGAAATGTAATTTTTTTAATCAGCTTGGGGTAACGCATGGATGAGCAAACTGTACCCCCAAAGTTAATAATTTGAATTGCTAGCTTGATACTGGCATCTTTAATTTTAAAAATAAAGGTTCTTGAAAGAGAGGAAGGCTGTTAATTAATTTTGATACACATTACCTGCATTTCAAATTTTTAACGTATTTAAAATGGTTTGAAGATGGAACAAGAAAGTAACAAATGGAATAAAGAAGGCTTTGTAAACCTGCACATAACACAAGCGAAAGGCAGCGATGGAAATCTAAAAACTTGATCTTCATTCTCTTCACGAATTCGCGTGAGTGTCACCAAGGTCTGAACACAAATGGCCTTCGCGTATACTGGAAAAGGAATGAGCGGAAGTGGAACAGATAAGCGGAAGCATGTGACTGCCATGCCGATTAAGGATTCTCGTGTTTGCTTGAGACAACCCCCTTCCCCGAGAGAAACTTTGGGGGGGCGTTGAGTGACAACCCAAAGAACAACTGCGAAAGTGCTTGGTGGTTGGCCGGTTGCCTAGAGTTTGATCACATCTGGGAAGTTTTAATTTCTTGGAAAGGAACAAGGTCAATTTTTACAACGTCATTTTTGCATATCGGGCCATAATGTTAAGTGGCTCGATGTCGTTAATTTCTGAAAGCACGTACGTGTTGACTTACTAGTAGGGAACACAAATTTAAAACGTTTAGTCTTTCAAGGTTCTCTGTAGGACTAAAGTAGCTCCTCTAATGTTTCCCTTGCTGGATACACACTTCGTTAGAAAGCAGTCAGAACTGGACGACTATCAAACGAGCTTTCTTTTCCTCTTGCAAGCACCTGATGCTGTTTAAATCAGTCTTGAAGGAAGATTGAATAGATTATGTGGAGCACGCCTTTGCCAGAGGCCCAAGAAAGCAGGGTGTGGTAGATTGAGGATGCAATTGACCCCCTCACACTTCTTCAGCAATAAGCCATTTTTCTAATAATATAACTCAACTTGGCATGCCCCCAAGCGTCCGTATGACTTTTGTTGAAAATCCTACGCAGTCCTTGTTTACTTTGCTTCCAACATTGGGTCAAAGTTCCAGTGCAAGCAGATTTGAGGAGAGATCGATCTCTCCTGTAACTTGTGGCATCCGCTGCCTAATAAAAAAGCAGTCAACTAAAAGTGGCCGCTAACTCTTGCCAATTGCAAGTTACGATCAAGCGCGATGATTATAGAAATAAAACTGCCTTCGAATATAGTGAATCTGCGCGAAAACCCGGCAAACGCGCACAATTTTTTTCCTTCGGAGTGGAGGGACACATGATCCATTCAATTTGTCCAAAAATGTATTTCAAAGCCTCTGTTGTAGAGAATCCCTCTCAAATGTACGGGCTCTTTTTTTTTCGAAGGGGTAGATGAAAAATGGTCTTTTGTCCTGTCCACACAAGGGGTGAATTTCTCGTGTCAAAATCAGAGCTTCTTAAAGACCATCGCAGGAATGGGAAACCACAGTTACACGACTTGTGAAAAACCAAAATTCAACGATATTAGCTTTACAGTTTATATCATCAATCGGTATTTTTTCTTAGTATAACTGAATCCATTTAAGTCTTTGTGGCTGAAGCCTTGCTTTACAAGATCAAGGAAATATTCGATTCTTCTCACGGATATTTTGTTACATGATAGGCCTGGTGCCCTCGGTGAAATTGACACTTAACACTATTGGAAGTCGAGAAAGAAAAACAAAAACATTGATAATTTATCTTATCAATGATTTATTGTTTGCTTATTTAGCCTACACTGACTTGATGTGAATCGGTAGACTCGTCCCCTAAGCTTTATCTTGGATCCTGCTCGGAGCCTGTCAATTAGCTCCGGTTAAGTTCTTAACTTGACCAAACAAGATTTGGATGAATTGTTCGGCGTGATGCGACAGACAATATTGTCTTCATATACAGCTGAACTTAGGGTCAAACCACGACGTAATTCCTGTTGTATCGTTGCAGGCTTTCTTTCCGTGGCCAACATCAAGATAGGTCTTTACAAATACATTCTAATCTAATCGCATCTCCCGCTCCTACGAACAACAATGATTTTTCTCAATGCGGGTACTTACTTGCAAGAGTTATACACTTAATCACAGGCAAATGTACCTATGCTTCACATGAAACGCTCTCATAAGAGAGCCATTACAAAAAACAAAAACAAAAAAAAACAAAAAAAAATACCCCTCCGGGAGCAATCGATTTGGATCGGATATCACAGGCCGTTGTTGTTAATCAGCGATTGTTATATGAGCGCTGGATAGGTCATAAAGAATGGTTAAGAGTTTTTGGTTTTTCAATTGTTTTCCGGTACACAAACAAAAAAGCTTACCGATAAACCATCCGCCTGATTTTAAGGGCGCAGTCCATCGCCACGTACATATTTTTGCAAATAAATATATCATCACTGACACCAGTAGATATTTCGTAAACCATAAGCTTTCCTTCCTTGGTCAAAGTAAAATAAAATCCACAAGAGGAACATCTGATACATCATTCATATTTTTTTCAATTTGATTTTTCTTGCGAGATGTCTGACCTGTCTATAGAACTGGAGCTGGTATCAAGTGAATGTTCACTTCTCCTTTTTTTTTATTAAAGAACTTGAGACAAGGAGTGTCTACAGCCGTTTCATCGCTTTCTGTATCTCAGCATGGAGATCACGTTTAGAACCAGTGATCATTGAACCAGCGATCATTGAACCAGTGATCATTGAACCAGTGGAATATAGGTGCATTAGGCGCTAAATATTATTAAATTTTGGAGATTTATCCTTCTTTCCATTTGATCGCAGAGTAGATTTTTTATGCGATCTTTTAAATCTGTACGAGGTAGGTTTTCAAAGTCTCAAACCACTGTGTGCTTGGTATTGACCCTTAAAGTCAATCTTGTGTTGTCTTTTTGGATTAATAAGGCTCTTAAAAACAGGATTTATTTTCTATGAAGACCTTAGCAATTGTTTGTTTAGTTTCAACTGGTATATGTAACTTTTAAGCTCAGCTCCTCGGCTACCATGTATATCACATTTTTTAAAAAAACTTCGTTCTTTTTCATTTGTGGAATGTTAAATACTTCAAACTCTAATTGAATTAAGTTATATTTAGATATTACTGCTAATTTTTATACCGCCGCATCTTGATATATATCTGCTGCGGTGTTAGAGGTTTCATTAATGAAACCTGCGGTTTTCTGCATATGCAGTTTAATCGGTGAAATGGAACTATTTAACAACGGATCAAAGCTATTTATTACCGCTCGAAAACCGAGTTAAATCCGTACCTTTCAGGTATTTGTCATCTTTTCTTTATTCAAAGTTTCTATGAGATGTAAGCGTAATTTTGAATCCTTTTGATTTGGAGCACATCCAAGGAAGCAGAATAATTAATGACGAAAACTAAATTATGTTAATTTATAATCCACACGTCTGTTGATAATCCTCACATGGTGCACATGCGTATTAAATATGACAACAAATTGTCGCGGGCAGTGCGGTCAATCATGAATAAGGAAAGGTGTACTTTATTTTGTTTCAGTGATGTGCTGATCTCTACAAGCGCAGGCCTGTACGCATCAGCTATTGTGTAAGTTCAAGTTTTTTACGAAACTTCCGCGCGAAACTGAAATACGGTGCGTCTATGAGGAGTGTCGCCCAAATTACGTTTATTTTCAAACATTCGTGCGGTAATGGATGCAGTACAGCTGAACGAACTACTGGAGTGTTCTGTGTGTCTAGAACAGCTGGATCAAAGCTGCAAAGTATTGCCTTGTCAACACACGGTACATAGACGATGTCTGAAAGACATTGCAGAGACAAGAAAAGAGTTGAGGTGCCCCGAGTGTAGGATTCTTGTCGCAGAAGATATTGACGAGTTGCCGGCAAATATTTTTGTGATTCGACTTTTAGAAGAGTTTAACAAGACGCGACGGAAATCGTGCGATAGTTTGGATTCAAACGAGAAGCTTTCTGATCAGGTGAGGTGCTTTGGTATTCAAGAGGATGATGATATATTTGTGGTAGAATTGAGGTGCATGGAAGAAAGTGTGATGTAGAAACGACAATTAACAGTGCGTGATTTCATCTTCACCCTTCCTATTGTTGTAGAGTGTGGTTACATGCATGGCAATTAACCAGCTTGATAATGAAAGACTCCCTGTTGACCTGATGTAGGAGTTTCTGTGGTTCGCAAAATTACCTTAAACAGCTTTTACGTGGTGCGTTCTGTTCTGTTATTTTCTTTGCTACAAATGATTCTCGGACATTCTCCAAGGATTTTGTTTATGTCGCGCTACAACCTCCCTTCGTAGTATGATTTCTAAATTTAGTTCTTTTGAGAAATGATGGAAACAATATTTACATATTTTAACCACAAATGAATGAAATCTAAAACGTTTTACTAGTATATTTCCGCTGTATAGAACTTCTTCCCTCTCTTAATGCAATTTCCCTGTGCTACTTGAGCCCAATTATTTGTAACGTGCTTTAGATGTTTAGTTTGCCACTTTCAGTATTCAAGAATTACAGCTGTGTGATGTTGCATTGTTCGTTCGTCTGAGACGATAGTGATTTTTCATTTGAAGACATATGTAAAGTTGCTTTCAACGCTTGGACTAAGGAAATATTTTGTTTCGTTTGTCGATACCGAAACGGAAGCGAGGAACGGACTAGGAGCGGGCATAAATCCTGTTTTCTTTCGCTCAATTCCTTCCGAAGAGACACAGCCTTTCAGCTCCTTGTTACTTAACAGGCTTAAGAAAGGCTTAAGCAAGGGAATAAACCGAATTACGCATATGTTGATATTTTGTTTTGGCTGGGAAACTACAGAATTAGTACACTTTCAGTTTTAGAAAAAATACTGAGAATCTGTGCAAAATGAGGAAAAATTATCGAAGCTCTGTTTTAAGGTGATCGTTGTGCTTGTATTGAAATGTTTTAATTCATAGCCTAAGGCCTTAACTTGTCGTCGACTTGGACGTGATGTGCATTGTCACGTTTCGTCAACTTTTCCTCATAATCAAACTTTCAAATGTGGTGCAATTTGATAAATGTTATCTCACGTGCTTTGGAAAATCTGTGACACGCTGTGATGCTTTTGTCATGTGACTTGTTACGCGCGTTTTGTTTCCAAGGGTTACTTCGCCCCAGCTGTTCACGATGTTTCCTTTTTAGGCAACGTTTCTAAACAACAAAACACTCAATTAGCCAGAGCAGCTCTTGCTTGATTGATCATGCAAACTGTGGCAGTTTTCATTCACAACAAGTGCTGCAAACAATCGGCTATTGTATATTCTTTGTGTTCACTTTGCATCTTTTGAATGATTTGTTCTACCATTATCTTAAAATTGTTAGCCAAAGTACCTTATCATAACAAAACAACAGCTTGGTAACATGGACTTGAATTTCAAAGCTTCCTGTATTTATGATTTCACAAGATGATAATACTTATCTATCTAACTTTGATCTCCTGAATATGACAATCACTACAAGCTTAGATTAGCTTACATCTGTTTCATGGGAGCCGATTGCAAAACTCCCAGCAATATCTCTTTTGCAACTCATGTTTACAATGGTGCCTCAGTTATTTGTTTCTAAATGTGTGTCTGAGAGATAAATGATATGTAATCAGAAATACTTTTAGTACATTAGTGCCTCCTGTGGTTTGAACTAAGGAAGCAAATACAATGACTTAAGATATTTACAAACCCATTAATATATCCGTTTCAGCCAAAGGGTAAATACTACCATGTCACTCAATCCACATGTTTCTAATGACTTTAATGTCTGTGTGGCAAATGAAAGATTTGAACTGGTTTTTTCATTTTCTTGTTCCCAAATTATATGGAAGTAATACTTTCTAACAACACCTGTAACAACAATGATGAGCTACACTATGACAAACAATGAATATGACACTGGACATTTTTAAAGGCAAAATATTGTCAATCGTGCATCTAAGCAAGTGATGAATATGGTAGACTCTTCTTTACTAAAGGGATAGGTTCATGTAACAGATGTGTTCAGTGCTTCAAAATGGGAAAAAAGAATAACTGATTTCTAAAAATAGTTGTGCAAATTATTACTATGTTTCATCTCTTTATGCTGTGGCTGAGACCACAAAATTGTGGCGGAGATAATGGATCTTTGTGGGTTATTTGATACAAAGCACTCTGTTATGATGGGTGATCTTTTACCACACTCGTTGTCAATTACTAAGTTATTTTTGAAATGCATCCAAATGGGAAATCTTGCTGTTTGTTTTGAAAAGGCATTGTTTTAAGTTTTTTAAGTTGCCGATTTTTTTTTATTGTCAAATTCCTGTGTATGTTTCCAGAATGAAAGATAACATGAATTTTTCTTGCAGAGTTAATCAATAAACACTCTTTTCTTGAAGTGATCAAAGAACAGATATAGGGTGTCAATCACCACCAGATCACAATGACAGATATATGTTGTAGTTTTTCACATGTAAATGATATTTCTATATGAATTCTGTGACTCAAGCCTAAAATTTAAAGGCCTGTTAATGATCACACCTTCCTAGTTGTCAACTATAATCATGGATTTTTGTTGTGGTAGCTTACATATAAATTTGAAGTTGTTTCTATGATAAAGAGAACAAAATTTTCTCTTTTAATCAATAATGTTTCTTTCCAGGGATCTTTTGTTTGGGTAGAAAATTCTGTGGTTAATATCTTTGCTTCACTTTTCTCTTAAGTCTATGATTTGGCCATTGTTCTTTGTTTATTTTTTTATGGTATTTGTGCACCAAAAAGCCCAAACACATAAATAACCATTGTTGAGCTCATGAGTTGAATGTGGTTGTCAGCAGGATGTCTTGGGTCAAACAATTCTTTTACATGCTAGACCTCCACTTGAAAGCTCACCTAACTAGTAGAGATTGGCAATAATAAAGCTGATAATGGCCTACAAGTGTGCCTTGCCATCATTGTCTTGGTGTGGCACTGCCTGAGCATCTAAGCACAAAATCCAAATTTCTGGGGCTTAATTTCTCGTGGAAGACTTATTTTTTTCCCCATGTTATTGACAAATTAAATAACATCTTCCATCTTCAAATGAGCCACTCACCAATTATAGATTACAGTCTGTGCCATGCATTAAGTTATTACTAGACCCTGTGAGCAGGGTAACTGGGATACCTGAATGGTACTGGATCATTGGAATCAAGTGTAGTGATACTACGGGTGTCGGACTAGTATACTGAAATAGTGCGCTCAAGTCTGGCCAAGGGCATACACCTATTTCAAAACATAGGCATGCTATGCATGCAAGAGTTACTTTTTTGTAAGGTGGGTGGATTACTTGAAACATTGTGAGTGATGTCTACATTCTTACAAAAGGAGAGAAGAATATTTATATGGGAAAGAACGAAAATGTCAAATTACCTCACTCACAGGTATTTTGTGGTAGATTATGTGTGTTTTATGAATAAATGTAACCAAAAAGAAACTGTTTTGGTACCACGGATACCTGCTAGTACAAAATGCAGACAGCAGACTGCAGACTGGATACAAAATATAGACTGCAAACTGCAGAGTGGGTACAAAATGCGGACTAAGACTCTGAAGAGTTTTTACGTCTAGTATATAATAACATGTCATCTTACAGCTTACCGAGCGTCACGCAATCGCTTTTCTGCGATCTGCCTTCACGATTATTTGCACTATTGTGAGATATTCCTGGCCCATTTCTTGATGAAAATCAATCACAATATTATTTAAAGCATTCAATATAGTCTTCTTACTGTACAGATTTTACCAACGTAATAAATGACCAAAAAGTTTTATAAGCAAAATCTCATGATTCGTCATGTGGCCCGGTCCTGTCTGTGCATGACAACGTCAATCATCATCAAGATAACATGCGTGATCAGCATGTGAACACCTCATTGGATCACAGTTAGTTGTCATGGTGTTGAGGGCCCAATGACCTCTGGGTACTATTGTGCAATTTTTCCATTTTGTGGCAGAGGGAAAAAAAAAAACAAAACAAACAAAGGCATTTTATGACTAGGTACAGGTATCCCAGTAAAGATGAGGCATGTCAGCCAGAAGTGCAAGGAAAGCAGCTTGGTGAAATCAAAATGACACTATGGTGAACTCATGGATATACTATATAGAATGTACTTGCTTATTTTGTCGAGTCAAGTCTTTTAGTAATTGAATGACCAAATAGGCCAGAAGGATTATTACTTTAAAGCTTACCACATGGGCTTGTCAGCACTTATTTATGATGCACAATGATTTTTTAACCAATATACATTTATGTGTATGTATTCTTTACTACAAATTATTCCACCTTATAGTTTCTTCATTCTTTTGTTGAAGGTTACTCCTTGTGCCAGAGCTTTATATGATTATGAACCTCAAGAAACTGGGTATGTCCTACAAAAAAATCAATGAATTTTTTTACTTAACATTTACATGTATCCACAAGTCATTGGACAATATCATTTTCTTGTATCCTGTGTCACCTTTTATTTTAATTGCAGTGATCTAACTTTGCATAAAGGAGAGATAATAACACTACTAAAACAAGTTGATGAAAACTGGTATGAAGGTTTTACTAATGGCTGTCAGGGATTCCTTCCAGCAAATTATGTTGAGGTAATAATAAATAGATCCACTTTCAAACATGACAATTTTGCCAATTGCTTGTGTTTGCATCTCAAGTCATGCCACTTATTCAAAAGGGGAACGGGGTGGATATTTTTTGTGGAATGTTCCATTTACCTTATTCTATGTCAATGTCTCCCAGGTCATCAATCCATTACCAAGCCTGGATGATTCTTGTGATAAACCCATTGCCAAAGCGCTATTTGACTTTGAAGATGAACAAGAACAAGATTTACTCTCATTTAAACAGGTACTGGAAGGAACAGTTAGTTCATTTTCATTTCCTCCGTGGCTGTGACTGATAAATTGAAACTCTCGATTCATTTAAAATAATGTTTGTTATTTTCTTTTAGTTTCGCATGGTAGTTATTGACAGTTGATCATTGTCTCAAAGCCCTGCTAAAAATGTGACACAAACTTCCAGTACATCAGCTGGTTCTTTAGCAGAAGAGTCAAAACTTATGGATTTTTACTCATTCTCCACCTTCTCTTGACATTCACAACTTTGTGCATATGCCATTGTAAACACATTTTATCACAAGTATTACTGAATGTTTTCTTTTTGTTGTTGTTGCTTTCATATGGAATCTAACTTATGACTTTTTGTCTGTTTAAGGGTGATATTATTAACGTTATACGCCAAGTTGATGAAAATTGGTGTGAGGGAAAACTTGGTGGAAAGCTTGGAATTTTCCCAATAACATTTGTAGAGGTGAGATTTGAAATGTCATTTATCATAAATAAAGATGAAGTGAAGTCCAGTGAATTTTTCATAAGGAGTACTAAGACTCCTTGTCACTTCATGCAACACAAGTTAGGTAAGGCTCTGGTGGAATGACCCTTAAGGGGAATGTACTGATCCTTAAACCCCTTAGAGTGACTGGCTTCTAATTTCTCCTTACAGAATCACCCTTGAATCAAATGTAAAGGTCATGAGAATAAAGGAAATGATCACCAATTTAGGAAGCTCCTGATTTTCAAACAAATTCTCCTTGTCAGAACCAGAGGAAATGTAAAGAGAACAGTGTGGAGAATATCAATACCAATGTTAGGGTGTAAAAGGGTTAAATGAGAAGTCTATACTTTAACCAAGTGGCCCATCCAGCTGATATCCCCGTTTCTGTAGCATGAAGTGACAAGGAGCATTGTTACTGACCCCTGGATGGGATATTAGTATATTGCAGGTTAACCCCCCTCTGCCCCCTCCCCACATTTTCTTAGGGTTTCCTGACAGTTTGCGGGTTCCTACCCAAGAGCACAACACGTTGTCCCAGACCTCTCTACCCAGGGAGCAGCATCCTAATCTTAGGCCCAGTTCTTAAGGCAAACACTGAGTGTGTAAAGTTTTGCTTCCTGCCATCTTAAATAAAGTTGTCACAATTTTATGGTTATTTGTAAGATAAATACTTAAAAGAACTAATAGATTGATGTATTTCACATGTTGTAAGCTTAATGTGGCAGCACGGAATCTGATAGAGGCAGCTGAAAACGCACCAGATCAGGCATCATCAGGAGGAAGGACATCACAAGTGGAGCCCAAGAGGCATACCATGCATTTTGTTGGACAGCGCAGTGAGGAAGGGCAATCAGTTGGTGTTCAGAGGCACTCACTTGACATCTCGTCTGCAGAAAGGCTGACAGAAGGACTGAACAGTTCATCGTCAACTGGATCAATCAGTTCACCTAACAGACAGGTAATGTGAGCATTGTTAATCGTTCTTCTCCCTCCCTGCTTACAGCCTCTCCCCCACCCCCTGGTATTAAATTTTCCCATCCCCCCCTCAAAAGCTTCCCCCATCCCCCTGTTTACAAACATCCCTTCACTCTGCTTTTAAAATTTTTAATCCCCCCTGCTTACAAGCTTCCCACTTTCCCTGCTTCTAAGCTTCTCCTCTCCCCCCTGGTTTAAAATTTCTCTCTTTCCCCTTCTATAAGGTCCTTGGACATAAGCCCCCCTGCTTCGGTTGTTTGAAGAATGTGGTAATGTACCTAGAACCTACAAAACAACGTAAAATTAATCCAACTAATTTTGATTAATTTTTACCCAGAATTCATTTTAAACTATAACATAACAGACTAATCCACAGTTAACAGTGTACGTCTTGAGGAGTTCGTAGTACATTCCCCTCTTCTACTTTCAGTTGCTTTTCAACAGATGATTTTTTTTCAGAGCACATCAAGGTCATCTGGGAGTAGCCCTGATACATCTCAGTCACTCCACTCAAGGCAAGGGACATCACCCTCCTCAGTCAGTCCGGGTCGTGCGGCCACAGGAAGGCAAAGTTCACCTATGGAATCAGGGGGGTCACGACCAGTGTCAGCTGAACTCGGAAGGGAATTGTAAGTACAGCCATAGTTGAAGGAGGTGACTGTTTAGGAAACGTCACATATTTGTTTGTTATAGTTTTGTTTGATTTTTTGGACCTTAAGTTTTTCGACAAGTTTTCGTTTTGTGATTCTTGTCAATAGATACGTGGCTCTCTACACATACAAACCTACAAAAGACGACGAGCTTGAACTGGTGAAGAACGAAAATTACTGCGTGACCGACAAGTGCAAAGATGGATGGTTCAAAGGGTATTCAGTAACCACACAGAAACGAGGAGTATTTCCGGGAAATTATGTTCGACTGGCAAGGTGACTTATCTGTTTTTAATTAGTGGAGTATTACACTTGACTTTAGTTACTTTAGTTACTTTCGCGGTCTCAACTCGATCACTGTTCCTCGGTTATTGGTTATTTGGTTCTGTTCTTAGGATGACGAGGAAAACAGTCGTACATTTAAAGTCAGGGTTTTATAGTTTGGTTTTTTTTTATCTTCGAATGTTGGGAAACATTCTTATCATTGCTGACGGTTGAATGACTGATACAGGTTTTTCTTTTCGTCTCCAGTATTCACAATTTACTAACAAGATCAAGAAGTAGTAGCACAGATCACGACAACTCTACAAACTCTGTTCCTTATACCCACGCCCAAGCTAAAACTCCGCCTCATCAAGGGCCGCCACCCCCTAGACACACAGCATCAGAGGGAGGATCACAGACGAGATTTCGTAGGTCGGATTCTGCCCCACCCCAGCCGGTTATGCCAATGGAGAGCCTTGTTGTTAACTTAAATCAAGGACGAAGTCTTGCAGATAACAGAAATCTCACTCAGGGACCCACTGAGAGGAGCCGATTTGTACCCACGGCACCACTTCCCCCGCCGCCCGCACCTAAATCGGTATGTTGGATTCAAAGTCGCTCCTGCCCCCTTTTGATTGTTTATGGTTATTTCTAACAGAATAAAGAAAATTTGATGTAGGGACGTCTGACGACTTGACTAGTTTTAAACCGTTGTTTGCCTCCAAGTGGAAAGTTGATGCATTTTGTGACTATCTGTTTCCCTTTTGCTTTCCAGAGTAGTTTTTGGAAAAAGCTGACAGGCAAGAAGAAGGAGAGGACAAGACTAAATCGACCCCCACCTCCTCCTCCGCCATACCAAAGGTATTTTACTAAGACTTGTAACTGTTAGTTACTTCGCCTGTACAAGGCTGTTGGAACGTTCTTGTTAGGATGTGGTGAAACGAAAACCAACACAATAACTGAAGCTAATCAGAGCAAACTCAACGTCATAGGAGTCCATTAAACTCAAAGAACATGTCTGTGAGTAACCAAAAGCGAGGGAAAACTCGAGTTTCGAAGTCGCGGTTGATTTTGTTTGGTTGAGAGAGGATGGTGCGAATTTTCTTTTTTGGACCAATCATGGAGCGGTGCGAAAATAGTGCGAATCCGGACTTCTCTCTCGACACTCAATGGAAAATTTCTCTGAACTTACAATTGTTTGGTCTTTTTCAGGAATGTTCCTGCCGGACATAGTGCATTATCTCCGCCTCCTTATGACTTTGGAGGACTTACGACAGCTCCATCTTGCTCGCAGGTTAATAATCATTGTGTTTGTGTTAAACAGGCCCGATCCCAATTAAATCCTTTTTCCGATAGAGAAGTACCCTATTTCATTTTCTCATTTCTATTTTTTTCATTCTTATCTTTGTGCCCAGCGTCCGAGAGATAGAGTTGAAAACCCGCCTGTTCGTGAAAGGTAAGGACTGGGACTGAATCGTCGTCAAACTTTTTGACAGTGCTAGGTAATAGCCTACATAATTATTCAGGAGCGCCAGAAATTCTTCTTAGTTGCTGTTATGATTGCGAGTGGTCATTCCGTATATTGGCCAAATATGTTATTTACTGGGTGGGAAAAACTGTGCCCGAGGGCCTCACACAAGACCAAGGGAACATTCAGTTTTGTCTCTTACGAACCGACCTAAACAGGTAAATACCTAGTTTATTTTTCTGCTGGTGTGCTTTTTTCCGATTTGCCGAAAGTGGCACGGAAAACATTTGGGACCTTGGTTCGTATTGTCAAAGGTTGGACTGTGCACGAGCGCACCATTTGCCAACTAGATTCGAGGACTGAAGACTCCGTCCCGCTGAAATACTTCAAATAAAATTAAAAATGTTTCTTTCTGATTCGTCCACAGATACCGTGTTATTGTAGCTTATCCACCTCAACACGAAGCTGAGCTGGAGTTACGGGTTGGAGACGTTGTGTACGTGACGAAGAAACGTCAAGATGGCTGGTACAAAGGAACTCTGGAACGAAATGGGAAAACTGGCCTGTTTCCTGGCAGTTTTGTCGGCAGCTTTTGACATGAAACTGCGTGAATTTTGTAGAAATATCCAAAAAATTATTTATCAGCATCTTCACTCGGGTTCGGTCAAAACAAGAAATAGAAGTTAGTAGACACCACTCGTGGAATTGACTGCGTCACAAAACGGCGCGAAATGAAGTTTTTTTTTTTACAAAGCCCCAGTGGTTGAGTTTTTGTTTCCGAATAGAAAGATGTTAGAGTTTTGTACTTTGTATCCATGAAACATTTAGTTAACACTTTTTTTTTAAACGATTTGTTGTTTCATGTAAGAATTAGAATAGAAATCTTTTTCCGCCTACAAATCCATGGATGCTTTTGTACACAGTTTAGACAAATATAGTTCGTTCGCTGTAAAGCAAAGCTAAAAACAAATTGTATTGTTATGTAAAAAGGTGCTAGTATGCTGCTCAAATTAACAAATAATTTTTAAATTCAATGAAAGCAAAGGTTTCAATAATAAGAATTTTACAAAAATACAGGTGTATATTACACTTTTCTATGTGTGGGTGTTATGTTTTCACACGAAAAATTGACTTGAGTTTGAAATAAAACAAAGTTAATTGTAAGTGTTGTGGATTGAGTTTGGGCTACGCTTCCTCTCGTCGCAGACATGGTAAACTTAAAGGTGGTGTTTGAGTGAGGCCTGGGTCAAGAAAAAAATTCCCTGCCCACTCTACCCTCTCCCCCCTCCCTGCTCCCCCTTCTCTCGCCCTGACGTGACCAAATCTGCCCCAGAAAATGAAAACTCGAATCTTTAAATTTACAAATTTACAATTTAATGGTTTCATTCTTAAATAAACTGCATGGTTCGTTTGAAGGCGAGTTTTGATCGCCTTTATCAAAGAGCACGTTTGAGGAAACTTTCTTACAGGCAATCCGTGTGGCTTTTCAGTTATTATTTCTGTTGCATGGGAATTTTTTTCAGTGCGTATTTATGTCCTAGTACATTGGTATAAATCTGCGAAAATGGTGAAAGAAGGATAGTCGCTTTAGACGGCGCACTCCCATATCAGTTGGTAAATATATATATTTTTTTACTTTCATTGTCACCTGTATAGAGCAAATACAATTTTAGGTTACTCATTGCGAAGCATACCGCATCGACTGAGCGACAAGCGTAACCAATACGTCTTCTGAATTGCCTTTTCCATTTTCTTAATACGTGTACTGACAGATTGATCTCTCTTTAATCGCCCCATTCTTATTAGGCATTGGAGGAAGATAAAAGTTCTGAAATCGAAAACACTTGCTTGTAAAGTAAATATTTAAGTCATTCTGTTAGCATATTTAAATATTTTTCATTTCGGTTTTGTCTGACACCTTGCTTTGCAATTCATCGATCGTCTGTTTCAAAGATCTTCCTACTGAGACGAAACGACAGCTTTCCTTTTCCGAAAAAGAAATATTGTCTAGAGAAGTTTCATTTTCACAGCTTGCGTTGATTTATCGTGACTCGATGGCAAATTATTAATTCCGCAGTGTAAGGGGAATAACGTTAATTATAGATATATTCTGTCAAATGAAAGAAAAATGCATTGCTGAGTGATAACCGCGGCGGTTAAAAGGTGAAAGTATCCGAAGGAAACGAATTCCAATTTTCAAACTGGTTTGACTTGTTCCGTTCGCTCGGCGACATCTCCGCTTTATTTTCCCGGAAGCTTGCAAAGACCAAACTGTATTGAAGATCAGGAAATTTCGGCTTAGCTTCTCTTGGTGTAGCTTACATCTGAGTTAATTTAAACATGACAAATTGTTCAACAAGAGGCCATATATTAATGGTACGACGCCAAAGTTGTATTCCGAGTTACTTTTCCGTTTATGAATCTCAATTACCGATGGACAATGAATATTCTGATTCTAAATTGGAGGCAGCTGAACCTGAGAAGCGAAGCTCAAGGTTTTATCTCTTGTACTCGCGAAGTTCTGCATCTGAAACCGAGTATCTTACCTTTCCACCGAGAGCTGCCGATGATAATGCTATGGACTCAGCGACTCACACTACCAGATTACTAAGCTCAGCACCGGCTAAGAGATTTTCGTGCAACGTCAGTAAAATGGCTTATCCTATGAGAAATCGAATGGTTTGCGATGGTTATTTTGGATGCCCAGACGATTATATCACTCCGGATAAAGGAAACGGTGAGATATTTTTTGATTTTTTTTCTGTGTACGTAAATGAAGTTGAAGGATTTCAATATGATATACAGTGATTGAGCTATGTGCGAAAAAAAAGTATATGAAAGTGATGTTTTTGCGCTTTGTCAAAATTGCTGTTATAATATATTATTCATTTCCGATTGTCTGAAAATCTTCTCACATGAGAAACAATTGATGAGCAATGCTATCAAGGATGATGAAAAAGATTTGGCTGTATATACTTCGCGTTTGAGTCGAGGTTAAAAGAGATATGGGTTGTTTATTGCCAAACAACACGGGAAACACCGGAATAATTTTTTGGCTTCATCCTTGATATCGATCCTGCTGTTTTAAGTTCAAATCAAAACAAAACCGCCTTGAATTCACGCCGAGAAAGACTGCTTAGCTCGAAGTTAACTACTTAAACACATGGTTGTCATCGAGTTTACATTTCATTCAGGAGAGCTACTTGTGAATTGAGATGGCATCTTTAACTGCAGAGGTTTAAGTAGATTTCTAGTGCTATATCTTGGTAAACTTTTGTTTTATGGTGGTTTGTTTTTTTTTTTTCCTGCATTAGTGGTAGCCTTGATGCATCGTAGGTGGCGGCGGTCTCCTGGTACAATGATCAATCATAACCTCAAACAAAGAGCAATTTTATCCGCAAGCGAACCGACTCCCTTGCATTTCCTCTCCACTATATCTACACAATTAACAATTTATCAGAAAATACAGCTGCGCTGCTTTTCAAGAATCATGCTCACTCTAAATAGGCTATTTTCGCCTTTTTGTTTCTTTATTTTTTTCATTCATTTATTCCCACTTATTTACTTGTTCGTTTATTGGCCTGCTTATCTATTAGTTCATGCAGGCTCATCATTAAAAAGAAGAAAGCCAGTTTGCATCTTGCCATGGAAGAAACGGCAACGAAGATGCCCGAAAATCAAGAAAAAAACAAAAGGCAAAAACGCCAAACATGAAACCAAGTCGCCAAAAGTGGATTGTGTTATTTCATCATTGGAACGTACAATAGTGTCAGGTATCAGGGCAAGGGTGCACGCGGCTAAACATTCACAGGGAACTGGAACCAAGTCCCATCCTGCCCTGTTCTATAGTCACTTCATAGGCAAGGGGAGCTCGATTCCAAGTCGCAAAATTTGCGCGCCAAAAAAAGACCCTCCGTGTGACGGTTATTTCGGTTGCCACGGCGACGGAAGCATGAGAGGAAAGGCTAAAGGTGAGACACAATGTTTTTGTTGGGTCTTGTTACTTATGTGAACCAGTTAATCTTGTATCGAGGAAGAGAAGCTTTTGTAATTGTTATTTAGTTCTTTTGTGATCCATTTGGTTAACATGATTTCCATTTTTTGTGTCCGAACAGGAAAAAGGAAACCTATTCCCAGGTTCTAAATTGATTTGAGTGTGCAGACACACTGGCCAGCGTTTATGATACACCATGGCAATAATTTAGTTTATCCGTGGTTGAAGAATGGAAATTGGATGGATTCCTGATGAATGTGATTTTTACTTGAAACAATTAATTATAAATGGGCTTTTATTGTCTCTTGAACTCTTACGGAGTTCGCGATGAGATCTGAATTAAAATAATAAATTCTCTAATAAAAATAAAATCTGAATCTAACAAAAATAAATCCAATAAAAATGAAAATAAAACTTCTCACATCGAGTGTTATTTCTGCTATAACCAACTGAACAAAATAATGAAATACCAAAAAACGGTTTTGACGATTCAATCTTAGAGATTAGTAGATCTCTTATTTACTTTCAGAACGGGGTTCATTAAGCTTTTTTCTTGAGTAAAACGTTGATGACCAAATTATTTTTTGTCAGCATGACACAAACTAAGATTCTCTGATTCAATGACGAACACTCTTTTCTTTATCGTATACCCTCAAGAAACGCGAAATGCTGTTATAATCTAAAAATGTTCCTTAAGGAGAAAGTTTCCTACAAAGGCTATAACAGGGCCTAACAATGTGAACCACAAAGACTTCAGTTGTGTCATTTGAAGGCCAGCCACTCTGAATCCTACATTTCCATACTTTTGGTGTTTCTCTAAAAGGCTGGCAAACAGTGTTAGCTTTTTTTCTGAACTGAACGTAAATCCTCTTTGGCATTGTTCATCACAGTCCAGTGTAGCGACGATAAAAATCAAGCGATTAAGCTTTGAACTGACTTGGCCTAATTTGTAAAATGGAAGCGAAAAGAGGAGTATTGTTTCACAAACGAACACCACAAATGTTCCCAAACTCTCAGAAAGATTTATTCCAAACAAGAAACTATTCGATGAAGGAACATGTCTAAACATTTCCACGCTGGAATAAACACTAATTGTTCCCCACAACACTAACAGTAACAGAAGTGCTATGATGTACACTTGAAAAGCCTGCGAGGAATTTTGGATTCTCTTTGTCAATGCTTTGTATTTCTTCAGGAGCTCTGTAATGTTCCTGTTAGTCTGTTGTATCTGTGTGCTAAAGTTTTCCAGTTCCAAAATGTGAATCTGAACTACAAGAATCAGGAAGAAGAATATCGGCATAGCCATGACTCGACTGTAAAGAAGGACGAAAAATTCCACAATTTCGACATTCATGTCCCAATTTCGAGGAATTCCATTTGCTTGTTCTACGAAAATTGGAATTAACTTTTGAACTAAAGGCAATAAAAGAAGGAAAAACGCTGTAACTGCCATAAGATCCTGGATTAACTGCTGCGATTTTTTCCATTGATTCTCGGAAATGCCATTGCTGTTGTTTAAGATGTCACTGATGTGTCCTCGGTGGGCATGGAAAAAACATAATCCAACGTTATGAAGGATTACATAACGTAGTGTCCACAACAGGCGATGCATAACTGCTACGCTTGCAGCAATCGTATTTGTATTCGCTAACAGCGCCGGTAAACCGTTCATAAGATTATATATTTCAAATCCCATCACTGCCCATAGGCTCAAAACAACACCTGCTTGCATGATTTTATAAAACACCGCAGGAATTTTACGAGAACGACGTCCGGTTTCATTCGGTTCGATCCATTGAAATGTAAAGCACATGTAAGTGTACAAGAAGTATCCATGAAGGCTCAATTCAAATTGATCGTCATCGCTGTAATCTGTTCCTAAAGAACATAAATCTTCAATGGTTCCATGCTTTTCTACTGTTTGCGTTTTATTACCAGAATTGCTCCTTTCATTAAGTGGTTCGCCGTAATCGAGGATTCCTTTATTTTCACTTATTGTTTCTCTGCCTTCAGTTCGTGGACCAGTTATAAAAATCATTATCCTTGACCCTGATGTTTTGGTGTTTGTGTCTCTCGCATTTTCGAGCACGTCAGTATCCTGAAGCATAGTTCCAAGATCAATTAACTGAGTGTTTGCTGGCAAGCGAAGAGGATAAAGATGGTCGCCATAAGATACATAACATGTGATATCGCTCACACTTCCGCTGGCTGAACACGCCATACTTTTCGGCGATCGATAAAGCAAGGGAATATTCAGTTAGTCATTCATAAATATTTGAACTGCGTTTCGACGTAGATCTGTAAATCTGTTAGCATGGCATTGTTGATTTTTTTCTTCCCTCCTTGCACATACATAGGAGCAGCGTTGTCCAGCATTTTTGACAATGAAAGATTTGTCATGGCATAAATTATCTAAATTCCAACTTCTTAGAAAAACCGCCGAGAAATTCCGCAGCTATTTCTCATTCATGAGCATACTCGACAAATAAATCTTCCTGGAAAGTGCTTTTAAATCATTTGATTTTACCATTACTTTTAAGAAAAAGGAAAGAAAACAAAAACCATAAGCACACTTGTGAAGTACTCTCTTCTGCATTTGTCATTTGTCATTTGTCATCATGCATGATCATGCATGATCATTGTAAACTTATGTTTATTATTAAATAACAAAGAGTTCAATTCTAATTGCGGCTGTTCAAAGTTGGGTCAATTTTTACTTATGTTGTCTTTAAAAAATGTAATTGATTTCTCAGAGCTAAGATGCAATGTTTAAGCACAGGAAAAAAATGTTTATTTTACCAATCAAAAGACATTCGTTGTCTAAGACTTAGAAAATTGTATTTGTTTTTTCCGGCTAAATTTTAATAAGTTGTTATGCCAGAAGACTTTTTCCGCTTGTCTTTATTTCGCGTTTTGCATTTGAAGGATATAAACAAAGGGCGACAAATACCTCAGATCTCAACGAATATGGCCAAGTTTGTTGCGCGTGCTTCCATGAATTAATAGCTATCGGCGTGGATTTTCTCGGACCTAAAAATCAAAATACAAAAGGATACCAAGAATCATTTAATTACAGTCATTTCTTAAAAACTACGGGTAATCTGACTTTCGTCAAGCATTTTCATGCAAATTACAGGCAGTTGTCTTTTAAATTTTGTGTATTCAACTTCGTCTTAAAGTTGACATTTGAGTTTGTCATAGAGAATATCAATAACGAGGCTTGGTATCAAAGAGTATTGAAATAGTTTCTATTCATGGTCATCTGCCATTCTTAATGTGTCAATTTAGGACCGGAAGTCTGAAAACTGAATGATTTAGATGAATGCTTGTGCTTTCGTTCTATGAATAGGCTCTCATTAATTGCAGGAGGTCCATCGTCACGAAATCTATCCTATCTGTAATTCAGAATAATCTTAAAGAGCTTTTTGAAAAATTTACGTTCGTCAACTTACTGGCACACAAAATATTGAGTACACAGCGTATTTTACAGTAGCTCTACGCATATTGAAAAACGAATATAAATTTGAATAATCATTGCTTTCCGAGAAAAGAAAATGATTCCTAGAAATTAAACAATGCCCACAACAACATGCAAACGTTGCTATTTTGGATTTCGAGAAATTACTCACCTGGAAGCTAACATAAGCTGCAAATATGTGAGGAAGCTTTCTCGAAGTTTCAACATGCAAAGATTTAAGAAATCTTTATCACGGCTATTTTTGCAATAGCCTAGAATAGGATAGAATTCAAGCAAGGAAACTGCATAATATTTGGTAATGTAGTCGCAATTTTTTCCTGTTTACCTCGCGCATGCTCTTCGTTGCACCTGATCGGTGTTTTATAATAGGAACCTCTCACTAACTCTGCCCAGTCGGGCTGTGGATTCGTTCATAAGCGCACCAGCGAGGGCTACAATCTGTACTGCACCACTATGTTTCCCGAATTATTTTCTGTCTTGTGCTTGGTTACATGCTTCACGAGAACGAGGCAAAATGTTATCAACCCATCAAATCTCAACGAACATGGGTAAGTTGACGGACATTTATAACATAGTGTGGCGTCTGCCTGAATATTCAGTATTTTTATTTTATTGCGTTTGCAAACCATTCCGTTTCTTCAGCGCTCATTTCTTGCAAGTAAAGTTTTGGAATCTTGGAAGGGTGATAGGATGGCAGATAGACACAGACTTGGAATTTAGCAAGTCGTGGTGGAAGTTTGGAACGAATTTAATGAAACTTCCGGCCTTCGCATTACGCACAGCTCTTTAGACAAAGAATTTTCGTATACAGGAGATGAAAAAGAAGAAACAAAATACAAAAGCAAAAAGCACATGTTGTCGAGGTCTAAAGCGCAAATAGGATCTTAACAGGAAACAAAAATGTTCACAAGCTTTCAAACAAAAATTATGAAGCGAAGATACAAATAACAAGCTACACAACGTTCGCTTTAAATGAATTTAAACAAGGGATTTTTCCCTTATTAATTATGCAAATAGCCGTCAAATAAAACCTCGAGCAAACAAAAAGAGCAGAATGTTTTCATGGCATGAAATGGAAATCGAATACTCTTTGAAGAAGGATCAGCTTTTTGATACCCGTGACCTAAAAATTTACAACTTAATGTTAACACAAAACTTCAAGACTTTCGGAATTTATCTTTTCAGACATAGACTTTTCGGAATTTTAATGAGCTTTTGCTCCGTAACTAGCTTGACTTTAGAAAGCTTTATAGAGACTGTTTTTAGAAAAGTTCTTGGGGCTTGAAAATAGCTTGAACATCATGAAAAACTTGGCATCCACTTGATGTCTGTAGAAAATGTTATCTATGGATTAATTTAGAATGGCTTTGTCTATTGTGGAGGGCACAGAGTGTTTGTGTCGACTTCAAACTCGTCTTACTTAATTAAAGAGCACCCAAGCATGTCTCCTTCACGAAATCATCTAGAAACTTTTCAACTTTCTGGTTTTCCCAATTGATTTCTTTCTAATGGCAACTGAGCTGAATAGATCCTTACGTTCACAATATTTGTCTTTTCAAATCGACTTTCGCTTTCATTGAGCTTCAAAATGGACTCCCTTAGACAGTTTGGACAATGCCTACTTTTCTTCTTTTGTTATTAACATCCGCTGTCGATTTCGCACGAGAATACGTTATTTAGTGGCTTCACACTCATCGCCGTTAAGACGCAGCACCTTTTTTCTTTCTCAGTTCTTTTAAATCTGAGATTCGGAATTTCAATACAGTTTTGAAACCAAGAGAAGATAATGGGACAGAAAGCTAAGGGAGACTGGTAGAATCAACAGGTAGACCGGAACATGTAGATTTCATCCAAGTTATTTTTAGCTTTTTGCAGAAAGAATTGTGGATTCCTAGTGAAGTTTCTTTTTGCCGATGTTAGTTTGATATTAAAAGAACCAATCTCCTCGCCGTTCTCCAGCACCTTAACCACACTCACATGCAACCAAAATTCACTCAAAGAGGACGGACGTGTTTCACTCTCCGTGACCAAAAGGTCATATGCCAATCGAAAATCGAAGCATGACGTGTTTAAACAGACAACTGCATAACAAGCGCCTGATTTAACGAGAAGTGACGCTCGCCTCACAGTAGATGGAGGTGTTGTGTTACAGAGGGTTTATTTTATGAAGGTTTGTACAAGGAAAAATGGATTTGCAACCATCAATAGTTTTTTTTACAAGTCAACTCACTCACCGTGAGGTGCGGTCCCGGATATGAAGAGCGTCCAGTCAGAACAAACCATCGCCAACAATCGGCACCTTAGAGAATACCTGAAACAATCAAAGACAGAACCTGCTTATGCAACTGCGTAGACTTTCTGCGCGTTTGAGTTATTCAGTCACGCTTGATTTCACCCTGAAGAAAAACTACTTGCTTTCGGTGTTTCACCTTTAGTTAATGGCAGGATTTGTCGTTTCTAAATTAGATGTTTGTAATGTATCTTCCAACACAGCGGTCATGGGCACATGAATCAAATTTGGCTAGCAGCTCTATTTTACTGGCTTTGTTATTTTCAAATTATGCCATAGACAACACCACCTCTTAGCGGTTTCAAAGTACGCGCATGTGCAAACATGTGACTCTCTTGTCATATCTTGCAGGCAAAACGTTTGTTCCAGGTATACAGTGCAGACAGAGGCTTACTACACTGTTACATCAAGGACAACATACACACACACCACAACCAGTTGCGGATGGTTTGGTTGGGGCAGATGTGACACAAGCAGGTCAGTAGATACATTTCAAAAGAAAAAACATACTGCTGAAACTAAACAGCTTTTATGTCCGTCAGAAAGGACATATCAAATGATGACTATAATTCCGTTTTAAGATTCCACATAGTAACCCAACCTTTCGAAAATTTGCATAAAAATGTGCAGACGGTGTCATTTTGAGAGTAACCTAGCCATGGTCTCGTACTTAGACCTTCCCCGGCCATGCAGTGGTAAAGTCCCTACATTTTGTTAATCACGGTAGGATCTGAGTACGAGATTGATATAGCCTCTTACCTGCAATTTAATAGTCCCCTTTTTCATCTAACCACTTTGCCTCCCGCCAGCTTAGATTTGTAAACGAGCATATTCCGATCAACAACTCAAGACATTCAAGAACTACGCGCTATTCAAACTTTAATGTACTGTGCCCCAGATATAACAGGGAAACTGAAGGTGGGCGCACTTTTCTCGTCACCGGAACCAAAATTTGGAACGAGATACCACTACGCATACGGATGGCGGACAGCATAAGGTGCTTTAAGCACAACATGTGGACTAATATTTTTTCGCAGCAACAATTTTTAAGTCATTTTCGTGTATAGTTTCCTTTTTAGTTTCTTTACTTATCTTACAATTATATTATATTATATTAGTTTCTATTTTTATATTGTATTATACTAGTTTTTATATTGTAATTATTTCTGAGTGAGGGCCACAAGTTTATTAGCTATGCTATTATGTGTTACCCTCGTAAAATAAAGTCTTTATTATTATTATTATTATTATCAATTCCTATGAATCCATGTGTTTAAGTATTACCCAATTTTATGGTTTTTACAATTTCGATTAAATTATTTCAATTCAATCAACATTTCAAGCCTATTTCATTATAATCTGAGTAATTCTTGTAATTCATTGGGCATGTGATTATCTTCCAGACCAAGAACAGTGTACTACGTTACCCAAAGAACTAGAAATGTCAACGTCAAAATAATTTACTGCTGCAGTGGATGGAAGAAACGTCATTCAAGCTCAAGAGAATGCACAAAGGGTACACTAACTTCTCCAGTAATTTTTTCATATTTATGAAATTTTCCATAGCTGCTTATCTGAAAATTTATCCAATGACTTTTTTTATTTTGCTTTTAGCGATCTGCTCTCAGGGTTGTAATTCCAATCACGGCTCTTGTGTCGCACCCAACAGGTGCCAATGTTCTTCGGGATGGACTGGGTCTACCTGTGACGATGGTACTATGTATTTACATAGCATGCATGTTCTGTTATTACCAACGTTTTCCTCGTCATCTTTCCCATCTTATTCATGGGGTCATATCATTTTGATAAACCATAAAGTACTCCAACCAGTTTCCATTTGTCTTAAGACGGGTTCAAATCTCGAGAATGAAATCCTATGTAGGCCTTATCCGTAGGCAATTTAAGGAAAGTTCATCACAAGTTCAAGGTATTCGGGCTCTGTCGAGTGCTCCTTGAAGTGTTTGGATGGCAGCCAAATAGGCGCCGCTTAGGGGTTTTCGTGAACAGATTTGCAACGTATGATTGTCTTCCCCTAGACCAATCCTCCTCGGATCTCAGAGCATTGGATTGGTATAAAACTGATAAGTTTCTTGAACAATTATTTTCTTGTTTGCTCACATGAATATCACATTTTTACTTATGTTTAAAAGCAAGGAACCCTTCCTATTCATTTTGATAACTGATCACTGATCATAAAAAGAAAGCTTTCACTTTTAAATAAGCGACGATCTTCAGTCGCAATCTTGTTAAGTCGATTTAATGGAAGTGAAGGCAGAGGTGACGTTAGGAGTGGTAGTAACTTGTGTTTTAATGCATAGATGTCAATGAATGTGCTACAAATAATGGTGGATGTGACCAAATTTGTGTGAATATACCTGGTTCATATCGGTGCAGCTGCAACATTGGATACAACCAGCATGGCCACAGATGTCAAGGTATGATCTTCATTATGACGTTCAACGATGCTCATTTAAATATCGCATTTCAAAAGTGTTTGAAGAGGAATTAATTTTTTCACTGAGATATAGAGGGTCTAAGAAAGTTTTTTGGCAAGAAACAACCATCTTCGCGCTGTTAGATTTTATAATTTTTTTCTTCATTCTTAGGATAAATGTTTAATGCTTTGACAACATTGGGACCTCTACAAATGCTGAAAGTTCTTCTTATTCTTCCACTTTGTTAAGAGGTGCATTTGAATTCATCTATTTCTTCAACGAGAAAGAGACAAACCTTTCAAGGTTTAAAAACCTCCACAAGCAATGGTTCCCTTTTAATCTCAAAATTATCTCCATCATTCACACTCCACGCTTTACTTGTAAGCCAAGTAATCTACCCGTATTCACCGTCTGTCTCATTTTCAGACATCGACGAATGTCAGATAATATCACCAAGACCTTGCCATTGCGGGGTTCCTGGAGAGCCTTGTGGTGCAAACTGTGTCAACCTCGTTCCTGGCTACAAGTGCACCTGCGCACCAGGATTTCAGCTCCGAAGTGGTGGAACCATTTGTGATGGTAATTTTGAAAACAATCTGTTACTGATTTGTCAGGCGAAAGAGAATTGGAGATGGCATGCTCAGGGTGTCCATGTAAATCAGTTTAAGGTAGAGGAAGTGCTGACAGTGTCTTGAGTCTCTATGTGATACAAATATTAATTACATGTGTTTGTCTTTAAGATGTCAACGAATGTTTAACAGCCAATGGAGGATGCCCACAAACATGTCATAATCAACCCGGAAAGTTTTCATGCGGCTGCTTTAATGGCTTCAACCTCATTAGTGGGAACGGCGGTACTTCCTGCGAAGGTGAGATAACTCACTTTGTGCCTGTTTTCAGGAAAACGTTAGGAACAAATTTATGGTCAGGGCGGCTGGAATGTGATCAGAATAGCAACTTGCCAGCCAGCTAATGGTTCTCGGCTTTATTAACATCTCTATTTGTCTCTTTGCGCAGTGCCACTGTTGTAAGACTGACAGCAATATTAATCTTTGTTGTCAGATATTGACGAATGCCTGTCAAGTAATGGTTTTTGCACCCACCAATGCGTTAACACTGCGGGATCTTATCGTTGTGAATGCCCCACAGGGTTCTTCTTGGATTCAAATGGAAGATCTTGCTCGGGTATGTTACTCCCTATGAACATGGATACAAGTTTGTTTGAGACAGCGGAGGAGCACAGGCAAATGTTTGTTTTTTTCTGTCATATCCGTCTTCGTTCACAACCTCATGTAAACCTCAAGGTCAGATTCCCTATGAAGCTTTATACAGGTGTTGAGTTGACCGATTCTTATTAAAAACGCTCATGATGAATCCCTAGCTTGTTTGTTCACATTACAGATCATGATGAATGTTTGCTGGGACACCATGGCTGCCAGCAAAAGTGTAACAATTTCCTTGGAAGCTTCTACTGCTCTTGTAACTCGGGATATGAACTCAACAAAGACAACAAAACTTGTTCAGGTAAAAGGCCACTCACCCTCTTACCATGGCCTCTTAGTTTTGAAAAGCACTTCTCGCCACCACCTTTCTTGCCAACTCACTAAGGAAATAGTAATCGTTTTGCGCAGAGGTCATTAGTTGATGGCTATTTACTTAATTGTCGTTCACACTATCCATGCAGGTACAGCTTCTCGAATGAAATTTATTCTTCAAGTACCATGTCTTTTTTTTTTCCAGATGTAAACGAATGCACCCCTGTGTTCGTCAAGAGCCTTAACAAAACGGTCATCCCAGCAGGATGTGATCAAATCTGTCACAACACACAAGGGAACTACACCTGCAGCTGTGACCTGGGATATCAGCTTCTGTACGACGGAAAGCGGTGCCGGGGTAAGACTGTCCTATAGTTCTTTTGTAATGCTTCGGAACATAAGAACAACTTCAGTTAATTTTTAACCGTCACAAAGAATAGAATATAATATAATATAATATTTGGAGACTCTAACATCTACCCTGGCTACAGACCTGACTATGGGCTGAATAAACCATTGACCTATCGATCAACCCACCAGTCCGCTCTCCAAAAGAAAAGTTGTGTATGGATCGAATACTGCTCAGTTACAGATCGCTGATCATATTCTTTTTACTTCACAGACGTGAATGAATGTAACACAGGAGTCCACCTTTGTGAACATAAATGCCACAACACGCCTGGGTCTTACGGCTGCTCATGTTTTCATGGCTACGGACAAAGGGCCGACATGCGAACCTGTGAAGGTAGGTTATGCTATGCAACTGCTACCTTAGATTAACAAATCCGTGTTGTTAAGGTTGTTCTCAGAGTCTATCAGAGAGTACGAGACCTCCGAAAAAATGTTATTGAGTAACGGGTACAAAGAAATTAGGCCTTCGGGAATGTGTAGACATCTGTCATTACCGTCCTTTCAAATTTTTTTCCTCGTCTTAATTAGGACTTCCTTGTGAGGACATCTTTGCCCCACCTCATGGTCACATGACCTGCAGCGGATTTGTCACAAATGAGACCTGTTGGTTCACGTGCGAGGATGGATATGAAATACAAGGTTCTGAAAAGAGAACTTGCCTCAATTCTTCAAAGTGGGACGGACAGCAAACGTCTTGCAAAGGTAACAACAATTGCAGTTCAATAGCTGGCAAATTCTCAAACTTCTCAGTTTTCCTTCTCCTTTTTCAGTCACGTTTCTTTCTACAATAGCTTTTCTACACCAAATTTGCTTTTTACTCTAAAAGATATTTTTGTCTATCATCTCCAGTTTTACAATCATGTTTATTAATAAACATATCTTCTATGTCTGAGGAGTTTGTACTGCAAGCTGAGCAAGCCATCACTTGTATCATTTGGATGCTTCCATTTACCTTGTCGTTCCATTAATACTCACGTTAATGTTACTTCCATAACTCAACATAGTGAGAAGTTGTGGTCGACTGTATCCACCAGAGAAAGGCATAGTTTTACTTCCCTGTCATGAGACGTTTGGTTCTACCTGCACACTTGACTGTATAGAAGGATACGTTGCATTTGACCGCAACATTGCAACGTGCCAGCTGACTAACTCCAGCAACGTAGGATGGGACATAGGAAACTTCACTTGTGAAGGTATGAGTTGTCCTTATGAAATGGACATCGACTGAAGAATTCATATCGTAACAGAAACGAACACTAAATTCCTGTTCTCTTTTCCCTGAAGATGTCATTCCTCCGTGCACTAGCAGTAATCAGTAATTTGTTATTTGACCCATTTGCTAAGTATCTTAATTTATTTCTGTTTTAATTCTACCTAGAGATAATCCTTTGCAAGCCCAATCCATGTCGGCATGGAGGAAGATGCATCCTCATCGATTCACAAAAGTTTTCATGTGATTGTCAGAATACTGGGTATGAAGGGGATCTCTGTGAACGAGGTGTTGTTACACCTCCTGATTTCCCAAAACTACTTCCTGGAAGGCCTTCGGAAGATCTTTCATTACTTGCGAAACCTGACAATGTATTAACTGTTTCCTACGATGCAACCCTGAAAATGACCTTCCATCCGAAAAGAGTGATGATTCAGTATCCATCAGATCAAGCGGAGTTTAAAGTTATTGGGCACGAGTCTGGAGTTGGTATAGTGTCATACGACCTCAGTGGGATAGACAAGCATACTTTTGTGTCTCCCACAGATAGCCCAATCTTTGTTGGTCTTAACATGTCAAATGCAAACAGCATTTACACCAGAATGGGCCTTTTGAATGGCGAGGTACCAATCGGATGCCAAACAAGTAACCTAGAGAACTTCCCATGCGGGCTAAAAGTAACCTACACCTCCTCCTCGACCCTGCCAAATGATGTTCTCATCCAGTCAGGTCCTGTTCACATCATTTCACCCGACAACAAAACAATTCCTTTGAGTCTTGTGGGATACAATTTTGCTTCATCTTCTCATTCAGGTCAAGAATCAGAGTTGCTGAAGACACTTATCGCCCAGACAAGCACTATCAATACGAGCTCGGCAGGCCAAACATCGAACAAAATGTGCTCCTTTCAGCCAAGCGCAGATGCCTTGATTGAATTAATTCAGGAAGACGCTTTTTCAAAGTCTTTCATGCGGTACTTGACAGACAGGCTACCATTATGGATACGACTTATGGTTGAAGAAGACAACAATTTATTTGCCGCAAAGAACATTCGGGCCGACCTCATTCAAACCGCAAGCACGCAGAGTGATCACCTGAATTGCAAGTTTCCCCCACTTGGTATCGCCACTGCAATGGTCACATATCGTCCGAAAGTCACTTTCACTATCTCCGCTGGGAGGAAACAAATTTCCTTGCCCAGCAAAGGCTGTTGTTTTGCAACCGACCCTTGCAGTAGTGCAGTGTTCCTGACATTATCCGGAAAGGCTAGTGAAGAAATTAGCAAAATGCCCGTTTTGAAGGACTTGACTGATAATGGCTGGGGTGTCCTGTTATCATCTTTTGGTTTCACCGCTCCGAAAAAATACCAAAGCTTAACGAACTCCTTGCCTTCTGATCCAATGTCTGAACACTTTTTAGATTTTCATTATAATATGTGGTGGGAAGGAACTACTAACATTTCCCTAAAAAACACAAGTGATTTTTCAATCAACATGAAAATGAGTGGCCAAGTATTCTCATTTGTAGAAGATTTGAACAGCGTGAGTATAAAGCCTTGTCTGGTAACTATTACAAAATAGCCGAGAGAATTCAATTGCATGTTAAGTTTACCAATACCCAAACACCCTGGCGACCACGGCAAACCATGCTTAGCTTTGATTTTGGAGAGTTATTCAATGCAACGTAATAATTCTTTGTGGGCGTGGAAGGAATCAGATCGGACATCACATGAAGATCAAGAAAACTGCATGGAGGGTTTCAAATTTATCCTAAGGTTGCAATTTCCTCGTAACAATTACATTTCAATCCTTAATTCTATTTGTCTTGTAGTTACTCACCAGGTACTTTTCTCGGCCAATCAAGAGTATATTTCATGGATCAGTCGAGTTTACTTTTTCTATGCAAGCTCTAGGCAAGAAGTTTTCACTGAGATTTCACGCCAACAGTGTGGTCGCAAAGTCACAACTTGGAGGTAAATTCTAACGGTGCTTTCATATATTTTATTTTGACTAATTCAGTTTTTGTCTTGTTGTTGATCCTGATGCCCTCTTCTCCCCTTTAACGTTCGTCCCTTTTCTTTTTATCAGTGTTAGGAGAATTACTATGTTAACGGTTTGTCAGCAGTACATTTTGTTTTCTTTCCTGAGGACCTTCCCTTTTCTCATCGGAATGCCAAGTTCCCCAAGGTTTCACCTTCACCCTGGATCGAGCTGTCGAACCTTTCAAGAATAGTATTTTTTTAACCTTCATTAAACCCAAAGGAGGAGTCAAATATTTGCAAATCTACTACTCTATTGATGGTGGAGAAGATATCGCAGCATTTGATCCCAGCAACAACTTGAAATCTCTGGAATATCAGACGCAAGACATAAAGAGGGTCTTTTTAGATGTTCAGATATTTGTTCCTGAATTGCGAGAAACAACACAAACGTGGACTGCAGTGTTAGAAGAGACGCTCATTAAGGTCATCAAGGCTCGAAATTTGCTCTCCTCTTCTTCGGATCTCTTGCAACTAAAAAAACTGGTTGCAGAGATTGACAACGATCTTCAAAAGATACCAAGAGTCCTTGATCTTCTCATAGCGAGGTCACAACCGTACAGGAATCGTTCAAACATTGAAAATGCCATCAGTCGCCTCCTTAAACTTAAGTCAGACCTTCCAATGACCATCTCTCTGGTGTTCACGCAGTCGTCCATTCGACAATCCTTTGCTGGTGTTCGTTTTGCCCTTGTGGCACAGATTTGTCACAAAAGACTCTGTTTTGACAACATCAATTGTAATGTATGGTCCCTGACTGACAACCACTGTTTAACCAACAGTTCTGGCACAGACAATGGTATAATAGTGAACGGAACTGCCTTGAGAGACATACCTCTTGGTAATATAATAACTTTCCCTACTCGGAGACCGCTGCGAATGCTAATAAGCCGCAAAAATGAGCCACTCGAGACTACATTTGAGTGTTCTGTTCGATTATTGGGACTGGCCAAAACCACGAGCGTACGAATGGTAGGACATGAGCTCTTCTTTTCCATCTCAGGGCCAATTTTTGGAACGTTCGAGACGCTTTTGAATGTAAAAGCTGACCTTGGAAACGTTGCAGACTGGAAATCCTTGCTTTTTGAAGTGAAGGGCACAATGAGTAAGTCATCAGGTCTTCATGTGATGCTGGAAGGTACGATTGCTAACGAGACTACCCTTGCGGCCATGGAAGCAACCAGAAGGTTGAGGAAGGCGAAGGCAGCTTTCAGTGTTGCAAAGACGAAAGCAGATGCAGCCAGGAACTTTCTTAAAGAAAAACAGACGATCACCGAACTGCTGAGAAGGAAAAAGGAAAAAGCTGCAGAGGATCTTCGTGTGGCACGTCTGCAATATCAATTAGCAAAAGTGAGTTTCAACAACACGGTCTACCTTAAGCTACATATTCTGAATCCTATGTGTGAAATAAGAGAGTGCAACTACACTTGTTTGAACGGCTGTGTTCACCCTAACATCTGCCAGGACCCGATAGACATAACTTATCTTGAGCGATACTGTGCCACGGTTGACAAACCAATGACAGTAAAAGTTGTGGAAAGCAGCTCTAGAAAAAGCAGTTTTGCTGTGCAGACATATTATACCGTGTATACTGGAAACTGTAGATCCGGGGTTTCCTTCAAAAAAATTTTAAGTTATGCTAAGAAGGGAGCTCAGGTTGGAAAATTTGTTGGAGGAATTATTGGAGGTGGGCTTGGCAAGGTTGTCGGAGGATTGTTTGGTGCGATTGGTGGAGGTCTTGTTGGATATTTCAGCAAGAAAATATTTGGCTGTTCTGACACTTACGAGACAGTTCTAGGTGAACCGCGGCTTGTAGAGTACGAACGGAAAAGTTTCGAGGTAAAAGCTGTAGTCAAAATGATCAAGGAAATTGAGTGCTCAGGCCAAGAAGAGAAAACAAAACCCGGTGGATTTGGTCCTCCTTACCCTTGCTGTAAGCGATATGGATGCCAAACCAAAGTCATCGATCCCCTTTGTGTCAGACACAACGAGGAATGTCTCATTTACATGACTGAGCTTAAATTTACGCTTGATGCCTTGAATGAAACTTTTCAATATGCCTTTCTGAATCTTAGAGAATCCGTTGACAAGGTTAAAAAGGCTACAGCTGTTTACGAGAAAGCGAGAATTCGTCATGAAGTGGCACTTAATGAGCTGCACAAAGTAAAATCTTACACGGAACAGAGACTATCAGCGGTAGAAATCGTCAATGCTTCTATGATTCATGTCCGCCGAATCGTTGACTTTGGACTGAAGATATCCCAAGCTATGAATGCCAGTAATTCGTATGGGAATAAAACTGTAGATGTTGGAGACCTTAGGTTTTCACTAACCACAGCATCAAAAGATACAAGAAAGATCCTTTTTCAGTGCAATGTTAGCTCTGCTAACAGTCAATCTACGTTAGTCTCTTTTGTAGTTGACTTCGATCAAATCGAACGCTCAATCAATTCTGCCTCCAAGACGATCCTTAGCAAGCTGTTTGGTGGGACATCATCCAGGAAGAGGCGGGCGGCTCCGGAAGAACAGATTCACTTTGAGAATTCCACAGACATAAATGCTTTACACATCAGTTTCACTGATTACCCTCATGCATGCCAGTTTGCCAATTCAACACATTTGTTCCTAATCTCCATTCTTCACCCCCTGGAAAATCTAATTTCAGCCGTTAAAGGAATGGATGAAGAGCTATCCTCCGGATTCAAAGACCTTGACAGACTGACGCACACTGTTCATGGCAGCAGCTCATTTTCCAATTCGTCGAGTAGTTCCAACATTTCCAACAGTTCCCCAAGAAGTCTAAACAATTCGTTCGTTTCAGACTACTTAGAGATGATAGAATTCTTCAAAAATGAGAGCGCTCTGGTTCGAAATGACTCTTCACAGTCTTGGAATGAAACTCTAGAGGCTTGGAGGGCATTCCTCGAGGTATTCACCCATAAAAGCGGATTTCAGGAATGTTCAGGGGCCATGGACTGTATCGAATATTCTTTTGAAGGGCTAGGGGAATTTTACGAGTTTGAAAGCAGTTCACAAGCAATGACGATAAAAGACGCACTTTCTAAGCTGAAAGACTTGATTATGGCATTAACTTCTGAAGCCTTAACAATGCCAGAAACTGAACACACAGTCCAACAAGCTCTTTTATTGCTGAATGAAACCCGCGACGATTCCGTTTTGTGTGGGGGGACGCCGTACATTACCTCTTCACCTCAAAAGGAAATTATCGTCCTGACTGGAGAAAGTTTATTGCTGCGTTGCGCTGCTGAAAGTGAAGCTGAGATAAAGTATGCTTGGATGAGGAATGACAAGCTTGTTGACGAATCACTGGATGGAACTTTCTATGTACGCGCTATCAGCAAGCAACACGAAGGTGCTTACGTCTGTGTCGCTTCAAACAATAAAGGCAGTTCATTGTCTAACGTGACGATCATCAAAGTTCATAACAAGCCCAGCATCACTCTACATCCACAGCCACAAAGAGTAGTTGTTGACAGTGAAATGCCCGCGACATTCATTTGCAACGCAACGGGCCAACCTACGCCTACTTTTCAATGGTTCTTCATATCCATCAATTCGTCTGTTGTCAAAATTAACGAGACGAGACCTGTGTTACACATACCTGGTCCTCGTCAACATCAAGAAGGTTATTACTACTGTGAGGTATCCAACGAGCATGGTGTGGCAATCAGTCAGAAGGCCCGGCTTGACGTACTAGGCTACTCTGTGGGTCTTCCCAGACTGCTTTTCGCCCTGAATATCTCATCGTCCTGTTGGGAGGTATCAAATACCTCTAACAATTCCGTGCACAAAGCTCTGTCATGTAATTCCAGCATAGAAGTATTGCCGTCATCAGAAAACGAGACCTTAACTGATGACATTCTTCGTTCTTTAGCAAGATCACTTAATGCATCCATCAAGCTGATCTCCGAGTTTGAGTACAGCTCAAGAAATAATTACACCGCCACCATTGCATTTATCTTAGATATCGATAAAGAGGCTTGGAGACAATCCAACTTTACCAGTCACATGCAAATAGTTGAAGCTATCGCTTATATTGGTGCTAATCTGATTGACAAAGTGGACCAGTTCAATTCTAGCCTACTTAACAAGACTTTTGAGGTACCTTGGAACAACACCGTTATTTATGGAGATCCTGGAAGCCTTCTTGTTTACCCTCTGTCTCCGGAATGTCCCCAGGGACAGGCCCTCGATGGAAATGGATACATTTGTGGTAAGCATAACGTCAACTTTAACCCATATCCTATTGGCTCGGAGTTGTAACAAAGGACAGAGAGAAAAAGTTCTGCTTATACCTCATCATAGACATTACAGCCCTGTCTTTAACTGCTAACATTTGTGGCCGCCGTGACTGACCTCATGAAGGCCTTCACGACTTAACGTAGTTTACACACAGATTACACTTTGAGTTCAGTTGTCTTTGAACCGTATAACTAACTGAACGTGTAAAAAGCCCCTCTGATGTATTTGTGATCGCTTTAGTCCTATATAATTCACTCGCTTACACCTCTATGCTTACGAGTTAGGCAAAAAATTTAGTTAATAAAGAATTTCTTATTTGTCTGATCTGCTTTCTCTCTAAACATGCAGTGTCTTTATCTCCTTAGCAAACTGTCCTGCTGGCTCATTATATGTAGAGGAGAATGAAACATGCGCAGAATGTCCGTTCGGAACTTACCAACCTGTGCAAGGACAAACAAGATGTATTCCCTGTGGCACAAACCTCACAACAGCCTTTAATGGAACAGTGAAAGAGTCAGACTGTATTGGTAATGTCAAGTATATTTTGTTTTGGCTCGGTTTAATCTCGGGTGACATTTTGTTTTCATATAGCTAAAGGCTTTTACACTTAAGTATTCCAACGGGTCTAATAATTGTACTTCACTTCAGTCAATCAAAAAATGTCTTGGTTGTCTTCACTGATTCATAATACCCACCGTAAATATTAAAAATGTCTGAATATCACTGAATTTTTTAGAAGCTTAAAGAGAAATGAAGGATTATGGCAAAAATTTAGGAAAAAATCAAAATTAAAGAAGATATTAAGATATCTTTAAAGACTCTGCATGAGGCAAACGCACCATTAATATCACTTTTTTCTCTTTATCCGGTGCCCCTTCAGCTGATTGTCCAGCTGGATCATACAGTACAAAGAACAAAACATGCTCTTTTTGTCCGCTTGGCATGTACCAACCATCCCGAGGGAAGCCAGCTTGTATTGCTTGCGGTAAAAACCTAACAACAATTACCAGTGGAACTGTTGAAGAAATGCACTGTATAGGTAAGTTAACATTTGTCACATTTTCAGTTCAAATGGAGGGCGATTGAAGCTATAGCTTCTGGCCACAAGACATTAGCAAATTGGCTGGCATAGAAGCAACTTCTTCCTTTTATGTTACGTTTTGGGCAGAAGAGGATTGAGGCCTCTCTTGGTTTTGTGTTGCACCTAGACAGCCCCTAACGCGGGAAAACGGAAAATGATCAAATCACGATTGGGTTTAGACTTAGATTTGATTGATTCAGAGGAGGTGCAGGTCTTCTAAAAAAGTCTTAAGGCGTGGTAAGGCAAAATCGCGGCAATTCTCATTACTTTTTACTTTCATGTCAAAAATTACTCTAAAAACTGGGCCTGTCCAACAGAAGAAACGACGAAAAATCACGGAAGAAAGTGAAGATTGTTTTCCCAGTCATGCCGTAACTTAGTAATTTTTCCATTTTTGTTTTTGTCTACTGTTCCGAGTCTTGAAAAAACCGTGAAAACTGCAATGAGTGCCTCGAACGACTTACTGTTAAGAATTGTTTAACCATTCTTTATGCAGCGAACTGTCCTGCTGGCTCGTACAGTTCTGTGAACCGGACATGCGCTCTTTGTCCGCTTGGTTCTTACCAGTCGTCTGTTGGCCAGATGGATTGCCTTCCCTGTAGACAAGGTTTCACCACAGCCTCGACAGGAGCTGTTAGTGAATCGCAGTGTGAAGGTGGGCTATTGCTATCTCCTACAACATTTATGACTCGTTTTCAGACTGCAGTGCAATCCTACTTTGTTGGTCAAATTATTTAAAATTTCAGTGTTAACAAGATTGTGAAATTAGTGTATATTTTTACTTTACTTTTAACATGACAGAAAAACCAGTTACTGAAGACAAAACAACCATTTCTACACCATCGGCAACGTCGCAAAATGTTGAAATGAAGGTAGGTAGATTTTCTTATTTTTGGATTTGCAAGAAGACAAGAATTCAAAGCGATCTGGCTTTACAATAAACAATTTTTTTTCAATGTTCTCAGTTATAAACTGAGATGTTAAAACTTTACGATAGGGAAAGGTGAGCTGGCTAACAAGACAGGTTAATTGGAAGCTTCTTGTAATAAGGGCTTTGTAGTGGTACTAGCCATGCGATAGCCTCATCTTCTCATGTCTATCATTTCTTTTATCAGACAAGTACCAACGAACAGCTCACAACTAAGACCCCAGGAGAGGCCAAAGAGCAGGAAAAGGCCGATGAGTTGTCTTGGAAACTTCCCACCATCATTGTTGTTCCATTACTTGTGGTGCTAGGTAGGCCAAGTACAATCCTAAACGTTTCAGTACTTTCTCTTCAACTGATATCTTGATGATTAATTAGCAACACACATTTTCAGCCGATAGCAACCGCGCCTTGAGGTTCCTAACTCATTTGGCGCCTCTGCATGCGGAAGAAAAACGCAAACATGCGAGGCTCATAAAACCGAAAACATAAATTGTGTACATTAATGTTCATAAAATCTTATTCCCTTTTTTAAAATCAGTGATACTCAGCCAAGAGAAAATAATGTCCCATTATTTTCTTTTGTACTCAGCCGAATTTGATTTTTGAAAGCTGGACTGCGAATTTCTGGTGTCTATCCATTATTTTTTTGGTGAACCTTGATGCATGATTAATCCGTTTTACTTTTGTTTCGATTCTGACTCGTGCCATGTTTTAATCAGTGCTAGGTGTCATAATTTTCTTCAAGTGTAAAAGACATAGAGCGAGTAAGGATGATTCAAAACCTAACATAGAACCAGCACAGACGGCGCAGTTTGAGAATCAAGCCTACCTGGGTAACCGAGACCACCGGATCATAATACCGTTAGGCAATCCACTCTACGGCTCCGTCGAACAAGAGCCACGAAAACGAGCAGAAGATAACGAATATTCATTTGCGGACGAGCCACTGCAGGTTGAATTGAGTGAAGATGATCCTGAAGGATATTACGAAGACATTGACGCCCTTAAAGCCAAAGATTCTACAAAGAACTTTGAAAAAAACACTTTGGGTTTTACAAACCAAGGCTTTCAGTGAGGCAGCGATGGTTTATTGTGTTTGATCAAGAGATCACATGATCTCTTGTATTGGTGATTTATACTTAGTGAATTTGACTCCTTTTTTTTCGGTTCGCTTTAGTCAGAAAAAATTTTCACATTTTCTTTGTCTAAGAGACAGAAAAGGTAAAGCTTAGAGGAAGGGGTGGGTAGAATTCTTAACAGGCGTAAGAAAAGGATGCCTACGTGATGAAAAAAAAAATATAACATGAGAGCCCCCTTCCCCTCCACACTGAGTAATTTTTTAGTAGCCCCCTCCTTTTCTAATACCTTTTTTATGATGTTTCGCTAATGAGTATAGGTTCCACAAAACATTCAGCAAGAAAAAATACCTCAGTCAAAATGCTTAATTCTACATCGTGCAATCCGTCAATATCTCTTGCGAGGATGACAAAGGGAAAATTGTTACTTGACAAATATTGTGTAAAAATATCTTTACTTGTTTTAACATTGATAATCTTTTTCATTAATTTTTTTTCAAGTCAGGTTCAGCTTTTTGCTGAGTTATTATTTTTCCGGGTATTTAAAAGAGAACCGATAAAAGCATGATTTCATCTGTAATATTAGAGTAGAATTGTTTAATTGTTAAGTAAAATTTTCAAGAAAAAAAATATTGCAATAATTCAGTGGTTTTCGTAGAGCAGTTAGTGGATCTTTTGAGAATTCTTTGAACGTATTGATGAAAAGTTTCACATGCATCTTGTGCGTGGAAATATCATTTCTATTCCCGCGTGTGTCCATTTGAAATCAGCTTGTGATAAGCGTAGCCTACGTGTAGCCGTACCCCCCCCAGGTGAAACGGAGGCGAGGCAACGTCTACGCAAACCTGACACTAATCGTGTTCCGAGACAACACTCTTTTGCAAGAAAATATATAATGACTTTGAATTGGTTAACACCTTTTGCCGATTCTTTGGTCAATTCTGATTGGTTCGAGTTGGTAATTTATTTTCATATTAGCGAACAAGATGATGAACTAGATGTTTTCACCGTCAACTTTTCAGACAACAGCGATTTACGACGAGGTTCTAAGGCAAGTTTGCGCGACTTTTGGGATAGAGATATTACAAGAAGAACAGCAAAAAGCAACAGGTATTATGTTTTTCGAAAGTAACGATCCTGATGTCTCCGTTTCGTTATCAACTGGCTATGGAAAATCTATATTTTGTCAAGCAGCGCCAGTGATCGATCGCCTCTTCTCTCTAGAAAAAAAGCGGTTACTTTATATATTGTGCCGCCCGTTAAAGCACTCATAGAAGACCTGGTTCACTATCGTATTGTAATAGGGCCAGGAGGATTGTCTGCCTTTAACTTTCGGTCTCTTTGCAAACGGTGCTGCGAAGCTAAATTAAAGCTAGTCGTTCCTTGCAGCGATTCTTTGGACTGAGAAAAGAGTTGCTCTTTCTTCACGCTTGCAGCGTAACTGTCTTTTAAAGAAATCTGTGAAATCCTTGAGATTCTGCGGCAAATGATCCAACTCCTTTCGACGACGGTGGCACTGTTTACAAATGCAGGCAGAAACCGCGTGGACGTTGAAATCTAGTTCCGTAAGCGCGATGCTAATCGAAAATCGTCCTATTCTTACTTCATACCAGAATCGTTCATAATCTTTTCTTATATCCTCTTATCTCGGTAACCTTCACGCTGACACGTGTCACTTCGCAAAAAAACATTATGAAGTAATGCATAAATTAGAGTGACGTCACGGAACGCAAATAGTGTCAGGTTTGCGTGGACGTTCCCTCGCTTCCGTTTCACCTTTCGGGGGGTGGGGGGAGAGGGGGAGGATACGGCTACACGTAGGCTATGATAAGCGGAGCTTTATTCAGAAATTTGAACGCGGATAATTTGTTGCAATCCAGGAGCTAACGGCCTTTGGAAAAAAATAACAACAACAACCACACCAAATCCAGGGAGAATACAACTGGGTCAAAGGAAATCTTAATTGGTAGAACGTAGATCGACATTTTGAAAACAATGTTTCCTTGCTAAATTCTAAAATTGGTGGAATTTTTTATAATGTAGATTACGATTAAGGCCCCTGTTTAGTTGGATTTAAGCTTTCGGAGTAAAGGTTATGAGGCTCGCCATATCATGTTACTAATTGCATCGCCACTAAACTATGTTCGCTTTGTTCAGTTGACAAATATTAAGTGCAAACAAGTGTGCTGAAAGCATAACTACTTTCCCAAACGTGTGTTGTTCTTTACAAGCCTCAATTAGGCAAGTTTGTAGGGTCAGGGAGAAAGCATTAGATTTTTTAGTGTCCCATTCGCTGAGCCGCATGTAATTCGGTTACGTACGCGCTCGTATTTTGAGGCTGGCACTACAAAACAATCCCATTACTTAATGAATCAAAAAAAGCAAATAATGATTTCTGTTAAAGTCGATCTGCATGTGGTATTTTGTTTTTCTGTTCCTTGTAAAAACGCGAAAATTATTTCCCAGCAGAAATTTTAGTCATTGAGAAAGGCAAAAATCTGTTCCTGCACAAAACAAAGTCGCCAGTCTGCAAATTTAATACACTACAGCAAGATGTCTAGTGGAATTTTGCATTTACTCTCTGATTTACGCATTTTAATAGGCGTCAGGTAGTAAGCCGCCATCATCACGATCTAACTGAGTTGTAGTTATGGACAAACAGCAATAGTACGACAAAGCTTTGTCCCTTCTCAATGACAAAAGTACGTATGCAGTCTTAAACTCTGATCCTACCAGTAAAACTCAAATAAAGTTAAACAAAATGTTGCTTGATTTGAAAAAAGCTGGCAAACGTTGCTATTTTCTATTTCGAGATATCATTCACCTATACTCTATTCCGCAAATCGTAAATTCCTCTTCACCTTGCGCATGCTCTTTTCGTTACGCCTTACGTCATCGGTGTTTTATAATAGGGACCTCTCGTTAAGTCTGCCTGAGTCTGTACAGACCGGCTGTGGATTCGTTTATGAACGCTTTAGAGAGGGCTGCATCACTATGTTTCCCAAGTTATTTTCTGTCTTGTGCTTGGTTACATGCTTCAGGAGAACGTGGCAAAGTGGGATCAACCCCTTAAATCTCTACCAATATGGGTAAGTCGACGAACATTTATAACGTGTGGCGTCTGTTTGAATACTCTGTATTTTGTTTATTCTGTTTCCAAATCATTACGTTTCTTCAGCGCTCATTCCTTGCAAGTAAAGTTTTGGTATCTCGGAAGGGTGATAGGAAGGCAGATAGACACACAGACTTGGAGTTTAATAAGTCATAGTAGAGGTTCGGTGATGAAACCTCTGGCCTTTGCATGTCGCACAAAGAGTTGTTGTATACAGGAGATGAAAAAGAAGAAAAGAGATATGAAAGCAAAAAGCGTATGTTGTCGAGGTCAAAGCGAAAATAGGATCTTAACAGAAAACAAAAAAAGTTCACGAGCTTTTAAACAAAAACTATGGAGCGCAGATCCAAACAACAAACTACACAACGTTCGCTTTAAATGAAAGTAGACATGGGATTTTTCCCCCTATTAATTACGCAGAGAAATCTAAAAAAACAAGAAAAATCCCCTTCACTTCAGCCGTGAGCTTTTCGTTTTAAGGTAGAGATGGTTGTGAATACGTTATGAAGTCAATTCTGCGTAAGATGCGAGGAAACCGAAATTTGTTGTCAGAAAACGTGATTAGGTAGGGACTGTTCAGGCTCGACCTCAATGGATTAGAAAGATATATTAAATGCAGCTTATTCGGGATACATATTTTGGTTTCGTCGACCAGATGAGTATTATAGGAGTTGGCGGTTCCAGCTCATTTCATCAAAGTGAGCTTTAACACATCAAGTCTATACTACTTTCCATATAATGGAAATATTTGATGGAATTCTGTCATGATTTATTCAATTTATTAAAAAAAAACCAGGAAGTCAAAACAGAGATTAAATTTTGCTCGCTTATCCTTGCGTGACATTCTCAGAAAAACCGGAAATTCATAATGTAATACAAAAGGGACTTTTCCCGAGGAAATGTTTCATAGCATTGCTATTGTTTTGAGGTCATATGATATATAGTCGCATGATTTTTTTCGCAAGTGTCTGATGCATCGTACATGATATCAGTTCTTGAGAAGTGAAAGATACCCAGATACTAACCAGTTTATTTCATATGACAATAGTGGATTCTCGCTCGTGGGAACCGAAATAGTGGTTTTTCACTCGTCGGAATTGAATTGAAATTCAAAATTCAAACTCAAAATATGCATTATACCCATCAAATGGATGAGATTCATCGCTGGAATCAACAACAAACTTGTAACCACTTTTTTTCGGAGATTCAGCATTTGCAAGCATTGTTATTGGATTTTTTAAATCAATAGAAACATATTCACGTCTCTTACAAAGTTCTGCGTGCTTGTTTGATCCAAGTGACTGTTGTATGAAGCCGCTGATATCGCCATATGAAAAGTTCCCATTGAGTAACGTCACGGTTGTCCAAGTAGTTCCACTGTATATGACTGTATTTCAATGTGTTTTTGTTGTGATTTGCTGAAACATTGTACCAGCTGTGACTTATGTTGACAGAGTCGAAGGCAGGATAATAATTACTGTTTTTGTCGAGCGTCAATTGTGGAGTGAAAGTGATGGTGAAATCATGGCTTTTGGAGTTTCTTAACCATCACCTGAGTTCAGAAAAAATGGTCTATTCATATATTATTAGATTACATTAAATATTGCCTGATATATGCGTCATGTTGTGTTTTTTATATCACGGACAGTTTCAACAATTCATCAAACATCTGGCATACCTCATTTCTTAGTTGTTATTGTTACCTGCACGACGTGCGCCAGTCAAAAGAGTCAATCGTTTCATCAAATCTTCTGGAGATGTGTAATATACCATACCGCCAGTCAGTTTTGATTTGCCTGAAGATGTGTGTTTTGGTATGCCTGACAACATGTTGAGGTTGTTGAATATCTGGACAGCTTTGCTTGAAAATTTCTTTTTTGAATAGAAACGCTTTCAATAAATCAATCAAACTCTTGTCACCACGGTCTTCATACACAACCTTTTCCCTCTTTATATGCCTCAACGATCATTTCATTCATCAACCGTAGCACATTAATCTAACAGCCACCATACTGTCCATAGTTGATCTTGTATGCATTTCTTTTTGGTTGCTTGTAGTTTCTGAGTCCTTCTCCTGATTTTTTGTAGGCCCTATTAAGTCGATACGCTCATCTAATTCCTTTCTGTATTTTATACAAACGCGTATTTCATTGTCAAGGACTTTTATCCCAGGATCATTAGGATACTATTATTTCAATAATGCACATTTCTGGGAACCAATGTTTAATCCTTGTCTTGAAGCTTTTATTTTTACTTTTATAAGTTTTTGCATAGCCATACCTGTTACTGCTAATTCCGATGGTAGTTGGTATTTTTCAACAATATCTTCTTAACCCTTTGTCAAAGCCAATTGATTGTCTTGAAGCTGTTTGATGAATCAGTCTTTTTTGCATCAGCTGCCTCACTTCCTTCTGTTTGGGAATCAACAATTGGTTTTAATGTTTCTCTGGTTTCATATTGATACATATCTCTTCCATCACGGTGATCCTTGATTTCTCTTGATATCTGGTGTTTCAGAGAGCCAACTTGCATCCGTGTATCAAGATTTCTTTTCGGTCTTGAAATATCCACATATATTTGTGACATAAATAAGTGCTTTTTGACGGTTATTCTCATACATATATATTCAATGACAGTTATTCCATAAGATATATGTCAAACGGCAGATATTTTAATATACCCATATAATATGAAGATTCCAAACTATGATATCGATAACAAGCAAAACAAAAAAGAAGGTTGAACAAGTTTTTGGATGAAGAGTATCGCATGTTAGTTTGCGGTAAATTAGGGAAGACAAATACTGTGATGTATATGCTGCACAAGCCATTAGTCTTTTTTGACAAAATATATTTATACACACCAAATGGGCATCAAGACAAGATTCAAGATCTGAAAAGTGTTATGGACCGCATGTCTGAAAAAGTTGGTAATGATGTTATGGAAATAAAAGGACAAGATGATATCGTGGACACAAGTGATTATGAAGATATTATCATCCCTCCACCACTTGAGTTCAGAGATGGGTACAAACCGACCCCAATGCCAACGACAAAAACGATGATGATGCCAGTTCCAATGCCAAGAACAAAAATAGAGGAGGAAAGTAACGCTCTCAAAGAAAATATCCATTTAAAAAAAATACAGATATATCAATCAAAAAAAAAAAGATACAGATATACAATTAAAAAAAAATACAGATATATGAAAAGCTATGGAAAAAGCCAACAATAATTACATGAGAAACTATGATAACAAAGCACCATCAAAGTATATTATGTACCTTTATGCTAACAATCTGTATGGTTGGGTCATGAGTCAGTATATTCCAACTGGTGGTTTTAAATGGTTTAGTGAAAAAGCTATTAATAAAGTCAATTTAGCTGAATACACAGAAGTAGGGGGAAAAAGGATTGATTCTTGAAGTTGATCTTGAGTATCCACGTAAATGACATGATAGTCATAATGACTACCAACTTACCGCTGAAAAAATATGTGTTTCTGAAGATATGCTTTCAAATTATTGGGAAAAGATAAGATAGAAATACAATGAGAGCAGCATCGGGCAGGTTAAAAAACTAGTTCCAACAAAGTCTGAAAAACAACAACATGTACCTCAATACAGAAACCTTCAACTGTATCTCATTCTCAGATTTAAGCTGAAGAAGGTTCACAGTGCTTTACAATTCAATCAGTCTGCTTGGTTGTAGCAAAATATTGATTTTCACACACCGAAAAGAACTGCAGCCAGAAATTCATTTGAAAAGATTCTTCAAGCTTATGAGTGACAGCGTATTCGGCAAAACAATGGAAACCATTCGCAGAAGGGTAGATATCAAACTCATAACTGATGAAAAAAATTATTGAAATACAGCTCAAAATCAACATTTGTAAACAGTAAAATTTTTAATGACAATCTTGTAGCCATTCATAAGATCAAAGAATAAATCACTCTGTAGGCATGAGTATTCTTGATCTTTCTAAAACACAAATGTACGATTTTCAATACAATTACATCAGAAAGAAATACAATCACAAAGCAAAATTACTTGTCACCGACACAAAAAGTATAACTTATGTAATCGAAACTGAAGACGTTTACAAAGACTTTTGCAGTGACAAAGATAAATTCGACAGCAGTGAATACCCAGAAGACTCAATATAATTCGACAAAGCAAACAAGAAAGTAATCGGGAAATTCAAGGATGGAGCATCCGGAACAACAGTCATTGAATCTGTCGGTTTAAGATCAAAAATTTATCCTTATATGAAGGATAATGAAAAGGCAGCAAAAGAGCTAAAGGCACCAAAAAATATAATTTAAATAAAAAATAAAACACGAAGACTACAAAAACTTACCACTCAATAAGCAACAAAAATATCGTAAAATGAAACCATCCAAAATAAGAATCATCAACTCGGGAGCTATGAGCTTAATAAAGCATCACTCAGCTGCTTTGGTGATAAGCGATACACTCATGAAGATGGTATAACATCTTACCCTTATGGACAACGTAAAATTTGAAGACACCACGACATGCAACAGCTGTGGTAGTCTACATACAAGTGCCACAGTCTTCATAAACAGTGTCGTGCATCATCAAGTCCAACGTGTGAGAAACCACTATTTCAGTTCTGACGCGTGAGAAACCATTATCTTAATTCCGACGAGTGAGAAACCACTGTTGTCGTATAAAATAAACTGGTTAGTATCTGAGTATCTTTCACTTCTTAGTAGCTGATTTCATGTACGAGGCATCAGACACTTGCTGATTGGTCGAAAAAATCATGCAACTATCATTTGACCTCAAAACAATAGAAATGCCATGAATCGTTTCCTCGGGAAAACCCCCTGATGTATTACATTATCAACTTCCAGTTTTTCTGAGAATGTCACGCAATGTAAGCGAACAAAGTTTAACCTCTTTTTTGACTTCCTGTTCTTTTAAAGAATCACACCACCGCGTGAGGCCATAAGTGTGTGTGTCATTTCTTAGAAACAAAACCGTCATTTTTTTTTCTCCGCAGTCTTTCTCTTTCATAACAGGCTATTTAAAAAATTTCTCTGAACAAAAACTGTCTTTCATTTCTCGGAATTCTTTGTCTTTCATAATCAATTATTGTCGTTACATAATTCCATCAAATTAAATACTCTTTGAAGAAGGAACAACGTTTTGATATCCTTAAAATTTATAACATAATGTTTAAACAAAACTTCAAGACTTTCGGGGTTCATTAAAACCGCAAAAGCTGTGTACTTCTATGCTGAGCTTTTGCCCAAGGTTAGAAAGCTTTAATTAGGGAAACTGTTTTGAGAAAAGTTCTTGCGGCTTGAAAATAGCTTGAACATCATGAAAAACTTGGCTTTCACTTGATGTCTGTAAAAAATTATATATATGGATTAATTTAGAATGGCTATGTCTGCAGTGGAGGGCATAGAGTGTTTGTGTGGACTTTAAATTTGTCTTAATTACTGAATTCAAGAGTACCTAAGCATGTCGCCAGCCTTATACCCCTCTCACGAAATTAACTAGAAACATTTAAACTTTTTGGTTTTCTCAATTAATTTCTTTTTTAATGGCAACTGAGCTTTACAGATCGTTACGTTCACAATATTTGCCTTTTCAAATCGACTTTTGCCTTCATCAAGCTTCAAAATGGACTCCCTTGAATAGTTTGGACACTGCCTGGAGGTCACGCAGTTGACTTACTTTTTTTTTTTTTTTTTTTTTTAACTATTAACATCCGTTGTCGATTTCTCACGAGAATGTGTTATTTACGTGGCTTCACACATATCGCCGTTAAAACGCAACACCTGTTTTCTTTCCCAGCTCTTTTAAATCTAAGATTCAAAATTACACTACAGTTTTAAAACAAAGCGGAAGATAATGGGACAGAGAGGGAGACTGGAAGAATCAAGACGTAGACTGGAAATGTCGATTTCGTCCAAGTTACTTTAGCTTTGGGCGGAAAGAATTGTGGTTTCCTGATGTAGTTCCTTTTTGCCAAAGTCAGTTTAATATTAAAAGAACCATTCCCCTCGCTGTTCTCCAGCACCTCGACTTCACTTACATGCAACCAAAATTCACTCAAAGAGGGCGGACCGAAAAGGCCACATGGTAATCGGTCATGGGCACGCACATGAATCAAATTTGGCCAGCCGCTCTTTCTTTATGGTTTTGTTACACTCAAATTATACGATAGCCAACGCCACCTCATGGCGGTTTCAAAGTACGCACACGTGCAAACATGTGAATGTCATGTATCTTGCAGGCAAAACGTTTGTTTCAGATATACAGTGCAGGCAGAGGCTTACTACTCTACTACATCGAGGAAAACATACACACACACCACAACCAGTTGCGGATGGTTTGGTTGGGGCAGATGTGACACAACCAGGTCAGTAAATATATTTCAAAAGAAAAACATCCTCCTAAAACTAATCAGCTTTTGCCTCTGTCAAAAAGGATATATCAAATGATGACTATAACTGCGTTTTAAGATTTCACATATTAACCCGACCTTTCGAAAATTTGCATGAAATGTACCAACCTAGCCATGGTTTCGTACCTAGCCCTTCCCGGGCCACATAGCGGTAAGGTCCCTACAGTTTATTAATCACTGTACGATCTGGGTACGAGATTGATTTAGCCTCTTACCTGCAATGTAATAGTTCTCTTTTTCATCTAGCCAGTTTGCCTCCCGCCAGCTTAGATTTTTATAAATTATATTCCTTAGAATCCATGTGTTTAAGTACTATTCAATTTTACGGTTTTTCTAATTTCATTTCAATTAAATTATTTCAATTCAATTAAAAATTTCCAGCCTATTTCATCATAATCTGAGTAACTCTTATAATTCAATGTACATGTGATTATCTTCCAGACCAAGAACAGTGTATTACACTGTCCAAAGAACCAGAAATGTCTATGTGAAAATAATTTACTGCTGCAGTGGATGGAAGAAAAGCTATTCAAGCTCAAGAGAATGCACCAAAGGTACATTAATTTCTCCAGTAATTTTCATATTTATAAAATTTTCTATAGCTGCCTATTTCAAAATTTATCCAATGAATTATTTTATTTTGCTTTTAGCGATCTGCTCTCAGGGTTGTAATTCCAATCACGGCTCTTGTGTCGCACCCAACAGGTGCCAATGTTCTTCGGGATGGACTGGGTCTACCTGTGGCAATGGTACTCTGCATTTACATCGCATGCATGTTTTGTTATTAACAACGTTTTCCTCGTTATCTTTCCCATCTTAATCATGGGTGCATATCAATTTAATAAACCATAATGTACTCCAACCAGTTTTCAATTGTCTTAAGACGGGGTCAAGTCTGGAGACTGAGATCCCATGTAGGCCTTATCGGCAAGTAGTTTAAGGAAATTTCACCACAAGTTCAAGGTATTCGGGCTCCGTCGAGTGCTCCTTGAAGTGTTTCGATGGTACCCATATAGACGCCGCTTAGGGGTACACGTGAACAGATTTGCAACGTGTGATTGCCTTCCCCTAGATCAACCCTTCTCCGATCTCAGATAATTGGATTGGTACAAAAGTAAATCAGTTTCTTCAACCATTCATTTCTTGTTTCCTTACATAGATATCACATTTTGACATTTGTTGTAAAGTAAGGAACCCTTCATATTCATTTTCATAACTGATCGCTGATCGTAGAAAAATGATCGACGATCTCCACTCGCAATCTTATAAAGTCGATTCAATGGAAGTTAGGGTGGAGGTGACGTTAGGAGTGGCAGTGTCTTGTGTTTTTATGCATAGATGACAATGAATGTGCTAGAAATAATGGTGGATGTGACCAAAATTGTGTGAATACACCTGGCTCATATCAGTGCAGCTGCAACATTGGATACACCCAGCATGGCCACAGATGTCAGGGTATGATTTCCATCATGATGTTTAGCATTGGTCATATAGGTATCACATTTCAAAAGTGATTGAAGAGAAATGATTTTTAACATTGAGATTATAGAAGGTCTAAGAAAGTTTTTTGATAAGGAAGAACCATCTTCGCTCTGGTAGATTTTACAATTTCTTCTTCATTCTCAAGATAAATGTTTAGTACTTTGACAACATTGGAACTTCTGCAAATGCCAATACTTTCTCTTGTTTCCATTTTATCAAGAAGCGCATTTGAATTCATCGATTTCTTAAGCGAGAAAGAGACCAACCTTAAGCCTCCACGAGCAGTGATTCCCTTTTAAACCCAAACTATCTCCACGCTTTACTCGTGAGCCAAGTAATCTATTCGTATTCACCTGGTGTCTCATTTTCAGATATCGACGAATGTCAGACTTTATTGCCAAGACCTTGCAGTTGTGGGGTTCCTGGAGAGGCTTGTGGTGCAAACTGTGTCAACCTCGTTCCTGGCTACAAGTGCACCTGTGCACCAGGATTTAAGCTCCGAAGTGGTGGAACCATCTGTGATGGTAATTTTGAAAACAATCTGTTACTAATTTGTCAGGTGGGAGAGAACTGGAGATGGCTTGCTCAAGGTGTCCATGAAAATCAGCCTAATGTAGAGGAAATGCTGACGGTGTCTTACTTCTCTATGTGATACAAATAAATTCCGTGCGTTTTTCTTTAAGATGTCAACGAATGTTTAACAGCCAATGGAGGATGCCCTCAAACATGCCATAATCAACCCGGAAATTTTTCATGCGGCTGCTTTAATGGCTTCAAACTTATTAGGGGGAACAACGGTACTTACTGCGAAGGTGAGATGACTTGCTTAGTACATGTTTTCAGAAAATAGTTAGGAGAAAATTTATAGTCAGGGCAGCCAGAATGAGATCAGAATAATAACTTGTTAGCCAGCTTCTTGCTTTATTTACACCTCTATTTGTCTCTTTGCGCAGTACCACTGTTGTAAGACTGACAGCAATATTGCTCTTTATTGTCAGATATTGACGAATGCCTGTCAAATAATGGTTTCTGTACCCACCAGTGCGTTAACACTGTGGGATCTTATCGCTGTGAATGCCCCGCTGGGTTCCTCTTGGATTCAAATGGAAGATCTTGCTCGGGTATGTTACTCCTAATGAAAATGGCTGCAAGTTTATTTGAGACAGCGGAAGAGCACAGGCAAATGTTTGCTCATTCTGTCACATCCGTCTTCATTTACAACCTCATGTAATCCGCAAGGTCAGATTCCCCATGAAGCCTTATACAGGTGTTGAGTTGACCGATTCTTATTAAAAACGCTCAGGATGAAACCGTTTGTTAACCTATGTTACAGATCATGATGAATGTTTGCTGGGACATCATGGCTGCCAGCAAAAGTGTAACAATTACCATGGAGGCTTCTACTGCTCTTGCAACTCAGGATATGAACTCAACGAAGACAACAAGACTTGTTCAGGTAAAAGGCCACCAATGTTCTTACCATGGCCTCTTAGTTTTGAAAAGCACTTCTTGCCACCATCTTTCTTGCTAATTCGCCAAGGAAATAGTAATTGCTTTGCGCAGAGGTCATTAGTTGATGGCTAATTACCTATTTGTCGTTAACACTATCCATGCACGTACAGCTTAACCAGTGAAATTTATTCCTCGAGCACCATGTCTTTTTTTTCAGATGTGGACGAATGCACCCCTATGTTCGTAAAGAGCCTTAACAAAACGGTCATCCAAGCAGGATGTGATCAAATCTGTCACAACACACAAGGGAACTACACCTGCAGCTGTGACCTGGGATATCAGCTTCTGTACGATGGAAAGCGGTGCCGGGGTAAGACTGTCCTATATTCCCTTGTAACGCTGCGGAACATAAAAACAACTTCAGTTGATCTGTAACTGTCCTAAAGAATATAGCTGTTGGCAAAATATCCGCATATAAGTTTGGAGACTCTAACATCCACCCTACAGACCTGACCATGGGCCGAATAAACCATTGATCTATCGATCAACCCACCAGTCCGCTCTCCAAAAGAAAAGTTGTGTATGGATCGAATACTGTTCAGTTACAGATCGCTGATCATATTCGTTTTACCTCACAGATGTGAATGAATGTAACACAGCAGTCCACTTTTGTGAACACAAGTGCCACAATACACATGGGTCATATGGCTGCTCATGTTTTCATGGCTACAGACAAAGGGCCGACATGCGAACCTGTGAAGGTAGGTTATACTATGCAACTGCTACCTTAGTTTAACAAATTCATGTTGTTAAGGTTTTTCTCAGAGTCTATCAGAGAGTACGAGACCTTGGAACAAATGTTATTGAGCAACAGGTACAAAGGAATTAGGCCTTTAGGAATGTGTAGACATCTGTCATTACCGTCCTTTCAAATTTTTTTCCTCGCCTTAATTAGGACTTCCTTGTGAGGACATCTTTGCCCCACCTCATGGTCACATGAACTGCAGCGGATCTGTCACAAATGAGACCTGTTGGTTCACGTGCGAGGATGGATATGAAATACAAGGTTCTGGAAAGAGAACTTGCCTCAATTCTTCAAAGTGGGACGGACAGCAAACGTCTTGCAAAGGTAACAACAATGGCAGTTGAATAGCCAGTAGATTCTAACACTTCTCAGTTTTCCTTCTGCTTTTTCCAGTCACGTTTCTTTCTACGATATCTTTTCTACACCAAATTTGCTTATTACTCTAGAAAATCTTTTTGTCTATAAACTCCTGTTTAACGATTATGTTTAACAATAATTATATCTTTTATTTGTGAGGAGTTTGTACTGCAAGCTGAGCATGCCATCACTTGTATCGTTAGGACGTTACCACTTACCTTGTCAATCCATTTTAAAATACTCACGTTATTGTTCCCTCCATAACTCAACATAGTGAGACGTTGTGGTCGACTATATCCACCAGAGAAAGGCATAGTTTTACTTCCATGTCACACGACGTTTGGTTCCACATGCACACTTGACTGTATAGAAGGATACGTTGTATCTGGTCGCAACGTTGCAACGTGCCGGCTGACTAACTCCAGCGACGTAGCATGGAACATAGGAAACTTTACGTGTGAAGGTATGAGTTGTCATTGGGGAATGGGCATTGAATGAAGAATTCATATTGTAGCAAAAACGAACACTAAACTCCTGTTCCCTTTTCCTGAAGTTTTCATCCTTCCGTGCACTAGTAGTAATAAGTAATTTGTTATTTAACCTATTTGTTCAGTATCTTACTTCATTCCTGTTTCTGTTTGAATTCTACCTAGAGATAATCCTTTGCAAACCCAATCCCTGTCGGCACGGAGGAAGATGCATCGTCATCGATTCACAAAAGTTTTCATGTGATTGTCAGAATACTGGATATGAAGGGGATCTCTGTGAAAGAGGTGTTGTTACACCTCCTGATTTCCCAAAACTGATTCCCGGAAGGCTTTCGGAAGATCTTTCATTACTTGCGAAACCTAACAACGTATTGACTGTTCTCTTCGATGCAACCCTGAAAATGACCTTCCATCCGAAGAGAGTGATGATTCAGTATCCATCAGATCAAGCGGAGTTTGAGGTTATTGGACACGAGTCTGGAGTTGGTATGGTGTCATATGACCTCAGTGGGATAGACAAGCATACTTTTGTGTCTCCCACGAATAGCCCAATCTTTGTTGGTCATAACATATCAAATGCAAACAGCATTTACACCAGACTGGGGCTTTTAAATGGCGAGGTACCAATCGGATGCCGAACGAAGAACCTAGAGAACTTCCCATGCGGGCTAAAAGTAGCCTATAGCCCCTCCTCAACCCTACCAAATGATGTTCTCGTCCAGTCAGGGCCTGTTCACATCATTACATCTGACAACAAAACAATTCCTTTGAGTCTTGTGGGATACAATTTCTCTTCACCTTATCAATCAGGTCAAGAATCAGAGTTGCTGAAAACACTTATCGCCCAGACAAGCTCTACCAATACGAGCTCAGCAGGCCAAACATCGAACGAAATGTGCTCCTTTCAGCCAACCACAGAAGCCTTGATTGAATTCATTCAGGAAGACGCTTTTCCAAAGTCTTTCATGCGGTACTTGACAGACAAGCTACCATTATGGATACGACTTATGGTTAAAGACGACAACAATTTATTTGCCGCAGAAAACACTCGAGCCGACCTCATTCAGATCACAAGCACGCAAAGTGACTACCTGAATTGCAAATTTCCTCCTCTTGGTATCCCCAATGCAATGGTCACATATCGTCCGAAAGTCACTTTCACTATCTCCGCTGGGAGGAAACAAATTTCCCTGCCCAGCAAAGGCTGTTGTTTTGCAACCGACCCTTGCGGTAGTGCAGTGTTCCTGACATTATCCGAAAAGGCTGGTAAAGAAATTAGCAAAATGCCCGTTTTGAAGGACTTGACTTATAATGGCTGGGGTGTCTTGTTATCATCTTTTGGTTTCACCGCTCCAAAAAAGTACCAAAGCTTAAAGAACTCCTTGCCTTCTGATCCAATGGCTGAACACTTTTCAGATTTTCATTATAATATGTGGTGGAAAGGAACTACCAACATTTCCCTAAAAAACACAAGTGACTTTACAATCAACATGAAAATGAGTGGCCAAGTGTTCTCATTTGTAGAAGATTTGAACGGCGTGAGTATAAAGCCTTGTCTTGTAACTATTATAAAATAGCCAAGAGAATTCAATTTCATCTTAAGTTTATCAATGCCTAGACAACCTGGAGACCAGGGCCAACCATGCTCAGCTTTGATCTTGGAGGGTTATTCAATGCAACGTAGTAACGTTGTGGACGTGGAAGGAATCATATCGGACATCACATGAGGATCAAGAAAACTGCATGGAGGGTTTCAACTTAATCTCAAGGTTGCAATTTCCTCGTAACAATTACATTATAATCCTTAGTCTCTATTTGTCTTGTAGTTACTCACCAGGTACTTTTCTCGGCCAATCAAGAGTATATTCCATGGATCAGTCGAGTTTACTTTTTCTATACAAGTTTTGGGCAAGACGTTTTCTCTGAGGTTTCATGCAAACAGTGTGGTCGCAAAGTCACAACTTGGAGGTAAATCTTAACGATGCTTGTTGTTGATCTTGATACCCCCTTCTCCGCGTTATCATTCGTTTCTTTTATTTTTATCATTATTAGGATAGTTATTATGTTAAAGTTTGTAACTAGTACATTTTGTTTTCTCTACTAAGGACCACCCCTTCTCACATCGGAATGCCATGTTCCTCAAGGCTTCACCTTTACCCTGGATCGAGCAGCCGAACCTTTCAAGAATAGCATTTTTTTCACCTTTATTAAACCCAATGGAGGAATCAAATATTTGCAAATCTACTACTCGATTGACGGTGGAGAAGATATCGCAGCATTCGATTCTAACAAAAACTTGAAATCTCTGGAATATCAGTCGCGAGACATAAAGAGGGTCTTTTTAGATGTTCAGATATTTGTTCCTGAATTGCAAGAAACAGCGCAAAGGGGGGCTGCAATGATAGAAGAGACGCTCGTTAAGGTCATCAAGGCTAGAAATTTGCTCTCCTCCTCTTCAGATCTCTTGAAGCTAAAAAAAGTGGTTGCAGAGATTGACAACGATCTTGACAAGATACCAAGAGTCCTTGATCTTTTCATAGCCAAGTCACAAGCATACAAGAATCGTTCAAACGTTGAAAATGCCATCAGTCGCCTCATTAAACTTAAGTCAGATCTTCCAGTGACCATCTCTCTGGTATTCACCCAGTCGTCCATTCGGCAATCCTTTGCTGGTGTTCGTTTTGCCCTTGTGGCACAGATTTGTCACAAACAACTCTGTTTTACCAACATTAATTGTAATGTATGGTCCCTGACTGACAACTACTGTTTAACTAACAGTTCTGGCGCAGACAGTAGTATAATCGTTGTGGGAACTGTCTTGAGAGACCTACCCCTTGGTAGTGCAATAACTTTCCCTGCTTGGAGACCGCTGAGAATGCTAATAAGCCGCAAAAATGAGCCACTCGAGACTACATTTGAGAGTTCTGTTCGATTATTGGGACTGACCAAAACCACTAGCATACGAATGGTAGGAAATGAGCTCTTCTTTTCCATCTCGGGACCAATTTTTGGAACATTCGAGACGCTTTTGAATGTAACAGCTGACCTTGAAAACGTTGCGGACTGGAAATCCTTGCTTTTTGGAGTGAAGGGCACCATGAGAAAGTCATCACGTCTTCATGCCATGCTAGAAGGTACGATTGCCAATGAGACTATCCTTGCAGCCAAGGAGGCAGCTAGAAGGTTGAGGAATGCAAAGGCAGCGTTTAGTGTTGCAAATACGAAAGCAGATGCAGCCAGGAACTTTCTTAAAGAAAAACAGACGATCACTGAACAGCTGAGACGAAAAAAGGAAAAAGCTGCAGAGAATCTTCGTGTGGCACGTCTGCAATATCAATCAGCAAAAGTGAGTTTTAACAACACGGTTAACCTTAATCGATATCTTCTAAATCCTGTATGTGAAATAAGAGAGTGCAACTACACTTGTTTGAACGGCTGTGTTCACCCTGACCTCTGCCAGGACCAGATAAACATAACTTATCTTGAGCGATACTGTGCCACGGTTGACAAACCAATGATAGTAAAAGTTGTGGAAAGTAGCACTAGAAAACGCAGTTTTAGTGTGCAGACGTATCATACCGTGTATACTGGAAACTGTAGATCCGGGGTCTCGTTCAAAAAAATAATGGATTATGCTAAGAAAGGAGCTCAGGTTGGAAAATTTGTTGGAGGGATTATTGGAAGTGCGTTTGGACCTGTAGGAACGAAAGTCGGAAAGGTTATTGGAGGATTGGCTGGTGCGATTGGTGGAGGTATTGTGGGACATTTCAGCAAGAAAATATTTGGTTGTTCTGAGACCTACAAGACAGTTCTTGGTAAACCACGGCTTGTAGAGTACGAACAGAAAAGTTTCGAGGTAAAAGCTGTAGTCAAGATGATCAAGGAAATTAAGTGCTCAGGCCAAGAAGAGAAAACAAAACCCGGTGGATTTGGTCCTCCTTACCCTTGCTGTAAGCGATATGGATGCCAAACCAAAGTCATCGATCCCCTTTGTGTCAAACACAACGAGGAATGTCTCATTTCTATGACTGAGCTTAAATTTACGCTTGATGCCTTGAATGAAACTTTTCAATATGCCTTTCTGAATCTTAGAGAGTCCGTTGAAAAGGTTAAAAAGGCTACAGCTGTTTACGAGAAAGCGAGAATTCGTCATGAAGTGGCACTTAATGAGCTGCACAAAGTAAAATCTTACACGGAGCAGAGCCTTTCAGCGGTAGAAATTGTCAATGCTTCTATGATTCATGTCCGCCGAATCGTCGACTTTGGACTGAAGATATCCCAAGCTATGAATGCCACTAATTCGTATGGTAATAAAACTGTAGATGTTGGAGACCTTACGTTTTCACTAACCACAGCATCAAAAGATACAAAAAAGATCCTTTTTCAGTGCAATGTTAGCTCTGCTAATAGTCAATCAACGTTGGTCCCTTTTGTAATTGACTTCGATCAAGTCGAACGCTCAATCAATTCTGCCTCCAAGACGATCCTTAACAAGCTGTTTGGTGGAACATCATCCAGGAAGAAGCGGGCGGCTCCGGAAGAACAGATTCATTTTGAGAATTACACAAACGTAAATGTTTTACATGTCAGTTTCACGGATTACCCTCATGCATGCCAGTTTGCCAATTCAACACATTTGTTCCTAATCTCCATTCTTCGCTCACTGGAAAACCTAATTTCAGCCGCTAAAGGACTGGATGAAGAGCTATCTTCCGGATTCCATGACCTCGATAGGATGACACACACTGTTCATGGCATCAGCTTATGGCCCAACTCGTCGAGTAATTCCAACCTTTCCAACAGTTCCTCAAGAAGTCCAAACAGTTCGTTCGTCTCAGACTACCTAGAGATGATAGAACTCCTCAAAAATGAGAGCACTCAGGTTCGAAATGACTCCTTACAGTCTTGGAATGAAACTCTTGAGGCTTGGAGGGCATTCCTCGAGGTATTCACCCATAATAGCGGATTTCAGGGATGTTCAGGTGCCATGGACTGTATCGAATATTCTTTTGAAGGGTTAAGGGAATTTTACGAGTTTGAAAGCAGTTCACAAGCAATGACAATAAAAGACGCACTTCCTAAGCTGAAAGACTTGATTATGGCATTAACTTCTGAAGCCTTAACAATGCCAGAAACTGAAAACACGCTCCAACAAGCTGTTTTGTTGCTGAATGAAACCCGCGACGATTCCGTTTTGTGTGGGGGGACACCATATGTTACCTCTTCACCTCAAAAGGAAATTATCGTCCTGAATGGAGAAAGTTTATCCCTGCGTTGCACTGCTGAAAGTGATACTGAGATTAAGTATGCTTGGATGAGGAATGACAAGCTTGTTGACGAATCACTGGATGGAACTTTCTATGTACGCGCTATCAGCAAGCAACATGAAGGTGTTTATGTCTGTGTCGCTTCAAACAATAAAGGCAATTCGCTGTCTAACGTAACGATTATCAAAGTTCATAACAAGCCCAGTATCACTCTACATCCACAGCCACAAAGAGTTATTGTTGACGATGAAATGCCTGCGACATTCATTTGCAACGCAACGGGCAAGCCTGCGCCTACTTTTCAATGGTTCTTCATATCCATCAATTCGTCTGTTGTCAAAATTAACGAGACGAGACCCGTTTTACACATGCCTGGTCCTCGCCGACATCAAGAAGGTTATTACTACTGTGAGGCATCCAACGAGCATGGTGTGGCAATCAGTCAGAAGGCCCGGCTTGACGTACTGGGCTACTCTGTGGGTCTTCCCAGACTGCTTTTCGCCCTGAATATCTCATCTTCCTGCTGGGAGGTATCAAATAGCTCCAACAATTCCGTGCACAAAGCTCTGTCATGCAATTCCAGCATAGAAGTATTGCCGTCATCAGAAAACGAGACCTTAACTAATGACATTCGTCGTTCCCTCGCAAGATCACTTAATGTATCCATCAAGCTGATCTCCGAGTTTGAGTACAGCTCAAGAAATAATTACACCGCCACCATTGCATTTATCCTAGATAAAGATAAAGAGGCTTGGAAACAATCCAACTTTATCCGTCACATGGAAATAGTTGAAGCCATTGCCGATATTGGCGCCAATCTGATTGAAAAAGTGGAACAGTTCAATTCTAGCATACTAAACAAGACTTTTGAGGTACCATGGAAAAACACTGTTGTTTATGGAGATCCTGGAAGCCTTCTTGTTTACCCTCTGTCTCCGGAATGTCCCTCCGGACAGGCTCTCGATGAAAATGGTTACATTTGTGGTAAGCATAACGTCAACTTTAACCCATTTCTGATTGGCTCTGAATTACAGCAGGGGGCAAAGTTGGAAAAAGTTCTGCTTATACCTCGTTCCAGACACTACAGCCCTGTCTATGACTCTAACATTTGAGGCCGACGTTGACGGACCTGAACTTATAGCTAACTGAACGTGTTAAAAGCCCCTCTGATGTATTTGCGAACGCTTTAGTCCTATCTTACTTGTTTACACCTCTATGCTTACGAGTTAGCCATAAAATTCAGTTAATAAAGAATTTCTTATTTGTCTGATCTGCTTTCTCTCTAAACATACTGTGTCTTTATCTCATCAGCAAACTGTCCTGCTGGCTCATCATATGTAGAGGAGAATGAAACATGCACAGAATGTCCGTTCGGAGCTTACCAACCTGTGCAAGGACAAACAAGATGTATTCCCTGTGGCACAAACCTCACCACAGTCTTTAATGGAACAGTGGAAGAATCAGACTGTATTGGTAATGTCAAGTAAAGTTTTCTTGGCTCGGTTTTATCTCGGGTGACATTCTTGTTTTCGTATCGCAAAAGACTTTGCATTGAAGTATTCTAGAAAGTCTAATATATTGTATTTAACTTCAGTCAATGGAAAAATGCCTGTGGTTGTCTTCACTGATTCATAATAGACACCGTAAATGTTAAAAATGTCTGAACGTCGATGAATTTTTCAGAAGCTTAAAGAGAAATGAAGTATGATGACAAAAATTTAGGAAAAAGTCAAAATTAACCTTTAGAGATTACTAGAGTTATTTGTAATATCAATCTCTAGTAAATACGTTCCAACCATCTCCAGTTGTTTTTTCATCAAAATAGGTCCAAAATGCCCTAACCTGTTTTTTGTATACCACGTTTTCTATCACATTTCCTTCATACTTCCATTGCCTCCTTTCCAACAAGAGTATACAACAGGAACTTACTTTTGAGACTCTAAGCTAAGGGTACCATTAATATCACATTTTTCTCTTTATCCGGTGGCCCTTCAGCTGATTGTCCAGCTGGATCATACAGTACAAAGAACAAAACATGCTCTTTTTGTCCGCTTGGCATGTACCAACCATCCCGAGGGAAGCCAGCTTGTATTGCTTGCGGTAAAAACCTAACAACAATTACCAATGGAACTGTTGAAGAAATGCACTGTATAGGTAAGTTAACATTTGTCACAAATTTTAATTCAAATGGAGAGCGATTGAAGCTACAATTTCTGGCCACAAAACTTTAGCAAATTGGCTGGCATATAAAAAACTTCTTCCTTAGCTTTTATTTTACATTTTGGCAGGTGAGGATTAAGGCCTCTCTTGGTTTTGTTGTTGAACCTTATCAGCTTCAAATAGAGGAAAACGTAAACAATCAAATCGCGATTGGTTTTAGTCTGAGATTTAATTGATTAATAGGAAGTGCAGATTTTCTAGAAAAGGTTAAAAGCGTGGTAAGACTGAGCCGAAGCAATTCTCATTACTTTTGATATTCATATCAAAAATTATTCAAAAACTGAGCCCGTCCAACAGAAGAAACGACGATAAATTATAGGAGAAAGTGTAGTTTGGTTTTCCAGTTGTGCAGTACTTTAGTAATTTTTTTCGGCCCTTCCGAGTCTTAAGAGAACCGTGAAATCTGCTCTGAGTGTCTCGCAGAACTTACCGCTGACCCTTTACACCCTAACATCAATATGCATATTCTCCATACTGTTCTCCATACATCTCCAAAGAGGCTGACAAGGAGAATTTGTTTCACAATCAAGAGCTGCTTTAGTTGGTGATCATCTTCTCTATTCTCATAGCTTTCATATTTGATCCAGGGGTGACACAGTAAGGAGAAATTAGGTGCGAGTCACTCTTAAGGGCTAAAGGGTTAAGATATGTTTTACTATTCCTTACGCAGCGAACTGTCCTGCTGGCTCGTACAGTTCTGTGAACCGGACATGCGCTCTTTGTCCGCTTGGCTCTTACCAGCCTTCTGTTGGTCAGATGGATTGCCTTCCCTGTGGACAAGGTTTCATCACAGCCTCGCCAGGAGCTGTCAGAGAATCGCAGTGTGAAGGTGGGCTATTGCTGTCTCCTACAACATTTATGACTAATTTTTAGACTACAATGCAATCCTACTTTGTTGGTCAAATCATTTAAAATTTTAACCTGAACAAGATTGTTAACTTAGTGTATATTTTTACTTTGAAAATGACAGAGATTCAAAAACCAGTTACTGAAGACAAGACAACCATTTCTACATTATCGACAACATCGCGAAATGTTGAAATGAAGGTAGGTAGATTTTCCTATTTTTGGATTCGCAAGAAAACAAGAATTCAAAATAATCTGGCATTTATGGTAAACAATATTTTCAATGTTCTCAGTTATAAGCTGAGATTTTGAAACTTTACGATAGCGAAAGGTGAGCTGGCTAACAAGGACAGGCTAATTTGGAAGCTGCTTGTATCAAGTGCTTTGTAATTGTTTGTCGCGCCACTGGGTACTCGCCAATAGGCTCCTCTTCTTGCCTTTTATTTCTTTTATCAGACAAGTACCAACGGACAGCTCACAACTAAGACCCCAGGAGAGGCCAAAGGGCAGGAAAATGCTGACGAGTCGTCTTGGAAGCTTCCCGTCATCATTATTACTTCATCACTTTTATTGCTCGGTAGGCCAAGTACAATCATAAACGTTTCTCACTTCTTCTTAACCGATATCTGGATAATTAATTAGCAACACAATTTTTCAACTTATGGCAACCGCGCCTTGAAGTTCCTAACTCATTTATCGCTTCTGCATGCGAAAGAAAACGTAAGCAAGCAAGGCTCATAAAACCGAAACATGAATTGTGTGAATTTTTGTTTATAAAATCTTACTGTCTTTTTTCGCAATCAGTGATATTCGGCCGGGAGAAAATGAAAATATTTTCTCTTGTACCTTGCCGGATTTGATTTTTGAAAGCTGGACCGCGAATTTCTAGTGTTAATCCAGTACTTTTTCGGTAAACCTTGATGCACGGTCAACCCTTTTTCTTTTGTTTCGATTGTGACTCGTGCCGTGTTTTAATCAATGCTAGGTGCTATACTTTTGGTATTGTTCATCTGTAAGAGACGTAGAGCGAGTAAGGATGGTTCAAAACCTAAAAGAGAACCAGCACGGATGGCACAGTTTGAGAATCCAATCTACCTGGGTAACCCAAACCTCCCAATGGTAAAAGAGTTTGACAATCCACTCTACAAAGAGCCACAAAAAAGAGCAGAAGGTAATGAATATTCATCGGCGGACGAGTCGGTGCCGCATGCATTCAGTGACGATGGTCCCAAAGGACTTAACAAAGACACTGTGGACATTAAAACCAAGGATTCTACTAAGGGCTTTGAAAATAACACTTTAAGTTTTACAAACCCATGCTTTCAGTAAGGCAGCGATGGTTTATTGTGTTTGATCAAGAAATCATATGATCTCTTGAATTTTTTTCACTTTAATCGGAACAATTTTTCAAGTTTGCTTTGTCTAAGAGAAAGGAAAGGTATTCTTGACAGGCGTAAGAAAAGGATGTCATAATATGGGAGTCCCCCCCTCCCTCTAGATTGAAGAATTTCGTAGTAAGTCTCCCTTCCCCTTTCTAACACCTTTTTTGATGTTTCGTTAATGAGTATTAGTTCAACAATACCTTCATCGATAAAAAAATACCTCTTTCAAAATGCTTAATTCTGCATCGCGCAATCCGTCAGTATCTCTTGCGAGGATGACAAAGGGGACGTTGTTACTTGACAAACTTTGTATAAAAATATCTTTACTTGTTTAAACGTTAATAATCTATTTCATTATTTTCCAGTCCGGTTCAGCTTTTTGCTGAGTTTTTACTTTTCCGGGTATTTTAGGAGAAAACCGATAAAGGCATGCTTTCATCTGTAACACTAAAGTAGAATTGTTTAATTGTTACGTAAAATGTCCTCCTTACCTCTGCTGCGAATCTTCGAGGTGAAACATGGTTATTGAGTAGTGATGCTAGGAAACTAAATTTTTTATTGTAGTGTTGAGTCTGTAAATTACGACGTCAACTGAGCCTTTTTTCGCGAAGTACAAAGTTTTATAATTAAAACTAATCGTTTTTCTGAGGCCATTATTTGATTGTTTAATTAATATATTCCTAGCTTAGTGAGTTTAACTCGTTGTTCTTGCAACTTGTGTGTGTTGTTTATGTGTGTGCCTGAATAAATTGATTTTATATTTGTAATATAGTAATCCCCCTCTTTAAGCCTAGGTGATTTTGGGGAAAACAATGATAAATATGTTTAAATAAAAAAAAATTGAAAAACATTTTTTTGCGAAAAATAGAGATTGTAATAATTGAGTGGTTTTCGTAGAGCAGTCAGACGATCTTTGGAGAATTCTTTGAACATGTTTATAAAAAGTTTCACATGCATTTTGTGCGTTAAACTCGTTTCCCGCGGGTGTCCATTTCAAATCAGCTTGTCATAAGTAGAGCTCTATCCAGAAATTTGAACGCGGATAATTTGATGCAATCCATGAGCTAACGGCCTTAGTTTAAAGTAAATTTCGGGGTTTGAGAAATCCACCAAGAGCACTAAGAAAGGATCTTTCCCTCCGCAACGTCGGCCGTATCATGTACGAGGTGGCAGCTTGGAGGTCTGCGACCGCAAGAGATTTGCGACTGATAATTGGATCTCTGACGTTCTTGCACTTTGGTCGCATTCGATAGCATCATGTTAACACTGAGGCATGACAGTTTGTTTTCATAGTGTTCAAAATCAAGGTTGATTAAATAGATTTTTCCGAATATAAACTTCTCGAACCCAGCTGGAATTCTCATTAAAAGCGGTCCATGCATTGGCAATTGAATGCACTTGGACCTGCATGCACGCAACGTACCAAAAAAGGCGATTTGACGGGCAATAAATCAATCGTAAAGTTTATGGATCGGAAATTTCTCAGCTGGTCAGAATTCCAGTTAATGGAATTAAATTGTCGGAACGAGGTGAAGATAACTTGGAAGATGAAAAAGTGAAAAAAAAAGGGTATTGCAGAGGAAAACATCAACAACCACTCCAAATCCAGGGAAAATGCAATTGGCTCGAAGGAAATCTGAATTGGTAGAACGTAGATCTACATTTTGAAAACAAAGTGTTCTGGCTAAATTCTAAAAATTGTGGAATTTTTTATTATGTAGATTACGATTAAGGCCCCTGTTATGTTGGATTTAAAGCTTTCGGAGTAAAAGTTATGCGGCTCGCCATATCATGTTACTAATTGCATTGCCTCTAAACTATATTCGCTTCGCTCAGTTGACACATACTAAGTGCAAACAAGTGTGCTGAAAGCATAACTACTCTCCCAAACGCGTGTTGTTCTTTACAAGCCTCAACAAGGTAAGTTTGCAGGATCAGGGAGAAAGTATTAGATTTCTAAGTGTCCCATTCGCCGAGCTGCATGAACTTCGGTTACGTGCTTTATTTTGAGGCAGGCATTACATAACAATCTTAATGTATCAAAAAAAGCGGTAATGATTTCTGTTAAGGTCGATCTGCACGCAGTATTCTGTTTGTTCTGTTGCTTATAAAAACGCGAAAATTATTTCCCAGCAGAAATTTCATTCACATAGAATAGCAAAAATCTGTTCCTACGCAAAACAAAGTCTTCATTCGACAAATTTAATACACTACAGCAACATTTCTGGTGGAATTTTGCATTTACTATCTGATTTATTTATTTCAAGCAAAGATTCATTGAACTCTCCCAAAAGCAGTCAAGTATGAAGAATAATCATAACAATCAGACATCTTGCTTACTGAAAATTTAGTTACATCAACAATGATTTCTTGGTGAAGACGATTTCGTCTTTAGAATGAGCTAAGTTAAATTATGAGAGAGCAGTTGTTGCGGATGAGAACATAACCACTGAACGTGGTTGTTTGCCGAGATGATTTTTATGCCATGGCCATACCTTCTTTTTCAGAAGGTGTGGCCTCTCGATCAGCTTGACGCTATAGTTTCGCAGCAATAAATGGCAAAGAAGACGCAAAAAATGGAGTAAGCAATACATTTCGAAGTAGAGTGCTTGATGACTCATGAAGGTCTGTAAATCAAATAGCATTTTCACTGACTAGATTCTAGATCATACGCTACGTTGTCGCATAAAAACAGTCCCTATACGTGAGATAAAGGAAGAAACAAAGCCAGAAAAACAAAAGCTGACAAAACATAAACAATGAAAATATTGTGAGTTGCTAAGGAAATCATCAGTCACCAAACGCGTCCTATTTTCAATTTAGAACTAATCTTTAACACTTTTTTAAAAAATTAATGGTCACCAACTTACTGGCACACAACATGGAGCACACAATGTATTTTGCAGCAGCTCTATGCATTTTGAAAAATGAATGCAAATTTCAATTTCGAAGTATGTGATCTGTAACAATGTTCATCTTTTTTATTGTGAATCATTTTTGTTTGCCCTGTTAGGTTTATTTTTATTGGGCCTCACTTCATTGTTGTTTAATAATAGGGACCTCTCATTAAGTCTGCCCATTCCGGCTGTGGATTCGTTAGTAAGGGCACTAGCGAAGGCCACAATCTGTACTGCACCACTATGTTTCCCAAGTTATTTTCTGTCTTGTGCTTAGTTACATGCTTCACGAGAACGAGGCAAACTGTTAGCAACCCATCAAATCTCAACGAATATGGGTAAGTTGACAGACATTTATAACGTAGTGTGGCGTCTACATGAATATTCAATATTTTGTTTATTGCGTTTGCAAAACATTACGTTTCTTCAGCACTCATTTCTTGTAAGTAAAGTTTTGGAATCTTGGAGGGGCGATAGGAGGGCAGATAGACACAGACGTGGGGTTTAATAAGTCAAGGTGGAGGTCTGGAAAGATTCTCATGAAACTTCCGGCCTTCGCATTTCGCACGGCTCTTTAGACAAAGAATTGTTGTGTACAGGAGATGAAAAAGAAAAAACGAAATACAAAAGCAAAAGCAAATGTTGTCGAGGTCTAAAGCGCAAAGAGGATCTTAACAGAAAACAAAAATAGTTCACGAGCTTTCAAACATAAATTATGGGGCGAAGATGCAAAAGCAAGCGACATTTCCGGCTACGCTTTAACTGAAAGTAGCTGTAGGGTTTACCCTTATTAAGATGCAGAAAAATCTCGAACCACTGAACTACTTTCACCTCAGCCGTAAGCTTACAGTGAAACTTGAAAAACATCATATCTTTTCCATTTTCGTTTAAAGTACATATAGTTATCAATACTTTATGTAGCCGATTCTGCTAAAGATGCGAGTAAAACCGAAATTTGTTGTCACAAAACATAATTAGGTGGGGGCTGTTCAGGCTCGACTGTAATAGATCAGAAAGATATGTTGAATGCAGTTTATTCGAAATACGTACTTTGATTTCGTCGATATAATGGCTTCCTCATCAGATTGTATTCGAGGGATTCTCAGAAAGTGAACATCAAAATCTGAGAACTTTATTTGCTTGTAGGTAGCTATCAAATAAAATCTTGAGCAAACGAAGAGAGCATAATGTTTTTGTTATTATGGATTAACTTAGAATGGCTATGTCTATAGTGGAGGGAATAGAGTGTTTGTGTCAACTTTAAACTCGTCTTACTTAATTAAAGAGCACCCAAGCATGACGGAAGCCTCATACCTCTTTCACCAAATTATCTCGAACTTTTCAACTTTTTGGTTTTCTAATTCATCTCTTTTCTAATGGCAACTGAGATTGATAGATCCTTACGTTCACAATATTTGCCTTTTCAAATCGACTCTCACTTTCATCATGCTTCAAAATGGACTCCCTTGGACAGGGCAGACAATGCCTGAAGGTCAGGCCTTTAACGTGTTTTGTTTTGTTTTGTTTTGTTTTGTTTTTTTTTAATAACATCTGTTGTCGATTTCTCACGAGAATGTGTTACTTACGTAGCTTCACACTTATCGTTGTCAAAACGCAACATGTATTTTCTTTTTCAGTTATTTAAGTCTAAGATTCAGAATTTCACTACAGTTTTGAAACCAAGAGAAGGTTATGGGACAGAGAGGGAGACTGTTAGAATCAAGAGGTAGACCGGAATATGTAGATTTCATCCAAGTTATTTTTAGCTTTAGGCGAATTGTGGTTTCCTACTGCAGTATATTTTTGCCGAAGTCAGTTTTAAATTAAAAGAACCAATCTCCTCGCCGTTCTCCAGCACCTCAACCTCACTCACATGCAACCAAAATTCACTCAAAGAGGACGGACGTGTTTCACTTTCCGTGAGCTACAGGCCATATGCTAATCGAAAATTGATGCATTACGTGTTCAAATAAACAAGTACATAACAAGCGCCTGATTTAGCGAAAAATGACTCTTGCCTCGAAGCAGATGGATGCCAGTTGTGTTACGAAGGGTTAATTTTCTGAAGGTTTGTTCAAGGAAAATGGAGTTGTAACCGTCATTGATTTCTACCCAATTTTCCAGTAGTTTGTCTTACAAGTTAATACAGTCATGGGGTGGTTCGGCTACGACAATGCCATCCTATTACTTTTTTCTTGATGAAATGCATTCAGAATAGGGATAGCTCCGTGAGCTGGGGTTCCAGATATGAAGAGCGTCCACTCAGAACAAACCATCGCCAACAATCCCATGTCTCTAACGGCGCTCTAGAGAATATCTGAAACAATAAAAGACAGAACCTGCTTTTGCGACTGCGCAGACTTTCTGCGCGTTTGAGTTATTCATTCACACTTGATTTCACCCTGAGGGAGAACGAATTGCTTTCTATGTTTTACCTTTAGATTGTGGCAGGATTTGTTGTTTCTGAATTAGATGTTTGTAATGTGTCTTCCAACACAGCGGTCAGGGGCACATGAATCAAATTTGGCTAGCAGCTCTTTTTTAATGGCTTTGTTATTTTCAAATTATGCGATAGACAACACCACCTCTTAGCGGTTTCAAAGTACGCACATGCGCAAACATGTGTCTGTCTTGTCATATCTTGCAGGAAAAACGTTTGTTCCAGGTATACAGTGCAGACAGAGGCTTACTACACTGTTACATCAAGGACAACATACACACACACCACAACCAGTTGCGGATGGTTTGGTTGGGGCAGATGTGACGTAACCAAGTCAGTTAATATATTTGAAAAGAAAAAACATGCTCCTAAAACTAAACAGCTTTTATCTCTGTCAGAAAGGATATATTAAATGATGACTATAACTACGTTTTAAGATTCCACATAGTGACCCAACCTTTCGAAAACTTGCATAACATATGCAGACGATGTCATTTTGAGATTTGCTCAGCAACCTAGCCATGGTCTCGTACTTAGACCTTCCCCGGCCATGCAACGGTAAGGTCCCTACATTTTGTTAGTCATGGAAGGATACGATCAGGGTACGAGATTGATTTAACCACTTACCCGCAATGTAATTTTCCTCTATTTCAAATAACCGGTTTGTCGATTTGTATCAATTCCATTCCTTTGAATCATGTATTACAGGTATTACTCAATTTTACGGTTTTTTCCAATTTTATTTCAATTGAATTAAAATTTCCAGCTTATTTCATCATAATCTAATTCTTGTAATTTACTGGATATTTAATTATCTTCCAGATCAAGAATAGCATACTACGATATCAAAAGAACCAGAAATGTCAATGTGCAAATAATTTACTGCTGCAGTGGATGGAAGAAAAGTCATTCGAGCTCAAGAGAATGCACAAAAGGTACATTGACTTTTCGCGTAGTTTTTTCATACTTATGGAATTTTCCATGGCTGCTTATCTCAAAATTTATCTAATAAATCTTTTTTTATTTTGCTTTTAGCGATCTGCCCTCAGGGTTGTAATTCCAATCACGGCTCTTGTGACGCACCCGACAGATGCCAATGTTCTCCGGGATGGACTGGGTCTACCTGTGACGATGGTACTCTGTATTTACATTGCATGAATGTTCTGTTATTATCAACGTTTTCCTCGTTATCTTTCCCATCTTAATCGTGTATGCATATCATTTTGATAACCATAAAGTACTCCAACCAGTTTTCATTTGTCTTAAGACGGGTTCAAATCCGGAGACTGAGATCCCATCTAGGCCTTATCCGTAGGCAATTTAGGGAAAGTTCACTGCAAATTCAAGGTATTCGGGCTCCGTCGAGTGCTCCTTGAAGTGTTTCGATGGCAGCCATATAGACGCCGCCTGAGGGTACACGTGAACAGATTTGCAACGTATGATTGCCTTCCCCTAGATCAATCCTCCTCGGATCTCAGAGAGTTGGATTGGTATGAAACTGATCAGTTTGTTGAATAGTTATTTTCTTGTTTGCTTACATGAATATCACATTTTTATATATGTTTAAAGGCAAGGACCCTTCCTATTCATTTTCATAGCTGATTGCTGATCATAAAAAGAAAGCTGTCACTTTTAAAATGAGCGACGATCTTCACTCGCAATCTTTTTAAGTCGATTTAATGGAAGCTAAGGTAGAGGTGACGTTACGAGTGGCAGTTTCTCGTGTTTTTATGTATAGATGTCAATGAATGTGCTACAAATAATGGTGGATGTAACCAAATTTGTGTGAATACAACTGGTTCATATCGGTGCAGCTGCAACATTGGATACACCCAGCATGGCCACAGATGTCAAGGTATGATCTTTACCATGACGTTCAGCGATGCTCATTTAGATGTCGCATCTCAAAAGTGTTTAAAGAGGAATTAAATTTTTTTCGCTGAGATACAAAGGGTCTAAGAAAGTTTTTTGGCAAGGAACAACCATCTTCGCGCTGTGAGATTTTATAATTTTTTCTTCATTCTTGAGATAAATGTTTAGTGCTTTGACAACATTGGGACCTCTGCAAATGCTGAAAGTTCTTCTTATTCTTCCACTTTATTAAGAGGTGCATTTGAATTCATCGATTTCTTCAACGAGAAAGAGACAGACCTTAAGCCTCCACACTCAAAACTATCTCGATCATTCACTCTCCACGCTTTACTTGTAAGCCAAGTTATCTGTCTGTATTCATGTGTCATTTTCAGACATCGACGAATGTCAGACATTAATACCAGGACCTTGCCATTGTGGGGTTCCTGAAGAACCTTGTGGTGCAAACTGTTCCAACATCATTCCTGGCTACCAGTGCACTTGCGCACCAGGATTTCAGCTCCGAGATGGTGGAACCATCTGCGATGGTAACTTTGAAAACAATCTGTTACTGATTTGTCAAGAGGAAGAAAATCGGAGATGGCTTCCTCAGGGTGTCCATGTAAATCAGTGTAATGTAGAGGAAATGCTGAAGGTGTCTTGAGTCTCTATATGATACAAATATTTATTACATGTGTTTGTCTTTAAGATGTCAACGAATGTTTAACAGCAAATGGAGGATGCCCACAAACATGCCATAATCAACCCGGAAGTTTTTCATGCGGCTGCTTTAATGGCTTCAACCTCATTAGCGGGAACAACGGTACTTACTGCGAAGGTGAGATAACTCACTTTGTACATGTTTTCAGGAAAAAGTTAGGAAAAAATTGAAGGTCAGGGCGGCTGGAATGTGATCAGAATAGCACCTTGCCAGCCAGCTAATAGTTCTCGCTTTATTGACATCTCTATTTCTCTCTTTGCGCAGTGCCACTGTTGTAAGACTGACAGCAATATTACTCTTTGTTGTCAGATATTGACGAATGCCTGTCGAGTAATGGTTTCTGCACCCACCTATGCGTTAACACTGCGGGATCTTATCGTTGTGAATGCCCCACGGGGTTCTTTTTGGATTTAAATGGAAAATCTTGCTCGGGTATGTTACTCCCTATGAACATGGATACAAGTCTGTTTGAGACAGCAGAGGAGCACAGGCAAATGTTTGTTCTTTCTGTCACATCCGTCTTCGTTTACAACCTCATCTAAACCTCGAGGTCAGATTCCCCATGAAGCTTTATACAGGTGTTGAGTTGACCGATTCTTATTAAAAACGCTCAGGATGAAACTCCTTGTTTGCTTATGTTACAGCAAATAAAGTATGTTTGCTGGGACACCATGGCTGCCAGCAAAAGTGTAACAATTACCTTGGAAGCTTCTACTGCTCTTGCAACTCGGGATATGAACTCAACGAAGACAACAAGACTTGTTCAGGTAAAAGGCCACTCCCCTCTTACCATGGAGTTTACCATAGCCTCTTAGTTTTGAAAAGTACTTCTTGCCACCACCTTTCTTGCCAACTCACCAAGGAAATAGTAATTACTTTGCGCAGAGGTCATTAGTTGATGGCTATTTACTTAATTTGTCGTTCACACTATCCATGCAGGTACAGCTTCTCGAATAAAATTTATTCTTCGAGTACCATGTCTTTTGTTTTTCCAGATGTGAACGAATGCACCTCTGTGTTCGTAAAGAGCCTTAACAAAACAGTCATTCCAGCAGGATGTGATCAAATCTGCCACAACACACAAGGGAACTTCACCTGCAGCTGTGACCCGGGATATCAGCTTCTGTACGATGGAAAGCGGTGCCGGGGTAAGACTGTCTTATAGTCCTTTTGTAATGCTTCGGAACATAAAAACAACTTCAGTTGATTTTTAACCATCATAAAGAATATAATTGTCGTCTATAATGACTGCATAAAATTTTGGAGACTCTAACATCTACCTTGGCTACAGACCCGACTATGGGCTGAATAAACCATCGACCTATCGATTAACCCACCAGTCTGCTCTCCTAAGGAAAAGTTGAGCATGGATCGAATACTGCTCAGTTACAGATCGCTGATCATATTCGTTTTACTTCACAGACGTGAATGAATGTAACACAGGAGTTTACCTTTGTGAACACAAGTGCCACAACACACCTGGGTCTTATGGCTGCTCGTGTTTCTATGGCTACAGACAACGGGCCGACATGCGAACCTGTGAAGGTAGGTTATGCTATGCAACTGCTACCTTACAACAAATTCATGTTGTTAAGGTTGTTCTCAGAGTCTATCAGAGAGTACGAGACCTCGGAACAAATGTTATTGAGCAACAGGTACAAAGGAATTAAGCCTTCACGAACGTGTAGACATCTGTCATTACCGTTCTTTCAAATTTTTTTTCCTCGTCCTAATTAGGACTTCCTTGTGAGGACATCATTGCCCCACCTCATGGTCACATGACCTGCAGCGGATTTGTCACAAATGAGACCTGTTGGTTCACGTGCGAGGATGGATATGAAATACAAGGTTCTGAAAAGAGAACTTGCCTCAATTCTTCAAAGTGGGACGGACAGCAAACGTCTTGCAAAGGTAACAACAATGGCAGTTGAACAGTCAGCAGATTTTCAAACTTCTCAGTTCTCCTTCTTCTTTTTCCAGTCACGTTTCTTTCTACGATATCTTTTCTACACCAAATTTGGTTGTAACTCTTGGAAATCTTTTTGTCTATCATCTCCTGTTTTACGATCATGTTTAATAGTAGAGATCTCTTTTATGTGTGAGGAGTTTGTACTGCAAGCTTAGCAAGCCATCACTTGTATCATTTGGATGCTTCCGCCTACCTTGTGGTTCCATTAATACTCATGTTAATGTTACTTCCATAACTCAACACAGTGAGAGGTTGTGGTCGACTGTATCCACCAGATAAAGGCATGGTTTTTCTTCCCTGTCACGAGACGTTTGGTTCTACCTGCACATTTGACTGTATGGAAGGATATGTTGCATTTGACAGCAATATTGTAACGTGCCAGCTGACTAACTCCAGCAACGTAGCATGGGACGTAAGAAACTACACGTGTGAAGGTATGAGTTGTCATTAGGAAATGGGCATTGACTGAAGAATTCATATCGAAGCAAAAACTAAACTCCTATTCTCTTTTCCCTGAGAATGTCATTCCTCGGTGCACTGGTAGTAAACAGGAATCTGTTATTTTACCCATTTACTAAGTATCTTAATTCATTTCTGTTTTAATTCTACCTAGAGATAAATCTTTGCAAGCCCAATCCCTGTCGGCATGGAGGAAGATGCATCCTCATCGATTCACAAAAGTTTTCATGTGATTGTCAGAATACGGGGTATGAGGGGGATCTCTGTGAACGAGGTGTTCTTACACCTCCTGATTTCCCAATACTAATTCCTGGAAGGCCTTCGGAAAATCTTTCATTACTTGCGAAACCTGACAATGTATTAACTGTTTCCTTCAATGCGACCCTCAAAGTGACCTTCTATCCTAAGAAAGTGATGATTCAGTATCCATCAGATCAAGCGGAGTTTAAAGTTATTGGACACGAGTCTGGAGTTGGTATAGTGTCATACGACCTCAGCGGGATAGACAAGCATACTTTTGTGTCTCCCACGGATAGCCCAATCTTTGTTGGTCTTAACATGTCAAATGCAAACAGCATTTACACCAGACTGGGCCTTTTGATTGGTGAGGTACCAATCGGATGCCAAATAAGAAACCTAGAGAACTTCCCATGCGGGCTAAAAGTAGCTTATACCTCCTCCTCGACCCTGCCAAATGATGTTCTCGTCCAGTCAGGGCCTGTTCACATCATTACATCCGACAACAAAACAATTCCTTTAAGTCTTGTGGGATATAATTTTGCTTCACCTCATCAATCAGGTCAAGAATCAGAGCTGCTGAAAACACTTATCGCCCAGACAAACACCACCAATACGAGCTCGGCAGGCCAAACATCGAACGAAATGTGCTCCTTTCAGCCAAGCGCAGAAGCCTTGATTGAATTAATCCAGGAAGACGCTTTTCCAAAGTCTTTCATGCGGTACTTGACAGACAAGTTACCATTATGGATACGACTTATAGTTACAGACGACAACAATTTATTTGCCGCAGAAAACATTCGAGCCGACCTCATTCAAACCGCAAGCACGCAGAGTGACTACCTAAATTGCAAGCTTCCTCCTCTTAGTATCTCCACTGCAATGGTCACATATCGTCCGAAAGTCACTTTCACTATCTGCGCCGGAAGTAAACAAATTTCCTTGTCCAGCAAAGGCTGTTGTTTCGCAACCGACCCTTGCGGTAGTGCAGTGTTCCTGGCATTATCCAAAAAGGCTGGTGAGGAAATTAGCAAAATGCCCGTTTTGAAGGACTTGACTGACAATGGCTGGGGTGTCCTGTTATCATCTTTTGGTTTCACCGCTCCAAAAAAACACCAGAGCTTAACGAACTCCTTGCCTTCTGATCCAATGTCTGAACACTTTTCAGATTTTCATTATAATATGTGGTGGAAGGGAACTACTAACATTTCCCTGAAAAACACAAGTGATTTTACAATCAACATGAAAATGAGTGGCCAAGTTTTCTCATTTGCAGAAGATTTGAACAGCGTAAGTATAAAGCCTTGTCTTGTAACTATTGAAAAATAGTCGAGAGAATTCAATTTCATCTTAAGTTTACCAATACCCAGACACCCTTGGGACCAAGGCAAACTATGCTTAGCTTTGATTTCAGTGCGACGTAATAAATCTCCGTGGGCGTGTGAAGAATCATATCGGACATCACAGAAGGATCAATTACACTATAATCCTTAATTTTATCTGTCTTGTAGTTACTCACCAGGTACTTTTCTCGGCCAATCAAGAGTATATTTCATGGATCAGTCGAGTTTACTTTTTCTATGCAAGCTCTAGGCGAGAAGTTTTCTCTGAGGTTTCACGCCAACAGTGTGATCGCAAAGTCACAACTTGGAGGTAAATTTTAACGATGCTTTCATAGATTTTATTTTGACTGATTCAGTTTGATCCTGATGCCCCCCTCTCCCCGTTATCTTCCCTTCCTTTTCTTTTTATCATTATTAGGATGGTTATTATGTTAACAGTTTGTTACCAGTACATTTTGTTTTCTTTACTAAGGACCACCCCTTCTCTCATCCGAATGCCATGTTCCCCAAGGCTTCACCTTTACCCTAGATCGAGCAGCCGAACCTTTCAAGAATAGCATTTTTTCAATCTTCCTTAAACCCAATGGAGGAATCAAATATTTGCAAATCTACTACTCTATTGACGGTGGAGAAGATATCGCAGCATTCGATCCTAACAACAACCTGAAATCTCTGGAATATCAGACGCAAGACATAAAGAAGGTCTTTTTAGATGTTCAGATATCTGTTCCTGAATTGCAAGAACTAACACAAAGGGGGACTGCAACGATAGAAGAGACAGTCGCTAAGGTCATCAAGGCTCGAAATTTTCTCACCACGTCTTCAGATCTCTTGAAACTAAAAAAACTGGTTGCAGAGATTGACAACGATCTTGACAAGATACCAAGAGTCCTTGATCTTTTCATAGCTAGGTCACAAGCGTACAGGAATCGTTCAAACGTTGAAAATGCCATCAGTCGCCTCCTTAAACTTAAGTCAGACCTTCCAAAGACCATCTCTCTGGTATTCACTCAGTCGTCCATTCAGCAATCCTTTGTTGGTATTCGTTTTGCCCTTGTGGCACGGATTTGTCACAGAAGACTCTGTTTTACCAACATTAATTGTAATGTTTGGTCTCTGACTGACAACTACTGTTTTACCAACAGTTCTGGCACAGACAAAAGTATAATCGTAATGGGAACTGCCTTGAGAGACACACCCCTTGGTAGTGCAATAACTTTCCCTGCTTGGAGACCGCTGAGAATGTTAATAAGTCGCAAAAATGAGCCACTTGAGACTACATTTGAGTGTTTCGTTCGATTATTGGGACTGACCAAAACCACTAGCATACGATTGGTGGGACATGAGCTCTTCTTTTCCATCTCGGGACCAATTTTTGGAACATTCGAGACGCTTTTGAAAGTAACAGCTGACCTTGAAAATGTTGCGGACTGGAAATCCTTGGTGTTTGGAGTGAAGGGCACCATGAGAAAGTCATCAGGTCTTCATGTGATGCTGGAAGGTACGATTGCCAACGAGACTACTTTTGCAGCCGAAGAAGCTGCCCGAAGGTTGGGGATGGCGAAGGCAGCGTTTAGTGTTGCAAAGACGAAAGTAGATGCAGCCAAAAAATTTCTCAAAGAGAAACAGACGATTACCGAACAGCTGAGAAGAAAAAAGGAAAAAGCTGCAGAGGATCTTCGTGTGGTACGTCTGCAATATCAATTGGCAAAAGTGCGTTTCAACAACATGGTCAACCTCAATCGACATCTTCTAAATCCTATATGTGAAATAAGAGAGTGTAACTACACTTGTTTGAACGGCTGTGTTCTCCCTGACCTCTGCCAGGACCCGATAAACATAACTTATCTTGAGCGATACTGTGCAACAGTTGACAAACCAATGACAGTAAAGGTTGTGGAAAGCAGTTCTAGAAAACGTAGTTTTAGTGTGCAGACGTATCTCACCGTGTATACTGGAAACTGTAAATCTGGGGTCTCCTTCAAAAAAATAATGGATTATGTTAAGAGGGAAGCTCAAGTTGGAAAATTTGATGGATGGATTATTGGAGGTGCGTTTGGATCCATTGCAACGAAAGTCGCAAAGGTTATTAGAGGATTGGCTGGTACGATTGGTGGAGGTATTGTTGGACATTTCAGCAAGAAAATATTTGGCTGTTCTGAGACTTACAAGACAATTCTTGGTAAACCACGGCTTGTAGAGTACGAACAGAAAAGTTTCGAGGTAAAAGCTTCAGTCAAGATGATCAAGGAAATTGAGTGCTCAGGCCAAAAAGAGAAAACAAAACCTGGTGGATTTGGTCCTCCATACCCTTGCTGTAAGCGATATGGATGCCAAACCAAAGTCATTGATCCCCTTTGTGTCAAACACAACGAAGAATGTCTTATTTCTATGACTGAACTTAAATTTACGCTTGATACCTTGAATGAAACTTTTCAGAATGCCTTTCTGAATCTTAAGGAATCCGTTGACAAGGTTAAAAAGGCTACAGCTGTTTACGAGAAAGCGAGAATTCGTCATGAAGTGGCACTCGATGAGCTGCATAAAGTAAAATCTTACACGGAGCTGAGCCTATTCACGGTAGAAATTGTAAATGCTTCTATGATTCATGTTCGCCGAGTCGTCGACTTTGGACTGAAGATATCCCAAGCTATAAACGCCACTAATTCGTATGGTAATAAAACTGTAGATGTGGGAGACCTTAGGTTTTCACTAACCACAGCATCAGAAGACACAAGAAAGATCCCTTTTCAATGCAATGTTAGCTTTGCTAATAGTCAATCAACGTTAGTCTCTTTTGTAGTTGACTTCGATCAAGTCGAACGCTCTATCAATTTTGCCTCCAAGACGATCCTTAACGAGCTGTTCGGTGGGAAGAAGCGGCTGGCTTCGGAAGAACAGAGTCACTTTGAGAATTCCACAAACGTAAATGCTTTATATATCAGTTTCACGGATTACCCTCATGCATGCCAGTTTGCCAATTCAACACATTTGTTCCTGATCTCCATTCTTCGCCCACTGGAAAACCTAATTTCAGCCGCTAAAGGACTGGATAAAGAGCTATCCTCCGGATTCCAAGACCTTGAAAGACTGACACACACTGTTTATGGAAGCAGCTCTTTGTCCAATTCGTCGAGTAATTCCAATATTTCTAATAGTTCCTCAAGAAGTCCAAACAGTTCGTTCGTCTCAGACTACCTAGAGATGATAGAACTCCTCAAAACTGAGAGCACACAGGTTAGAAATGACTCTTCACAGTCTTGGAATGAAACTCTTGAGGCATGGAGGGCATTCCTCGAGGTATTCACCCATAAAAGCGGGTTTCAGGAATGTTCAGGTGCCATGGACTGCATCGAATATTCTTTTGAGGGGCTAAGGGAATTTTACGAGTTTGAAAGCAGTTCACAAGCAATAACGATAAAAAACGCACTTCCTAAGCTGAAAGACATGATTATGGCATTAACTTCCAAAGCCTTAACAATGCCAGAAACTGAAAACACGCTCCAACAAGCTGTTTTGTTGCTGAATGAAACCCGCGACGATTCCGTTTTATGTGGGGGGACACCGTACATTACCTCTTCACCTCAAAAGGAAATTATCGTCCTGAATGGAGAAAGTTTATCGCTGCGTTGCACTGCTGAAAGCGATGCTGAGATAAAGTATGCTTGGATGAGGAATCACAAGCTTGTTGACGAATCACTGGATGGAACTTTCTATGTACGCGCTATCAGCAAGCAACACGAAGGTGCTTATGTCTGTGTCGCTTCAAACAATAAAGGCAGTTCATCGTCTAACGTAACGATTATCAAAGTTCATAATAAGCCCAGTATCACTCTACATCCACAGCCACAAAGAGTTATTGTGGACGATGAAATGGCCGCGACGTTTATTTGCAACGCAACGGGCCAGCCTGCACCTACTTTACAATGGTTCTTCATATCCATCAATTCGTCTGTTGTCAAAATTAACGAGACGAGACCCGTTTTACACATGCCTGGTCCTCGCCGACATCAAGAAGGTTATTACTACTGTGAGGCATCCAACGAGCATGGTATGGCAATCAGTCAGAAGGCCCGGCTTGACGTACTAGGCTACTCTGTGGGCCTTCCCAGGCTGCTTTTCGCCCTGAATATCTCATCTTCCTGCTGGGAGGTATCAAATAGCTCCAACAATTCCGTGCACAAAGCTCTGTCATGCAATTCCAGCAAAGAAGTTTTGCCTTCATCAGAAAACGAGGCCTTAACTGATGAAATCTGTCGTTCCCTGGCAAGATCACTTACTGCGTCCATCAAGCTGATCTCCGAGTTTGAGTACAGCTCAAGAAATAATTACTCCGCCACCATTGCATTTATCTTAGATATCGATAAAGAAGCTTGGAAACAATCCAACTTTACCCGTCACATGGAAATAGTTGAAGCCATTGCTGATGTTGGCGTCAATCTGATTGAAAAAGTGGAACAGTTTAATTCTAGCATACTGAACGAGACTTTTAAGGTACCTTGGAACAACACCATTGTTTATGGAGATCCTGGAAGCCTTCATGTTTACCCTCTGTCTCCGGAATGTCCCTCCGGACAGGCCCTCGATGGAAATGGATACATTTGTGGTAAGCATAGCGTCAACTTTAACCCATTTCTAATTGGCTCGGAATTATAGCAAGGCACAAAGTTGGAAAAAGTTCTGCTTATACCTCGTTCCAGACATTACATCCCTGTCTTTGACTCTAACATTTGAGGCCGACGTTGACGGACCTGAGCTTGTAGCTAACTGAACGTTTCAAAAGCCCCTCTGATGTATTTGCGAACGCTTTAGTCCTATTTTACTTGTTTACACCTCTATGCTTACGAGTTAGCCATAAAATTCAGTCAATAAAGAATTTATTTGTCTGATCTGCTTTCTCTCTAAACATACTGTGTCTTTGTCTCATCAGCAAACTGTCCTGCTGGCTCATCATATGTAGAGGAGAATGAAACATGCACAGAATGTCCGTTCGGAACTTACCAACCTGTGCAAGGACAAAGAAGATGTATTCCCTGTGGCGCAAACCTCACCACAGTCTTTAATGGAACAGTGGAGGAATCAGACTGTATTGGTAATGTCAAGTATTGTTTTCTTGGCTCGGTTTTATCTCGGGTGACATTCTTGCTTTCGTATCGCAAAAGACTTTTGCATTGAGGAAATCTAGAAAGTCTAATATTGTATTTAACTTCAAACAAAATGCCTGGGGTTGTCTTTACTGATTCATAATAGACACCGTAAATGTTAAAAATGTCTGAACATCAAAGAATTTTTTAGAAGCTTAAAGAGAAATGAAGTATGATGACAAAAATTTAGGAAAAAGTCAAAATCAACCTTTAGAGATTACTAGAGTTATTTGTGTTGTCAATCTCTAGTAAAAATCCAGTTTTTTTTTTCATCAAAATAGGTCCAAAATACCCTAACCTTTTTTCTGTATACAACGTTTTCTATCACATTTTCTTCATACTTCGATCGCCTCCTTTCCAACAAGAGTACACAACAGGAACTTACTTTTGAGACTCTGAGTTAAAAGTACCATTAATATCACATTTTTCTCTTTATCCGGTGCCCCTTCAGCTGATTGTCCAGCTGGTTCATACAGTACAAAGAACAAAATATGCTCTTTTTGTCCGCTTGGCATGTACCAACCATTCCGAGGGAAGTCAGCTTGTATTTCTTGCGGTAAAAACCTAACAACAATAACCGATGGAACTGTGGAAGAAATGCACTGTATAAGTAAGTTAACATTTGTCACAAATTTGAGTTCAAATGTAGAGCGATTGAAGTTATAACTTCTGGCCACAAAACGTTAGCAAATTGGCTGGCATATAAACAACGTCTTCCTTTTATGTTACGTTTTGTGAGGAGAGGATTAAGGCCTCTCTTCGTTTTGTGTTGTACTTAGACAGCCCCTAATGCAGGAAAACGTAAAACGATCAAATCACGATTGGTTTTAGTCTTAGATTTAATTGATTCACAGGAAGTGCAGGTTTTCTAGAAAAGTCTAAAAGCGTAGTAAGACAAAGCCAAAGCAATTCTCGTTACTTTTGATATTAATCTCAAAAATTACTCCAAAAACTGAGCCTGTTCAACAGAAGAAACGACGACAAATCATAGGAGAAAGTGAAGATTGTTTTCTCAGCTATGCAGTACCTTAGTAATTTTTCCATTTTCGTTTTTGTCGACCCTTCCGAGTCTAAAGAAAACCGTGAAAACTGCTACGAGTGTCTCGGAGAACTTACCGTTAACCCTTTACCCCCTAACATCAATATGCATATTCTCCATACTGTTCTCCATAGATTTCCAAAGAGGCTGACAAGGAGAATTTGTTTCACAATCAAGAGCTGCTTTAGTTGCTGATCATCTCCTCTATTCTCATAGCTTCCATATTTGATTCAGGGGTGACACAGTAAGGAGAAATCAGATGCGAGTCACTCTTAAGGGCTGAAGGGTTAAGATATGTTTAACTATTCTTTACGCAGCGAACTGTCCTGCCGGCTCGTACAGTTCTGTGAACCGGACATGCGCTCTTTGTCCGCTTGGCTTTTACCAGCCTTCTGTTGGTCAGATGGATTGCCTTCCCTGTGGACAAGGTTTCATCACAGCCTCACCAGGAGCTGTCAGTGAATTGCAGTGTGAAGGTGGGCTATTGTTGTCTGCTACAACATTTATGATTAGTTTTCAGACTGCAATGCAATCTTATTTTGTTGGTCAAATCATTTAAAATTTTAACGTGAACAAGATTGTTAACTTAGTGCATATTTTTACTTTGGAAATGACAGAGATTCAAAAGACCCCAGGAGAGGCCAAAGAGCAGGAAAATGCTGACGAGTCGTCTTGGAAACTTCCCGTCATCATTAATACTTCATCACTTGGTAGGTCAAGTACAATCATAAACGTTTCTTACTTCTTCTTAACCGATATCTGGATAATTAATTAGCAACACAATTTTTCAACTTTCTTTAAGTTCTTAACTCATTTGGCGCTTCTGCATGCGAAAGAAAACGCACGTTTAAGAATGGAACGATAAAATTTTAACCCTCAATATGTTAAAGCGGTTTTTATTTTTCATTTTTATTTGACATGGTATCACGAATTGTAATGCAGAAATTCTGGATGGTGTGGCGTCTAATGCTGCAGAAATTCTGCATGGTGTGGCGTCTAATGCTGCAGAAATTCTGCAAAGTTTGACGGCCCAAGCGTGCAAAAATTCTGCACACCTTGAAGTTCAGTGCTGCAGAAATTCTGCATGGTATGGCGTCCAATGATGCAGAAATTCTGCAAGGTTTGACGTCCAGTGCTGCAGAAATTCTGCACGCCTTGACGCCAGTGCTGCAGAAATTCTGCACGCCTTGACGTCCAGTGCTGCAGAAATTCTGCACGCCTTGACGTCCAGTGCTGCAGAAATTCTGCACGCCTTGACGTCCGCAGCAGCAGAAATTCTGCAGGCAATGACATCCTGAGTTAAAGAAGGTCAATGCTGCAGAAATTCTGAGTCTTTGCTTTTCCATTCTTTCCAGACTTTGAAATAACAATACTATGCATGCTGATGTTTTTTGGATGACAGGATAAACTTGTGAAAATAACTCCACGGTTCGAAACTAAAGGCTATTAACAGAAGCCCATACCCGCTTTATTAAACAGAACTATTCATAAATCAGGCTTTTAATCAAATGCCAAAAGGTAAGTTGTTGAAAGGAAATTAGTCATTTTTTCCCTGCAAGAAAAAAAAAATCGTGTAATTGAATTTTTGTACACATTCAGGATGAGCGCCTAACACATTTAAGATTCTTTTAAAAGTTTGTTTTCAAATTTTTTAAAATTTCGTTTAATCAAAGAAAAGATGGAAGCAATCCTGTCTCGGCACAAGGAGAGCTCGTCTGTTGCAGAATAAGATGATCCGTTCATTTTTAAAGAAATTTAAAATTAGATGACCTTAAAGCCGAATTTACATCACCATCACTGAGTGACGATATCGTCATTAATTCATATGAGATAAATGTTTTTCCTCGAAGTTACCCGTTAAGTAATTTTCATTTCAACTGACGATACAAGATTTAAAAGAAAGTGAAGTTACATCACATGGACATTTCAAAACAGGATGTATGAATTCATCAACACTATCTTGACTATGATTTGAACGGTCTTGGTGTAACAAGGCTAGCTTGGCTTTTGCGCAGAAAATGTTTTTCTGAAGTTTAGCTATACTGAACCTTTCGTATAACCGTGGGTTTACTGAAGCAAATTGAAACGCATCCCTTCCGTGAATTCTTTGGAACTAATTTGTGCTGAGAGGAGACCGGTAAGATATTGCAGGCCTACGACGAATTTTCGAAAAATCAGTTCACGCGTCACGGATATAAAAGGGAAAATTTCTAATCTCTCCTCTTATGTGCATGGTTTCAGGGAAATCTTGAGGTTTCCACGCTATGGAAAAAGTTCAGGGTTCAAGCATACTTCAGGCCTCATACGATTTCGTAAATTCACGAATAACGTTAACCTTTCAGTAAAATTCACGCGTCGCATGTTAACTTTGGCCTTCATCACGCGTCACCTATAAACCCTTAGTGATGCACCAGTTTATTCATACCTTAAGTTTCCTCTCAGAAAGTGATTCTCCACAGGGTCCAGCAAAGGAATGTGATGACTTTTGCAAAGAGTCCGTACCGATTATTTTTGGAGAAATGGTCAACTCTTGTTCCTGTTCTGTAAAGATACGCAGCTCCTGATTGTATTATTTTTATGCACCATACCTCCAATACTCCCATTCCCCTTATCTTTCGGAGGCATCTTGCGTATGAAGAATTTAACAGACGCAAATGAGATGTGAGTTAGTACAAAGACTAACTATTTTCAAAGCCGACAGACCCATGAATCACGAACTCGTGTCTTCTCATCATTGCCTCTCTTGTGATAAAATTTGGGGCGCAATTACGAGCGGCGAAAAGTAAGTCGCAGAGAACGACATTTTTGTCTGAGGTTTTCACACCTCCAAATCAATTAAGAATTTGACATTTTCCCGTGAGTACTAATCTAATCAACTTAAAGCTTCCTTGATTTTTTCTCCTGCGCGTTAACTGTTCGAAATTCCTCCCACGTCCCCGAGTCCCACGTCCCCGAGTCCCAGTCCAATGTCCCCGTCCCACTTTTAGTCACAGCCAATAATTCCGGATTCAGAGAGTAAATTAGAAAAAAACGCTTGAATACAAAGTATCACAAGCAGCCAATTCAGTGTCGATAACTTTTCAAATTTCAAGGTTGATAAGAGGTCAGAAGTATGCAAGTGTGACAGGTGACGCGAACTTCAGTCGTAATGTATCCTAACAATAAATGTAATCTAGTGTTATCAACTGAGTTGATAACATAAATTGGTCACTGTAAAGAGTTCAAAGGCTAACGTTTCGAGCGTTCGCCCTTCGTCAGAGCGATTGGGTAAAGATAAATATAGAGCGATTGGGTTTGCGATCTCATCGATATAATTACAATTTTACCAAAAGCTTATCGAATCGTCATCTCTAAGTCTATCTCTTATTTATGAATTGTGTGTTTTCAGTCCTCGATGGAGATATAAAACCCACAAACATTTGATAAAAGCACATTTTAGGCCAATTTTGTTGTTGCGAAAATTGATATGATGCATGATTCACTTCGGTTGAATTACACTTCGATAAAAATTAGTGAATTATTTCAAATTTCTTGGATTCCGTCGTTGTTTTCAATGCAGAACCCGGCCAAAACCAGAAGGCGCCCTCACAATGGCTTTGTAGAGTGGGTCTGCAGTACATTATCCCTTTCATTGGTTTGTGACTTATTGGGCAACATTGCACGGTTTGATTTTTCTTATCCTAGAAACAGTTGCAGCTGACAGAGAGAGGGGATTGTTTTTCCTAGAGGCCTATTTTTGCCCTCTTATTGAGATACACGTGTAGCATTATTACCTTCTGTAAACATTGGTGGAGATATTAATTAAAATCTTTGATACTGTTAATTTAGTTTTCCTCTGAATAGTGAACGGTTTTAAGGTTTTCATTAGAAGGTTGAGCTTTAATTTCCCTGTGGTCTTTTGCAAGACAGTGCAAGATTTAATTGATACATTTGCTCTCTATTTATCACATATACAAATCTTATAAAATAGGTCAAAGGACTGAAATCGTGACTAGTTAATATATTTTGGCTAGAGTAGATTACTTATTTTCTGTATAACAAACTTCAATTTTATTAAATTAATGATATTTTTCATTCAGTTTTTGTATCTGATCATAAAATAAAGTGATATGACTTAAATTGTATGTTGTATTGCTTACTTTTTTCACATTTTAATATTCGAATTTTATCATGTGGCATTAAGCCATGTGTTATTTTTGGTACATAATTTCTGTGGAAAGTTAATTGGCAGAATATTCGTGGCATCTGTTATTGACTGGTTAGAGAAAGACTGTTATATTCCTGCACCCATGAGTGAATTTCTGCAACATCTAGTGAATGATAGGATGCAAAATTTCTGCAACATCCAGTGTGTGAGTGGTAGCAGAATTTCTGCGACATCCAGTGGACTAGTGGTTGCAGAATTTCTGCGACACTCAGTGCATGAGAGGTTGCAGAATTTCTGCAACATTCAGTGACTGACTGTTAGGAGATTAGACGGATTACCTCTGCATCTTTTCATGATTGTCCATTAACACATAGTTTCTTACGGACACGCTAAATATTGCAGAGGAAAATGTAAATTTTCAATTTATTTAAATTTTTCCGCTAGATTTGATTATCTTTGAGTGATTACCAAAACTTGCAGAGAAAAATTATTAATTTATCCAAAAATGTGCTATTTTGGAAAACACAAAATAGTTTGGAAAGCGTTCAATACTAGGTGCCATACTTTTGGTATGGTTCATCTGTAAGAGACGTAGAGCGAGTAAGGATGGTTCAAAACCTAAAAGAGAACCAGCACGGATGGCACAGTTTGAGAATCCAGTCTACCTGGGTAACCCAAACCTCCGAATGGTAAAACAGTTTGACAATCCACTCTACGAAGTCGTCGAACAAGAGCCACAAAAAAGAGCAGAAGGTAATGAATATTCATTGGCGGACGAGCCAGTGCTGGATGCATTCAGTGACGACGGTCCCGAAGGACTTAACGAAGACACTGTGGACTTCAAAACCAAGGATTCTACTAAGGACTTTGAAAATAACACTTTATGTTTTACAAACCCATGCTTTCATTGAGGCAGCGATGGTTTACTGTGTTTGATCAAGAAATCATATGATCTGGTGATTTAGACATTGTTAATTTGAATTTTTTTCGCTTTAATCAGAACAATTTTTCAAGTTTGCTTTGTCTAAGAGAAAGGAAAGGTATTCTTGACAGGCGTAAGAAAAGGATGCCATGATATGGGAGTTCCCCCCCTCCCTCTAGATTGAAGAATTTCGTAGTAAGCCTCCCCTTCCCTTTCTAACACCTTTTTTGATGTTCCGTTAATGAGTATAAGTTCAACAATACCTTTATCGATAAAAACTGATACCTCTGTCAAAATGCTTAATTCTGCATCTTGCAATCCGTCAATATCCCTTGCGAGGATGACTTAGGGGACGTTGTTACTTGACAAACTTTGTATAAAAATATCTTTACTTGTTTTGACGTTAATAATCTGTTTCATTATTTTCCAGTCAGGTTCAGCTTTTTGCTTAGTTATTACTTTCCGGGTATTTTAGGAGAAAACCGATGAGGCATGCTTTCATCTATGATATTAAAGTAGAATTGTTTAATTGTTACGTGAAATCTCCTCCTTACCTCTGCTGCGAATCTTCGAGGTGAAACATGGTCATCGAGTAGTGATGCTAGGAAACTAAATTTTTTATTGTATGGTGTTGAGTCTGTAAATTACGACGTCAACTGAGCCTTTTTTCGCGAAGTACAAAGTTTCATAATTAAAACTAATCGTTTTTCTGAGGCCATTATTTGATTGTTTAATTAATATATTCCTAGCTTAGTAAGTTTAACTCGTTGTTCTTGCAACTTGTGTGCGTTGTTTATGTGTGTGCCTGAATAAATTGATTTTATATTTGTAATATAGTAATCCCCCTCTTTAAGCCTAGGTGATTTTGGGGAAAACAATGATAAATATGTTTAAATAAAAAAAAAAATAGAAAAACATTTTTTTGCGAAAAATAGAGATTGTAATAATTGAGTGGTTTTCGTAGAGCAGTCAGACGATCTTTGGAGAATTCTTTGAACATGTTTATAAAAAGTTTCACATGCATTTTGTGCGTTAAACTCGTTTCCCGCGGGTGTCCATTTCAAATCAGCTTGTCATAAGTAGAGCTCTATCCAGAAATTTGAACGCGGATAATTTGATGCAATCCAGGAGCTAACGGCCTTAGTTTAAAGTAAATTTCGGGGTTTGAGAAATCCACCAAGAGCACTAAGAAACGATCTTTCCCTTCGCAACGTCGGCCGTATCATGTACGAGGTGCCAGCTTGGAGGTCTGCGACCGCAAGAAATTTGCGAGTGATAATTGGATCTCTGACGTTATTGCACTTTGGTTACATTCGATAGCATCATGTTAACACTGTGGCATGACAGTTTGTTTTCATAGTGTTCAAAATCAAGGTTGATTAAATAGATTTTTCCGAATATAAACTTCTCGGACCCGGCTGGAATTCTCATTAAAAGCGATCCATGCATTGGCAATTGAATGCACTTGGACCTGCATGCACGCAACGTACCAAAAAAGGCAATTTGACGGGCAATGAATCAATTGTAAAGTTTATGGATCGGAAATTTCTCAGCTGGTCAGAATTCCAGTTAATGGAATTAAATTGTCGGAACGAGGTGAAGATAACTTGCTAGATGAAAAAATGAAAAAAAAAAAAGGGTATTGCAGAGGAAAACATCAACAACCACTCCAAATCCAGGGAAAAATGCAATTGGCTCGAAGGAAATCTGAATTAGTAGAACGTAGATCGACATTTAGAAAACAAAGTGTTCTGGCTAAATTCTAAAATTTGTGGAATTTTTTATTATGTAGATTACGATTAAGGCCCCTGTTATGTTGGATTTAAAGCTTTCGGAGTAAAAGTTATGCGGCTCGCCATATCATGTTACTAATTGCATTGCCTCTAAACTATGTTCGCTCAGTTGACACATACTAAGTGCAAACAAGTGTGCTGAAAGCATAACTACTCTCCCAAACGCGTGTTGTTCTTTACAAGCCTCAACAAGGTAAGTTTGCAGGATCAGGGAGAAAGTATTAGATTTCTAAGTGTCCCATTCGCCGAGCTGCATGAACTTCGGTTACGTGCTTTATTTTGAGGCAGGCATTACATAACAATCTTAATGTATCAAAAAAAGCGGTAATGATTTCTGTTAAGGTCGATCTGCACGCAGTATTCTGTTTGTTCTGTTGCTTATAAAAACGCGAAAATTATTTCCCAGCAGAAATTTTATTCATATAGAATAGCAAAATCTTTTCCCTACGCGAAAAAAAGTAGTCACTCTGCAAATTTAATACACTACAGCAAGATTTCTCGTGGAATTTCGCTTTTTCTTTATGATTTATTTATTTCAAGCAAAGATTCATTGAACTCTCTGAAAAGCTGTCAATAAATGGGTAATAATCATAACAATCGGACATCTTGCTCAGTGCCGGCACTTACTGAAAATTTAGTAACATCAAAAATGATTTCTTGATAAAGACGATTTTGTCTTTAGGGAGCTAAGCTAAATTATGAGCGAGGAGTTGTTGCGGATGAGAACATAACCACTGAACGTGGTTGTTCGCCGAGATGATTTTTATGCCATGGCCATACCTTCTGAAAAAATTCTTATACTTCTCGATCAGCTTGACGTTATTGTTTCGCAGCAATAAATAGCAAAGAAGACGCAAAAAATGGAGTAAGCAATACATTTCGAAATAGAGTGCTTGATGACTCATGAAGGTCTGTAAATCAAACAGCATATTCATCGACTAGATTCTAGATCATACGCTACGTTGTTACATAAAAACAGTCCCCATACGTGAGACAAAGGAAGAAACAAAGCCAGAAAAACAAAGCTGACAAAACATAAACAATGAAAATATTGCGAGTTGCTAAGGAAATCATCAGTTCCGAAGATGTACAAGGGAATGTCCATTGATGAGCATTTCGCGCCGAAAGAAAATGATACCCAACTCGGGTGTTTGAAGAGATCAGGCGTTCGTTTGCAGTGCGCGATCATTGCTTTAGTTTCCTACGTAGCGCAAGAAAACTTCCTTTACCAGAAGCAGGGTGCGTTCATTGCTTTCTGGTTTGATTCTTTGCCAAAAGGTGGGAACGAATAAGTTCGCGTGTTCAAATCTTAGTCACGTAACTTCGCTGAACGACATTACGTTTCTTGTTGTGCAGCACGTTTCCCAGGCGTTTTCTTAACACGCACGATTTCACAAATTGAATAAAGCTTAATAGGCTTTAAAACCCCATAAGCAAGTCTTTTGATCATTAGATTGATCCCTCTCAAACCACAATGGTTTCAATTGGCAACGCTTAAACTGCCAAGCGCACGAGCCACTGAACGAAATTAACTTTTGGATTCTTGTGACTTCCTGATATTTGTTTTATGACCAACACCTCACACTAGCTTGAAATATCAACATAAACAAAATGCATTGAATAGCATATCTTAGATTGACTAGAAGTAAACTTTTCAGTTTATTATGCGCCTATTTTCAATTCATAGCTCCCCGATCTAGACTCTATATTCATGTCTTCAAATCACGCTAAAAATGACTACAAGTAGTCCTTTGCCTACGATGTTTTGGCAGCCCAACTTCTAAAAAATAAATTCTCCTGCTTTCACAATAGCCTTAAATGATTGTTATCTCAGTAATTTGCTGAATTTATGCTTTCAAAAGGTTGCTCCTCCTCTAGGCCAGTATTCGTCCGCCCATAATTCGCTCCATTTTCCAAATAACTGCACAGCGCCTGCTTCGCTAAAAATCTCCTCTCATCATCGAGAGACGTGCCGTAAAACTTAATCTCCGGCAAATTTCAGAAATCTCTAGATTCCCTTAGAGAATTTGAGGTAATACTGTTAAGTTTGGCGATATCAATCCGCGTATTATTTGATAGCCCGGCGTGTGAAAGGAAAAAAAAGCTACGAAAGCAGCCAATGGTATTACGCATTTCCTAATCATTATTGCGTGACTAATATAAAAACCCCGGGAGACGAGCTGAAAGACAAGGTACATTGCATAACAACAATAGTTATAATGAAAATGCAAGTGCATTTCCATAAAACAGAGTAGTTTCGTAACTAAAAAACAGTATGAACAGTCGGCAAAAGATTTTTCTGTAGCGTCAGGAGATTGCATGCGTCTAACCTTCCGGTCAAGAAAGAAAACATTACGCAGAAACATTCATCACCCTGTCAGATTGAATTTTTCCTCGAGATTGACACGTGAGTATCGAAGTGGATTACTTCAATACTTTGACCTTTTTTTTTCAGAGAGCAAAATTGACGTTTTCATTATCCCGACAAATGTTCGCCGCGTCAAAGATTGAATGTCCTTTGTCCAGTGTTTAGATCTCCTTAATCTGTCTACAAGCGGCACTATCTGACAACAAGAAGTCGCGCCTTACATCATTTCTTAGACTCCTGGTATAACGCCATCATGATCGTACTCGGCATTTGTGCGGTCGTAATCGTGGTTTTTGCGATAACTGCAGCGATGAGCGACAAGGTCCGTGAAGCCGTAATATCATCGAAAATCTACAAGAAAGGTTTTGCAGTCCATATGAACTTATTCAGTCGTATTCACAACAACGCCGTCAGAAAACACAAAGAGGACATTTTCGAGAAATTGAAGTCATCCGTGGAAAGTGTTGGCGGTGGCGATATTTTGGAGATCGGAGCAGGAACCGGGGCAAATTTTGAGTTTTTCCCCGAGGGAAGCTCTATCATAGCACTTGAACCAAATCCACACATGGTACCATACTTAAGGGAAAACGCTGAAAAGTTTCCACATGTGCAGCTCAAGAACATCGTACCAGGTTTTGCCGAAAACATGGATGGGATTCCAGATGCATCTGTCGCCGCTGTTGTATGCACCATGACACTGTGTTCAGTGAGTGATGTGAAGGCAACATTGGCAGAAATCAAGAGAGTTCTGAAGCCTGTAAGTACGCAAAATTTGTTTTAAAATTACGTCTGTATGTAGAACTTCTACCATTCGATGTGGATTCTTTTTTTCTTTGCCGCAGTTCACATGAAAAAACTTCGATAAATTGCTCAAAATGGGGATTTTAATTTTCTCCAAACATTTCTAGCGGCTGTCACTCTTTCCTTCCGCACGATTGTACTTCCCTTTCATCTGCCACGGATATCAGATCTTAATCCTCAAAGCCTTATCTTTAATTGTCCAGGAACTAGCTTGCTATTTTGTGTAAAGGAATGTTTAAGAAACTGAAACGTTGTTATTATGAATATGTAGGAATGTGCGTGTTTTTAAACATCGAAAGACGGGCAATATAAAAAAAATTGTTAATTCCAATAATTCTGATCTAATTTTAATTCTTTGATAGCCTCCTAATTGCACACTTCCGCTTAAGTGGTTCAAGAAAAATTACCAAACTCAACATCTCGCAGAAAACGGATGACTTAGACGAAGTTCAACTGTCATTTCTAAGATCACTGTTTTCAACGATTGCTAAAAGTCGTTTTTATATTAGACTACCTATCAAATTTAAATTGGATCGGAAGTATTTGATATAGCAAGCTTAAGTGTGTTCTATTTTTACGACCAATCTTTTGCGGCACATGAAAACTGTTCTTTGTAATCACTCGCAATATTTTAACTTGCTCAAATTCCCATCGCGATCTCCACATCGCCCATTTGATAGCCTTCAATTTGAATGCCAATTTTTTTCGCGACACCTTTTAAATAATTATCTGATTTGAACAGAGGAGAGGTTGAAATTAGTGTACATGCAGCCGTTATTGACACTGAGAGTATTTAATTTTGGCGAAGAAAAAACGGCTCTCTTTGTTTGATTTCTGAACATTTTGATCAAAGGAAGTTCCCCGTCAAAACAATTTGAAACGAGACGTTGTTACCTTGTCATTTTATCGAGACGCTTAGGGTCAAAATAGTGCCTAAAGTGACAGGTTTGATATCAAGGAATCGATACTCTTGTTTCGTCTACCATTTGGTGTTTTTTCATCGGATTCTTAGGAGAATAGCAGATTCTTTTGATCGTGGAAAGGACAAGGGTTGTAAACTTTGTGTTCGCCGGAGGCAAAAGTTTCAAGCGGCAACGAAAGAGAGCTCGAGATCAATTTTAAAGCCATTTTGGTGACGTCAATTTATTTTGTTTAGCTTTTAGCTGAGTTACAGAATCCGGTATGAACGCGAGAAAACGATGATTACCTTAAATGCGTTTTTATCTTTTAAAGGAAATATTGACGAAATATGTTTTTTAGAGAAAACGTCCAGTAGCTAGACTTTGTTTACCAAAGCCAGGTGCATAAACATTTCAAAATATTTCCTTGGCCGAGTGTTAATATCAGATGACAAAAGTTATATTCTAATATCATTTCCGCTGTTTTGATTTCTGTGTTTTGATTCCAAAGTTATGCCAGGTGATTGCTTTGCAAAGACACATAACATTTGGAACAATAAACATTCTTGTGTGTATACATCATGCTGTTGGAAAGGTATAATTTTCCAAATGTTTGTTATTCCGTTTCTGTTTCAGGGAGGATATTTTTATTTCTTGGAGCATGTAGCAGGTATGTGGAGTCGTAAGAACTAAGTTCAATTCTGTTTTCTACATTGAGGCTTAGCTCATTCTTGCCGAATTCGGGGAGATTTTACTGAGCGAAGAGCCTTGTAAGAGATTTGCGTGATTTTGCGCTTTCGCGATTGTTTTGCTTGTTTGCTTTGTTTTGTTTATTTTAATCGTTCCTGATGAAATCGCGCGTAGCAATTAATAATGGGAGTGTTCTTAGGCCTAGTCTGATGACAATGCTTTCGTAAGCTTGCCTTTTAGAGTAAATTTCCGACCACAAGAGGTTGCTTACGGAAGTTGACGTTGAACTTAAATGAAATTTGCCTTATCAGCTGCCAAAAATAGCAGCTGATACTTCTGGCATTGTTTCAACAATTACACAAGGATGTTCCTGTTTGATCGGAGGTCGAACATGACGTGGGGTCGATTTACGCCAAATATAATCCTTTTTCTGTTCCAGACACGTTTTCGACTTTGCTCAGATTTGCGGTAAAAACCTTTTGCGTCTGTCATACAAAAAAAATCAACCTCGTGCGTATCGATTGCTACGTCCGGCCCCGGTCTGGCCGTGGTCGCGAAATCATAAACCCAAAGCCGAAAAATAAAAATTTAGGCCGGCGACGAGACTCGTGCGAAACATGGCCAAGTCTCCGCCAGTGATCGCTCTCTGTTTCGAAGGACTTGAAAGCACTGCTTGACTTCCTTTCGGCTGTTAACGAGGCTTTTAGAGGTTTTCCTGCCACTTGAGGGTTTTAAACACGGCATACTGATGAAAGACAATGAGTAGACGAGTACATTGTAGTTTCTTCGTTCACGTCAGTCGCTGCGATGAAACTCGGAGCACAAGAGAATCTTCCCTTCTTCCGCGTATTTGAAACTCTTCCTGCGCACAAGAAATTCCAGGAGTTGTTCAAGTTTCTTTTGTTCTAATTTCCTGAAGCTTTAGAAAATTATTCTCTCAATTAAGAGAAGCCTCTCCTCTTTCTTAGCCGGTCGCTCGAAGCTTCAGCAGGCCGTGGAGAAAATCTCTCAAACATGCTTATATTGCTTTGTTTTTGCGCATTAGATGAACCAGAAACATGGAGGAACTCCTTCCAGCGAAGATTTGACAACCAGTGGAAATATCTCGGCGACGGATGCTCTTGCAGCAGAGAAACGTGGACCCACCTGGACAATGCCGGCTTCAGTACTGTGTCTTACAGAAAATTTGATCTGAAAGAACTTACTGTGCTTTGTTACTTGATTCGACCTCATTTAGCTGGGCATGCTATAAAATGAGGTAACATACATAATGGACGTCGCCCCACGCAAAGTTGGGCGAGAAACGTTCGACCCTTCACAAGACAAACCTTTTTACATTCACACCAGAGAGGGGTTTATATTGGTTCACTATCAAGTATAGCCTTTTTACTCCTAGGGAGGGGATCCCAAACAATTATTGATACAAGGTGGGGAGATGGGGAAGGTGGCGGGACGGTGATCGTGTTTTTATAGTAAATTACTCCAAGTGCTAAGTACTCACAGTTTTTCTTTTCTCACACAATTCGGCCATCATTAGTACTTTTTCTCGGAGCCTTTTTTGTATTGAGGATGACAAAAGAGTCTAAGAATTCCTCTTATGAACCGCCAGTAATATTATGTTTCCTTACCGTGTTTCTTTGAAAATCGCCCCCTTCCTTCCCACCTTTTATACATCTCCCCCACCCACCCCCCCTCCTCAGGCGATGTTTCTCCGCGTATTTATGTTATCAGGCACACGTAACGTATATCAGCACACACGATTTAACTGATATAAAGTTGACAACCAAGTAAAAAGGGAATTATCAAAATTGATTATTTAACGTACACGACATATGTAGCCGCGCATTTGTTGGTGGTATAACCAAAATTATTCTACAGATTAGTAAAAGAAAAGTTTTATATGGCGCATGTAGGGGGTTTTGACGTGAAAACCAGAAATACATCGTTAGAAATTATACTACCTGAATCAGAATGAGTTGAATCTTTTCTACCTTTATAAATCAAGACATTAAGGGGTTGTTTGTAATCGTTTTCAATTCATTCAAAAAAAAAAAAAAAAAGGGAGAGAAAAAGATGGATTATTGTGAAGCACCTTGTATAAACTATTTTGACTGAATGCAAGTTATGAAGGCACATCAGTCTTCTCATTGGGTTCCAGGTTTAATTCATTAGTGAAACTTTATGGCATACGATGTTAGTGAAATTTTTGCAGATTTGTCTGTTATGGTGGGCATAAATTTATTTGCCAGTTAATAGACAGGTTACTGATGATTTCCTTCGATTGAAGTTGATTGCCAGGTACGGGAATCTTTTCTGGAGAATATATCATGGGAACACAGAATTTCTGTGAAAAAAGTAAAAAAAAAAAAAACTACATTTTTGATAGAGCGCAAGTATATTTGAATCTCCTCTTGAATCGAGAGATTATTCTTCAATTTATTATATTAGTTAATATTGCACGAAAATGTACTCTACATTATCAAGAATAAAATTATGAATTCGAGAAGAATAATTCAATGATCAACCCTTCCATTTCTTTTATATTTCCGAGAGAAATAAATGGCGTGGAGTCTGGAAACGAGCTTGCTGCGCCAAAGATGGTTGAGCGTAAGGAGCCTTAATAAGACAAATTATCAGAGGACTTCGACATAGGGTGTGTACGTTGTATCAACACCGAATATTGCTGTTAGTGACTCCATGACGTTTGTACAGATTTACAAAACTCAGCTTACTTTTATTTAAAATTATTTTCCTTGATGGTACGTGTTATTTAAAAATTACATTTCTAATGTCGCTTTCTAGCATGCATCCCATACACCTGAATAATTCTGGCTTCGTTCTCGTGCTCTGACCTCACTGATTACCCATAAAGCGTACATGCTTAACACGTGATTAACTCTGGCCTCGTTCTTGCGCACTGAGCCCACTGACAGGACCCGACCGACCTTTAAATACCTCATATATTACAGTTATTCCGGTCACTTTTTCTAGCGATTCTACCAAGGTGCTCCTTTCACTCAAAATCAAAATCAAATTGTACCTTAGCTATATAATTGGGATTCTAAATTTTGATTCCGGTCGGAATCCGGTCTATCGCGCATTAATGACATCAGAATGCTTGTCCTGCAAAAATAGAATGCTCTACCTTGATAGCACGGACGAGCTAGTGATAAATATGAAATTCACAAATTGAGTAGAGAATGAAATTAACCCTAAAAAGATACATCTTTAAGTAAGATGATTTTTCAGGCTACAATTCACTTGGGAATGGTAAGTATGGTAAGTAGAGTTTGTATTTATAAGTTCCGACGGTCCGAACCGAGAATTTTGAAGAAAAAAAACCCTACATATACAACAGCGTTTCAACTGATAACCGAATAAAATATTTTCATTTAGTCTCTCTCTGGATGCATTAATTAAAGAGAGAGAACTTTCCACCGATAAAAAAATTTATAATTTTAACATGTTAACCTACTATCAAAAAAATGTACAGTTCTTTTTTTTCCATGAGAATCCAAATCGTCTGCCACCACCATAGTGGTAGCGCATGCGTAAAAAAGTTGAAAAGGAAATTCGAGTTTCAGTCTGCGCTTCCTGCTCACAATTCGTCCATTTTTTCATTTTTATACCGTGTGCCACAAAGCAGCACAATTACAGACACAATGTTTTTTTTCCTCTACAAGCAATAGAAAATAGCTCGCAAAAGTTGTTACACATGAGCATGATTGATACCATAATATTGACTCGTGTTCTGGAAAGTGATTGGTTACTCACACGGTTACTAATCCCAAGGAATGTAATACCCCTGGGGTAATTTTCACCCCTTAAATGGTCACAGGGAAACGGTGTTCAACTCCTCACCTACACCAAGCACCAAAGCATGTTCTTGTGAAATTGCCGCTAGTTCTTTCAGCCACTCCTCCAAAACCACAATACAGTACACCGCGTTTTTCACAGTCTTCGGATTTTTCCTCTTGTAAGTGTTCTTCTTAAAGGAATTTTTCGGCGAGTTTTGGGGACTGGAAAGTTTTCGAATGGTACCCGGTTTGGGATAGTTCTCAGCGCTTAAATCAGCGGTGCTACCGTACTTAGGGCTCAAAGAGTTTAAGCTCTCCCACGACTCGCTTAAGGACAAACTTGAGTTGGTGCTTGCACTTTCTAAACTTCCCCGTCTTTCCTGGTTGGCTTTTGTCAATTTCGGGCTTAAGGAAACGTCTATCGATTGTTTTCGAAGATTAGAACTTCCCTTGCCAAAATATTTCGGCGCAGGGCCGTCTTTGAGCATGCGGACATTGCTCAGTAAGGAAGAGTCCGTTTTCTGTTTTAACAGCTTTCGAGTCGTCGTAGGGCTTCTGGTTTCAGGGTTTTTTGATATTTTCACCGGTTGTTGTACGTCCACAACAACGCTCTGAATACTGACTCGACTCTTTTCCTCGCGAAGAATTAGGTTCTTTCTGGCCCGGCGCAGGAGTTTGTCGAGTTCGTCAACTTGATCAGCAATGTTCTCTACTTTAATTTTCACCGAACTAAGGATCTACGTGAAATACAACACAAAAATAGTTTTAATTTCGGGCGCGATGCTTTCTTAAAATCGCAATAGAGTTAAAAATGGAAAACAGGCTTCAACTGGCGCGAAAACACACTCGGATATTTATCCGCAGACATAAGGGCGAAGCTCAAAGAAAACTATAGGCTTTGAGGGACAGATGGTGTCCAAGGAAAAATATGGGAGCACAATTTCTATCCAAAAAGAAGCTATTGTGTCTAGTATCATTGACATATAATTTGCAGGACACGGAAGTTGGATGAAAACAGATGATGACTTTTCAGGGCAACTTAATGAACGCCTGGAACACAAAAGGAAACAACGCATTAAAATAAAAGAGGCAGCATCTCCTACCTGAAATAGTGAGCGAACTCCTGGTTTAAGAACCATGTTGTAATTAAGAAGAAACGATCGTAATAGCGGTTGAGGATATAAGGCCAGTCTAGTAACCACACCAGTCAAAATCAAGTTCACATAAAACGTGTTCTGCGGCATTCGTTCAACTTTTTGAAACAGCGTTATTAAAAACGGTCCCAAGTCTGGCTTAATTTGCTTCTGTTCAAACTCAGTCGCTGATAATGATCGCTTCACAGGCGCTTGCGCATCCTGGGGTGAAAGTGAAACCTGGTTCGGAATGTTGCCATTGGCAACAGGCATGGACACGTTAGATGAAGACCGCTCTCGTTCTTTCGAGGAGGGGTCCTGTACGGCAGGGTTTTGTCCATCATAGGGTGCGGACCAGCACGCGCACTTCATTTGACAAATTCTCAATAAACTTCGCGCGTCTGCAAGGTACTCCATGTAATCTGCACAAACTTCTGAGTACAGATCTCCAAGAAAAGAAGACCGGTAAAACACCAATTCGCTGGATGCTTTGAGGTCGATCTTCATGGGTGGGGTGGGTGCGCTCCCGTTGAGATTCTCAGTGGAAGAAGACGACGATGAGTTGCGGCTGGAGTTATTGCAACAGGAAGGTATCAACGATAAGAATTTAAAGGCGCTCTTGCTGTACAGATCCACTTCCTTGATAGTTCTTTTCTGGCTGCTCAGAATGTGCGTGCAAGGAATCAGATATCTGTTAAGGAGTCAGTTGTATGGTTCAGGTAATGTAGTGATACCCAATCAGTTTAAGGATCTTTGACATCAAAAGGCCCAAAACTGAAAATGTGCATCCTGGGTTTTTGCAGAATGAGACGGCTGGGAGTACGGGTATACAAAGTCACTTCATGGGATGAGATGCTAGTTCATTGCTTGTTACCCTCCCCACCCTGCTGGCATTTCCACTGGTTCCCCTAAGTAAAGTACCTTACCTAAGGAAGGTACAGCCTGCAGTTGAGCCAAGTGGCACATTCAGACAAAGCCTGGTTTCTACAGCATGAACCCACCAGGAGTATTGTCACTCCCCCTGAATGGGAAGCCTGGGTTACCTCCAATCATCTTGTCAGCTTTCCCTGACAGTTTAACTCTACCCATACATACTCCTGAGTGAGACAGGCACCTTAAGAATAAAGTGTCTCTCCCAAGAACACAACACAAAGATCTTGCAAGGACTGGACCAAAGATCTGTGGATGCAGAGTCCAAGCTACAGTTGTTCATACAATGGATAATGCTATGAAAAGGACATAAATCTCTTTCAGACGGATTGTGCAGTACATTCTGTCAACACATATCTGTTGTAAAGTAATTTATCCATCAGATAGCATTACCCTCCCTTTGAACAACTGGACTCAGTGCAACAGCCACTTGACTTTGGTGGACAAGTGATTCTCAAAACCATTTTAAACTGTGGAATTTATAAAAAGCAACCCAGTTTGTCTCCTTCAGTGTGTTCTTTTGAATTAAAAGTTCTCTTTTTATGCCCAAGAAAGAGCACCCAGGTATTCATATTCCCCACCTGCCCATCCCCCTCAGCTAATACAGCAGCAGGGAAGCTGATGGTTGAAAACTTGATGGGGAAGAAGGCATTTGAGATAACCTGAGCTATATAAGACAAAGTAAAAACATTGCCAGTCTACTATGTACCTGTAATTAATTGAATGTTATTAACAGAAGGTATGGAAACTCACTTGAGCACCAAACTATATATGATATCTTCACAGTTCAGGTCCAACAGAGTGTAAAACAAACCCAGTGATACTACAGCAAGCTAAGATAATGAATTTAAAAAAATGAATTTTAAATATAAATACATCCATCAAAGTACTGAAGACAACACAAATGAACTGTGATGACTATGTTAAGGTATTCAAAAAGCATTTTTAGGGTTTTAATTTGTATTAAAATGAAAAAATATTTTGTTGTAGTGCAGGACAGATTATCAGGGGTATCAATAAAAGCTAGTTACATTCCTTAAGCCCAGTTAGCCTTTGCTTAGCTATCAAGCAGGTTGTCGTGTTTGGGTTTTACCCTAAAGCCCCCTTTAAGCACAGCCACCTATTACATCTTCAGCAGCAGCAGCAGACACTTGTGGAAATAGTTATTGAAACTCTTGAATAGCTGCACCCCACATTTCAAGGGTACTGTGATGATTTGATTTAAGAGCCCAGGGGCTTATTTACTTTTGATACCTTGAGGGAGGGTAATTTTTTTGAAACAGGACACTTATAAGAGGGGCACTTCTTTAGAAACGGCAGAATGTGCAAAAAAAGTTTTGATGTATATTTGAAAAGGATCAAGAAGACTGGAAAACAGACTTGTTGTGCCTGGATCCTTTCTGGACATGCAATTGTTGCAAAAATTGAAGAAGAGATCATTCATTTGAAGGAATTGTGCACTGACATGAGCCAAAAGGATGTCTGAGTCTTAAAGTATGCAATTAAAGAAATATGAACCGTGTTTGAACTCAAAGTACAGGTACTCCAAACAGAATAGGGATGCTTATTGGTATAGGGGTGCTTATTAAAAAACAAAACAAAAACCAAATCAGAATGCTAAATCCAATCATTAGGGTAGTTATTATGTTAACCCAAATGTGAGCGGTAATATCAACTTTACCTGAGATTCATGTGCAATCCTTGAAACTAATAAGTCAAGAATAGGCATTCCATCACATCTTTCCACCAAAATGAACTCTAAAAACACTTTCATTAGATTGGCATCAGTGATGCTGCGTAGAAACAAGTCCAGATAGGATGTAGCAGCTATCAATGCTTCAGTAGATGACTGCAAAGAGGAAAAGTTGCCACAAATTATCCACATTATCAATTCTCATTACAATCTGTCATACACTTCTTTTAACCTCAGCTCTGAGAATTTGGTCTCCAATCAAATACCATCTCCTAACTAATATTTTTCTTTATTTTCATCACTTTCCTCCTTTACAACAAGTTGATATGGTGTGGAGAATTTACCAATTGGTCACCCTTGGAAGTGAAATACTGAAAGCCTACCTGGCCAAGTGATGATGCCATTACTGACACCAGAAATCCATGATAAATGAGATTCAGCAGCTTGGACTGGACTTGAGGATGGGCAATCTGAACAGAGAGTTGAAAGTTCAAAACTTAAAAAAAAGTTCAGTTCAGTCTGTGACATGTCCTCTATGGGCCACCATATATGAAGGCAAGTATTTTACAAAAGATAATTGAAATAAAAACTGGATTATCTTCTTAACAATTATGAATATAAAATAAAGGAAGATTTCATTTTTGTACTTTTTGTCTTGTCATAAGCGTGAGACAGAGAAAAAATTCTGAGTCCCCATAAGGAATTGAACCTCAGACCTTCAGATGCTCTACCACCGAGCCACAGAGACTCCACAGTGAGCGAGGTGGAATTTCTCTTTCTACAATAGGAATGAGCTTTGACTGATGCCTACAAACCATCCTACAATTTTTCAATATATCTCCCCTTTAACAGATATTCCTTCTTTAATTCTCCTCTCTAAATTCTGAGGAAAGTCCACTTGTGGGGCTTCAAGTAACCATACCAGCATGACAAAAATCAATGAGTTAGACAAGACAACCTTTCATTTTCATGCATCACCAGCTACACAGGATATGCACATGTGCATGTGTTTACCTGAATGACATTGTTACAAAATTCAAGTGATGTCAGAAAGGAAACCAGCTCAGGGAAAGTTGCCCACAGACCTCTCTCCAAAGAGTACCAGTCCTCTGAAGGTATGTCGAGTGATGTTGGCAAATCAGAATACAAGGCACTGAGTCCTGTTGCCAACACCTAAGATGTTAAAGAGGGAAACTTAGACAAGGAATACAGTCTACATCTAAATTCTGTCTGAGTATTCAAAAACTGCCTTGAAATACTACAATGACCATGCTAATGATTTCAAGGATACTAGCCATGGCGGCTGAAACGCTGAACATTGTACTTTAAACACTAACAACACTTGGTCCAATGTCCAGTTTGAAAAGGATGGTAAAACATTGATTTGCTTCATTTGTTGTCCAATCAACCTTGATTTCTTCTAGATTTTTCACCAGCTAATAATAGTTGTTGAAAGCCCTCAGTCAAATTCGAAGTCAAACCCATACATTTGCGTATATAGATTAGGGAAACACATTATTTGAAGTGTAAAATTTCAATTTAGCACATTTCTGGTTTCAAGTGATCGATATATTGTTCTTGCAAGAGGGTTTAACGGCAAGGCACGAAATCCAGCTTCACACAAGGAATAATTAACGAGCGCAAACGAAAATTACACAGGATCAAGGGAGATCATACACGAACTTTAGGGACACGATTTTACGTGTTTGCGTTACCGTTTAAAAGTTCTTATCAAGCCACACAAAAGGCGTAACAACTTTCATATGTACCATGTATTGCATACACCTGGAGGCAAGAAGTCGCTGTATCCGAGAACAATGTGAATAAGTAATCGTTGCCTCATATCAAACCGAAAACAGATCTCCCTTATCAGCAAATTTCTTAAACCATAGGATAAACTACTTCAAGCCGAAGTCAATTAAAATAAACAAACATGACATATTCGAAATAGCAACAAGAAAAGGCCCGCCAAAGTTTGAAGGTGATTTAAAAAAAAACATAATCTGCCGTCGCTCAAAGGGCCGACAAGTTAAAAATATTGTAACTCAAACAGAAAGTGAAAATAAAAACATAAAAAAATATGATGACGAGGGAGCACTAACCGGACAAAAGTCTGTATCTTCGGCAATATACCTGCCCAGCCTGGAATCAACTGATGATAAAGCCATGCATAACAGCATGGCATCGCGAGCCCAAACACCAACATTTCCATCCCGATGAACATAAGGAATCAGCAGAGAAAACACAGATAGCTTGGCTATCTGTGCGTGATGGTGATTATCCAAGAAAAAAAGATCTAACAGTGCAATATCCCGGTTGACACTCACGCAAAGGCCCTTCAGCACTGCCACAAAATGTTCTTCCTCGTCCGAGCAAATGTTGTTTACGCAAGAATGCAATAGATAGAGGAGAGGTTTCCAAACCTGCTCATAAATCAACAGTGGTGCTCTTCCCTTCTCGATGAGATTCCTAAACAGTCTCAGCTGTTCTCGCTTCATGTCCTTGACACAATTCTTGCTCGATGCACTCCAGTTGTACACGGTATGAAATACATTTTCATCCAGCACATATTGTAAACATGGACCTGGGTCACCGTCCTTTTCATCGACTAAAACATTAATAATTTCGTTTAAATGGTGGACTAAAATATTACACCGCTCTTGATGGCCGATGGTTTTCTCGTCTAGCGCTATTATTGACTTCGCATTATTCCAGTGTACGTCTACAAGCCTCAAAAAATCCTGAGCGCCGAGCTCTACAAAACCGTCGTCTAGTTGCTTTTTTTCCGTGTCTGAACTCGGCGATTGAAGCGGCGACAAAGACGCAAGTCTCTTTAGTAAACTCATGGCTGGATAACGGCTTAAAAAAACCCATAAGGCGCTTGTTCAACCGGACAAGAGGTTATTTCTACTTTCAGTTAACTCCGTATCCGCCATCTTGGCTAAATTGGCTCGCACGACATCTGATGATAATTGACAACTTGGTACATTAGGAGCCAATCATATCGTGTTTCTATTTATGTTTGGTATTTCAATAGCGCAAACCTCGTCGACGAGTTCTTGTCAAGTCAAGGAAGATGAAATTTTAACTCTAACCAACTTGCAATTTAAAAAATTTGGCTTTATCATTTTTGAGTGAAAGATCTTGTTAAGAAATGTTCTATGGAGTGACGAAAGATCCAAATCCATATTTTCATTTTTCATACTAAATTTGGAATTGTTCCTTAGTCAACCTCTACGTAATATTTATAAAACGTTACGCGATCAAACAAGCGAAGCAAGGATCCACAGATTTAAAAATGGATTTTATGATGCCGTGCGTCTGTTCAAAAATAGATCACAGGTGACGGTAAGATGTGTCAAGGAAAAATAAGTGGCACTAGAGGCGCAGCTGTTACCACATTTTGCCGTCTTCTCTGATCTACCACTGTACTGACCTAGGGCAAAGTGGACTCTTTTTATTGTATATGATAACAAATGAAAAAGAGCCATTTTTTTAAGGGTACGATTACACCTCACAATTATACCTCACCCCCCTCAGTCATCTTTTCTTCTTCCCCTACCACTCCCCTAAGCGAGCAGCCTACGGCGGCATCCTTTCTAGTTCCTGGTTTTTTAAATTCCTTTCATCAGTTCCTCATCGAAGATACAAAGGCTTTGACTCCCTAAGAACATGACAAGAACCGAAGACAGCGAGGATTTCGCTACGGTGGGGAAACGTGAGTGGAGGTGCGAAATCCTAACACTCATTAAAAGTTTCTTGGACCAGCTAATATTAAGAGACAAAACTGGCTTTTTACAATCAGTTTTTAATGATTCAGATCAATCCTCATTAAGCACAACTATTATATTTGAGGTGTTTTTAACGTCTAAGATGCCTTTCGGTTCTGTCGAAGTAAATGGAACATGGAAGTCATCAGCACTTGATCATTGCGAGAGATTTCTTTTGAGCGAAACGAGTTTGTCTTTCAAAACTTCGATATCCGCAACAAGACCAGAGTACTGACTGCTGCTTTCTAATGACTCAGCCGAACTTTCTCTTAAAGACTCGGAGCATGTCGGGTTATCTTCTTGTTGTAATCGCGTAACAACGTCTCTACCTTCTTTTTCTTCAATGACTGACACTTCACAGGAGCTTTCTTCTGAAAAACACTGTTTCCGACCGAAGGCATACTCGTCCTCCTCGTCTCCGCTTTTCAATATCTTCTGAAGTTTAAACATCAAGTTCTTTACATCCTCTAGATCTCCACCGAGTGTTTTGAAAGTTTGCTCTATTACCGTTATTTTATCGTGAACGGCAAGATCTTTTTCTCTATGGGTGTGGTCAGAATCCTCGCTATGTCCTTCAATATTATGTTCTCCATTCTGTTGAAGATGATTTTCCATTGCATAACTGTTTTCATGTGATTGTTCTGGGGAATTTTGCTTCCACATCTCCTTCAAAGAAGCCATAGAATCATTATTCAAAGACATGATATGAATTCAGAAGTCAAAGACGTTCTGCAAAAAGTGTCCAGGTTCTAAGACAAATCTAAGGGGAAAACGTAACAATGGCCATAGAGCGTGCGTCACTTAAGATGTAGGGCATGCGCACGCTAATCCCACCGACTGACTAGCTGACTGACTAGCCGACTGACTAGCTGAGTGACTAGCCGACTGACTAGCTCCGCCACCAGAGCTTCGCATGCCCGATTTTCGAGCTAGGAAAATTTCACGCATGAAAAACATTTCTTCCCCAAATAGAGCCTGCCCGAGTAAATTGCTGAAATCATATCAAAAGGTGTTGTAGGGCTTTGATTTTTTGACAACAATATGCCTTGTTTTCAAAAAAAGGGTCAAACTGCGTTTTGCATTCAGAGACCACAAGGCGTCTGAAAGGTGTCTTGAGAGTTGGGAGACAAAATCAAATGTCTTCCCAGGGAGCCACATGTAGGCAATGCGCATATTTGTCTTGTGGCGTTGTAGCAAGTGCTCGTAGCAAGTTCTCGTTTCATTGCTCTGCTCGCCCCTCCAACAATTATTGCTGATGTGAAGCGTCAAACAGTAGGGTCTATACAAAGAGATCGGGGGTTGACATAGACGACAAAGTACGATGGGTAACAAAACGATATGACACATTTATTGAACAATAAAATGCATCTGTAAGAAAACTGTCTTTCACTATTTCTCAATAAAATTCAAGAGAGTTCAATATTAGGTCCTCCTTCCTTTAAGAAATAACAAAATTAAAACATAATGCGCTGCTAAAAAACTCACACATGGCGCTCAGAAACAGCGCGTGCCGTTTCAAAAACCTGCGCGCACCGCTCATGCGCACCCACACACAACTCGCGCACGCAGTTTCAAAAAAGTTCGCGTGCAGTTTTTGGTAACATTAGTGCGCGTCGATCTTTGATTCAGGCAAATTGTTTTCGCCTACATCCGCCCACTTTTAAGAGCGCCTACCGCGCACTAGTGATTCGGATCATTGGATCCTTTAACTTTTGCTGTTTGTGGAAAAATGGTACATTAAAAAGAAGAAAGTAGCGTCCGTGAAGAAATGCCTTCAAACACAAAACATTTGACTGAAATACATGTAGAAGTGCCCACTCAGATTTGCTTAAACAGGCAACCCAACAAAACGACAACAGAGGATGATGACGTCAACAGCTCCTTCAAACGCCTCTGGATGTCTGACACCGTTATTATCCTCTAAGTAAGGTGGTGTGATTCTCGTGTTTTGTGGCTCTCATGTTTGCTTGTCTCGCGTCAGCTCAGCGCTTCTTTGACTTCTGTTTCTTTGATTTCCGTTCATTATCACTGTCTGACTCCTCTGAATTGCTAGATTTACTGCTATTATCACCGCTGCTGGAGCTGGGAGAACTACTGCTACTGCTGTCATCAGAAGAATCACTTCTGTCTGTTGTGGATGAGTCATCAGATTCAGACTCCTCATTGTTGTCACTGCTTTCATTGTCACTTCCGACAGAAACAGTAAGAGACAAATCAATCCATCTGCACTCAAAATATATAGCTATATGCTCCCCTTCCACCACCCCCTTTTTTTTTCACTGGAAAAGTAGTAGAGCTGATCAACTACCATGCTGTTGAACATGATGGTTGACAGGCAACCCAAAAATAGAGCTGTATTGGAAAATGCCTTGAAAAAATGTAAGAAAGTTGTTGACCAAAACCCTGGGTAACCTGTAATTGAAAATTCTCAACCAAACCTAACCCTTCCAAAGCTTGCCTCTCAAGGTTTGTGAAAACACAGCCTATTCATGACATGCAATGGTCAGCAAGTATAAGCTGATTGGGAAAATTTAAGACCTTCAAAGCACTTAAAATGCCAGAAAAAATTTCCACTTCAGACTTAAAAACTGATTTTGAAAGAAAGGAAAAGCCTTAACCCTTCAACTCCCAATATGTCATTAGTAATTCTCCTTACTGTCTGCTATACAGTTCTTCTGATGTTAGTTTGGAGAATTTGGTATTGGATCAACTAATAATCCCCTAATTAAGAGTTTTCTTTATTCTCATCACTTGTCTGCTTGATATTGTATTGATATTGTAAGGAGAAATTCTGTCTTGGTCAGTCATGGGAGTTGAAGGGTTAAATAAACCATCATCCTTTAACTCCCATGTTTGACCAAGACAGAATTTCTCTTTACAATATCAAGCAGACAAGTAATGAGAAAAAGAAAAAATATCAAATATGGGATAATAAGTTGATCCAGTATCAAATTCTCAGAAATAACATTAAGGAGAATTAGTAATGAGATCTTGGGAGTGAAATGGCTAGGGGGGGCAGTAGAGATTAAAATCACACTAAAAATGAAATAAGCTCAGTTTTAAGATAGCCATAAAGTGATCAAAGCCACTAAGTACAAACAAGGTTTCCCTATCATTTATTACAGATGAACCTCTAAATAAATCAAATACCTTTCATTTGGAGCACTTTTTTCCTTGTCAACTGACTCACTGTAGGGATAGAATTAAATTTTTACATTAGATTTAAAACAGAGGTATGTAAATAAGGGGTTTGTTTAGTCAACTGAAAGCTGTCTGGACAGTGAAAGTGGTTTTATCAAGGCAAAAACCCAAAAAAAGGATGATGGGCTGATATGGGAGAAGATACTTCTAGAGGAATATTTTGAGAGGTGTAATGACACGCAGTTGGGCCTAAAACAGAGGAGCTTATTGGCAAGAAGCTCACAGCTGCAATGAAATTTTGTTTATAAATAGATGAACCTATATTGAAGAGGTTAATTGACAGGGAAAGGAGGAATCTCATAATAAATGAACTAACTAAGCTTGTATATTATTACGCCTAATTCATGCTGTTTCTAATTCTTTCACTTGTTTATCATCACTGATAAAGAACATGAAGTACATATTTATTGGTTTATAACTCACACCAAAACAAGATTTTGGAAATATGATGATATATCGGCAACAAGCAAACTGCAGAATGCAGGACGATATATCTTGATCCTACTGGAACCACAATAGCGGTGATTTTCCTCATTGTTTAAACTTTCCCCACAAGGAGGACTTTAATGGCTCTGTATTCTATACTAGTTCCAATGACTACATAGAGGGAATCGCAGTAAAATCAGACTGGTATGAAAGCATCAATGGTAGCACGCTTTTTTCTGAGCTAAACTCGTGTAAAAAAAGACGTTTTAAAAACTAGCTCGAGTTAGGTTTATCTGATTTTCAGATCAGTCCCCACATTGCCATATTCTTAAAAGTTTCTATGTTTTACCTTTTACTTGAATCATTATTATCGCGAGAAGAACTGGCTAGTTTGATTTTCTTTTTCATTACCACTGTTCTCGAATCCCGCTGCAAATACTTTCGTTTATTGTTGCACTCGTACGTCCAATGACCCACTTGCAAACATTTTTGGCATCTTTGATTGCCTGCCTGTTCTTGCCTTAAAATTGAAATAAAATAGCAATTGTTTAACCTGCATATGATACTGAGTTAGTAGCTGAAATTCCCACCTTTTCTTGTTCAGGATGTAGGACCTCGCTGCATACGCCATTTTGTTTTGCCATTTGTTCCCAGTCTCCTGTGTAGATTGTTGGAAATTAATGTCAATCCCAGGCTCTTGAAAGGGAGTACAGAGGTACCTTTCATTTGGTAATTTGAGAATGTTACAGGTATTAATTGGAAAGATTTCCACACAGCCCTATACTCATTATTCATATAGTATTTGTTTGGAGGAAAGAAAGGCGAAAACGATTGATTGTCTTCAGGGCTAGGCTACATTTAACAACATTAAGACGCCATACAGAATATTTCCCATTCATTTTCAATTGGGACCAGTGTTAAGATTTCTTCTGAACAGGTGTGCCAAAAGAGATTCCAAAATATCTGGTTTGGCAAAAAAAAGTTACTCCAACAACTCAACAGGGTCCATTGCACACTTTTCATAATATCATAAACCAACTCTGCATACATCACAACAGCCAATCAGAGATAACTAAAACATTTTCGGGAGCCAATGAGAACTAAGCGTGAAAATTTACCTCTCTCCTTAGGTACAGAAAAATGAAATTGATCAAGATGTACTTAGTGTTAGTTTTGCATCTGATTGGATAAAAGGGTGCTGCAAGTTTCCTTGACCAATCACAAAGAAGAGTAGGACAAAACTAAATGCAAACCTTGTCAACTTTAGAAATTCTTCAAATATAACAGACCTCTTGTTTTTACTAAAGAACATATCAAAAGAATCTATTAAGTACCAAAAACGTCACATTTATTTGCTTTCAGCATTCAAGAATAATCCTCATGCTGTGGACACCAAAATACTTGATACTTTGTTCCTCATTTATTTACAAGCCGTATACTAGAGGAAAAATTAAATTAACCCCTTAACTCCCAGAAGTGCAACCTCTCCCTGAGATATCCACACATCCCCCTACAAACAAGTAATGAGATTACTCAAACCTATTAGGTGGTAGTTATCTTGATCTAACACCAAATTCTTGTAACTAATTTAAGAGGAAATGTGTGGAAGCTAGAGGGTAGAATTATCAGTCAGATATCGAGAGTTAAAGGGTTAAAATCCAAATGTACCCTTCACCTTATCATGCCCTGACAATACCAACATCGAAATAATATATTGATACCTAAGTTTTCTTAAAGTAATACCTGAACCATATCAACAGAATTAAAATAAAATTAAAAAACCTAACTAAAAGTAGCAGGTTGACCAGGGCTTAAAGGTTTAGTTAAGAACTTTCCAGCTCAATTTAAAATAATCTTATTATCTAAGTATTATATTAATTGAGATTATCAGTGAAGGTATAAAAATGACAAGCTGCATTTAAGTCTGAATGTTTATACTCTATGACACAACTAAGTTCCTCTAGTTAAAAGCGTTTGGACAAACACTGCAGGGAATTTATGCATTTGAAAATGACTCATCACAAATTCTCACACAGAGTCCAACTTAACACTGGGTTATCACAAAATTACTCAATATCACAAGAATAACTTACTCAACAAAAAGCATTCCTAAAATAAATTATAACATACATTTCCAACAAAAAAGTACATTTCTACCATCATTTTCTTAATTAAGAAAGAAAGTTAAAAACCTCTCCTACTCTGAGTAGATTTCTTCATGTTGGTAGTTTTCACTTTTAGTTAGTAAAATAATGTTGGTTTTGACATTCCCCTATTTAAGTATCAACTAGTCCACAACTGTGCCCAGAAACACACAAAAAAAGTCAGTTACTGAGCTGTAGATTTTTCTTATGTTAAATTGGCCTTTGTGATTGAGCCTTGAAACCAACAATTGTTGTCTCTCCCTTGCAAATATATCAATTCCTATCACTCCTTAGATTTAAATAACCAATTACCCACACAGTTTCTTCTACATTTATTTTCATTTTTGCTCCCTGAAACTAGCTTTCAATCAAAGATCATCCTCTAGTTGATAATCTAAGTTTTTCTTCTCACTTTCCTGCTTTAAAATGTATCGATACTGCGAGGAGAAATTCTTTAATGGTCACTCGTAAGAGCAAACGCACTCCAAGTATATCAATGACAATAGTAATAATAAAAACAATTATGTTGATGATAACAGTTTTCTACCGCTACTAATAGATAAAAATAACTAAACAATGGAAGATTTTTGTGCAATCCAAAGGGAATGACCACTCTTTTTTCTTTTGTTTTGTAAAATGTTTTCTGGAGTTATATACAAACAATACGGAGCCACCCATTTGTTACCATAGCTATCATGACACAAACAATCTGATGTGAAAAAAGAATTTTTTGTTACAACACAGCAACTACCTGGAAACATGAACGAAACAATCTGATGTATTATGAATGAAAAAAAATCTTAATCACTTCTATTACCTACTACCAAAAAGGGATACAAAAAAAAAAGCAGAAGATTAAAGTAAAAATTTTGGATTTCATCTAGGAAAAATTGTGTCTGAAACCCAGCTACCTTGAAAATAGAAAAGAAAAGAAAAGCAACCTCTGTTGATAGCATTTTGATCATTCCTGATTGCAAAGGAGGTGATGGAATGATTTTCATCCAAAACAGTAGTAGCCACAAATACTTCTGATTTTTGCACAGTTAAAAGAAACTTTTCTTTTCATGTAACCATTCTATTGATGGGATGGTGTCACTTAATATACATGCAATATCTACATGTACCCCTGACATACGCAATTTTCAATACAACAATTCTAATTGATGATAACTGATTTGATAAACCTTTAACTCCCAGAAGTGATGAACATGTAACTTCTCCCTACAATATGCATACATTAACCAGCAAACAGGTAATGAGAATACTAAAACTTATCAGTTACAAGTTGTTGTCTTGATCTGACACCAAGTTCTTTTAACTAATTTACCAGGAAATGTGTAGGATCTAAAAGAGAGAATTAACAATCAGATCTTGGGAATTAAAGGGTTAGGCTCTTAGATCAAGGTATTTCAACCAAATTTGAAGTTGAACTTGATGAATCTCTTTCCCAGTTCACCTCTGCACTAACACGAAGCACACGGCCAGATTCAGAAACACTGGAGCTTTCTGTAAAACACAGGAAAAAAAACATCTCATTTATTTCTCTAAGTTAGTGAACTACTGTTCAAGAAGGCCCTAAAATGCAATCTCCTGCCATTTTTTGAACTCAGACAATGGTCACTGACAGTAAAATTTAAAAAAAAATTCAGAAATTCTAACACATGAAAGTCATTCACCAATAATTTTCAAACCATTTGCTCTTCCAGGGGTTTAGTCAGCAAAATATCTGTCTCTATTCCTACCTGAACCATCAGAACTAGGCCTCCTCTCACTAACAGAAGGTTCAATCTCATTCATAACCACACCAGGATTGTCAGCAGCAGTACGATGGTCCTCATCAGGGAGTTCTGATGTACCAACTTCTACAGCTAATGTGCGACTTTCCTCAACACTGGGCTGGGAAATATAAAAAAAATCCACCATTGGTCCAGAACACTAGTGAGAGTACCATAAGCCTAAAATTGCATAAGGTTTTGTACTTTTGCTGTAAAACTAAAAAGGAAAAAGAATTTAAAGAAAGCAACAAAACTTTAAAGTCTGTAATACATGATTCAACAGAAATGTGTCATCTTCAGTTAATTAATGTACAAAGCATTGGAAGTTGAATTATATAGTACTGGTTGGTAGAAAAATGCTAATTATGATAAATGGTGACTACAAGAAAAGAGGTAAGGCATGAAAGTGTGAGAGTTAAAAGGATAGCTTTAGATTTACATGGTGTAATTGTTGATTCAAGGATCGTTGTTCTCTTTGAATACGAATGGCCTCTTTTATCTTGAGTTGAAAACCGGTAAAGGCGTGATCCAAAACATGGAAGCTATCTGCTGAACACAAAGTGCAACAATGTGCAGAATCTTGCAGATGCTTGAAAATGTGAGAGGCCCTGTCACTGATTAAGTGCTCTCTAACATGTGTGGAAAAATGCCGGCACATTTCACCAACATAACAGGCATTACAGCCAGCACATACAAACTTTTAAACCACATGTGAATGGAGCCCGTCAGGGACAGGGTCTTTCACACCGAAAAAAAAAAAAGAAATTGAACACTGGAAATAGTTCTGGAGTGCAATTTTGCTAGGAAAAATAAACAACTCTTAATTGTATGCAATAAAGCTGATGGTATAGAGAAGTGTGCAAGGTTTCCTTCACATTCTCTAATTGGGTACTTTCAAGAAGGACTAAAGATGAACATAGAATGTACAAAACAGTTGTAGCTGATAGTAATTATGTATCTGCCTATCAAACAAATAGCAAAGAAACATTAAAATAAATGACTAGTGCTCCTCCTGCATCAAGTGTGAAAGCATTTGCAAATTTTTTCCAACACTTACCAGCCCCAATTCCTTCAAGATGTTGAGCTTGCACATTGGACAAGTTCTGTGCTCAACCAACCATGGGTCGATACACAACTTATGGAACTCATGCCTATAGAGAAAGAGGAGCTATGAGTGAAAAAAGCTTAGAACCCAAGGTAGGTTTGTCTAAAGACTTTGAGTAACTTATTATATATAAATATATAACATACACCAATATGCAATGGTTTTAATTAAAACTGATGAAAAGGAGCTTTAGAATAAAACTTAATGTTTACTTCTTCTAATTTTTTTTAGAAAGAGTAAAACTCAAACTCAGAACAGTCTGAAAATTTGTCTCAATACTTACTCATTCTTAAGTCCTTTTTTTTTCTTAAGGGAAGTTTTAGTCCATTTGATTACTTCAAAGTGACTCAATTGAGCCAGCAGCTGACCCAAAAATTTCCAATTAAGCTTTAGCAACACATCCAACAAAGTTTTAGCACAACAAAATACTAGAGATCATTCAAGGGCTTAGGTCTTTACACTGAAGTCTCTATATGCATCCTGTTCAGTAGCAGCCAAGCATACCATTTCTTGAAAGTGTTACTTACTGGCAAGGCAGAATACGAACAACATCGCCAGCTTTGTAACCATCCAAACACACTGCACAGTTATCAGACTCATCATCTTCTGTCTGCAATGCAGAAAACAACCATAGATGGCAAATGAAATACTTCACTTAAAAGGCAAAGAGTTAGACATGCATACTTTGAAGTTACAGTCTTAACATTTTTTTCTTCCAATATCATTCAGTTATTTAAATTTGTGCTTATTACAATGACACCTAAATGTAGTTGATTAGTAAAGTTGTTCCTATGTTAAGATCAGAGGTCCTGAAAAGGATTTGGTTTTTTCTTATTACAGGCTAAACTATTGGCTAATATACTACAGGCAAGTACAAATTTTTTATAAAAAAGCCTCCTGTAAGAAACACAATAACAACCCTCTTGATTTCACCTCGGCACCAGACTGCCCATCTAATTGGTTAACAGACTACCTCATGATGATCAATATGACTAATGCAATTTTTTTATGAATAGACCATCAAAACAAGGTCTTCCTTTTTTAACATGTGGAAATTCCTTCACACATACCTTTTTGTTGACAGTGCGTGTTGGAAGTTTAGCTATAGCCTTTTTGGCAGCAGAAGTTAACCGTTTCTGTTGGAGGAGGAACAGGGGATTAATCAACTTCCTCAATGAGGGGCAAGTAACCACAAATATGCCAGGTTAATATTCAAGATTTAAGTCTAATCAAGTAAGTAATCATTACGAGTGTTTTAAAAGTTACACAATCACAACTTATTTTCATAAGTTGCCAAATATCTTTTTGTGGAAACTGTCTCCTATAGGAGGTAAAGCCACATGTGTTGTTGAGATGAGTGAGTTGGTGTAACAATAGAATTCCATCATGACCCAATTTTGACCTGATGTTCTTTTCCTTGAAGAGAAAGCATTTTATTGCTTAAATCAGTAAATTACGTAGATGCAAAGATATAATATTTTCAGTTCTTGCCATGACACTACAAATGACGATAAACATCTTGAAATAATGTCACAGTGGCATCCACAGATGCATAATTTAAATCAAAACTTTTTCTTGCAGAAATATCTAAACAGATGTGATCTACATATCATGGAAGCTTTGTTTGTTGAAAAGAGAGCATTTCAATGCTGAATCAGCGATTTGTGCCGAAAAAAAGCCACTAAATTTGTGAAGCAAGCAAGCTGTAAATTACAATATCTTAAGCTGCTGGATGGCTGAATATCCTAAAATGCAGAATACCTTTTTGAATGGAACAAAAGTCTCACAAATGGAATTACAATAAAATAAGAAAATTATTTAAAATTAACAGGTGAAATAAAAAGAAGATTAGGTAATCATTACTGGAGCAACTTTACCTTTTAGCATCATTAGACAACCTAGAACTCTTTTCAGTACTTTAAAAATTGTGTATTATCAGTAGCCACATGCAGTCTTTGACTGTCTATTTATATTTATATAATAAGCTCAGTTATACACGCATTCTGATTGGTTCTCACTTATGATCTATAGGAGGACAGACGTATAGATGACATCATCATTAAAACTTTTTTAAATTCTTTATTATATAAAACAAATAGATTCCAAGTTGCCGTGCGTCTGTCCAGTAATAGATCACAGAGGACATCAAAATGTGGTAAGAACATCAGTTACACACTCGGCTGCACCTCACGTGCCACTTTTTTGTTCTTACCACATTTTGACGTGATCTGTGATCTATTACTGAACAGACGCATGGCAACTTGGAATCTATTTGTTAAATTTGCTATCCCTTTTTATTTTTAAATTCTTTATTATATAAAACAAATAGATTCCAAGTTGCCGTGCGTCTGTTCAGTAATAGATCACAGAGGACGTCAAAATGTGGTAAGAACATCAGTGACACACTCAGCTGTGCCTTGTGTGCCACTTCTTTGTTCTTACCACATTTTGACGTCCTCTGTGATCTACTACTGAACAGACGCACGGCAACTTGGAATCTATTTGTTAAATTTGCTATCCCTTTTTATTTTTAAATTCTTTATTAAATAAAACAAATAGATTCCAAGTTGCCATGCGTCTGTTCAGTAATAGATCACAGAGGATGTCAAAATGTGGTAAGAACAAAAAAGTGGCACGTGAAGTGCAGCCGAGTGTGTCACTGATGTTCTTACCACATTTTGACGTCGTCTGTGATCTATTATAGAACAGTGACACACTCGGCTGCACCTCACATGCCACTTTTTTGTTCTTACCACATTTTGACATCCTCTGTGAGGATGTCAAAATGTGGTAAGAACATCAGTGACACACTCGGCTGCACCTCACGTGCCACTTTTTTGTTCTTACCACATTTTGACATCATCTGTGATTTATTACAGAACAGTGACACACTCGGCTGCACCTCACGTGCCCCTTTTTTGTTCTTACCACATTTTGATGTCATCTGTGATCTATTTCTGTGATCTATTACTGTTTTGTTCTTACCACATTTTGATGTCATCTGTGATCTATTACTGAACAGACGTACGGCAACTTGGAATCTATTTGTTAAATTTGCTATCCCTTTATCTTAAATAAAGCATCTCCAGAAGTTCTGAAATATTTTAGCTCTTGAACATAACTGTCGTAATACACAGTAAAGCTGTAAATAAACAATGTTTTAGGTGAAAAATCAAAAGGATTGAGCAACTTTTACACCAAGAACAAGTAACCACAAATATGCTACTTAAAAATTCAAGATTTAAGACAATGCAACAATCACTGGCAATGTTCTATAGTTACATAATCACATTAGGATTATTTCTATGTTTTATGATACTTCCAATTCTTTTTTTTTTCGCAACTTGATATAAACTAATTACTTTGCTAAATTTTGTTAAATATTTGAGCATTGTAACAACACTCTAATAATCCACAGCGACAGTGTCAACAAACAAACATTCATGTTGAAAAATCATTAGGATCACTCAAATATGCTGAATTTACACTCATGATTTAAGCCAAAGCAATAATTATCATCAGTCATTCAAATATTACATCATCAATTCATATCATTTATATGTTGATAAATAGTTTTGATTCTTGCC